CTGTATATATGTACCATGGTCATTGTACTGTATATATGTACCATGGTCATTGTACTGTATATATGTACCATGGTCATTGTACTGTATATATGTACCATGGTCATTGTACTGTATATATGTACCATGGTCATTGTACTGTATATATGTACCATGGTCATTGTACTGTATATATGTACCATGGTCATTGTACTGTATATATGTACCATGGTCATTGTACTGTATATATGTACCATGGTCATTGTACTGTATATATGTACCATGGTCATTGTACTGTATATATGTACCATGGTCATTGTACTGTATATATGTACCATGGTCATTATACAACAAATAACAGTTACTATAAAGTATATAATCAATCAAATTTTGATTAATAGATAAAACATTATAATATAGGAATGCCTTAATAATCAACAAATTGATTAACTGATAGAAATTGTCGACAGTTTAATATCTAAATTATAATTATTTTTTATACCAAATTTTTTACTAATGCTTTATGGAATATTAGACATAAATTATAGTATAGTATTATACAATACATGCTAAACAATGTTGTCAGTCATAATCAGGGTTTTAAGAAAATAAATGCCTGCCCTGGCAATGCCCAAATAGATGCCATAAATGCCTGGCATTTTGGGCATCTATTTTATTTGCCTGCCAATTTAAATTGCTAAAAAGCAACTGTATTTATAAAAATAATGTAATTTAGTGTTTTAACGTGTTAATTAAATTTACAATTAATTTACTTATTTCCAATTATATTACCTTTTAATTAAAGGTATACAAAACAAAAATACATGCAAATATATTATAAAAACAATGTTTTATAAATTAATTAATAATATAAAATTAAAATAATAGGTGTCACCACATGAAAATAGATGCCCAGGGCATGGCAGAGGCAGGGCAGGCATTTGGCAAAATTGGCATCTATTGTTTATGCCTGCCATTTTTAAAACCCTGGTCATAATACCTCACATACCCATAATTAATATGCATTTATAATACTGTCAAAGATAATACAAGTTTTTAAGTGTACAGTACTGTAAAAAATACCAAAATATTTATTTATAAATTTAATTGTCATTATTTAACACGTCTATAAAAATAAAGCATTAGATACCTATTGTCTTACAGTAGATATGATTTTGAAATTATTTTGAAACACAATTTAAAATGCTAGCCAAGAGTTTGTCTGGCAATGCTATGCTTAACACTATTAAGTGGTTTTAAAATGAAGATCTTTATGTTAATAGAGATCTAATGACACATATTATTATCAAAAACTAATAAATACTATTAATATACTGTACTTTAATACTGTATTTATGTATAAAAAATGTGTAAAATAACGTTTAGAAACTTTATATTGTAATAAATAATAGAAATCATAACTGTTTTGGTTTTTACAAATTAGCCAAAAATGGGTATCAATTAAAATATAGTTAAAAATATGTTGATTATTACATTTTTGTCTATTTTTTGTCACTTTTATATATATTTATATATATATTAATCACATCTACTGTTTGACCAAATATTCATTCAACACATAATAGTCTGTCATTAAAGTCATACCCTTTAATAGAGGGTCTCTAACACACATTTCTATGGCTTCTTGTTATGTGATTTATGTATGGATTGAATATTTATGAGTCAATACAGTTTACATTATATTAATACTTTTAATACTTTATCATTAGTTAATTAATTAATTTTTTGTTATTATTTAAAAATATATATTTAAATAAATCGGTATTTAATAATGATATAAAATTTAATTTAAAAAATATTATATAAATTAATTAAGTGTTTGATAAAAGTGTTGTTCAATTAACTGATGTTTGAGTGTAAGTGTAAATGCAATACAACTGTAGTGTTTGATTGGTGTAAATACAGTAGTATTGCATTCATTGTATGAGTGAATGAGTCAATTGAAACTCAATTACTATTGTTTTGTTGATTCATTGATTGACTCATTAAGTGATTAGTTGTCGTAGTTGTGATTGAAGACAAACAGACAAACAAACAAACATTTAAAGATATGTCTCATAAATACCAAAACCAATCGATGACTCTCTGGATTGGAGACGTATGTCTTAGTTAATTGATATGTCATTTGATTATTATAATGAAATGATTGATATGTTTTGATGTTTAGATCGACGAAACAATGGATGAGATGTTTGTGAAGACATCCTTTCATCTGATGAGTCATAAACCAAAACAAGTGAAGATTGTCCGAAACAAAATAACCGGGTATGACATGTGGTGACTATTTTACATCAATCATATGATTATTAATTGATTTTAATTACCATTTTTTTAAGACAACCAATGGGTTATGGATTTATAACATTTGAAAGCGAAGAATTGGCACAAAAAGTATTGAATGAACTCAATGGACAACAAATACCAAACGCTGCTGAGGTATAAACTGTTTACTAATCTGTTTTTATATTTAGTCTAAATTATGTTTTAATTGAAGGGAAAGCGCTTCCGATTAAACATAACGAGTAGTAGAGATGACACTGAGTTCTCCATATATGTCGGGGATCTAACTCTTGATGTCAACGATCACATGCTTCTCAATGCTTTTGCTAAACACTATCCGTCCACCTGTTCAGCCAAAGGTATAAATTAAATGATTTAAATATTGCATTAATTCTTTACAAAACTTATTTGTTTAGTAATGACTTCTGAGAGTCAGAACCGTCGCTTTGGATTTGTTCGGTTTAGTCAAGAAAGTGATTACCAAAATGCGTTGAGTCAATGCAATAACTCGACTATTTTGGGTCCAAATCCCATAACTGTGAGGGCAGCCAAACCCCGGCGCTTACAAAGACAGAATTATGGTCACCAAAGGACTCGAACCTATGATCGCTCTAATAGTGAACGGTTTGTTATTCAACAGCAACACCATCACCCACAACAACAACAACAACAACCGCCGCAAATACAACAACAAAGACAATTTCAACAACAAAATCAACAACAGTTTCAAGAGATATCTCAACCAATTTATAGTCCAGATATGAGTACCGGTAGTCAATATAGTGCAGTCTCTCCTTCTTCTGGTCAACAACCCATATGGATATACCCAATGATGCCATACAATGCCTTACCTGTCAATTATGATTCATATGCTTACGGTCAACCATCATATGGACAGCCTGTCTACTATCCGAACTGTGATAATATGTTATATACACTAATTCCTGGCTCTGTCTATATGCCCGATGCAAGTAATCAATATATTGACGATAAATTCAATGAAGAAATGATGGCCAAAAATGATGTAATTTTCACAAAATTTAATTACAAAATTATCTAAGTTTGTAAATAATTATATTTATATATTTAATTTTTAGGATTTATATTCAAGTATTGAAAACACCCGTTGGTCGACACCTATTGAATCGGAAAAGGAGTCGAAAATGCAATGAATGTCTCATAAACGATATTTTTGGCTCAAAAAAATTATATAATCTGTGATTATCTTTATTAAGATAAGATGATTACTTGTGATTTTAGTCAACAATTTTAGATAAAACAGTCAATTAAAACAACTCATTATTTCATCATTTGTTTTATGTTTGTATAATTCGTTAATAATGTACGGTATTGTCCTTTATGTCAATTGGTAATACAGTATCATTAAATAAATATATCATAAAAATATATTTTTAAATATGTTAAGTAAATTTATAACTAAGATATTTTACTTTTTTTTAATATACAGTATCTTTTATTTAATCTGTATTTTAACTGTTTGTTAGATCAAAATTTTTAAAATACTTTATGTACTAATCTAATTCATTGTCATTTCCGTATAAAAATTATTTTAAACAATTAAAATTTGTTTTATTATTGTAATATAGTTTTTATTGATTTATTTGAACACTAATGTATCAAACAATTTATAATACACAAGTTGTATTGTAGTATAAATGTAATAACTTTGTGATATAATGAAAAATAAATTTTTATTTTTAATATGCACAACAAATAATGTACTTTAATATCAATTAGCGTTAATATTTAGAGCTATCGGTAATTATTAAACACTATATACTTTATAAATAAATTTTATTTAATAATTGTATTAATTTGAAAAATTATTAATTATTGAAAAATGAGAGAAACTAAGTGATGAGTGACTTATACATGAAATATAAATAAAATTAAGTCTTAAATATAAAACTAGTCTTTGTTTGTCATTTGGATTTGTTTGTATTGTTGACTGATTGCCGATACTTTTGAACAACTAATTGACGGTAATCCTGTGACCCCCACTTGTCTGCGGCTAATGTATCTAAAGGACTGTCCAAATTTGGTTCACCTAATGATAACATCAAATTGTTAAGATATGTCTTAATTATAATATTACATCTCTGAACAAACCAAGAAGTGATTGAATTGATATAAGAACAGTGCGGACGTCATAAAGTGCTGTCCATTTGTCCTATAAAATCATTATATCAGTAATTATTTGTTTATAAATATCAATCTTGTAATCAAACCTTTAGTATATCTAAACAGATGTCTCCATCACTGCTTATATTTGGATGAAAACAATGGTTAAGAAAGACAACAAATGGTGCGCTAAACGGATATTTCGGTGAAAATGTTAACAACAACTTAAACTTCAATCCGTCAAAAACTGTATCTTTCGGTCCCGTAATTGTTGCCATCCATCTGATGATAAAATCAATCATTGATTATCACTTAATTGATTCACTTGTAATGTTGAAGACATACCTGAATAGATTGTCGCCGTCGGGAAAGGCAGTGATTGATTGGTCAGAGTTTAGCACAAAATCCATTAATTCCTTTTGTAATCGTTTAGTGGCCGCTAATCTTCCCGATTCTGACACTATATTATCACCATTTGGTCCATTAATTGGTCGTCTATTTTCTGTTGACATAATCGATGGTAACTAAAGAGTCTTCTGTTGTGAACAACAAACAAATGGTGTGAATGTCTTCAATATAAGAGTTGAATGTATGACTAATACATCAATAGAGTGAACAGTCATTCAATGCTTTAAAATGTTTCAAACAATCGGTTCAAACATTCAAATAGTCAGTCAAATGTCACGTGATATTCAAACTGACATTTTATTGGTTTTTGACTTTACATTTAACAGTGGTATCAACCAATCAAAATCAATAATGTCTTACATCACTCATGTAAATGTTGTACAAAATGTTTATTAAATTTATTTCAATAATAAACTTAAATATGTATTAAATTGACATTTAATGGATAACTCATAACATTTCTATCGATTCTATAATTACTACAATAATTAAAGGTATTGTTTAATGTTTTATAGGTTTGCATTGTTTCTCACTATACATACTGTATGTAGTATTTTAATGTATAGAACAATACTATTGGCTATTAATGTACTTTTAAATTAGTTTTACTTTTAAATTAGTTTTACTTTTAAATTAGTTTTACTTTTAAATTAGTTTTACTTTTAAATTAGTTTTACTTTTAAATTAGTTTTACTTTTAAATTAGTTTTACTTTTAAATTAGTTTTACTTTTAAATTAGTTTTACTTTTAAATTAGGTTTACTTTTAAATTAGTTTTACTTTTAAATTAGGTTTACTTTTTTCATTGAAATTATGTCTAACACTTAAGTTTTAATTTAGTCATGATTAATATTAGTTTGGGTGGAGTGGAGTAGTTATGTTAGGGTAGAGTAGGTTAGGATAGACGACTTGGTTTGGGTGATAAAATAATTGATTGAACCCCAACCCAAACCAACCCAACCAACCAAACCATGTAATCCTATTAATACCCCATATATATAGCCATTCATTTAATCTAAACTTTTTAATAACTGATTGATATAATAGTAAATGATTTGTTGGTATATTAATTGAACTAATTGTTAGTATTGATAGACTATTAATAGTTGAAAAAGTGGTATCAATTGAAACATAATTACCGGTAAATGAAATATAGTTTTTATTGTTATTTAAGGTTAAATGATATCTCGTTATTAAAAATAATATAACATTACTATAAATTAATTGATTTGATTGGTAAAGATGTCTCATAAGATAACTACTTTGATGAGGAATACACTCAAGAGATTAGTTGAAAGTAACAAATTTGATAATGTGTTGAATCAGGTGAGACATTGTCGACATTGTAATGATTGTCATATACTGTATATATTAATCATTAGTTATTAATATTAAGGTTAATATAACGGATGCATTCAAAGGTCGTTTAATAGCTGAGATGTTAGTGACTAAAGAAGCAACCAATTGGTCCAATCATTTACACGGAGGAATGACAGCCACTATTGTTGACCAGTTATCGAGTCTGGCGCTGACCACTGCTTTTATTGATGAAAATGACATTAAAGATGAAACCTTTTATAAAGCACGGAGTGTTAGTTTGGATTTAAGTATAACTTATTTAACAAGTGTTCAATTGGGACAAACCATTGTCATTGAAGCAAATACTCTTAAATGTGGCAAAAATATAGCATTTCTTTCAGTAGATATCTTTAATAAAGATAGCAAACAATTGATAGCTAAAGGAAGTCATACCAAATATTTGTTAAATAATTGATTTATTTATGAAATATAAATCATAAGACTATTGTAGAGAAAAATTAACTTTAGATGAATAAATGTGAATAAATTTTAATAAAAATGAATTAACTATTATTTAATTGATTGATTGATTGATCAACTGTTGTGGTATATCTACATCTTGACTGTTATCTCGGTTACAAGTATTGCTTGAAGTATGACTGTTCTGCCATTTGTTGAGATCAATTAATGGCAAGTCTTGGCAATTGATCCACGTTTGATGTTTTGGTTGTATAAAGACATCGCTAGTGATTGCAGTGATATTGTCTGAATTGTCACATATAATCCTTGCCAGAGATGTCTTCTTTATTTCAATCATTTGTTCTGTTGTCAAGACATTAGAGTTCTAATGAAATAAAAGTTTTGTATCGAAATTTTGGTTATTATTGAAATGAAATGATTTATTGATAAAAATACCTCAAAATAAAAGCGGTCTCCATCTCGAAGTCTTCTAAATTGTTCCACTAATAAGCAGTGGAAAGTTGGACCAACTTTTGCTGATTCGAGGATATCCTCAGAGACAGCTCCCACCCAAAGATCGATGTTATTAGGATTTCCATAAATTTGCTTTAATTTTAATCTAATATTTTGATTTTTAATTTCATTTTTTAAATCATCAAAAGTATTGGCAAGACTTAAATTACAGTATTTTCTCCAATCATTATAAGAGGGTAAACCATGATCTCTGCCTTGTTTTTATAAAAAATTAATATATTTTAATCATAATATAATAAAATAATAATATTAAGCTTAAAATTATTCAGTATTTATTTAATATAATCTTACAATAATTCAATGAAAAATACCTCTTTGTATATTAATTGCTCCCAAATCTAGTGCCACATCTCTGGCCAATTCAAATAAGTGTTCAGTCAATTGATTGTTCATAATTTGATCTGATTTTGGTCTCTTTGATGGCGCAAACAATAATCCTCTAATTAATGGATCAATACCTCCTTCTTCAACAAGTCTTTGAGGGGCAAAAAACGCTTTATGAAGTGACAAATGACTTTCAAATTGAGTTATTGGTTGATAAGTCTCGTTGAGTCGTAAAAGGATTGGATTTATCAAAGTGTGACCAAATCTAAGAGCCGCCGTTGCAAATACATTAGCCACCGATGGATTCATATGTTTATTATAATCTTTATATTTCCCCAAATTTGATGTTCCCTTTTACAATACAATACAATACAATACAATACATTATATTATACAGTTATTATACAATTAGTTAAATACTGTATTTAGTATTAAAACAACAGATATTGTCTGATGTAATTCATTATTACCTGATGTCCTAAGATATGTGGTAACCAATGATAATAAGTAATAAACTAAAAATAAAATTAATTATGAGTTTCTGTAATTCTGTATTGTAAGTGTGTAAACATGAATATAACTAAGATTATCGCATTTAAATCGTTTATTATTATATTAGACTAATTTCTATTAAAACTTTGTATTAAATTGTGACCTTTCCTTAAATGTTTTTGACAATATCTGGTCAATTGTACAAAGTTGCAAATATAAACAAAATTGACATTGGTAATTTTTAAATAATCAATATCTATATTATAAGTTTGATAATATCAGAAACTTAGATGTACAATTGACCAGGTGTATTTTGATAAAAATTTAAAACTATACGTATTTAGTATTAAAAACTTTTACATAATTGACTAAATTGTTATTCTATTGAATTAAATATAAAATTAATATAATTTGTGTTAATTTTGTTGAATACTATGAAATGTGATTTTACCTGCATTTCTGATCCAACAATTTTTCGCGATTCTTGATATATTTGTTCTCCACTCCAATGTTTGTTAATTTGTCTAATAATAAAAATAATATTATTATAGTATTTATAAAATGATTGTTTAAAAGTTTGTTTTATACGATAATCTTTTAGCGATGCGATTGTGTTCTCTTAGCCACAGAGTATGCATTGATAAGAGACCCAACTGTTCATTAGCTCTGACATCTCCGGCCAAAAAGCATCCGAAATCAGATCGTCTCGGATCCTGTTGACAGTCATTGGGAAGTCGGGCCTCATTTGATGGCAAATATTGTTTACCATTTATTATTAAATTTTTCATTAGTCCTAAATCTCTCGGATTTTTATCTCTTAAATGATTAGCGAGACTGGATGTACTGCCATAAACATTGGACGCATCAATAAATGAAGTCAATTGGTTGACCTGTTCGCGTGGCATTAAAGCTCCCATCGCTACAGAAGTTAATCCACTGCCACACGTGGCACTCGACCGAATCAATTCAATACACTTTTGTTGTGGTTTTTGACTAAATCTTTGTCTTTTATTTGTTAAATTTCTTCTAATGTCATCTTTTGGTATTTCAATTGAAAAGCACGGATGGATTGGGGAACAAGTTTTACTACAATCAATGAGTTCTCTACTGAAAGTATTGAAACTAATTGATGGCATTGCAAAGTCAATGTCGTGGTCAATGAATTGTCCGAATTGCATCAACATATGTGAGTGATAGTCATCATCGGTGGTCATTCCTGTACTTAGTATTCGTTGACTAATTAAGCGGGCGTTTGGTTTTCTAAAATCTCCATATTTTTTATCACTAAACCAACCAATAGGTAAATGAATGCCATCTTCATATTGTGGAGGAAGAAGTCGTTGGAAAGGTGTGAGAGATGAGCCCCACATATAGTTATCTAAGTTATTACAAATGCCATTATAAGTGCGATATTTTTTATAAACACAATTTTCGCATATCTTTGAATCAAAAGAATTGTAAAGACGATGACTTATAAGACAACCGGAAAGATGTGCCAAAATATTCAGTTGATTTGGTGTCAAAACATTTTCATATTTGTAATCAATTGATGGCAATAATGTCTTCGCTTCGACTTTTCTTTTGATGATTTCAAGTGTCTTCTCATATATTTCAACAGATTTTGCAAATTCAATGGATTCTGGAGAGAGTGGATATCTTGCGATTGACATTAATTTTGATATTTTCTCATATTTTAAAGTTTTATTTCTAATTGCATTTAATGTCCAATTAATAGCTTGATCTACAATTTCCCTAAAATAATATATATATATATAATTATATATTTATATCATTTTTATATTAGTATAATACTTGGCTTCTTTAAATGACTCATAAATTTCATTGTCATCAATATTAGTGTCATTTAACTGAAGAAGTCCTCCCCTAACCATTATTTTTACTTCTTTGACAGCAATTCCTAAACTATTATTTGCTTTGCATTCATAAATGCCTTCATCTAATGGTTTAATGTGTTTAATAACTAATATTTTATTGTCATATATTATATTCAATTTCTTTTTATGAGTCCATTTGATGTGCGGTTCTGGAAAACCTTTAGCTAAGCATTTCAATTGTATGTCTTCACCCGTTTCCACTTCAATCAATGATTCGGGTGTTTCTATAAAAACTGGGGCAACTTTTTAAACAAAATATTAATAATTATATATATTTATATAAATATGAATATATATTGATTAGACATTATTACCCAAAACATTAACAGAATATACATCAAGAATTTCATTTTGATTATTAACACATTTATATAATGCAGAATCGGTCGGTAATAAATAGTTAATAATTAATGAACCATTTATTGAATATGAAATACGTTGGGATTTAGATAAATCAATTGATACATTGTTTTTAGTCCAAAAAGTGTTTAAATTTTGTGAACAATTAAGTACCAATTGATTTGATAAAATGCCAATTACAACAATAATAGTTTTTTTAGTTTGATTTATAGAAAAATCAATTAATAATTGTTTTGATTTAATTGTGTTGTTATTATTTCTAGTAATACATCTATAGTATCCTTGAGTATTTTTAGATCTATTTCTAATATAAATTAGTGATTTATCATTTGTTATATAATAATTATCATTATGATTGTTGGTTAGATTTATTGGTTTGTTATTGTAAAGCCATTCAATTAAATTTATACCATTATATTTATTATTAGTTTTGCATTTTAAAACAATTGTATTATTTGATAGTTTAGATTCAATTTTTAATTTTAAATTAGTATACAATTCAGACTCTGATTTTTTGCATTGAAACTCATTTTCAGATATTTCAGATACAGATTTATCTCTTAAATGAATCGGTAAATCACACGATGTTTTCAATTGTGATATTTTTGTTGTCTTAAACCAAAAGTGTTTGCAATCACATACTAAACGATTATTCTCTAGACTTAATTCATTCAAATTGTTGTTATTTTTAAATATAATTTCAAATATATAAACAATTTTATTGTTTTGGAGATGTCTAGAGATAATAATGTTAATTATTTTATTATTATATTGTGTTAATAAAACTTACATTTTTTGAATGGATGGCAGATCTGAAAATATTTGATCAGAAAGTGTTTGTATTTTATTATCATTTAAATAGAGTTCCTGTAAATTATGTAAGTTTCTGAAACTATAATCTTCTAAAATTATAATTTCATTATTATTTAAATATCTGTAAAAGAATTTTTTTTATTTTATAAAATATACAACAAATTTAATGAAAAATAAAATTTACAATTGTGTGAGTCGTGCGAGTCCTGCAAACAAACGATTTTGAAGTTTTTCAATTTGGTTATCATTTAAAAACCTATTTATTATTTTAATGATAATAAATTATTTACTCAAAATAATAAGTAATGTAAGTATTAATTAATTTTTAGTAAATTTAACATATAATATAATAAACATACAAAGTGTTTAAAAGTGAAAGATGTCTGAAAGTGTTATCATTTAAATTTATAATTTGATTAAAACTTAAATCCCAAACATTGGTTTGTGCGGCAATAACTGGCACTTTAATTATATTTGTATGACTGCAATTGACCCAGGTGCTCTCACATTTGCAATTTAACACACAAAAAGGTAAACTTGTGTTGATTTGATCAATAGATAACAAACTTATAACTAAAACAATTAACTTATTAGACATTTTCAAATCAATCAAATGTTTTATTGCTTATGAAATATTAGATATCAATTAAATTTGAGAAAAGAGAAAATTTCATTCGATTTATATTTTTTGAAATAAATATGATATGAAAATATATTTTATCTAATTTTTATTATCAATATATAAAGTACAGTATAAAGGAATGAAATAAAATAAAATAAATTTTAACATTTCATAAAATTATATTAATAATGATATTTCAAATATTATAAACCCTATATAATGTATATATAAAATAGTCATTTTATGAATGCTATTTATTAACAACTTAATAATTTTTGAGTAAAAATTTAAAATGTAATCCAAAAGTTATTCTGGCAATGCTAGACTTAATAAATTAATAACTGCACTATGAAACTAATAAAATTAATCTTTAAGTTGACTAAAAATTATTTTTATTAAATAGTATTTTGTTTATTTAAAAACTAAAATAAAATATTTATATTAAATATTATTCAATTTAGATAAAATCAATAGGGATGGTTCACATATTACGTTCGCAGTTGATGGGAGGGGCGGGTTGGACAAAGCGAACAAAGGGAGGGGTAGACTTTAAGAATATTTTATTTCTTAGTGTTGGGGGTGGGGGTGGGTAGCGGATAGAGACATGCGAACGTAATTTTTTTAAATGACTACTTGCGAACATAGGGGAGGGAGGGGTCTACATTTCTTAAAAAGTGCGAACGTAATATGTGAACAGCCCCTAGTTTAATATTTCATATATGATTGCAATTATAAATCATTAATTTATTTATTTCAATTGAAAGTATTAAAATAAAAACTATAAATTTATATTATTTTTATGATTATTTTCAATATTAACCCTTATATGGTGTGAATTATTTATAATAAGATTACCGGTAGTAATAAAAAATAACATTTCAATTTGATTAATCAATTTTATATGATCTATCTTATGATAAGTTTAAAACAATCTAATATTTTAATATTGCATTAAAAAACAAATATAAAAATTATATAATAATAAAATCACAATTAATGAGAAATTTTTATTTAATATATTTGATACTTTATACAAATGGAAGACAATTATCACAATACCTGTAATTTAAATTTTCAAAAAGTTATTAATTGGAGAATAAATAAAAAAAATTAATAATTAAAAATACTTTAGTGATAAGTCCAGCAGCAATGGTAGCACCGGCCGATCTAAGCATAAAGCGTCCCAAATCCTTATAATCTTTATATAGTTCAACACATATAGGTTTTTGAATTTCAATAACGACAACACCACTTGTATTGCCAACTAAACAGCGAGGTTTGGCTTTGACAACCTGACCGGTGCTCTTATGTAATTGAGATATAAGTCTCTTAATAACCGCCTGTTCATTAAGACTCTGACAATGAAGTATAACAGGAAATCCCTTGAAATGCAAATTCAATAAATAATAATCAATTAATTTGAATACATTGTTTCAAAAACATCAATACATACTTTAGTTATTGGTATATCTATGTTATTAAAAATAACAATTTTAGCCTCAAATTTAGTAGTAACCGGAGCGGGATTTAACAAATCACAAACAAGATTTCCCACAGAAATATTGTTTGGATCACAACCTAGAAGTGTAAGAATAGCATAATCGCCAACAAATGCTGTGTTAACTGAAGTATCACTAACAGAGATGGCTATCAATAAAATGAGAAAATAAACATCAATAGCTTAAATTGTATTGTAATTTAATATAAATTGATTAATACATTTGACGACGCATTGCTCTCCTGCGGGCAAAATAATAATTTTTTGGCCGACAATGACAGCACCGGCTTCTATACGACCACTTATGCAAAATCCAGAAGTAAGTCCTTTAAAAACATCGTTAAGACTCATTCGGAAAGGCTTTGAAATGGGACGGTCGGGTGGCTTAAAGTTATCTAAATTTATACAAATTATTAATAACCGTTACTGTAATTACTGTAAATTGTGAACAAATTAATTAAATACCAATTATATCAACGAGAGTGTGACCTGAATACCATAAGTTTAACTCTTCTATAGTAGACTTTTTTACTAAGTTTTCACCCGTGAGTCCACTGCACGGAACAAAAGTCACATCCTGTTCCTTAAATCCAATTTGTTTTAGAAATGCACTTAATTTAGATATAATTTCATTATAACGGTTTTGACTCCAATTGACATTTTCAAGTTTATTGACCACAACTCCCAATTGGGAAATACCTAAAGACCTAATCAATAAAGTATGTTCACGAGTCTGACCGCCCAACTCAAAGCCGGTCTCAAATTCTCCTTTCGTGGCGTCGACAACAAGTAGAGCGACATCAGCCTGTGTGGCACCAGTTATCATATTTGGTATAAAGTCTTTGTGTCCCGGAGCATCCAATAATGTCACCAATTTGTGGTCCGTTTCAAATCGTGATTCTGCAATATCCATAGTAATGCCTCGACTTCTTTCTTCTTGGGTTTCATCCAAAACCCAAGCGTAAAGAAACGAATTTTTTCCCATTTTTTTAGAATCCGTTTCATACCTATGAATCATTTTTTTAGACACAAATCCAAGAAGAACTAAAAGATGTCCCATAAGAGTACTTTTGCCGGCGTCCACGTGTCCTATCACTACTAAATTTATATTAGGTTTTCCTTCCTTTCTATTCTTGTTATACTCTAAAACAGCTGTTTCTGGATTTAATGCTTTTGATTGATTTGATTTCGGAGTTTTTACTTCCGAATTCTTCTCGTGATTCGGTGAAGACATTCTCGAACCGGTTCTACTCGCGACAGGACTATTAGGTGTCGATAATTGGCTTAAATTATTCGTTTCTAATCTCGATTTATCCAAATCTTTGCGCACAGGACTCGAAAATCTATTCATTTACCAATAATTAAAAATAATTTTAATAATTAAACCAAATATTAGTGTTTTCAAACATACGTTTTGAAATAGTCGTCAGATTTATTTGTTAACAATTTCTGAATTCCTGTATTTATTTTTTCCACTTCTTTATCACATTGATCAGTATTTTCTGAAGATTGTGCTAAAATAAGATCAAATCAAATGAATATTAGTTTAAATTTGTAATTTTATTAAATACATTAATGAAAACCTCTATTTCCTGGTTTGAGTTCATTATTTGACTTATTTTTGGACTCATTTTCAAAACTAAATACTTTAATATCATTTCTATTAAAGTACTCAACCATTGATTGTTTTATATCACAAATACGATTACGATTTGATTCACACTTTAATTTGCATTTTGCGGTAAGGCTTACAAATAAAGGGGAACTACTCTTTGTATTATCGGTTTGACAATCAGTACAATGGTTTTCAGTGATAACTAATTTATTACTCATTTGATTTTCGTTTACTTCATTCACTCGTTGCTTACCTAATATTAATAGAAATCGTTTCAAATTACCGGTAATACTAATAAAAGTTAACAATGTTTTAAATCATAAAAATTATTATATTGATATATAGTTAATAAATTTAATTAATTAATAAGCTTCAGTTAATCTTAATTAATTGGGTTAATAAATATAATACAGTAATTACCTAAATTACTGGCATGTTTTTAAGGTAATATACATTATGTGAATAATATTAAAATTGAATTCGTAAAGTATGTAATATATTATTTACAATAATTAGTTTTATATACTGTATTAATATCAATATATATGGTATTGTATACACTTTTTATATATTGATGTATTTAAATAAATATTAGCAAGGGTCATTAAATATACTTGACTTATACAATAAATATACTGTACTTTGTTGCTAATATAGTAGAGTACTATTAAAAACTATTATATTTATGACTAAATTTAATTTAAAATGTTTGATATAAATTAAATGACAAAATAAGTGTGAATGGTTTTTGGGTATTACTGTATTATTTAATTGTGACTATAGTTTTTTGCAAATTATACCATTAATTTTATTTTTATTATTAAATATATACATTAAAGATACAAATAATTTTATTTTATTTAAATAATATAATTTAAAATATATGATATAATGACGTGGAGTTTTTTTAATTATAACTTATTTTTGTTTTTTAATTTTTATTATTATTTATATTAGCTTTTTATATGTATCTCATTAAACATTAGACAAAACAATATTCATTATATAAATACCTTTATTTGTGGTCACTTGTTGTGGTTGAAGTGATGTCTCCATATGATTGGTGTGTGAGTTGAGGACTGAATCCAATGCCAATTTCATGTCATAATCATATCTTTTGGCGGCCTTTATAAGCAAACTCTGATGTATTGTATCCCCGACAACATTCTCCATTTCTTCGACACATGAAATCAGTTTAGCTGTCATTTTAAGATAATTTATAATTATCACCAAAAGTTTAATAAATTGAATAATATGTAAACCTCTTTCTATAGGATCCATATTTATTGTCTCATTTCGGTAATAATTGAGATCTTCATTGAAGTCCATGTCTTCATCTTCTTCATCAACCGTTATATTTCTGACACCGAGAGAGTCATTACGTCTATCAGAGATACTTCTACTTCGGGATCGGTTATACATAAACTGTTGCTCTGTTTGTCAATAAAATTAATACTAATTTATTGCAATATACTTAACAAACCAGTTGTCGGTGATATACAGAGTCCTGTGTCTTCATAAGACTGTCCATAAGATCCACTGTAGACATCGTCATACTCTTGATGGTGGTATCAATTAAATTATATAATGATATATATATATATAAAATTACAAAGTATTACCTTGGTCATAATTCAATGACCGTATATTTCGATGTCGAGACATATCGTCAATCAATTAAATCATTTTAAATATGTTTATAAACATTATATAAATTTATTAGTTATTAATTAATACATAAATGTGTTGTCATTTAATTGAATGCATTCATTGTATTATATGTTTTGATTGTCAACAATAAGACTTGACTACAATTTGACCGTTAGATGGCATACAATCAATCAATCATTCATTCATATTATGTTATCATTGATATTAATACTGTATTGTATAGGCTATAGCACCGGCACTTGCATTACAGTATTAATACAGTAGTATTGCATAAATTGTTATCTAATGTTTTAAATGTAGTGAATCTCATAAAATAATATACATATGTATTAACCCAATATTGAATTTAACAAATTGTTATTATACTATAAATTATGTTTTAAGCAATTAATTGAAATTTAATTCAAATAACATTTATTCTGCATATTATATAATAATTGATTTGAAAAGTGATTGTATTTAATAACAAAAGTTTGTTAGAATTAATATAACAGTAAATATCATTAACTAATAATTTATTTGAATAAATGGCATCAAAAATGATAACTTTGGTCACAGGAAATGAAAACAAATTACAAGAAATAGTAAAAATAATGGGAAATTCACTACCATTTAAGGTATCAGTTATTGATGTGTTGATTCAGCAAATGATTATTTATTATTAAATGATAAATAAAGTTAGTTTCACAAGACTTGGATTTACCGGAATATCAGGGAGAGGAACGGTATATCATTGAAAGCAAATGCAAAGCAGCTTTAGATACAATCAATGGTCCGGTCATTGTTGAAGACACCTCTCTTTGGTTAGTTATATCTCATGTAACGACTATATGACTAATAATTGAATCAAATGATAGTTTCAATGCAATGGGAGGACTTCCCGGTCCTTATATTAAATGGTTTCTCAAAGAGTTGGGACCCAATGGGTTGTATCGTATGTTAAGCGGTTGGACCGACAAGAGTGCTAAAGCTGTTTGTTCTGTGGCTTATAGTGACGGTCGAGATATTCATGTATTTAGAGGTGTAGTCGACGGAAACATAGTAGACCCGAGAGGACCAACCGATTTTGGTTGGGATCCATGTTTTCAACCATTAGGTTATACCCAAACTTACGCACAGATGGATAAAACTCTTAAAAATCAAATTTCTCACCGATTTTTAGCATTTAATTATTTAAAACAATATTTGTTGAATCAATACGCTTCCGATAATTAGATTCATTAATTAGTAAAATATGGGATTAATTATAAACACTATATTATATACCGTATAAAAGTTGTGGTAATTGTATTATAGGATTCACTGACAAATTTCTAAATAAAACTCGACATTCATATAAAATTTTCATCAAAAACAATGAATACTTGTTTATAATTTAAATACAAATTTAAATATATTTTCGCCAATACTGAATTGTCCAGGATAATTTTGATAAACATTTATGTATGTATGTATAATACAGTATATAATTTAAATTACATGATTATTACAAATTAATAGAAAACTATAATACATTGACTGATGTAATGATTTGTTACTTTACTAATGTAAAGCATCGACATGTCGTCAATATTGGAATTAACAGTGTCTTAAACAGTGGCGATGCTATTAATTTGAATTATCTGGTCAATAATAAGTTTGATTTAAAAGTGACCAAGGGCAATGTTGTAGATAATTTTAAACTAAATAAGATTGTAATTGGTCATTTTTTTAATTAATTGTATGATTGGCCAGATAATTGCCGTCGACTATAATTTTTACAATTTTTAAACAGTCGGCTGTATATTATCTGACCAAACATCCAATAAATCAAAATCAAACGTATTGTTGAACAGATAATTGAATAGCATTTGTTTGCCGCTGTTTCTCTCTCTCTCTCTCTCTCTCTCTCTATATATATATATATATATATATATATATATATATATATATATATAATTAACATCAAATAATGTATAATAACTTGAGATTCTAAGCATAGCATTGCCAGACTATATACATACTATACATACAGACTATATGTGTATAATGAACACATTGTTAATAAATACATTGTTTAGATCTTCAAAGTATATGAGACACAAATAGGACTATTAGGTTCAAGTAGAGGGTGTGGCCCATAATGGGTGAGGGGGTCGTAGCAAATGGTTTATTGTAATATAAAATTCTACAATCATATAACATAAATAGAAATTTGTCTAAATTTTGATCACCATTTTGTCCACATTTTCATTAAGAAATAATTGGTTGGTTTTACACTACTTTTTAAAATTTTTGACTAAATATCCGGTTTTTATTTGTAAATTACAGATAAATCGGATAGAAATAACAAATTCAAATACCATATACTTTCAGCATTTGGTGAAAATAAGTTGATTTGATTACTCAAGTAATGCTAATTATAAATAATTATCAAACAAAACAAAAAGTTAGAATTTAATAAAATTTTATTTATTTAACATTACAGTCAATAAATATTACAATATTTTGTATAAAACATTTATATTAATTGAAAGCACAATTATGTTGTATTATAACATGATATTCGTATATAAAGATAAAATCAATTGAAATCAATGATTATTTGTGCTCATGTTTTGTTGATTATCCCTTAATCCCAGTGATGAGCAAAGACAAAACCTTTTGCTTAACATATAATACAGTAATTATATGTTAATATAAAGATATGCTTTACATTTATATAACATAACACTTATACATTTGCTTATAAATTTGGTAACAAATGATTATATCTCAAAAAGGTCTTCCATAACGTTAGCAATACTTGAAATTTATAATATAATTCAATTAATTGCAAACATATATAATATATCAAATAATCAATGACTGGTGACCCCAGAGAAAAGAGTAACAGTTGATACACTGTATTATAGTTAATATGATCCGTAAAAAAATGTATTATAAAACTAATTTAAATCGAGTCAACAATTGATCTCTTGGTTTGCTGTGAACCCATGAACCCAGAGATCATATTTATGTTATTATATTAAATAAAAAATATAAAGAGCAAAATATCTATAAAATAATTCATATTACCCCAACTTGTTATCACAAATATATTAAATTAAATCTTAATTTAAATTAAAAGAAAAGCCCGACTCTGTGGAAGACTAATAAAAAATAATTAAATAAAAATACAAAAATTATAATACGATAAAATTGAATCAAATCACAGATGAATTGCTTTTTAAATGACATTTCAATATTTTATGTATTCATTGATATATGAACTCATCCAAGAGTCATACGATTCAACACTTTTTGATATAAAAATGATATTAATTCACAAAAATAGGAATGAATTGAAATTTAGTTGAATCCCAGTTTTGAGTGACTTATATATCAAATGATTGCACCGACAAATTGCAGCAAATGTTATTCAATTGATTAGCTTTTGGCACATCAACCAAAATATTAAATAATAACTTTTTAAATATTTTAAGTGTATTATGAACTGGGATTCACTTATTATTATTCATTATTACCGCATCTTTATTCACGTCTTGGGCGACGTTTTCTGCTCTGAACTGATTTAAACTCTTCTTCTTCTTGTGGAGGTTTCACTTCTGTATGAAAAATAAATCTTTTATAACAAATATAACTATAGATAATGACATTTAATTACCATCAGTGATGTCTAATAAATTAATAGCATTTAACTTATTGGTTGTTTCAACAGATTTTGAATCATTGATTTCTAATGATTTGTTTGTATCTATCGATTCACTGTTTGTTTGATTGTTGTTTTGAATTTTCTTTTTCTTGTTGTCCTTCTTTTTCTTATTATTGGCACTACTATTAGAGTCGGGTCTGTTCTGATCATTTGATTCATAGTTGGCCACAATAGCAGCGGTTAGTTTATCGCTTACATCCAAATTAGTTTTAGTCTCACTTGCAATCGATAGTTCGGTCTTAGTTATGGAATCAGATTCCGATCGCTTTTGATTTCTTTTTTGCCATTTCTTGCAACCTCTTTGTTCTTTAGCCATTTCATAACTATCGGGAACTTCGGATGCGATAACCTCATCGTTTACTTCATTTTCGGTATTAATTATTTCTTCAATTGTTTTCTTTTCTTCATTTATTACATTCTTTTCCTTGACTTTTGAATCCAACTCTACATTAGAGTTTAAATCAACCTTTTTATTGATTTTATTGTCTTTGTTTTTCTTATTTTCTTTAATCGGACTCTTTTCGGGCGATTTGTTTGTTTTCTTACTCTTTTTGATAGTCTCTTGAGTATCAGTCAACAGCTGTTCTTCCTTTTGTTTACGTTGTTTGCGCTCTTTCTTTGAGACCAATTCAACCCATTCTCCTGCATTTTTGTCTTCAATGTCTTCTTTGTCCACCGATTTATTTTTTATTACTTTCTTTACATTACTTTTGCTAACATTATTGATCTGTTTTTGTGTACTTTTCGATGTAATTGTCTGATCGGAAACTGATTTGGACTTTTGAGTCTTTTTGTCATTGCTTTTGTTCAATCCATCGTTTATGTGTCCATTCGGTTCATTCTTTGTATTTGTTGTCTGAATATAAATGAAGAAAAAACAAATGGTATTAAATCAATGAATAACTATTTCATGTTATTTAAAAACCTTTTGTATATTTGGTTTCTTCTTTTTAATGGTCTGTTCTTGGAATTTATGATTCTTGTTATGTCTATCATTGAGAGCATTAAATACTTCATCTGAAGGTTGTGTCGATGACTTGAATCCAAAAGCAAATACAAGAAATGCTGTGAAGAGGACGCCGACAATTGGCAACAAATACAATGGATTATAGAGTTCGGCCACAAGAGACAGATCCGATGGTAAAGACATCATTGGCTGACAGCTATTTCGTGTCCAACGCTAACATTCATCAAATTAAAGCAATTCAAGTGGTTTTATAATCACTGTTTGTGTCCCACCTGAAGATCAAACACTAAATGTGTGGTTAAATGACTATCGATTCAAACATAAGTCAAACCATCAATACATTCAACAATCAAATGATTTAAAGCACACGTAGACTATAATCATATACTTTAATATCAATATATTCACAACAATTACGTTATAATGTATTACATAATTAATACCACTTATTAAGACAGTATATTAAAGTTATACCACAATTATTGTCAATCATTACCAATTGATCCAATTGATCCAATTAAGTCAATTGAACCAATTAGTTGATTATCACCATAAGATCGATATATTGACAAATCATCTAATATTTGAAACACGTTTTGATAATTTTGAAATTATTAAATATATTTAAATGAATGCCTTTTCTTTCCTATATTCTTATCTATAAAAATAAAAAATTACAAAAACTGGTCTCAATTGAGTGCAAATTATACTTTCAAAGAGTTATCAACTAATTTAACGTACAATTGCTTCGAGATATAAATAAATCAAATATTTTAAATGATCTAGATTCATTTTTTAATTATTATTATTATTAAATTTATTTGTTTGTCACCTAAATTTTCTATTTTAGTTATACTAATAATAAAAAACAATATTATAATTTTACCATTTTTTGTAATTTCTGTTCATAATTTATATTACTAATATTATTTTATTTATTTTTTTAATTTTATTTTATTTACTTTAATTTCTAGTTTAAATTCAAATATACATTTATATAAATTTTATATAGAGTATTCAATTTTATCTATTTATAATATTGAATAAAATCTTATTGATACAACTAGTAATATAAAATTCACATAACTTTTAATCAAACTTAATTTACACTAATTTTAATTAAGCATATTATGAATACTATATATTATTAACTAATCATAACTATATTATTAACTAATCATAACTATATTATTAACTAACCATAACTATATTATTAACTAATCATAACTATATTATTAACTAACCATAACTATATTATTAACTAACCATAACTATATTCGGAAAAAGTATGTATTCTTAGAAAAAGTAGTGATATATAGAGTGATAATTGTTTAATTAATCAAGGATATTTTTAAAATGTGGTGAAAAATGTCCAAAATATTACAAATATTATCATTTAGTACAGTATGTTATCATTAAACAGGTAAAGGTTGTAGTAATTATAAGTGTGTGACAAATCCTTGTTTGCAAAAAATTAATTATATTTTTTTAAATTGAAAACTTTTTGATAAGTAAATTCTATTAAATATCGCAAATAAATAGAATATTATATATATATAATATTTCACATATAATAGTATACTTCTATACTTTTTTAAATAAATATTAAAATAGTATTATTATATTATACTTGTTTTGATTAATTGGTAAAAATATTTTAAAACACAATATGTCACAAAATAAGTCATTTTGATATTTCATTTATCTTAACATTAGTTCAATCATTAACTAATCGAAAGTTATAATAAAACATAAAATAAATGTAAAATAATATACAGTATATAATATTCTTACAAATGATACCGTAATATACAATGTATTAAATAAAATGATGACAAAGTCATTGAATAAAAATATCAGGTTATCTAAAGTCGGATAATCGTTGTATTGCATAATCAGTCCTCGATTTTCAATGAGATTATTGAAAATATTGAAGTTAATAATGAAAGTCAAATCTAATACAATGTTTGTTATTTTTGTTTATATTTAGATATTTAGACAAAATGTATATAAAGTATATTCATTACATTTGATAGCATTGGCAACAACTATAGCGATAATACATATGTATAGTAGAGTTTACAATCCAATGAAAGACTGCTTTGCTTTGAGTTTATTTTGGGTCAAAAAAATTTTGGAAACTTTAAGAGATTTGATACACAGTATTGTCATTATTGTTAGGTTATTAGCCCAACACTGGTATTAATAGTAACGTCTTCCTCAACACTCCACAGTTATCCAAATATTCTCCCTTTCCTTTACATCGCAATGATCTTTATGTCAAAAGATATGTATAAAAATATAACATTAACTGTAAATGTAATAATCTTTTTAAATGTTAACGAATCCAAGTCAGTCATCTAAACATAAAATAAAACTAAAAATTAATTTTATCTCATTTTATTTACATTTATTCAATTACTCTAAATTTTATATATAGTCTAACAAAAATGACAGTATGTGTTGTACTGTATAATATTATAATTGTTTAATAATCTATGAATTAATTATAATAATTTTTAATATAATAAAGTTATGAATGTTATTATAATATCATATTATACTAAACTATTAATATTAAACATTAAAAAAAACCACTTTTCATAACTCATGTCAATTTTATAAGAGTCGATAACTGGCATAATGTCTGACTGACTAATTCACTTGACTAATACACTAACCAATCGACTGGCTTAAGTAGAAAAGATAGTCAATAAAAACAATACCTTTAAAATAGTAATCAGTAGTGTCTCATCAAGTGGTCAATTGGTGTAACCAAAACTGTATTTGTCATAAAAACTATAATATATCAATAATTATATTCAATTAGTTATATCAGTAAAATTAAGTTTATGTTTTTTTAGATCTATTAAACACAATCAAATTCTAAACATTTTCATATTATTAATTGGCATTAATATTGCATATGAAATAAGTATTGTATATGAATTTTAATGTTTTTCAATATTTATTTAATTTAATTATGATAAGTTATAGTTGTAGGTAAAACTCATTTTATCATAAATTAGATTATATACTATTTAAGAATGAAATATATTATTATTTAACGTAAATTATAGTTTATATTTCAATTGTTACACTTAAATGGAGAAACCCTTTTTTATTTAAAATGAGTTAAAAGTGTATTTATAACATTGTATTTAATTTATAAAAATATACTGATTAACATTATATAAAATTACATTATAATGTATAACATTGTATTGTAGAATGAGTTTATTGATGTATATATTGAAAATTAAAATATATAATATGATAAATGTTTTGACAATACGATATATTTTTATATTAATATATATTCTATAAATTATATTAATATTTATATAATAATAGAATATTAATTTAAAAAAATATTTTTATAAGATTAGTTATTCAATATATTGAAACAAAAGGCAAATTCACGCACAAAATGGGTCATAATATGTATACATTTATCGTATAGTATATGATTTGTATACAGTATTGAAATATAATGTGTATATATTTAGTTAATAAAGAATATAATACTATTTGATAATGTATTTGTCGGCCGATAACCACAATGGCCACATGACATGACTATACATACATATAAATATAGTATAATAATCTATATATAAATATAAATTTGTCATTTCTATCATATTTTTGACGCCACTCTGTCATCAATTTTGAACACTAAATGACAGTCAAATATAACGATTGTATTTATAATATTAAAGAAAATATAAAGTATATCGTAATGTACAGTAAAATTCTATTTATGCAAATAAAGCAATGATTTTGCAATTTTCATCTAAATTACAAATATTTAAGGGAATCACTATTATATGACATTTTAAACTTCAATTTGTTTGTAATGATTGTAGAGAAAAGTCTGTCTCCTATAACATCAAATTGATATGACATAACCTAAGGACTATAAGTATAATAAAAATTATTTTCTTATCTATAAAATATATACTAAAGTTCTTATTATTGTTAAATACAGTATTATGATATGAAAACCAAACAAATTGAAAGTAAAACTTTTATTATACTTTTTGTTTTCACAATCATATTATTTTATTAAAGCACTCTATTTGCCATTTATGCTCATCTCTTATATAATTTGATAACAAATTGATAACATTAACACTCTTACAATTTCATATCAAAAATCACATGAAATAAATGCTATCGCTTTCTAGTTTATAGATACAATATATTTTAAAAGTTTGTTTGTTTTAATTATATTTGTTTTTTTATAAAAAAATTGTGTCACTAAATATAACGTACAGTATATACAAAACATCTTAATAATAATTTATTTCATTAATTGATCCAGTTTTTCGCACTATTATAATTTAAGGAAAATTATATTTAATGATTAATAAATTTTTTAAAATGTGAATACTTTATTAATTTTATTTAAAAAAAAGTCAAATTATAATATTTTATATTTTTAGTTAAAAGTAGTATTTTTAAGAATTAGAAAAGTAATGAAAATTGTAAATATGAGAAAATATCGGAAAATGATATTAAATTTCATGGTATGGTAACTGTTAAAACAATTTTGTTTATGTTTGCATTTATATTAAATATTGAAAATCTCACACCAAATGAGTGAATTATGTAAAACTTTTGAAAAGCAATTAATTAATTAAAACTTAATTGAATTGAGAGTATTGTCAGTGCTGTGTGTGTGAGAGTGCGCTATATTGGTAGCAATGAGAGAGCCGTTTAGTGTTTGAGAGTCAGTGTGTTGTGTTGTGTTAGTACTCTAGTGTTCATACAATCAAACAGTCATACAAATACATACAGTAATATTGTATATATTGAGAGCCACGTGTATTGTATATGCATTTAGCTGTCAATCGACTCTCACTGAAAGCTGTGGTCAAAGTTACTAACTTTTCAAACGCCAAAATGTTGTCTTATTTTTGTTTTTAGTCTATTTAAAAAAAATTACAAATGTATAGAAATTATGTTTTTTAAATAATTTGATATTTATGTGAATTTATACACTTTTAAAAATCAATTCACTTATTGTCCAAAATATTGAAAGTATTGACAGCTTCTAAAAGTAAAGCAAAGATAAAGACAGTGTTTGCTTAAACATTGTGGACTTATTTGCTGTTTTCATATCAAAGTAACTCAATTTATGGTGCAATCATGAAATCAAAAAGAGGTATTTATTAGTTATTATTAATTATATTTTCATTATATTTTTATTAATTATATAAATTACATTAATGTTATTAATATTTAAATAACTGTCACAAATATTAAACAAGTCAACAGTCTTATAACTTATAGGTTATAATCTTGTTATCACTGAAAATATAAATACACTAATGATAAACTTTATATCACATATAAACTTTAATTAACTTAATATTTTAATGTATCAAAATAAATATTTAATCTGTGTTTTGTTATTTAATGAGTTATTGTTAAAATTAACACATTTTTATATAATTTGAGTCAATTTGAAGATTTTCTTCAAAACTATATGAATTCATACATCAGTCAAATATATGTTAATTGAATGAATTTGTGTGAATCAAATAAATAAGTGAAATATGATCTCATTTACAGTTTAATTACTTATTAACAGTTATTGACGTATTTTTCACTTTTGATTAATTTAATTATACATTATGTATTTATTTGTCATTTTTGCGAGTTTGTGATAAAATACAAAATAATTAATTTTAAATTGTTGTATAATTATAATATGATTAAGTTTAAATAATTTTAATAAATTATTACTAATACTTAATACTATTGAAAACTATAGTACTAAAAGCAAAAGACAGTTATAAAGAAAACTACGGTTTTTGACATTAATTGCATTGAAGTTGTAATGCAACCAAAGTTAGTATATTTATTGTAAGATTTTTATTAATTAGTACAGTATAAGCAATTGTTGGCTAATATGATGACATTTCACTATATTTATATGAACTAACTTTTTTTGCTGATAACAAAAACAATATATAAAAAAGATATTTAATAACAATATTTGATATAAAATTAACTATAATTTACAATATTAAATATAATAATAATAAAAGAGTAAAAATTATGAAAGCATTTGTGTAAAGCAATCAATTGGGAACTGTTGTCAACTGTTGTCTTGAATATTGTTTATCAGCCATTCCTATATAATAGGCTTAGATTAGGGCTAATTGTCAGGTGTTTTCTTTGTATTATTGCTTCAATTTTTAAATAAATAGCAATTTAGTTCATCATTGAAATAGACAAATGACATGATATATAAAATATTATGCTTTTTGACTCTTATTATTTGATGGCTACACCTGCCATCCCATCCCTATGCAGCCAATGGTTCATACAGTAACAGCTAATACTACATAAACTATATATTCTTGTATTTCTTGTTCCTGTTGTGTCTTTAGCTGACACACTATAGTCTGAGCACCTGGTTTTGGTTTTGGTTTTTTTAGTACAACCTTCCCTTTATTAATACATCGACTCACCGTTTAATACACTTTTAATATGGTTTAGTCTAAATCATTGACACAATCATACTTTATAATTATTATCATAATCACAATAATATAATATACAAACAAACTTACAATACATATATCTTTATCATACTTTGCTTCAACTTTTTTCCCGTTCTTTAAAAATTAATCTTTTGCTTTAAATTTTTTCATAAATATTATAATTATTTTTTATTATTTATTTATATTAAATTAATAGTTTGCAAACAAATATAAACCTTAAAATTACTTATCAAAATATTTTTTATACAATTATCAAGGAGTACAGTAAATTTTATTTTAAAGTTTTGCGAGAAAATTAATAAATTTAAGTTATAAACTATTCATTTATTATTTAACTATTTATAAGTACAATATTTATTTCAGAAAAAAATATTTGGTTGTTAACTACAGATTGATTTGTTATATTCTTTAATAATTTTCATAAATATTAAGTCAATTTAGTAAAATATTTTTATTTTTAAAGTAATTAAATTAAGTATTATAATAATTTAATATATCCATAGATGTAATGATCTAATTATTTAATTTGTTTAAAAACTAAGAATTACTTCCGAAACATATTTTATAATTTGTAAACAAATATTTATTTATTATTAATATATTTTGATTTTATGTACATATTTTGTTTTTTATTATAAATATATAACATAGATATTTATTTTGAATATAAATGTTACTTTTTTTGTTATTGTTATTGATCTTATTAGATATAATATATATAATTAACTTTTGTTTGATTTTCAATCAGGAAGAGTTATATTAATATATAATAAATACATTTACCGTTTATTTCATAAATAGTGTAAATACAGTATTATAAGTATAGTTGTGTCGACTGATTGGCTTATAGTCTATGAGATCAAAGTCTAAGACAATGAAGTGATAGCTTTGAAGACAAGGACTCGACTCGGACTTTGACATAACATTTAATCGACAGTTAATTTGTGTTTAAAACTTTCTCTTTTTTATATATAATTATTAATTGCAATGGTTTTGTTAGGTATATACAGTATATAATGTATTTATTATATAGTCCTTCAATATCTACAGATTTTGCTGTCATCTCATTGCAGATGATATCTAATGTTCTGTTTTAACGGCAACTGTTCTCAAGGATATGACATACACTGCAATAATACCATATATTACAGAAAAGTGGAAAACTATTAACATTATAACAGTACATATTATACAAAGTATATCTATCTGTTTGGTTTGGTTTTAATTATCACAACTATTCCTATCATTCAACAACGATATCTATAATTTTAAAATTGGTGCCAAAATTCATTAAATTGAATTATTTATTTTGTCATTTATAAGCTTTTAGTTGCCTCAAGCTTTTCAATATAATATTTATAGTTTTTACTTATTATGTGTTTCCGATTAAATTACAGAAGATATAAACTATGTTTTATAAATAGATAACTAAAGAGTAATTAACTAATAGTATACCTGATATCACACGTTTACCTTTAACTAAAACAATTATATTTATTAAATTTAAAATTAACATTTTTTGTTTTATTAAGAATTAAGAAAATAATTTTTAAAAAATAATTTCAGTAAACATTGTATATTTAATAGGATTTTTATTAGTTGTGATAATTAGTTAATATTGTAAATATTTATGAATTAATAGTGAAATGTTTGCTTTGGGTATCAATTATATTATATAATATAAAATAATAATTGAATGCATGGTATGGTATTGACTAGAAATGAGTTGAATTGACGATTACTAGTGACCCACTTTAGTGAGCACTTGGATATGAAACTTAAGAGAACCCGTTGTCGATGTTGTTGTTGCTGTAGTTGTTGAGCACATAAATTGTGAACTGTATTTAGGTCTTAGTTTGGACCTCACCTTCACCTGAGATGACTGACTTTTGGACAGACAAGAGGGCAATAACTTTCTCTAAATGCTATAATATAGTGAAATGAGCTAAATATATATATATATATMTRTACTGTACTGTATATATTGTATTGATGTTACTAAGGGTGCAATTCTAGTCTCATATAAACTTTTGGTATATTTCAATAAAAATATCTTAAACACTGGTTTGGTATGAGTTTCCCAATGAATGCCCTAAACATTGCTTACAGTGCTGTTGGCTCTCAATCACTACTGTCTGAAGATTGTTCTTAGAATATAACATTTGTTAGTCTATAATACAATATATATATATACGGAATGCCTATAAATAAATTAATAAATGAATGAATGCAACGACTGATGACTGCAAATGCCAAACACTGTGAGACTATTTAAATAACTTAAAAACGACTACAAAAACGACTGTCATCTCTAAAAAGTGTAGTCAAGTGTATTCTGTGTGCAAATATATCAAATGTTTCAAAATCTTTAGTAATATATAAAATGTTTCTATTTATATACAATGGCTCTCATGTGAGATCAAGAATTTGTATGATTTAATAAATTAATGCAAACACACAGTTATTAAATGATTACAAAATACACATATATTCAGTGCACATATTCAACGAGACCATGGAATTGATTGCTAACATGTATATTATATATGTATATTATATATATATATATATATATTTACTGTATATTTATATAAATAATTTATATATGTTTTATATATTGTATATAACTGTGATTTTTGGTTGATTTCAAGTGACTTAAAATTGCCAAAAGGGTTTATTAAGAAACTCGTAAACCTTATCGTTTGATTTAAAATATTAATATAAATGTAAAATTAACGAATTGTATAGATATTAAAATTTGTTAGTTTTGAAGGTAAACCCTATTTAGTGAAGAAAAAAGAAGTGGTGAAGACCTTCGAGAAAGTATTTTTCAAAAGTCGCAAATTGTGTTATCTTTTGAAATATCCGCAAATAATGTAAAATATTTGTTTGAAAACTAATAATGAGTTTATGATATTTTGGCACTCATTGACTCTCTTTCCTCACTTAACTTTTGGCTAATATATAGCAAACCTCTGGGTTTTTGTCGATTTTCCTCATTTACTCGAAACACTAGAATATATATAATAGTGGCGTAACTGTCAGCCAATATTGACAATCCATTGCTTACAGAGCTTAGCATACAATCCAAGGGCATTCTCACTGTTTTAAAGCCATTACAGCGCTGTCCCCCTATCTCTATGGCACTGATATCTGTTAAAAGCAAATGTGTTTCATTTCCATATAGGTTTCCTGCACTTTGTCGACCCACATCATCAGCACAGGCATACAATTATGTAGTATAACTCATTGCCAGACCCAATGGCTACAGTTCCAGTGCCTCCCGATCCTGTGCCTCATGACCTTTCAATATTAGACGCTTTCATTAGTTATGACTGTTTTATTATAGCCGCCAATGAATATATTGAATACATTTATAGTGTTTTGGTCTCATGACAGACAAGTCATGCTTTTGATGAAAACATTTGAATACACTATTAGCTAATAGTTTGCCATTTCATCCACTTATCGATAATAGCATACAAACACTGCCTTTCAATGCATCATTATATTTCAATTTACTTTAATAATAATAATATCTTATAAATGTTTACAATTTTTAAATATAATACTTATAGTGATTACTATATAATTTGTCTGTCATTAAATTTTTATCAATTGATTATACAATTTTGAGTATATAGTGGTTAACGGTATGATCTGACCTGTTGACCACCATCTGCTTTGTCTAAATGATTGACATTTATTGTATTAATGTATATTTAATAAGTTATTTGTTAAACGCAATACAATTTTTATAATTTAGATGAATTAAAATACAGTTAAATAGAAATTCTTTTATTTTTTTATTTTGGAATACAATATATTATGATTTTATATAAGTTTAGTATTTATAATAAAGTTTTTAAAATTTCAATAATTGTTGCCAATTATGTTGATTTGATTTTCCTCTTATTATTCGTTTTTTATTTTATTTTTTCGAATAATCATTTAGTACAAATTTGTTATTAATTTTAAATAAAAAATTATCGATAATTTCACATTTCTCATTTATATTTGAGTTGTTTAAAATAGTTATTTTATATTTAATTGATATTTTTATTTAAAATAGTATGATACTAGTATGATGATATAGAACCCAGACATATGACTTAAAATTTTTAAATATATTAAAGTAATTGGAGTTATTTAAACAAATTATTTAATAACAAAAAAAGTTGTTGTCAGTAATTTGATATTTCTTTTAAAAAATAGCTTTTAAAAATAATTTTATTTATAATTAATTTGTAAAAAATAAATTATTAACACATTTTAAAATATATTTATAATTCTAATATATCGTTGAAAAACAAAATACAAATCTAATTTCTATTTTTGAAGAATTCCAAAAAATATTTATCAATTATTATTTGTTAAGACATGTATTGATTTTATGTTAGTTAGTCTACTCTTAATTCATAATTGTTTTGATTGAAACATATTTTGATATTAATTTTTAATTTTATAATATATAGATTTAATCACAATATAATTAATTTACATACAATATCTTTGATAATTTGTTTGAATACCCCTTTGGTTATACCTTATAAACCTTGCAAATGACAGTTATGTTTAACATGTCATCCAAGGAAAGTAAAACTCGGATTATTTATTGCATATAATTTCATACAATTTCATAGAATTGCAATAAATAACAAATCAAAAACATGAAGGTTTTATTTTGTTGTTATATACCTATTAATAAAATTAACAATTAACAAATACTTCAAATGTTTTCCTATATGTGATAATATTTGATGTTTTGATAGCTTATGTTTATTATATAAGTGAATAAAAAAGCGAAATAGAGATGAAAGAAATATAAAGTTAGCTATAGTTGTGATCTGAGTCTAAAAGCGGAAGTCAAACTCAATTTGGTTAACACAACACTAAATAGATATGCTTTTAACGACTATTTTTAAACTAATGTCTTAAATCTATTAAACAATAAGCTATAAAAGTGACTGTTTAGTAATGATTCATTGATTCATCAAAATTCATTGAACGGTTAATTATTGGATGAATGACACAACTTTTATCTAAACTCTAATTTTATTTAAATTATTACCTAATTTGAGTTAACAATGAGTTCAAGTGCAACAACTCTTCAATCCTTAACCTATGGTCTAACATCACGAATATTCTTGTGGTTATTCACTCAAAAAAAACAAAGAAGTGATGCAATCTTAGTATTTGATTTCATTTAAATCCGTTATATATTTAACATACTTTTAACAATACTATATATATATATAAATAATTTGAACAATATATGATATATATATATACTCTGTATATAAATTATTATACTTGTTTGGATTGAAGCCAGTGTTTAAAAAATAGTTATCTTTATCATACATGAAAACTGACACAACTTTTATACATTGACTTTGAGTTGAAGGCACACACATAGGTTCACGTCCTGTCCCTTACATTATAGTTTGATTAGTGATTCAATTAATAATATTGTTATATTAGTAAAATTTTACGAATAGATATATTAATATTAAATAAAAATGATTGACTTATTGACATTTGTAATATATTGCTATATATTATATATTATCTAACATTTTAGTTAAATCTTACAAAAACTAAAGTTTGGTTTAAATAATTGATTGTATTATTACATTTGAAGGGCGAGACAGTCGCCATTCTAGCGGTCATTTTGGTATCGGTTCCATGAATGACATGAATGACTCTTCAGCCTTTGGTTTTCAATCATCAAACAATGATAGTAATGGTAGAAAACGAAGAGGAAATTTGCCTAAAGAATCGGTTAAAATCCTAAGAATGTGGTTATATGAGCACCGATACAATGCTTATCCGTCAGATCAGGAAAAACTATTTCTATCACAAGCGGCCAATCTGTCAATTCTTCAGGTATTGTGGTATAGATATAATAAATTATTTAAAATAATAAAAATAATTGTATCGTATATAAGGTGTGCAATTGGTTTATAAATGCGAGGCGAAGAATATTGCCGGACATTATCCGAAAGGAAGGAAATGATCCGCTTTTGTTTACAATCACTCGTAAGAGCTCAACGAGACGACAGAGTAATGTAACCGACTCTTGCAATGGTTCCAATTCATCCGCTTCTGAAGATGGTTTTGGATATATTGTCACAACTAATAGCAGGTATTAATTAGTTATAATTTGAAGGAAACAAACAATTAGTGATTAAAAGCGGAATTACAGTTGAATTAATGTGTTATTTGTTTTGCTTTAAGACATTCTGATGACAGTCAGAGCTCTGGTGAGAGTGAAATTGATACCCAGTCTGACAGTGGAAGTACGACAAGTACTGCCATCAGCTCATATATCAGTACCTGTAGTCGACCCCCCAGCACATCATCATCAAGTGGCACGTCTTGGACGGGTAAGTGTCTGATTTAATTAGAGATTAGTTGATAAGATTAAATGTTATGCATGACGTGATCTTTACTTAAACTTGATTTCATAGACTCGCCCATTAAACTAACTAAAAGATGGCGAAAGAATCATGAAGAGGATCAGATACGTCACCAATCAATGGATAATAATTTTTATTCGAGTCGTAAACCAAGTGCTTTGGATCTATCCTTTAGTCCTCCGCGAAACTCAAACACATCTATTGTCAATTGGCTCAATCAAAGCACTGGTATTGTTGCTCAAAGTCCGACAAACGCTCATTTATTACACTCTCCAGAGATGGAAATGTCTCCTTTGCCATCATCTGCATCTTCATCTGAAGAACCATTCAGTTACCTATACTTATTGGCGTCGGCGGCAGTCGGAGAACTGGAGAGACAAAGGTTAACGAATAGTAGTGTTCAAAATATAGCTCTCGCTGTCAACACATAGACATATCACGCTTATCCTAATATTGTTCATTTCCCATGACATCCGACATCCTATACCTTCATAACCATTATAAATAGGGTTTTGTCACTTCAGACAATCAAAACTGATTTATATATTATATATATAAATATTTTAAAGTAATTTTGTTATAATTAATACAAATTGTGTTTTAATTGATTTAATACAATTAATAATAGATATATTATTAAATGAAGTTTTAATATGCTTTAACTAAAAAGCCTATAATAAAGTGCCTTTCCATATAATATTATACTCAAGATATTACATAATATACAATATGGGTTACCTATGTTTTGCTCAAGTTTTTTATATCACTAGTTTTGTTAGTTTTTTTTTCGGGCGTTCAATAATTTTTATTGATATTTCGAGATATTAATGATAATTAATGACAATTAATAGATGCATTGTGTAGATTAAGTTGGAGGAGTGGACTAGTCATTCATGTCATGCATGTCCCCAATTATGTTTATATATAAATGTTATATATATATAAATTTATATATGTTTATCAATTAACGTAGATTCTAATGATTAGATTTATACAAATAAACTTATATTTGGTTACCTTTTATATCCAACAGTCAGTGTATTATATATTTGGGATTTTTGACTTTAACAGCAAATTAATAACATTATTATGAATTGTTATAATTTAAAAATCACACTTAAAATGTGCTAAATTGTATTACTACCGTAAACTTGGTTATGTAATATAATTATAATAGATTATCAATTAAAAATTTACATATTATGTATAAAAATTTGGTAACCAAATTAACTAACATTAATAAAGTGTGACAATTTTGAATGTTTATAATGATTTTACATTTACATAGATTGATATACTTTAGATTTATGTTTAATTTTATTAAAGATATTGATTGATTTTTTTTAAATATCAAAACAAATGGCCATAAATTAGTTAACAATGGTTAATATTAATGTTAATTAATTAATGAATTAATTAAATTATTAGATAAGTTTGCAAACATTCCAATGAATTTGTTTGAATCATTTCTGATTTTTTGTTTGTCAATATTATATACACATTATAATACATATACAATATATAATAAATTATAAATATATACATAAAAAAATTATGATTTGCCTTTTGCTCATTCATTTGTATATTATTATTATAAAATAATAATTACATTTATTGATTAAAATTATATATGAAAACGAATTAATTATTTGTTATATTATTAAATTTAAATGTTTTGAATAAAGTTTGTTTGATTATAATATAGTGTTTTAGTTTATTTATAGTATTTTACTAAATAACTATTTTAATTGATAATATTTCTATTGTAATAAAATATTACAATCTTATAAATTATACTGTAATTTATAATACGGTATAATAAGTATTGTACAGTATTGCAGATTTAAGTATTGTAATAATAAATTGTAATAATATTGTATTAAATATTAATTTTAGTTTTTATTCTATTAATTATTTTATTTTTTTAAAATTTAATTTACAAGATTAAATTTTTTATTTATATTTTAATTAGATATTCTCAATAATTTTTATACGGGTAACTTAAATGGTAACTTAACTTATAAGGTAATAACTCATTTTTACAGTATATTTAGTGTGTATATTACTGTAGTTTATAAATAAATTGGCGATGTTTGAACAATATCTAAATCTAAATAAATTGATTATGCTTAAATAACAATATAATAGTTATTTTATTTGATTAAATAATATACATTACTATAAAACATTATACATATACTATACTTGTATATCTTATATGTGTAATGTTTTACTGTATGAGATGAAAAACTTGATTTTTTTGTTATAGGATAAACCACAAAACAAATTATTATAATAAAAATTATATTATAGTAGAATAAATTAAGAATTAATTAAATTTTATTGTAATTGAATATTGAAAACAATAAATATGTTGACCGAAAATATTTATGAATTATTTTTTTTAAATAACAATAAAATTAAAGGTTATTAATATTATTAATTCATAACAATATACAGTGCGTTGCAATGCATTGAAACACTTACTGTAGTAAAAGTCAAATAACATTTTATGCAATTGGAAAGCACTGTAGTTTGCGATTAACATTAATGTATCTATAGTTTCAAAGTTGTTTAAGTCTTGTTAATACAGTTTAACTTAATTTGTTAATAAAATATGCAATTTATGTCTGTTTTATATTAAATGTTGAAATAATAATTATATTTTGTCTACAATTTTTAAAAATATATTATTACTAATTACTCAAATATTTTAATTATTTATCAAAATTTATATTGTATTGGATATATTTAATAATTATTAGTATACATAATATAATAAATAAACAAATATTTTAGTAAATTAATAAATATTAATATAAATTGTTTTATGAAACATCATTTGAATCTACTAATTGTATACAACTTTTGAAATTACATAATAAAAGTTAATACAATTGAATAACAAATTATAATTTCATATTAATGTATAAATTATTTGTAGGACAGCTTTAAATGATTTATTTGTTTAATTATTTAACTCTAGTAAGTACTGTACTAAAAGAAAAATACGTTATGTTATGTACTCTATTAATAATAATAATAATAATATTGTCCGCTTATAATACAAAACATTTGTGACAATAAAAATTAACAAATAATAGTTATATTCATTATATAAAGAAAAAATATGTTTAATGTATAACATATCAATATTTCAATCTAATGTACATACAGTATAATAATCTTTATTATTATTATTTCTAAAAATATATTTTACCAGTTTTTATACAGCAGTTAGAAATTTTATTTAACTTTTGAAGCATTTATTACAATTGTAGTCAAATGTTATTAAAATACAAATCAAATCGTAGTATAATATAGTTATTGTAAATATAATTCATAAATACATGTTATACTCCTATTTCTAATCTATAAATTATACAAAGTATTGTTTGCATTCATTTTCCTCTAATAAAACGTCTAAAATTATCTAAATGTAAAATATTATCATTTTAAGACATATATATATATATATATATATTTATAATAAGTTTTAATTATCATTACAATTAATAAATAATTATTATACACTATATCATATATATATATATAATTTTTATATTTTCTTATTGCTCTGACATTTGTTTAGAAAGTAAATGTTTATTTAAAATAACACACTCTTGAAATATAACTTATTATAAGTGTTCAAAATTTTGATTGCAAGTAATATTAAATATCTGTAATAATAAAAATAAGACATCTATTACCTGTAGTAGAGACCGGAATCCCGTAGGATCGGGACGTTGTTTGAAATTCATTTCTTAAATTTCAATGAATGACATAAATTAAAGACAAAGTTTGTGTCAAAAGCTCAGGCAATCAATTCTCAACTCTAAACTTATAATGTCTTTTATATCACGTATTATAAGTGAACTGATAATCAAACAATTTATCAGCCATTTGGCCACAAGTGGTCAAACCGGTCACTAATGTTGTCATAAAAATCAAGATTCTTTTGGCGATAAAATTTCACACAATTTTTATATTTTAGACGTTTGAAAGTCATTAAATTGAATTACATTTTTGAGCATAAATTTAAAAGAAATAGTTTTAAAAAACCATATTTAGGACATATTTGCTGAGTTTGTTACTAAAATTACTTAAACTTAATTAATTTTAAAATGTGAATTATTTGCCTAAATTATATTTTAACAGTTTATAATTTAAAGTTTAATAATTAAACTTTAAGTATAACAAAACATAAATCATATTAAAATAAAAACAGCATGATCATTTTTATTGTAATATATTCTATTTCATATATAGATATTTTAATTAAAATATTAATAATAAAATGTTATAATTTGAATATTTTAAAGCAATTTAATATTACAGGTAATGCAGTTGTAATAAACAATTTTCTATTTGTTACTCAAAACATATTTCACACTTAATGTAACGCAACAGTGAATATACTTTATAAACTTTTTTTAATTTATAAATTATAATACAATTAAATTGAATTTCCCATACATGTCTCAATTCATTATTTTTTAATTTGATATATTAAGTTTTGATAGCTTATTATAACAAACATAAATTCAAATAATTATAATATGAATAATTTAAACACATATATTATAGCTTATCACATACTTAATTTATAATTATGATACTACTGTACTCATACTGTATAAAAATAGCTCATTTTATTACAATAATTATTATAAAGCAACGAATAATTAAATTACCGTATTTGATGTGTTTGTCATATTATATCAGTATTTAATTGTATATTGAAATACAAATATATAATATAAAAATTGTGTTCATTACACAAATAGTTATTTTAAAAATTAATCAAATTATGAAAAAATCAAGTAATAAAATGAATATTACAGTACATGTGATTATCAATACTTATACTGTATATTACTGTATATTTTAAAAATGTAAGAAATTAACGGATTTACTAATGTTGTGATTGAAAGACAATTTAAAAATATATTTTCAAATACTGGTAAATTTCTTATAAAACATAAATCAAAATTTATTTTTAAAATTTCATAAAACTTAAAACAATTTTTAGGTAAACAAAATGTGACCTAGTTAATTCGATTATTTAAAATTTTTTAATAACTTAATAATAAAATCTTATTATTCAGACAATATGATACAAGTAGTTCATAAAGTTCATAAATATTTCAAGTAATTCATATATCGTAATTATATTGGCTTATATTTTATTTAAATAGTTAAAAAAAACATTATATATAGATATCAAGAATTAATTTAAATTCAATTTTATATCAAATAATTGTTATAATTAATAATTCATTATTATTTAGTAGTTGTCAATTGATTTATGAAAGGAATCAGTTGTCTATACTTTGGTGGCATAAACTCTTGCAAAGGTTCGGGAATTTTAATGCCATCTTTCGTTTGGTGGACTTCTAGTATAACACAAATAGCACGTGTGACGGCACATAACGTGCCATTAAGCATATGCACGTACTCCACTTGACCGGTCATTTTTTTTGTCTGTCCAAACCTTATCTGAAGATTTCTCGATTGATAATCAGTACAATTGGAAACAGAAACCAATTCTCTAAAGGCTTGAGAGCCTGGAAACCACGCCTCGAGATCATACTTCATGGCAGCGGCATTATTAAGAGCACCCGAAACTATATTTACAATTTGATAGGGAATGCCTAAAGATTGGTAAAACTTTTCTGCGTTTTGAATCATTTCATGAAAGTAATCCCAAGACTTAGTCGGTGCCGACACTATAAACTGTTCAATTTTCTCGAACTGATGGACTCTAAATATTCCTCGAGTATCTCTACCATGAGCTCCAACTTCTTGTCGAAAACAAGTTGAAAGTCCCGCGTATTTAAGAGGCAAAAGTGATGGATTCAACCATTCATTTCGGTGTAAAGCCGCTATTGGTTGTTCAGCGGTGGCAATCAAATACTTGTCCTCAGCGTCTTCACTGTCTTTATTTGAAATAACTTTATAGAGCTCGTCATCAAATTGGCTCAACTGAGCCACAGAACTCATTAAACTCTTTCTCATCCAAAAAGGTGTATATAATGGCTGAAACTCACGATCAGTGAGATATCGTAAAGAATATTGAATGAGAGCCTGTTGTAACCAAATGGCCGGACCAGTTAAGAAGTAACCACGAGAACCTGATATATCTGATCCATGCTCTGCATCCATACCACCAATCATTTGTATTAAGTCCACGTGAGACAACAATTTATGATCTCCTTCCAGTTGTTGGTCTTTATTATTAAACTGACCCCAAGTCCTGATGACAGCATTTTCATCCTCATCACCACTGATGGGAACGTCTGGATGTACAAGATTTCCGATTTCACGTAAAATATTATTGCGTTCGGTCTCTAAATTAGTCAATCTATTGGTCAATGAAATGATCCCTTCCTCCACCTCTTGTCTCATACGTTTGAGGTCTTCAAGTGTATTGATTTCATTAATCTCATTGACTCGAGTAAGCAATTCATTCAAATCAAATACTCCTTTATTGTTGTCTTCTTCATCAGTAATAGATGTTTTAGATGGTTCTTCGGGAGACTCTTTAGACGATTGTTTCATTTGTTTCATACGATTTCCATACTCTTTAGAAATTTTATTCTTTGCTTTATTCAGTTGATCCAAATTATGGCGTGTTTTACGCCATTCATTGTCCAAATTAATCACTTGATCCACACTCTTGGTGTCTGCAAACCGATTGCGAACATTAGTGCGAACTCTCTCGGGATCACCGCCTTTGTCTTCGCGAAACAGATCCAAATCCAAAACCATTTTAACAATTGTTTTGAAAAATTAACAAAAAATAAAACAAATAACAATTTGGTGACAATTGGGTGACAATTGGTTAACACTTTTATGTAAGTAATGAAGTAGTGATGCAATGATTATGTCTTAACAGCAATCAGTGTCCATATGTTTGGAAACAATGCGTCAATCAATCAATTGTTGAATCAATACTATGATTGCCGGCAAACACTCAACACATACAACACCTAACACTTCACACAAACATTATTTCAATACTAAACTCTAAATAATTGTTCCCTTAATTGTATGTCATTTAAAATCAATCAATTCATTGATAACCCAAACCCTATATTCAAGTGTACTATTATTTGTGAATATAAAGGGAGCACAACGTGTCCATTGAGTTCAATCACATATACTATTAGAGTTGTCATACAAACACATATTAATATTATTATAACTATAATAACATATACTTTGATTATTAGATAATATAATTGAATAATTAAAGTCTATTTCTAATATGAAAATTGTCATTATATTAATGTTTTGCTCATTAATATCATAATAATTACAATAATTGTTGACCTGTAAGATGTCAACCCTATTAATACGCAATCATATCATTGAATGGTTTATATTATAGAGTATTATAGTATGTATTGTAATAAGTAATGACGTAATTGATTGAAATAATAAATGAATCGATGATTGAGTCATAGGTTTGTCATTAAAGGACTCAATGACTGACCGATTGTTTGTAAACATTGTTGACATTTGTAGTGATGTTTGACTTTGAATACAATCATCTGATTGAAGACCATTGACTGACACTCAAAGACCAAAAAGTGATCACAAATGGGAAACTTGTGGAGTGGTCGACAAAATGGTCGCATTGAGGAAGTGGACAACAGTAGTGATAATGTGTATTGTTATCCACCGAAAAGTGGTCACTACTTCAGCAGTCACTTCATTATGGGTGGCGAGAGGTTTGAGTCGTGTTCTCCCGAAGCCTATCTGTTCGGTGAAAACATGGATCTAAACTTCTTAGGCAGTCATCCGACACCATTCCCATACTCAGCTCCCTTACCACAAGAACCCACTCGCACTTTAAGAGCATTGATTAATATTAGGAAAGAATCGCTTCGATTGATTCGCGTTGTGACCAATTGTGATGATATTAAAGATAAAGATGTATTGGATGTGTTGTCACCAACCGATGAGACCAATGCTGACACAAATAAAGAAATTGTTTACAACATTGAGTTTGCCTTTGATTCAGATGTCAGATGTGCCATAACTATACACTATTTGTGTACTGAAGAAGTCACTTCCAATGGACTCATTTATACTTCAAAAGAGTCAAACATGAGTTCAGAGACTTTTTTCTTTAAGAGAGGTCCAAATCAATTGTTTAGCCAATCTTCTCATGTCTTCAATCCATCACTTTTTTCTGATGAAGAGCTCACTTATCGTACGATTGATGAAAAAGGAGAATATGATGGATCTGTTTTACTTCCCGTTGTTATACATTGTGTGGCCCAAGAAGGCGAAGAGCCGCGACAGTCACACACTTTGATTGCTGTCGTTGAACGTAATCATGAAAATACTCATATAATCAAACCATTGAAACAAAAGCTTTTTGTCGATGGCTTAACTTATTTGTTGCAAGAAATCTATGGAATTGAAAACAAAAACGCATTGACTGTCACAGGAGATACTTCTTTATCAAATAATAATGACGAAGATATCGAAGACAATGCAAGTGAATGTGTTATTTGTATGAGTGATTCAAGAGATACACTTATACTTCCGTGTCGTCATCTTTGTCTTGTAAATATCACTTATATTTGTTGTAATTAACAATTTATTAACTTTAATTGACATTCACTTTATTTCTAATACCAGTGCAATGGTTGTGCCGATTCATTACGATATCAAGCCAACAACTGTCCCATATGTAGGGCGCCTTTTAGGGCATTACTTCAATTAAAAGCTGTTAGAAAAGCATTTGTTCCAAATATAGGATCAAATCCAAGCACTTATGTTAATCATCACCAGCTTATGTCTTCTAATAGTTCTACTGATTTAGTGGACATACCTCCTGGTTATGAACCAATTTCTTTAATCGAAGCACTAAACGGTCCCAATTCACATTCATTATCGCCGTTCAAAACGAATTGTGGTGGAAGTGAAACACCAATTAATGTTAGAAAATACCATAAAAATGAACAAAAGTCAAGAAAAGGTAATCAAATGTTTAATACAAGCAATGGATCTGATGTTCCAACCGATACGGTAACAGTTATGACAAGAGCTCCAGTTGTTCGTTCACGAGTGTCAACTGCTAGCAGTCCTACAACTCCTGAAGTTGTTGTTTCTGAAATTCCTGTTTCACCGATAAAAGACAACGTAGACAACAATCTAAATATTGAAGTGAATGAACGCGAGTTATGGCGGCGATCATTGGTTACGAATTCAAAACCAATCAAATCGGTTGATGATAACGGAAGTGCTTCATCTTCTACTTCTTCAACAGGAATTGTTGAGAATATTGCACTTCAAGAAAGAGTTAGACTTTTATCTCAAGAAAAGTGTGAAGACGAATGTGATTATATGAATGAAAATGAAGATAAAGAGAAGATTACTCGAGAGGACAATCAGTTTGAAGGTTTTGCGGTCAACGCAATGAAGGATTCGCCCGGAAATTCGAGTCCTGTCTCTATTGGAATCTCTTCTGCTTCCTATCCAATGTTGAGCTTAAGAGACGGAATTGATGACCAACAGGCTATGGATCCAGAAGATGATCTTCTCTCAGTTGCCACTATTAGCAGCACTAATAACATACTCATTCGTCCCGAAGATTTATGCGATAACTTTAATCCATCCGATTATAAAAGTAAATGTAATCAAACTCTTTCCTCATTTAATCATAATTTTGATACTAATTTACTCATTTCTGGAGCGGAAATCCCTCAACAAATCGTAAGTTTAATTATCATATATTTATTTCCAATGTTTTAATTATTTTAAAATTTAAATTAAGATTGAAACCAAACAAATGGATAAATCGCCAAATATGGTTAAAAAATCACATGAAATAAAACAAATGTCAATTCGTGTGAAATTAGCTGAAACAGAGATTATAGACGATTTGGATACTGATTCTAATGATGTATAAATTAGTTGAAAAACATAACATATATTATAAAATCATTTATTTAAATTAACTTTAAATTTTAAAATAAAAATAAATATTTCAGACAAAAACAAGCCATTTCTCTTTGACTTCTTCTACTTGTTTAGCGAGTAATGGTTCCCTAATTTTAACCTTTGCTTCAATGCGACCGCCGACTGGTTTTCTGCCTTCTGTTAAAGTGAAGGTCTCATGAATAGTGCATTTACTCTCCAAATCAGTCAGTTTGATGACTGCAGTGCCTATTAATGTGTCACTTCTGAGAAATCCTCTAAATAATTATCGTTAAAAATATTTAATTATTTTGTCATTAATTTGATGAGAAAGACAAACCCTTTGGATATGATTTCCAATTTCAAAGGATGTCTTTTGAAAATTCGTGGTAATTGTCGTGATTTACGATCGATTTGAAACTTAAATGTTTCATTGAATACTACAATAAATACACACAAAATTTAATTTATCTAACGAATTGATAAAGTATTCAAACCTGGATTCACACTGTTTTTAACAGTTTTTGTTCGCGTTGTTTGATTTTTATCCTATTTATGTAATTTTATTAAATTCAAAATTTATTTACTTTGGAGAGCACTTACACTGGGAAATGGAAACTCAATTTTGATGTAAGTGTCGATATCAGGTTTGCCCACTATATCGATGGCTTTTAACACTTCTAAAGACACTTCATTAATAGCCACTTCGGTATTACAAATAACTATAGAAAAAGTTCGCGTTTCGTATTTAATATCAGGAACTTTATGACCATTTCTCCAGCGATTTAACAATACATCCAAATCTTTACAGCTATCGGTCGCATACTTTTCAAACTTAGATGCCGTCGATATATCGCCCAAATGTAAAAAATATTCTCTATTTCTTTTACACATCTATTTAATCGATTAATTCAATATAAAAATAATGTTAACATAAATAACTAAAATATTACCTCAATTTGATTCTGCATTTCGACTTCAATTTTACGAAACATTTCTTCTCTCTCTAAGTCATTGACATCTGAAGACTCAGTATGCGATACAATGACAAAGTCATCTGTCATTTGTGGTGGAGTTGGTATAGAAGTGGCGTCAATAGGCAAACCATTTTGTGTGGCCTCAATCAATGGATCAAATCCCTTAGCCATTCTTAAATATTCTTTAGCCTGTTGTATGTTTCCCTTCTGTTTCGATTCAAGTGCTGCCTCTTTGAAAAGTCTCTGTCTTTCTAAAAGATAATTTAATTGTTTGTTTGCCGTAGAAGTGGCTCTTTTAAGAAGTGGTTTTTGAGTGCTTTTTGGAGGCGTTGAGTCTTTTGTTGTAGTTTGTTGTTGTTGTGATTGTTGTGATTGTTGTGGTGGTGGTGGCTGTTGTCGTCTATCAATTAGTGGTTTGTTTGCAGAAATCGGTAACTTATTTAAATTAGATTCTGCTATGACTTCACTCGTTTGTTTAACACTTGAAAATTCAGTCTTTTGTGGACCAGAATTAGGGACAGGAATTGAACCAAATCCTAATATTTTACATAAATTATTCTTATGTTATGAGTTTAAACCATATCTATTGAAATACCTGGAGGTGTGGGTAACTCATCAAAATCAACAGGTTTTCCGCGTTTGTAGTCTTTGATAGCATTTTCGTATTGTTTTATTATTCTTCCTAAACGTCTTGATTTAGAAGAATTATTCTCTTGGTTTGCCACTTCTAATGTTGATTTAAATTTAGTCATTCTTTGATCTAATGCTTCCATAACAGTATTAGGTGGTGGCGGAGCATTAAAATATTTTTTGGCATCTTCTTCTGTTATTTCAACGTTTTCTATATCTATCTGATCTACACTTTCATTGTTGTCATTTGATTCAATTGTTTGACTTGGAGTTTGGTTTTCAGTAATGACTTTTTCAGAATTTTGAGAAGTGCTGGGCATTACAATAGTTGGTGATTCGGGTAATGCACTTAAATCAACAGATTTTCCATCTTCTAAGGCTTTAATTAAGATTTCAATTTGCTGTTATAGACAATTAAAATAAGTTTTATAAATCATATTATTATTATTATTCTTATTAAACTATTTTTTACAAACTTTTGCTGTTTTTATGTGAGCTAAAGCAACACTTTGTTGACCACATTTTTTGGCCGAAAGCGCGGCTTTTTTATAATCATCTCTCAAAGTTATAAGACGTGTCGTTTGATTTATAGAGTTTGTCTCATTTGAATTAACCGATTGACTATTCACTTCACTTGTAATCATTTGTTGTCTTTTAGGCATCGGTTCTGATGATCCCATTGTCGTCTCAATCTTACTTTTAGTCATCACTGGTAATATATTTTTTGTGTCCATTTGTTTAATGAATTGTAAATCAATTTGCGATGAATTCTGTTGTGTTGATGGCAAGGGTTTGCTTTCATTTTTACTATTATCTCTATTTACCACAGATTCGTCCGAAACAATTGATTTAATTTCAGACTAAAATCAAATAATAAATTATTTATATTTTTTAAAATGATATAAAAATGAAAATTACCAAAAATTGTTCGTCATTTTCATCTATATCTTCATCACAATCATCTATATCTTCATTTAAATTTCCAATTACTTCCAAATTATCAAAATTTAATAAATCGTTTGACAACATAACTAAAGACAAGAAAAAATATAAATCAAATTAAATTAAAATAAAATAAAATATAAATATATCTTACAATTGCTGTTATCATTAAATTTTGATGTTTTCTTAATTTTATTGTCTTTAGTGACCACTTGTTGATTACGTTTAGTGTTAACCGCCGATGAAATGTTTGATTGTTTACCTTTAGTCGTATAAATCTTACCACTAATAATAGCATTTAACTCGTCCTCCAAGTCTTCGTTATCTTCTTCAGACATATCATTCATGTCATTATTGTCTGTCATTTGTAAAAAATGTTTCATATTTTGTAAATCCATTGTTTGGACAATAAATCAATTTATATACAAATCATTCAAATATTGTTTAATTAAATGTATTATTAATTTCATTCAATGTTTTGTTGTTATGACTCATATTTGTAAACAAAACAACACTCAATGCAATGCATTAGATGTTCAAAACAATTGCTTTTGATAACCAAACCGAAACCAAACCGAAAACAATTTGAAAAGTTTCATGAATTTATTATTAATTATATTTTTTTTGTCTATTAAAATCTATATAAATAGAAATAACTAAAAAATATTTAATTTATTTATATTTATATTATAACTTATATATAATATGTAATATAATTTATAAGTTTCAATAGAAATATAACTAAAAAAATGTATTATCTTTTGATTATTTTGTATTGATTACCGATAATTACCGATAATTTTATAAAGTTAGGGACACTTCATTTAAAAATAAATAATATAAAATTATTTTAGACGAAAAATACAATTATTGAAATTTTTAAATACAATTTCCTCTATATTTTTGTTGTCTAATCGGCAAAGTTTTTGACACTTGACCACAAACTGCGGCCCAACTAATACCTCGATAGCGATATTTCGTTCTCTATTCTCACGGGAGGACTCATCACGGGATAGGTATAGTAAAGTGGACAACACTTAGCAATAACTCACCTATTTTTGGGTCATATTTTGAGAGAGAGAGAGAATTATAAGTATAAGGTATTTACCGGTAATCATATACAGTATAACTAATGGTTTTACTAAAATTAATTATCAAAACTAAATTAATAATAAAATTAGCATAAAATACATCAATTCTATTATATTTTTATTCATAACAATATACGATACCATAAGTATTGTACCGATATATAAATTTATATAATAAAGTATTTTTTATAAATGTATAAGACTTATAATTGTATTTAATATTATGAGATGATATAAATTAATATATTGAACAATGTATATATATATAGGAGTTATTGTTAAAAATTACTAATAATTACAATGTAATTCAATTGAAAAAACTAGTTTAAAAATAATTTGAATATTATTGTCGATATACTGTAAATATGAAACTATATATTTGACATAAATGCTAAAAAGCAATAATTAAATTGACATAAAATAATATTTATCACAATATAACAAATATATCATATAAAGTGAAATATTATGTTATGTCATATACAGTATTATAATTATATAATTAATAAAACAATATATAATTTGTTAATTTTGTTGTCAATCGTCATCACTATCAATGGTCACCACTTCTGGTTCGTTATGTTTAACATTAATATCACATTTGTGTCCATTAATGGCATTCACCGTATTTTGTGTCAACGATTTCAATATATTTGATGCATTTGTTGGACATTTAGGCAAACCATTAATACATTTGTTTATTGTTGTGTTGGAACTGTTGGAAACAGAAGAGACATCAGAGCCATTGGATGTATTATTTTCAGACTTAACGGTTGATATATTGAAAGTCAAATGTTTTTTAAGAACTGAATCCATGTCTTGATTCCTATCATTTCTGTTCTTTACTTTAATAGAAAAGTCATCACAAGAGTCGCTACTATTTCTGTGATAATTCATTTGAGTTTCTTTTGTTTCAACCTTTGGTCTAATTGTCTTCATTTCCGACAACTTTTTAACTCTTTCTGTCGACTGATTGCTTAAAGTCTTTAATTTACTAATTATTTTGTTGTCGGTGTCATCGGTGGTCAACTCATTTGTCACAAATTTCGAGACATAATAAGCAATCAGTTGTTTGACTAACTCTTGTTTGTTATCATTTGAATGGTTTGTGTCATTGAATGTTGCGCTCAAAGCAGTGTTGGATGCGATCACTGTTTCAGTGACGACATGACTGTCACCTGACGTCACATTCAAGGGTTTACTAATAATATTAGATGTGATTATCATTTGACGGTCTGGTTGTCCATCAGTGGTGAGACTTTCGATTACTTTATGTGAATCCAATGGTATATCAATTGGTGTCACATGTGTTGACTCGGGTATAGTATTGTTGTGGTTGAGTGTATCGGTTAATGAAGTGATTGACCCGATTCGGGCCACTTTACGTTTGGGCTCATTGTTGTCCCAATCATTGTCTTCACTTTCAGACAACTCAATCACTTCTTCATTCATCACTCGACCACTACTTTGATTATCAATTGAACACAACATTTGATACTTTACTTCCTGTAAGACATTCACGGATTGACTCAATTTGAGGGCAAATATCATAATCTACTTTAAAAACATCCGACTTTAGGGACCATTTAACTACATTTTTATAGAATATTTCACTGAAAATTTCAAATAATTTTTAGTAAAAACTTTTTTTTTAAATAATTTAAATCAAATTTGATTTAATATTACAAAAATGTCCTTAAATTACAATATAATAAAATGGTACAATATAATATAATATAATATAATATAATATAATATAATATAATATAATATAATATAATATAATATAATATAATATAATATAATATAATATAATATAATATAATATAATATAATATAATATAATATAATATAATATAATATAATATAATATAATATAATATAATATAATATAATATATATAATATAATATAATATAATATAATATAATATAATATAATATAATATAATATAATATAATATAATATAATATAATATAATATAATATAATATAATATAATATAATATAATATAATATAATATAATATAATATAATATAATATAATATAATATAATATAATATAATATAATATAATATAATATATTATAATAATATAATTTTTTTGTAGTTATCATTTAGTTTGCAATAAATATATTTTGATTAATTATTTTTATTTTATAAAATTATATTTTAATCGATTTTTACATTTAAATCCATTAACATATAGTTATTTATATACAACAATATATTTAATTTATTTAACTTATTATCCAATTTTTAAAAATTTATTCAATCCGTTGAATATTAAGTTTCGTTACAATATTATTATTATAAATAAAATTTCTATAATTTATGATAATTTGTTAAAAAATTAATAAAATTTCTATAAAATCAATAAAATAAACATTTAATACTATATTTTTGGATAAAGTATTTAAATTTTTTATATTATAAAATACTGTTTATTACATAAATAAATAATAAAAATAACTTATTATAACTTAATTAGTAAATTAGTAAAACTATATCAATATATTGTATTAATTTATAAATGTTTTTCTATAAAATAGTTAACATTAGTTACCCTGAGGTCAGACATCACACAAATATTAATTAAATAATTGACGAAATTTATTAATAATAGAAATATATGAAACATCCCTACAATTGATTATTAATAGAAAATTTGTTTTTTTTTGTTGTAAATACTATTAATATAATAATATATTTAATGTTTCGGTCATTTAAAAAATAAAATAAAAGATTATTAATAATTATCAGATAAAAAATATTAATTAATTTTTGATAATAAATAAATATATTTATTATATTTTACATTCAGTGCCCTCTAATGTTAAATGAATGTAAAGATATTGATATTTTAAAATTAAAATTAAATTTTAGTATAAATAAAATATAAATTAAAATTTATTAAATTTAATGCAAATGTTTCATAACATTATGATATTTGAAATGAAATGATAATCAATTTAAATTGATTTTTTAATGTGATTTTCAACATACAGTACATATACAGTACAATAGCATATAATATATATATATATATATTACCATAAGTATGCCATATATACTATAAATTATAGAATACATAAAATAAATTTATTTAAAAAAAAATAAAAAATTAGTATCATGGTCAATTAAAATATTAATAAATATTTTTTTAGTCATTTCCATAATTGTAATTTTATAATTAAACCATTTTGAGAATACTTCAAAAGCATTTCCATACGAACTCCTTAACGAGAAAGAAAAAAATTTAAAAAAAATGTGTAGTAGAGAGTGGATTCGATCCTATGTCCTCTTAGGACAGACAGACCGATAGACTTATAGAATGCATATATAATCTCCTTTCAGGAGTTCATGAAAATAACATTATATTGATAGCCGACAGATAACGACTCATAAAACATACATTTCTATACATTAATAAAACGATTATTCAATTACAGTAAGTAATCGCAAATAATAGCATTAAATATGAAACTAAGGGGTAAAATGTGAATTTGAATGAATACATAATGATTAGTATAATGACATCAAATAACACAAATATTGATGTTTTTCAATGTCTTTCCCAATCATTTCCTATCCCACGACTTGACAGTTGATCCAAGTGTTGGGTAAATGACATATTTATGTATAACATAACAAATTTTTATTTTAAAACTTCAGATTTTTAAAGGTATAACTATATGTGAATACATACTGTAGTTGTAGTTAATTGTTAGTCAATCATCAAACGGACTAATAATATAAAACATTAATTTTTTAATATATATATATATATATAAACCAGTTGAGAATGCTAGAAAGCATTATCAGAAAAATAACATAAATAATTTTATAACCATTAGTTTGTAGTAATAACTAATATATCGTAAATTAAAAAATAGTATTAAAATGACAGAAAATCATATGTCGTTATATCTTTAATACTTAAAAAGATAAAATTAATTCAATAATAATTGTTTAAAAACATTTCGATTAAAAGTGAAAATTTTGTACATTTATGATAAGTAAAACTCAAAATATCGATATTTAGATAACTTATGTTTGAAACCTTAAGTTAGATTTAATGTCAGTTTAGGTAAACTGTCAATCAATACTATTTGATACAAAATCATCTCATAATCATCTAAAAAATATTGATTTATTTACCATTTAGTTTACAATTGTTAAAAATCTGGTCATTTTCAGCTATAAAATAAAGTCAAATAAACATAATTATTAATTGACTCATTTGTAAAAAATTATAAAAAATTACCATGTACAAAAAATCTAAAAAAATCTTAAAATTTCATGTTTTGTATGCTCAGCTAATATAAATGTTATAAATCTATTTTTGGCTAATAAACAATTTTATTAAGTTTATCGGATATTTACCTTATTTTTCTTTAATGTTCAAAGTTGTCATTATTATATTTTGTACTCTATATTATTATATACATTAAATCTATAGATCTATAGACATCTATATACGTATATACATCTAAGTAGACTTGACTTAAGTTTTGGTGTTCACACATGTACTAACTTAAGTTACCTTTACTTAACTCAAGTACAGTAGTGACCCCTTCTTAAGTAAGTTTACTTCATTAAGTACAGTGTGAATACACGAGACTTATAAACTTAGCCAATCAGTGTTAAGTATAATATTATTATGTTTTAAATGCCTGCTTCGCTGTCTAGCAAAAATATTACCTTTAAATTGTTTAATAAATAAAAATTAATTATTTTTTTGTCTAATTTTTATAATTAACATCAAAATTCAAATAATTTGATTAATTTTTATAAAATTAGATAAACTTAAGTGTAGCAATTAGAACACATGTTACTTGAAACTTGACTTGAGTACAAGTCAAGTCTACTTGGATAAGCATTAGTGTGAACGCAGCTTTAGAATAGGTTAGGTTAGGTTAGGTTAGGTTAGGTTAGGTTAGGTTAGGTTAGGTTAGGTTAGGTTAGGTTAGGTTAGGTTAGGTTAGGTTAGGTTAGGTTAGGTTAGGTTAGGTTAGGTTAGGGTTGTTTTTGAAAAAGTGAAAAAGAAAGTTTTTGTAATTATATAATTGTTAATAATTATAATTTTTTATTCTCGCGCTTATATTTATGATTAAAAGTTCTACAATTAAAGTTTGTTTTATTTACACCGTATTTATGTATATGAGGTCAGGTATGTTATGTTAGATTAGAGTAGGTTTTAGGTGTTTCCGTACCTTTATTTTTATCACTTAATGTTTTTTAGGTCCCAAAAAACTGTTTTTTGTTGATAAAACCGAGTTTTATTCCGGTAACTCAGCTTTAATTTAACCAAATGTTACAGACAGACACATAGACAGACACATAGACAGACACATAGACAGACACATAGACAGACACATAGACAGACACATAGACAGACACATAGACAGACACATAGACAGACACATAGACAGACACATAGACAGACACATAGACAGACACATAGACAGACACATAGACAGACACATAGACAGACTCATAGACAGACACACAGACAGACACATAGACAGACACACAGACAGACTCAAAAAGGCTCGAATAGATTTCAGAAAACACAACTTTTCAAACTTTTTTTTAATATTTGTATTAATATTTTCTAAATCCAAATCTATAACTTTGCCGTCACTTGCAATCAGCAAATAGTATTGAGTTAATGGCTTTTTCTGTATTAAATTCTAACCATAGATTGTCTGACAGTCTGATTGATTACAATATGTTTCCAAAGTTTTACTTAACGTTTCTGTTCAACAATTTATGTCATTTAAAGCAATTATTTTTTGTTTCTACATTTGGTTCTGATTTTTTCAATTTTATACATAATTTACTTCAATTTTAATTAATATATTTTTAATCACTTAATTTTACTAATTTAATCACTTTATTAATTTAAATAGATTTTTAAGTTATTTTTGTATTTAAAACATTTTTATAAAATTAAATACTTATTTTATAATTATTTTAAAAAATTCTATGATTACTACAATTTTCTTGCATTGAATATAAAACATAATATTTGTCATATTTTTTTAGTGTTGTATTATTTAATGCAAAGTTTATTATTTCGTAATTTATTTAAATATTTTTTATCCAAATCCGTCACAAAATAATACATTTTTAAGATTTATTACTAAAACAGTATTTCTATTAAATTTTGAATCATATGATCTGTATTTTGAATACAAATTGATATTTATTTTGAATAAATTGAATGAATATTATTGTAAATATGATATCAATTAATATATTGAAAACATTTCGATATAACGGCTCTAAACATATGAGCCGTAAATTTGTGACAAATATAACAACAAAAAGATTTGATTCAAATAAAACTCATTTCGGGTATCAAAACGTGACTCACGAAGAAAAATCACAAAAAGGTTTGCTTAAGAAATGGCAAATTCAGTAATAATGACATGAATTGGTTAATACATACATACAGTTCACGATGTGTTCAGAAGTGTGGCTCAAAAATATGATCTCATGAATGATATCATGAGTTTAGGTATACATCGCTATTGGAAAAGACAATTAATCCGATATCTGAAGCCATTAAGGGATACCACTCTTTTGGACACTTGTGGAGGAACTGGAGATATTGCCCACGAGTTCGTCACTTATATGAGAAACACTTATCCGACAGAAAACACATCCAAAGTAATTGTTTGCGACATCAATGAGGAGATGTTAAATGTGGGTCAAAGCAAAGCCAAACAGTGGTTACCTGAAGACAGTGATCGCATTCAATGGGTTTTAGGCGATGCAATGGCACTGCCTTTTGATGACAACTCATTTGACGCCTACACCGTTGGCTTTGGTATCCGTAATGTCGTTGATATCGATAAAACATTGTCTGAAGCCCATCGTGTCCTCAAACCAGGCGCTGTCTTCACATGTCTTGAGTTCTCTAAATTACAAAACCCATTGATATCTAAGATTTATGATTTGTATTCATTCGAAGTGATTCCAGTTTTAGGAGAAATCTTAGCCAAAGACTGGAAATCGTATCAGTATTTAGTGGAAAGTATTCGACAATTTCCGCCACAAAATCAATTTAAATCAATGATTGAAAGCGTTGGCTTCACTTTCGTCGAGTACATCAACTTCTTGGACGGAATCGCTACCATTCATATCGGCTATAAGTCTGATCATTGATAATCAAATATATGATACAAACCTTAATAAACAGTAATTATACCAAAAAATAGTCAATTTTTTAAATTTTAGATTTATTTAAATGAAAACAATTGAAAATGTCTTTAAAATATCTGATAAATTGGGTTCAAATATAAAACTATATATCATTTTAATAATCAAATTATTTATCATTCAATTGAAATCAATTCATAACTTAATATTAGTGTAAGTGTTAGACAAAAAAAAACTTTACAACAAATGAATATCAATTGTTAAGAGAATAAGTCTATTGAAAAACGATAAAAATGAAGAAAAATATGAGTGATTGGTATACTCTCTATGGATTGATTGGATCTATTCATCCGGATTTAAACAAAAGAATGGCGACCTGACCCAAGTAGAAGTATATGAAATGTTTGGTTTCGTGGGTCACATATGAGCCGAAATTGCGGCCAACAATGCAATGCCACGTCGGGTTGTACTTCTTGTCAAACTCTTTCTTAATATAAGCGGCGATGTCTTTCTCGATGTTATATTTGTCTAATGCGGCCAAAGCTGTATTGACGGCGTCGTCCTGCATCTCCTCACTCATGTCCGCATTCTTTACCACCGCTTTCTTATCGCCCGAAGACATGATATTCTATAATAAATTCATTGAAATCAATGGTCACAATCAATGGTGACAATGATGTTGATATTGATGGTCACACTTACCTATTAAGTGATCAGTTAATCAACAAAACAATTCAAATGACTTTAACTGCAAAAGCGATCAACACTTGTGTTAAACTAAACCTCAAATGCTTTATAAACACTAACACAGTGTCGGCAATGCATTCAACAATCACTCTCTCATTGGTCACAATGTGTGCCAAACTCTGAGTTCTCTAACATTCTCTAACAATTGCAAGCATTTGATTGGCTAATACTCTAACAATATTTGAAGGTTTCATTCAAAACACTAATATATTATAAGTTATTACGAAATGTCATCACTTTCTCCAAACTTTTAGTCAAATTTTGTTATTAATATTAAAATCATTGAATTAAATCATTGAATGCTTATAAACAATGACATCAATTATATACACAATTATATACACTTTAATTGTATTGAATTTGTGTGACAATCACTTTCAATATACAGTATTATTCATATATAGGTATAAATAATTATTAATCTTAAAGTTAACTAATAGTATATAACTTTATAATCTATAATCATATACAGTATAATACAGTATATTTCAATATAATATTTAAATAAAAATTAATTTATTTACTTTTATTAAATAATTTTACAAAATAGTTGACAATTAGGAAAGTATTTATGATTTATTAATAATGAATATTTGAAAATAAACTAAAATACATTTTTTTTATATAAATATGTTTATAAAAATTTGTAAAATTAATGTAACGATTAATCGATTATATAATGAATAAATAAATGATTAATAAAGCAATTAATAAGTAAAATAAACCCCACTTTAAAAGCCATAAATTATTATAAATTTAATACAAACTATTGAGATATTATTTCAATATTAGTGTGAATATTGTGAAACTACAGTATAATTACGTTAAATAAATGCATTACTTATGTCTCAATTTAATTGAATTATCAAAAATTATAATATATTAAAATATTGCGATCAATTTGTCAAATTTAACCCAATAGTCAATGAATTATATTTATGTAATAAAAATACTATAAATTTGATTGAAGCCATAATACAATATATAAAATGTCTTAAAAAAGCAAACTTTTTATAATTTTATAAAAATATTTCACATCTCAAGTCTTGATATTAGACTTTGAGCAAAATTATTACTTTTAGATATTAATTAATTAGACTTTTAGTAAAATTTTAAACAATTTAACAAATCAAAACATAAGAGTTTGATATTAAATAATAATATTTTATAAAAACCAGATTCATAAATTAAATGTAAAATTGTTTAATAAAATAAAATACAATAGTTCCCAAAGTTGATGAAAGTGTGCCAAATTATGTCAATTTAATCTATATATTAACAGTAAATATAAAATAGTCATTAAATCAAAAGAAACAAAATATTCAAAATCAAACCTTCGTGTGAATTAATTATAGGATGCGATTCGGTAGATATGGGAGGAACGGGTGACGGACTTTTCTTTATCTCATTTAGTTCCGATGCATCAGAAATGCTTAAATTTCTAATTACCGGTTAATTTATAAAAATTAAATTAATTCAAATTAATGGAAATAATTGTATTGCTTACGTAATGTGATCTTTAACGCTATCAATGGTAATATCCAAAGAGTTGGTTTTGACTGAACTTTCAAACGTTACATTTGAAACGTCGACATCAGCTTCTAATTGTGAATCAGCTGATTCTGAGTCATTGTCACCATTAATACCATTATTGACAGTATTTCCATTGGTTACAACCTCTTCTATTTCCTGGTGATCCACTTCAAGATCGTCAACAATCTCTTGATTTTCGTCAATAATATCTTGATTTTCGTCACCAATATCTTGATTATCGTTGCCATCTTGTGATTCAAATTCATTGTGACTGATAGGAGACTCGTCAATACCGCTCGTAGGCATCGACTTTTCAGTACAATCGTTTGGTGTCTCTTGTTTTTCTTCATCAATTTGTTTCTCAATAACTTCTCTTTCATTTCCTTTACTTTGATCATTATTTTCAAGTTTATTGTCTTCAATCATAGTATTTGTTGTTTCATTGGTCTCTTTGTTAGTATTTTCATTAATATCATTAACGACAGATGCGGCAGCAATTGGAGGAATTTGTGCAATAGGTTTGATAGGACGGACACCTTCTGGTAATTCAATGGTACAAATTGGTTCAATTATATGTTTGGCCGATAATGAGAACCGTCTGAATTCACTGGAAGAGTGCAAATAAAATCCCTCTCCATTTCGTGTAAACACTAAACTTGATATTCCGTTAATATCCTCTCTTTTGGTACAATGAGTCTGAATTTGACGCTTTAATTCGGGTATCGAAAGGACTCCGATATCGCCCTGATTTGAGAGACAAAGTAAATGATATTCAATGTGATTGTCGTTACTTTTGCTGCCAAACTCTGCTACAGATATACGTCGAGCTCTGGCGCCTTCATGTGCTGTCAGTTTAAACTTATTTAATGGTTTGAGATTTGGGAGATTAAACAATTTAAACTGTTCTTCAGAACAAATAAGAACCCGATGTCCACTTGAAGTTGGGATCTTTGCGACACCTTTTTGAACTTCATATGAATCAGGAAGAGGTATACCATTTCCATCAATTATTTGAATTGCAACTATAGGTGCCTTATGTTTCAAATGTATTTCTTTTGCTAATTGAGTGCTAACATCTTCAGAGACTCTTTTATCATCGGATGGCATAACTATGGTATAAATTAAAACATTTCCAGCGTTAGTTGCGGCCCAAAGAGTTGGTGTTTGAGTAGAATCTAAAGAAAATATTTAATTAATATTTAGTTAAATTTATTGATTAAGATTATAGAGTATGAACTTACTGTTAATAATAAATGCATTTGAAAAGTATAAGCAGCGAACCATTGATCCCATGGCATCATCAGCAGATCGGGCCTCAATTTGTCTCTCAACGGGTTTGGTTTCGAGTTGAATAATCTCTCCTTTGGGTGACTTTCTTCCCTCTTCTATAGACTTTGATGGCGATGTAGATGAGGCAGCTGTTGATGATGGAGAAGCAGCTCTTTTGTCACCTCTTTGTGATCGTCCTTTTCTTAGTCTGCGAAACGATTCGCGTAAACTTTTTTTAAAAGATTTACGTCTAGTAATTATAGCATCTCCTCCGGCAGCACCCATCAAATCGTGTGGATTTAGTGTTGTTTTGGTTAAAACACTTTTCCGAGATTGATAATCAAACATAACAAATCCATGAGCAGTTCCAGCAGCAATAAGTCCCCATTCAGAATACAGAGATAATGCAGTGATGGCAGCGGGAGGTTGAAGTTGAACAATACTCGATGGTTGATATCCCACTTCAAACTTAATATTTCCACTTTTGGAAGTAAGCTGTGAGTGTCCCTTCCAAACAAATCCATCTTTATCTCCGACAATATTCAACAAACTACTAGATAATGGTTTTTCTAGTGATTCTCCATTAAAGTCAAATACAATTACTTGACCGGCTGTTCCTCCAATTACTAGAGTTCCAGTATAAACACAAAGAGCTATCTTCCTAACAGCAAATCTCGGGTCATCACTGTATGGATCAAAGGTACCCACTTTTCTAAAGGGTGGCCACTCATCTTCAGCGTTGGCCTCGTTATTAGGATTATCGTCACTATCAATGAGTGCAATATCATCATCGCTGGCCAGAAAAAATTTGCTGGTCATCAAAGTATATAAATGTTTGAGAGAAACTGAAGTCGAGTCCCAAAATCGTATACTTCCATCTTCATGACCGGTCACTAATATATCGTGAGTTAAAGCTGTAGTCTTTACATTATTTTGGCCACCATTTATAGGCCATTCTTTTACTGTAAATTTTGATGACATTTGTACTCTTCCCGCGTCAACAATACTTTGGTATATTTTATCGGAAACACAGCTATAATGTTGACAACAAGTTATGGCTGACGAGTGAACACTTGATAAGTACGGAAGTTTATGTTGAAGCCAATCTGGATGTGTTAGATCTATAATAACTATTTCCTCCTCAACTAATACCACAAGAGTTGATGGATTATCATATTCTATATATAAAACAATATTTATTTAAAATTATTACATATAAATATTATTAAAATATTTCAATTTTATATATACCTTTTGAGTTCAAACGCGAATCAATAACCAAGAAATCAATTACTTTTGAAGTAAAATCGAGGACATGATGTTTACCACTTTCGGGAGTTCCTTGAAATATTGATACCGAATACTTATCATTATGAGTGGCTCGTGGCATACCTCCACTGAATATTATTAAATCATCACTAAATACAAAATATATATATATAACCAGTTAATTAAAATGTTATATTTTAACAAAAGTAATCAATATAAACCTATTTTGAACTGTTTTCCAAATAATTTTATTGATAGCTTTACAAGGAAATGGTCCGTAAGGTATCTTTGGTGGTTCGCTAGCATGTAATTTGTCCGATGCTTTCCAGACAATATATGAGCCATCGTTATGGGCGCTAATAAACTGTTGGCCGTCGGAAAGCCAATAAACAGACTCGAGTTGCTATTTGTTAGTAAAGCAAATTAACGGTCAAATTATAATTATTAATTAAATTACAAATACCTGAGTCGCGACATAATAATTATCTGCAGATAAGGTTTCATTATTCCAAAGAACAAGAAGACCTCTGTTATATCCAATAAGAAATTTATTAGCAATCGATGGTTGTTCAGCAATCACTTCAACTGATCCCGGATTAAATTTATAATCATCCGGTACGTTTTGAAGGACCACATCTTGGTATATGATTTGATCATTTAGATCAAACTTATCGACATCTAATAAATAAGTGTTTCCACTTTGAGTACCAATTAATAGTAAATCGAAATTTGAATTCAAAGTAATTGTTGTGATTTGTTTGAGTGAACCCTCTTTGGAAGCTTCGGTGAGAAAAAAATTGCAAGTCTTGATGCACTCAATCTCTCCAATCTTTACATTATTTTGTGTTTCTTTTGTATTAATTTCCCACAAATGTAAACAATTATCAGATGAAAGTGTTATAAATTGAGCCCTATTTTCGAGAAATAGTATTTTTCTTATTTCGGACTCATTTTCAATTTGTGCATAAAATTCAACTCCAGGGGAACCATAACTATACGTAATATAATATTCAATTAATACTTATTTGTCATAACGACATATAATTGCTATAAATTAATAGTAAAAATATTAAATACACTCTAATTAATCCATTTTTGGTGCCAATTGCAAGTAATGACAATTGATGGTCATATGAGACAGCACTCGGATGGTTAGGAAAGCCATGGATTGCAGTCTTTATATAATAACAGACATCAAACAAATTAGTTTATTAAACAAATTAATTGTATAATAATGTCTTACTTTATGAAAAGCAAATAATTCCTTCTGAATCTTAAGACGATCAGCACTGGTCTGACCCGACTTTCCTCTTATAAACTTAAACATCGTTTATAGACAACACATTCACACAGATCCACATAAAACTGTTGTCTAAAATTGTAAAAAACAAAATTAATTGTTTGTCTTAAATAATTTTATCGATTCAACTAATATTATATTATTAATATATATGATATAATAAATATAATTCATAATAATTGTTATCTTAAAAGTGCTTCAAATGTTTTCAAAACAATAACTTAAACATCAAAACACTACTCAACTATCAAACTATTTATAAAAATTGAATATTAAAAAAAAAGTTTGTTTTAATCTAACAATTATTTTGTCGATAGTTTTTTTGTAACAAATATTAACAGCAGTCACACCAATATTACAGGTGTTTTCATATTATGAGTCAATACACCATTGAAAACATCATTATATCATATATTATATATATATTAATCAACAAAAAACATATAATATGTGATATAAACCTATTTTTCATATAATATATGTTTTGGACATTCATTTGATGTATAATAACCTCAAACAGTGACCACAACTATCATTATAATGACTAATGTATGTAAAGCACAGGTATTGTTGTAGTGTTGGAGAGCCCTAACACTGAGGCAATGGGCGTAAGTTTAATGCTATAACTATAGCCTATAATAGTTGTTATTGTCATCAAAACAGTTGTGACAATCATTTCAATACAATTTAATTGTTATTTCAATCAAAACAATCATTACTTACATAACGTTATCAATGAGTCAACGATTGATCGGTGATTACGAGTCAATCAATGAGTCAATCAGTGATTGAAATGCCGGCAAAACCTATGGATCAGCCGTTTGTTTGTATTGTTTGTCACAAAGGAATGCATTTAATGCTTAAAACACTAAACAATACGACAAAACATCTATGACTCACACCATTCATACGTATATTACGTCTATATATTTGTTGCATAACTTCGACAATACATTACATTTACAATACATTTACAATACTTTTATTATTTAAGTTTTATAACAAAAGTACTGTATTTTAACATCACTGACAAACAAACAGTGTTTTAGTTATTAAGTTATAAAAACTGTAGTCAAATACAGTTAACATTTTATTAATACAACTGTACTATTAATGTATAACATTATAACAATAATAAGTTAACAAAATTAATGATAAACTGTTTAAATCTAAAGAAAAATTTAATTGATTTTTCAAATGCTATTATTTATCTTATTTTAAAAATATAATATACTTTAACGGCTCTAATGATATGATAATTAAATAAATAAACAAAATGTATATCAATAGCAAATTAATTATTAATAGTAACCAATTTTTTGATGACATTTTTGTATTGAACTGTAACTAAATTTAAAGCATTTATTTTGGGATTAATTTTTTTATTTACTTATTCAATAAAATATACAATATATTTGACACATTAAATGATTAAATGATTAAATAATATGATTTAATGATATGATTGAAGTGAATATCAGAAATCAATTTTATTGATTAGGTTTACTATATCTAGTGCTTCACCGAAGGGTATTCCGTATCCTTTATGAAGACCTAAAGGATTGGACGGTGTTTTAGAGTCGGTGTTAACTTCTTTGCGCAAACACTTATCGATGTCAACGTTAGAAAAGAAAGCCACAGAAAGAGGCAAATCATTTAAACCCATTTTATAAGCAAACAGAGATCGGGTCAACAAATTGGACAGTTGTAGAGCTAAGGCAGCCTTATATTTGTGTTCACTTTTGACGAGATACCGGAGCTCGTCGTGAATACTAATCGAGAATCGACCCTCGATTTGCATTTCTTTAAACAACCACTTCATTGTAACTAACATTATGTGCAAGAAGTCAACAGCTGATGACTGTACCACCCAATTGACTCGTGATGTTATATAATTATGTTTAACTACTTTTGGTTCTAAACATCTACTAATACGACACTCGAGAACTGGTGTTTTTGGTTCATATGATTCAGCAATTTCTTCTAATTTGTTAAACATATGCGATTCACTTCCACCAAACCATTGTCTTCGAGTAACATCTTTGTTGTCTTCATTTTCATTTCTGTTTTCGACTTTAGATTTTATTGTTCTTCGTTTTCCTTTAGTTTCAATGAATATCTTTTTTGCCTTTTCTTTAGCTTCAGTGTGAGTTAGAGATGGATTTGATTGCATTAAGAATCGAGAAGCAAATGGTTGTCCGGAACCGTAAATGCGGGCGTAATTCAACACTTTTGCCTCATCTCGAGTTATATTAATAGAAGCTGCAGTTTTGCTGTGCATATCAGTACCGTTAGCTTTATTACCTTCCAGTGTCATCCATCCAATTCCTGTGGATCCATGTATTCCTGAATAATAGGAATCGCCAATTAATGAGGCGATCCATAGTTCTTGAGAATCGACATCAGCACCGACATAATGATAGCCTTGAGGACATTGAATCATAGATTTGAGTTCACTTCCTAATCGGTCAGAGACTGCGTTGCTGGCTGTAAGCCATGTCGGCTCTACAGCACGTCTGGTAACAGTTCCGGCAACAATAACTCTTGGAAGTATAGCTCCCGAAGAAGAATCGTCAGATGTCACAACTATTTGGGAACAAATTCTTTTCGAAGCGTTTTTCCAATAAGAAAGTCTTTTGCTATGATTAAGCACTGAATTTGTCATTTGAGTGTCTAATGAAGTTAATGATCCGTCTTCTACTTTCTTTAGGAAATCCTATTTTATTGTATAATAAAATCAAAACAATTACTGATAAATTCAAATAATTATTATGTATTATACAAGTTTTAACTTAATTGGATACCTTAGATAACGGGTTACCAACCCTTTTATCAGGTCCTCCCTTATGAGGAAGTTTATAAAAAAGACATCCTTTGATTACATCGTCGTAAGCCTTAATAGTTTCACCTTTTGATTCATTATATGTTTCTATTTCTTCAAGAGATTCATTGAAATTTAATTTCTTGAACTGTTTTTGTCTATTCTTTATAAGTTTTCTAAACTCTTTCATCGGAAAATATAATGTATTTTTATTGTCATCAATACCTCCTTCAACTCTATCGGAACAATCATTTGCTGTAATATCAGGTGTGATATAACCCCAGCCGTGTTTTTCATCGAAATGAAGTGGATATCCATTCCAAAGAAGTCGCATTAGTTTAGGCACTGAACGCATTTGAGTGCTTATCTTATAGGGTCCGGACTCCCATTCAAGGTCTTCAGGACTGACGTCTCCATTAGCATCAAAATCATACTTGAATTTTGCACAAAACTCGAGATACCATTTAGGATATCCTGGCATTAATGGCTGAACTTTCTTTAATAAGGATCCGGTGCTCATTATTTTAGACACATTTTCATTGATATTATCATCTTTTAAATCTATGATTGAATTTGGATCACATCCGCAATTCTTAGTCATTCGTTTGTTAGTAATTTCTGGTTTAGTCTTTTTGAACCTAATTTGTTGCGTTTCCCAATTCAAGTCCCAAAGCCAGACATCACTGGTATATTGATTGTCAATAGCCAGAGAACAGCAATCATTTGCTATTTCACGTAAAGATAAATTTAGTTCTCTTTCGTGATCATCATAAATGGCATTACATTCAGATACATAACGGTTCCAATTGTATGTATTAACCGGTAAATACATTACAGACATTTCTAACATTCCGGCAAAAGTGATGGGATTTGGGAATCGCTCCAAAAACATGGGATATATTGTCTTAAAAATTTTATGTGTAACTAACACATCATTTGCACAATAAGTCATTAATTGTTGAAAACTTTCAAATACATCACCAATTGATCCCTTTATAAATATATTTCTTGGATCCTTTGAAATTTGTTGCGTGTCGTCACCGCAATAAAGATGAAAAACATCAACTAAATTATTAAGAGATCCAATACCATCCCATAAATGAGGATCAATATCTCCAGATATGTTACCAGTAGTGCCAATCTTTCTAGAATAAGAAAGTGCTCTCTGGTGTTGAGTTAATCCAGAAATACACATATGAAGACTCAATGTATCTAAAAATCTAGTTTTATCACACTTTATATCATATTGTTCTCTAATGAATGAACGATCAAAACTGACATTATGTCCAATAATTAGTTTCTCTTCATTGTTGGCAAAACCCATAGGAATCATATCATTCATTATTAACTTAGTATCAAATCGTTTGTCGTTATTCTTGCTTTCAATAAGTCTTGAACTACACCACGAATACCAGGCCTTTGATGACATGGCTGTTGCTAAGGTAGGTCTTTGTCCGTTACTATCTTTCATACAAACTTCGACATCAAATACTAAATCATTTTCTAATGGGAAGTCAACTCTTTGATGAGTTATATTGCCATTTGAGTCGTTTGTATATCGAGTCCATCCTTCATCTAAAACCCACTCTTTAGGCATATCTATCACTTTAGCATTAATTAAATCATCTGATAATTGTTTATACTTTTGAGAAAATTGTTGACCCAATAGATGATAATGTTTTGATAAATCATTTGATAAAAATTGTGGCAAATATTTGTCAATTTGAATGTCATTTAATTGTTGGTTAGATTTGATGTCATGTCCTTTGAATCCCTGATTATTCAATTGTCTGACAATAGCTGTAATCAACTTTTTGTCACACTTTTCATCGGTTGGCACACAATCACCAAAAATGCGTTTATGAAGATTCTTTGATATCATTTGGATCCCTAATCGGTTGAATCTCAGGCCATTGTCATCAGTGGTTATCAATGATTTATCCACTTTTTTATCATTTTCTTTCATCTTTTCTACACTTTTAACAACTTTGCGACTCTTAGTCTTGTCATTGATTTGATATTTAATTGTTGTCTTATTTCTACATATAATATATCTGTAAGCAATTAATTGTTTTATTGATAATAATTTACAATAATGTGAATAATTATATAAATTTCTAAACATTTTATTCAATCAAATATTATTTGTTTTTAACACAAACTTAACAGCAAAACAATTGAACAAAATATCATATGTTTATCATGTGATCACTGATCGTGTATTGTATTGTACAGTATTATGCAATTTGTATACAATATAAAGTTTATACGATATTATTAATAACATATACTGTAATCAGGTTTAGTAAGGGGGGGGGGGTAAGACCAAAATACCCCCTAAGATCGAGAAACTGGGATTTTACCAGACTTTTTGACCAAATGGGAAAAATTGTGGTTTAAAAACGAGGAGAAATGACCGAAAACACATAAATTTTTTTAAGTTTATAAAAATTTTAATTTTAATTGATACTATTTTAATAAGTGTTTTTATGTTTTTAAAATTTATATAAATCTAATTATTGATTAAAAATAAATAAAATAGTTAAAATAACGTTAAAACTCATGAAAAAATAACATTATTTTAATTAAAATATTAAACTAAAAAATTATAAACCTATTTGTTGAAAAGAGTAATCATATTACAATTACAATTACAATTACAATTACAATTACAATTACAATTACAATTACAATTACAATTACAATTACAATTACAATTACAATTACAATTACAATTACAATTACAATTACAATTACAATTACAATTACAATTACAATTACAATTACAATTACAATTACAATTACAATTACAATTACAATTTAAATTTAAGTTTAAGATAGTTTAAGAAGTTAATAAAACAATAAATACTTATATTATAAGGTTTTTATTAATAATTTTTAAAACTTTAACTAAAAAATTTGAAAATATTTTCAATTTTATAATTAATATAGCTAAAACTTTAACGAACATTGAGTTAAATAATTGGTATTCAGTCAGTATTTGTATAAAAATAACATTTAAAAAATAAAAATATATAACTATAAACTATAAACTAAGTATTATATAAAAAATTAATTATGTTGTTAAAAATTATTAAAATAACTCATAGTGTATCATTAATGCTTTTATCAACTATTTTTAAATCTTAAATACATTATTTTATTTTTTGTTAAAATTTGTTTTTGTTAATTTTTAAGTTTTTTATATTTTTGGAAATTTTACCTATTTTTCTGTGAATTTATGGGAACTTTATCGAATTTACATGGGAATATTCGGGAATTTAAGGGTATATTAGGGAATTTTCTCTTGACCCCCCCTTGATTTTTGAAAAAATTGCCGTTTAAAAATGCAATAAAAATCTTAGCCCACCCAATACCTCCCCCCCCCCCCAAGATTCTGTAAATTTCATCCCGGTCTACCCCCCCCTAAAATCCAAAACCTTGCTTAACCCTGACTGTAATGTATTTTATTAATAAATCATTTATTTGTTCACAAAGTTTGTAAAAATCTGTTAATTTGATATATTTAGGTTACGTTAGGGTGGGTTAGGAGGTGTAGTAACTGATATTATCTTAAATAAGTTAAACTATGACTTCATATCAAACGATATCAATAAATATGATACACTTTATTGAAGTTTTGATCGTTTTGTTTGGTATTAATAATAGTCTCATAAATACCTAATTATTAACAAATTATTTGATATTCAATATGAGTATTAGTATTAGTAATACTTAATTTAAAATAACTATAAATTAAATAAACTATTCTAAACTTAAGTTGAAAAATATTGTTTTTATTTCTATAAATATTATATTAAATAAATTTCATCAATCATTATATATAATTTATAAATTTATTAATAATGCAAACATAGAATTAAGTAAAATCCTAATTATGGTTAATGTGTTGTACTGTATATCTAACGATATAACAAAACATTAGTAAATTCAACAAATTTCAATTGAATTGTAAACTTTAATAATTAAAGAGAGTCTTAATTAACTCTAATTATATATTTAACAGTAATTTTTTATAATGAAAAACACACATAACTTACAGATACAGTAGTTTTCAGTAATAAATTTTTTATTTGTTCAGAAATAATTACAACAAATATATTAAGTTTTAATTAATTCATAATATCTTTGTTTAGTAATTAACTAAAAATTTAGAGAAACTTTCAAAACTTGTTTTTAATGAAAGGGTTAATCAATTGATGCAAATGTGAATATCTACTGTAGACTAGTGTGTAAAAACGTGAATCACGAATAAATTGGTTAATGTGATTGCAAGTCTAGTTTAGGTGATATATGAAAAAGATTATTAATTTAAATGGTTATTATATTTATGACAATTTAAATTTTATTTCTCTATTAAAATCATCAATTTTATCTATTTGTTGGATAATTAATATTATATGTATTTAATATCTAATATGGTATGGGATAGGGAGTAATAGACAGCTTTTTGGACACTAATATCAATACTACTATTAATACAATAGTATAATGCAATGTATTTCGTAATATTATAGTCTACTGTATAATACACTGTAGACTATGAATGACAACATAAATGCATTGAAATCTTCAATTAAATGCAATTTGACTGCAATTTCTCCTATACTTTACATATAATCTCTAAATAAATATACGGTATTTGAATGTATAGTCTATTAAAGCCTTGAAAAATGCCAAATATGCGGCTAATGTCACAAATAACGTACAAATAAGGGTTTATTGACTGATATGAGAATTGCATTCAATGAACTCATTGGGGATTTCATTGACTTTACATTATTTATTAGTGAATCACTAATTGATTGAATTGCTTATTATAACAGTTATAATGTATTAATATTACAATAGAGAGTACTCTCTAAACAGTAAATACATAATGTTTTGCCATATTTAGCACCAATTGATCGCTATTTCGATGTTATGATTGATTGTAAACATTTGATTGTATTATTTATTTGTCGATTATTTACATAAAAAGTATCAACAAATCGGTGATCAAAATGGATAACAATTGCAATAATAATGAAGACATTCATTTTGAGTCACCAGAAGAGGAGATGATTTACTTAAGAAGAAGGTATACATATATGACAAGTCATTTGATTATCTCTTATTTGTTGATCTAATCGATGATAATACTAATTAAAATGTTTTTATTTACTCAAGAGTTGATGAATATCAGTCAGAGTTGGAAGAGTTTCAAGAATCAAGTCGTGAGTTAGAAGCAGAACTTGAGGCACAACTGATCCAATCGGAGAAACGCATCCAAGAGTTGACTCAACAAAATACTAGACTTGAATCGGAAAATGATTTATTGAAAGCAAAGTTAAGTAAACTATCGGTTGAAAGTCAGAACCAAATACTTGAATTACAGAAAGATTTAGCAGAAATCAGTTCCCAAAATGAAAGACTTACATCTTATATCAGAGAACTGGAACAGTCTAACGATGACTTAGAAAGAGCTAAACGAGCACTCGATGCCAGTCTTCAAGACTTTGATGTTAGACTTAATCAACAAATAGAAAGAAATGTTTTGCTTGAGAATGAAATCGGAGAGAAGGAAGAGCTTCAAGAAGTGATTCAAAGACTTAAAGATGAAGCGAGAGATCTTAGACAAGAACTAATGATTCAACAAAAGGTTGACCACAATAATGACAAACGTGTCAATAAATTACCAAATGATAACACACTTAACAATATAAATAATAGCAATAATATTAATAATAATATTAATACCATTAACAACAATAATAATAATAAGATTAGAAGTAATAGCGTGAATGTAAGCAATAGTGAGACTCAAACAAATGGTACGCCAACTAAACAAACGCGACTTAATTATATGAGCAGAAGTGCCTCCAATCCGGGCACTCCTTCGGTTGCCTCTCAGTGTCAGTCCTCGCAAATGCCATTACTATCGCCATCGACTCGTATATCAGCACTCAATATAGTGAGTGATTTGTTACGAAAAGTGGGTGCCTTGGAGTCAAAGTTGGCCTCTTGTCGTAATATTGTCACCACAAACACTGCTCTCACACGCAATCTATCATTCAATAACAACAGATCAACCTCTTCAACACCTATTAGTTCTCCAGTTAAAGAAACCATAAGAGATATCAATGCCAACAGTTAATATATAGCATAAACTTTCATAAAATCTATTTTTAATATACATTTTGACATTCATGACACTATTTCTATACATTTGCATTAAATGAATTCTCAACTTAATATAACTAAAATGTTTTTATTTATGTTATTAAACTTATGGTTAATTTTTAATAAGTAGATAATTTTTAAATATATAAAATTAAATTGTAAATTTATAATATATTTTTGGCACTCATTGTATAACATACAGCCAATATTTTTTGACTTAGGTTTGTCGTAGAAATAATTAAGTTATTAAATATTTAATATACTATCTTAACATATTTTAAATATTATACCTATTAATCTTATGTAAATAAAATAAACTCATTTATAAATAGTAATTTTAGAGTTTATGTTTCAATTGAAGAATATGTGCCATTGGGAGCCCTCAAAAGTTTAGGAAATGTCATCAATTGTAACGAATTGAATGCATATTTAGCTATTCCAACATTTTTACGAGTGTTCTCTCTTCGAGTGCCTTCACTATACATTGAAATTATAAATTAGTATTAATTAAAATTTATATAAATCACTGATACCTTCTGAGTGTATCGATAATTGTCTGAAACCATTGAATTTCATTGATTTCACTAATGTTGAAGAATTGTGCACAAAGTCGCGCTTCCTCAAGAGTGACAGCCATTGATGTCCTATCTTTAGCACTCTTACAACTTGTAAACCGAATGCCATTCAAATGATTGACAATTTGTTGTACCAAATGTAAGACACGAATATTCTTCACTCTGTTGGACCAAATTTCTGACTTAAGTGAAACCATAAGTTTACTCACATTTGAATCGTTAATAAAGGTTTGCTTTACATAAGAATCTAATAGCATATAACTGTCTTTATTTATAGTTTCCTGAAGTTTAACTGAACCTAAGCTATAATTATAATAAATATTTAATTTGTGATATACTGTAATAATAATTGATATAAACAATGGTTACGTTTCAGCGAGAGTGGCGTATTCATTGATACCAATATTGAACAGAAGCGCCAAAACATTGCATTCAATTTTATTTTCAAAACCTTCAAATTGGTTGCAATAGAAAGTGACCCGAATATCAAAACTGTTAAAACAAATTTTTATCAACAAATTAAAATCATTTCAAATAACTTTACGGTTTAGTAATCAAACACCTGTTGCCTTCAATTTTTGGCTGAATATTGGTTTCAATTGAGTTCTCAAAAATAAATTTAACGCAACAATTGATTTGATTGAGAGAGTACTCCATGTCTTCTAACATTGAAACTTCTTCAGCGTAACAACTAAGTAGTACTTCATGTTGTGATAACAGAGTTTTAGTTTGGATTAAGGTTTTTAAAAATGTTTGGTCACTGAGTTGAGAAAGAGTTGCGATGACAAGTGATGTCAATACTTGAGTGAAGATCATATCTCTTCTAAGACGCAAACAATAGAAGCGCTCGATTTGTTGTCGATCTAAACTAAGGGCACAACTGGCGTAACAAATACTCGATGTCTTCAGCAACGACTCGATAGCACTTTTCAACTTTATTTCACTTGCATTCAAATCACTTCTTAAAAGACTAGACTTATTGGCAATTAATTTGCTATTTATACTAATAACTGACGCTTTAATATTTAAATGAATTAAATCAATGGGTTCTAACTCTTGATGATCATCACTAGTAAGTGAATGATATCTTCTAAAATCTCTTATATTATGATTCGATTGTCTTCTAGATTCTTGCAAAGAAGAACTTCTATCAAATGCAGTATTTATTCCACTATTAGTTACTTCCAATTGATTCCTAACTTTTTCACAGAAAGCAATCGATTCCTCTACTATTTGTGAGGAAAGAATTGTAACAATTTCTTTGCAAAATTCTTCTACTTTACTAAAATTATTGAAAACTAACTTCTTATCTATAGTTTGACAATCTATACAATCAATCATACATTTTAAATGATTATAAATTATATCTCGAAGTGAACTGATTCTAAAAAAATTGACCATTGATTTCCATGTCTTCAATAGTGATAAATTGTTTGCATTTTTGTCATTTTTGTATAAATCAGATAATTCTCGTTTCATTCCTCCGCTACCAAAACCAAAGTAATGACTACAATAAGCGCCGACAGTAAATACATCGCGAGTTATTTGTCGGTTGGCATTAGAATCAGTGACTCGACATCGCTGTAAATGAAAGTTAATTGGAATGAATTGAAGAAATTGTTCACTTTTTGCAGTCGACGGCCGAAAACTGTGTTGACTTTGATAAAGACTGATCTCATTGAGTGATTCCGTCAATATGTTGACTAATCTGAGGTGACATTCAAGAGCACGCATTTGGTTTCGTTGGTATTCAGTCTTCACTTCTCCCATTGAATATGTCAAACATGTCATCAATTTCTTCTCGTCATTCATTAATATATTCCTAATCATAAGTAAAATAATTTATATGTTTAAATAGTCAACATTTTTAAGTTAATTTAAGAAATTAAATTTTATTTAAACAACAATTTATTAATTTTTGCTAATCTGTGAAATATTTGATAACATGATTACAAAATAAATATGTGTATCAGTTGTTAAATATTGATTAAAAATAAAATTTATAACTTTTGCTTACATTATAATTTGTGGAAAACCAAAGCAAAGTTCCGATTCTGACATAAATTCATCGATAAATGCAATTGTATTTTGTTTGGGAATCAAAAATTGAAATGATTTACACAAAGTGTTTGTAAATATTTTTGAATTAACGATATCTTCTAAATTATTCATATTTGAATCCAATTGAATATTTGAAATATTAGGCAATGAATTAGTCCTAAGAATTGTTTTATTTTTTATTTGAGACGAATTTGAATTAATATCTAAATTATAATTATAACAATTATTTAACTTTTGAATACAATTTAATGATTTAATTCTATATAAAGTTTGGTCAAAATTGAATGAATGATGAATTAATTTTACGGCTAAAATACCGATCGTTTGCTTATTAATTATAGACTTTAAATCTATTCTGTGAACAGTTTTGTAATCATTTGTTTGGCATTTAAGATAAGAGTCGCATAAAAGGCATTTAGTATTAGTCAAAGTCTCAATTATATCATATAAATTGAATTTAAGTTTAATAGTTGACGATTCATGTATTTCTTGAGGTATTATTAAACACTTCTCAAACCGAGGATTACGTGAACACAAAGTCTCAGTTTTACCAATCAATTGCCACGAATTGGTTATTGTCTTATAGTATATGAATATAACAAAATTTGGTCGAAATCTGCGATTATTTGATGCATTGATATAATCACAACTTACAGACAATACAATAGATGAATCTCTTCTTCTATAATTAGTTATGTCATCTGAGGTCTCATAATTGGTGACAATCTTTAATTGGTTTAACTGATTAACGAGTGATGTATGAAGTGATATGAGGTACGATCTGCCGGACAAATGGATGCATTCAACCCATTCATCTCTTTCTTGATGTGAAATTGTGGCGAAATGTATACTTCGGATCAAATCATTGCGATTTAAGTCAATGACAAACTCGTAGTATTTGTCGGACTCGTCGACAACTCTCACATTGAACTCTTCCAACACTATTATGTTAAGACATCTGTCATCAACTTTATTGATGACATGTGTTGAGTCGTTAAGAGTTTTAGTTGCGATTATCACTAAAATATTGCCTTTAAGTCTAACAAACCTTTCGACAAAAGACTCGCTCTTCCATTGATTAAAGAATTGTCTGTCGTTTCTGTATTTGACAAATAGATATCCTTCTCTATCAAACTGAACCCATTGATGACTATCACCACAAAGATATGGTGTCAATTGATCGACATTGATGTGCATCTGATCTGATTGTCGGCACTAACATTGCATTCAATCACTTAAATTAGTCATTACTTTATCAAAATTGTCATCAAATGAGTGACAAAAATGTTAATAATTGATATCAAAAGTCATTCATTCATTCAATCGATACAAACATTGTTTACATTTTGTTATAATTTTTTAGCTTTTATTATGAAAGTCTATGTTTAGTACAATAACTGTTTTAATGTAAAGTACTGGTCGATCCATAAAAAGATAGCGATTAAAATACTACAAACAATTTATAAAAACTAAATTTAATTTTATTTAAAGTAATCCTCCTGTGCCTGAATGCACTTGGTCATACGCCTCCTCCACCTTTCAAACGCCTCCTCCCAGGCAGTTTTCGCAATATGTTTTAATTTGATATAATTTTATTTATATGTAATAAACATTAAGTGTTGCGACAAATAGTGACAAATAACGGGACAATAAAGTACTCTACAGTGGAAAGTAATGCTATATATATATATAATAAAATTATAATATATAATTTAATTTTGTTTATTTAAATAAAATATATTTAAAAATATCAACATTTACTACATTAATGAATGATAAGTAAATTAACAAAATATGTTTTTATTTTGAATGAAAATAAAAGAAAACTTATTTCACGTCAAGTATTAAAATAAAAAGCATTCATTTAATTAATACTTTTCAAAACGTAAATCTATTAAAATATTAATCAATAATAAGTTAGTTTAATATCTTAATAAATAATACAATAATTTATAATCGTTTTTTGATTAGCTTTTCTAATCGTTTTATACGACTGGACTCATAATCATAATTGTTATCAAAATTGATTTCATTATTAGACAAACTGTTATTATTATGGATATTATCTTTAGTTTGCGGTCTATTCTTGAATGCTTCGAGCAATTGAGTCGATTCCGATCTCTTAACTCCTTTCATATCAAGAATTTTCTGGAATTCATTGTTATCAGAATCGGGTAATAACTTGACATAACTTTCAATGAAATGCTCTGTTTTTTCGTGTGGCACGAGAACCACCTTCAGTATCATCTCTGCTTTAGTCATACCTTTGATGACACTTTTGGTATAAGTGGCCGGAGCTGTCTTCACGTTTGACTCCCAACACGGCAACTCAATTAGCACTTTCTTTAGGGTATGTGTGTCCAGAAGCAACTGTTCAGCCCCTCCTTGACTCAGAGATTTGCATTTAAAGAGATGACTAATATATTTGGGAATAAAAGTCAGCGCAAACTTATTGCATAACTGAGTAAAATATTTGCGGGCTTCCTGTAAGTTATCCCGAATAAACGGAAATAATTGTTGCAATTGCGATGTTATGTGAGTTATATATGAACTTTGACCTATCGGTGTTTCTACCGCTGACCAATTAGTCTGTAAATGTAATATTAGAGATATACGTAATAATATCTACGGATACATCAATTTTATAGTTAGTTTACATACTTTAATCATTAAATTGAAGGCAGACTCACAACCAGCTTCTATATTATGAATTAATAGTTGGATGCAGTTTGAGATAACTCTAAAGTTAAATATAACAATAAGTTAAATCTTGTAATATAACAGTAGTATCAATCAAATAATTAAATTATATTACAAAACAAAATACTCGTAATTACAGTACAGTTATGTTTTAGTATTACCGGTAATATAAAAGTAAAAATTTGTTTTATTGATAATTTAGAAATACAATACAAACCCGTGAAATATATCAAATTCGGAGTTCATATTAATTTTATCGGTCAATGTTTGGTCAACTTTTTCTTGTAATTTTTTCTCCAATTGTTGAGTTGTTTCCAAACAATAATTAGCTGTCAATAAAATACTGCAGACCTGACATAATTCGCTTTTGGATAACACTTTGACACCTCCTTCCGCTTCTTTAAGTAAACTTTGAAGAAGTCCTGCGGCAGATGTGGCAGCCGACAGAACACCTCCCGGTGTGTTGGCTGCGTTTGTTAATGTATTAGAAAGCGTAGCAATTGATGAGAGGGCACCCACTCGGGGCAAATTGCTTTGAAGTATTCGGTGAGCATATTCTCTCAAATATTTCTGAAATGTTGTCGATAAGAGTACTAACGGTTGTCTATTACTAAGTGATACACAGGTAACCAAACAATTCTTGTATTGAGTGAATAGTTTACCACTGGTTGCATATATTTCAGAAATGGTTGCTTCACTTTGACACAGTTTTTTGTGTTCATCGATGAAAGTATCGATTAGTTTTGATAAATTCTTGTCCTGTGCCTCGACGTAAATACTTAAATGACTTTCAAAACATTGTGTTATTTGTCCAGCAAAAGGATTTCCTCTATTATCTTGATTTAACTTTATATCATTTGAATTATCTTTTACCGGTAAAGTGATTCCTGTAAATCTTTGAGACAATAGTTTTTCAAAAGCAGTTGATTTAGATATAGAAGATAATAATAAGTTAACCGTTAATTCTTGCGAGCGATTAGTCATAACTTTGATCAACTCTTTACGTGTTATCCTACAAAACTCGAGAGCAATACACTCACTGACCTCCCATTTTGGTGGAAACATACGCCCATAACGTTCTTCAAATTCAACCAAATGTTTTTTAATCCAATTAAATCGTTTATCGATTTTGTCTAACCATGAAATCTCCTGATTTTCTTGAAATAATGCTTTATATTCTGATAGCTCTATATCAACAAATCGCGTCAATAATTCTCTCTTTATTTTTGAGTCTAGAATATCAACAGCAAGACATCCTTCAGCCAAATATTGCAATTGATTTTGAGAGAAGGAGTTCCGAGAATTAGGACCTTCAAAAGCATTACGAAAGTCTTCCAATATTTGTTGTCCTAATTGTCCTCTAATAGTCTCTACTTGTTCTGCCAAAAGGCTAATGTGAGGAATATGTCGATGTCTTTCAAATTGTTTCAATACATCCATCACTCCTTGTAGTATTTGAGCTGATTGTCCGTATTGACGCTTCTTTGTTGCCTCTCTTTTGGTAAAATAGTTAATAATTAAAAACAAAAACATAAATTAAGTTATTTTAAGTCATACTGTAATCTATCGGTTCCCTCAACTAAGATGTGTAGATTGTTAAGCATAATGATAGAAGTGGTAAGATTTCGTTTTGCATTATCTAATTGCTTGATATCACTCGTAATTTCGTTGACCTATCAATTAAATCAAATATACATTAATATTGAGCGATAAGTTGTCAAAAAACAATTTACAATTTGTTCCGATTGTTTGGCCTGTTGTTTGATCTCAAGGATACGATTGGCCAGTTGTGCGATCACATTACGGGCCGACTCCAAGGCTTGTTTGCCTTCATCTTCAACATTGGTCTGTCCGCGCACTACAACCCGAATCTCATCATCCAATTGTCTACAGTTGTCATCAAAACAATTGATATTTTATACTACAATATAATATATTCAAAATATATGACAAAATGATAGCAAACCTAATCTTTTGTTTCATGCGATTCAAGACATCGTCAATATTAGAGAGCGATTGTTCCGACGGAAACAAACCATTGATATACTCAACAGCATTGAAGTCTGTTTTGTCTAATGGGTCATCACTAGACAGGATCTGCTCGATAGCAGACTGGACAGCACTCGTCACACCCAACTGACCATTAAGTAAGAGCTTGTTGTCATCGGTGGTCACTTCATTGTCTGAATCCAATACTACAGTCTTGGACTCCATTGATATCAATCACTAATACTAATAATCAAACTTTAAATTAAAAAATATGTTTTTGTTTACATTTGCAATGTTTTCATAAATTTCATTCATATTGTGATTATTATTAAAGAATGCATTTCCTATACATTCAGTGCTTAAAGTTTTTAAAATAATATTTCTATGTATTATATAAAAGAGTTGCACAAACCTTACACCTCCCAAACCTCCCAAACCTCCCAAACCTTAATACAATTAGAAATCTATAATAATTAAGAATTTTATTCATGAAAATATAAAGTATACATACAAAACACACACACATTATACAAAATGAAGATTAAATTTAGTTAAATAATTTTTTTTAATTTAAAAGAAATTAAAAAATACGAGAATTTTTAATAATTGGTAATATTATTTGAAAACCACATTTTTGCAAATTCTTAAATGTGTTTACAGTAGTTTTTTAAAATTTAGTATAATTATTATTATGTTTTCACATTTTTTTAGATAGCATACCTCCCTATGCTAATATATACGTACCCTTATTACTAAAAAAAAATTACCGGCAATAATAAGTTAAATTTATTAAACACAAATCTGAAATTTAAAAAAAAATAATTTATAAAATCAAAAATTAAACAAATCAACTAGTACAAATTAATCAATTTATTTATTCAACTATTGATATAAATAGGTCAATGTATTAATATTAAAACATTTATCGAAACATAAAAATACATTTGTATTATTTTTGTAATTTTTTATATATTATATTTATAGTTATTTTTGTTTTTTTTTATTACCGGTAATACAAATATTTTGAAAACTAGTGATGTTGAAATTTTAACTAAAAATCTACCAAATAATATCAAATTTAATTGTCCTTATATTGTATAAAAACTTAATATTAATTCACATTAATTGCATTTAATTGAAAATTAAATTAATAACAGTAGAAGTGAACAATGTCTACGTGTCTTACAATTTGTTAATTATGTTATATAATATAAAATTATAGTACAAGACATTAAAGTATCAGTTCGTTAAAGTTTAAACTTTTTATTGTGTTTTCTTTCATCTTTGCTTTAAAGTGAATATAAAGCGCTAAAAAGGGTAACTTTTAATACAATTATCTATTGCTATAAAGTATTTATTTTATATAAATTAATAGATAGCAGTAATATCTACACTAATAATAAACTTATTTTAACACTGACTTTATATTAAATAATAGATTATATTTGGATAAATATTTGAATTGTAATTAAAATTAAAGTATTTAGAGAAGCAGTTATTCAATGACGACATCAAATGCTGACACTTCTTCAGCAATTCCGCATAAGTTGTTGCCGATAGCGATGTGAAGATATCCATCGATTCCGAAACTGGTGTCCCAAGTGTTTCGTATGATATAATAAGGAATATCTCCTAAAGTTATTAATATACAATATATATAAATTATATACAATTATATACAATATATATAAATTATATATAATTATATACAATATATATAAATTATATACAATTATATACAATATATATAAATTATATACAATATATATATAATTATATACAATAATATAAGTTATTGTAATAATAGATTAGAGTATATATTACTTAATTAATTAGAAAATTAATAATAATTGTCTGCAAACCGGTTAAATCATAGCCAACAATCTGGACGGCGTGGTTGAGGTCACGTTGACAATGATATTGAATGACTCCACCCAAGTAGTGCTGCCAACTCTTTGCGTCGACGGCCACAACAAGAGGGCCGTGATTTGCCAAAAGTCGCACCATTTGTGGCTCATTTGATATAAAACTTAAAAAATATTTTAGTTTAATAATAATTATTAGATTTTAAGCGAATTTAATAATAATAATAATAATTGATTACTTATCACATGTAAAATTGCCAGAAATAGCGATTCCGTGTTTAGTTTCTGTTTGTTTACACTTTCCAGAAGTTCCAGTCGTTGGGTATTTGTCAGCGGTTTGTAAGCGGACATTATTTTCAGCCATCCATACCAGTGCAGCACAAGTATCTCCTCCATCACAACCCTTATTATCTTCATTTGCACAATCAATCAATTGTTGGACACTATATTTTCGCAATGAACTAGTCTTAAGTGCTACCATTGTCTCGATTGTCTCAACTATAGACAGTGCCCAACAGGCACCACAATCACCTAATTATTTATACAGTTATTTTCAATTTAATATAAAATAGGTTTTAATTATTTAATCTAATAAACCTTGATTTATGACTTTTGTAACTGCGTTTTGTTGTCTATAATCCACTTTTTGTGGCACATCTTTGAGAAAAGTCTTTAACTCTTTAGAACTAATGAAAGATCTTTTCTTTGTTTTCAAAATTCTTCGTTTTGGTGACTGATTGTTGACATGTTTTTGTACTTATTATTGAATAATTATATTTATAGTAAGCAATAATCTAATACTGTATATAATTTATTAGTTAAAATAAACAATAATTACTTATTTGTTGAAATTCTTGTGGTGTTAGATCTGAGAATCGGGTGATACCATAAACAGCACTATTGTCACTAATTCTTTGATTATTTAACCAATTAATATGATTTAAAGAATCCTTAATATGGATACAAAATATTTGTAAAATTGATTTAATATTTTTAAAAAATAATTTTTATAAAATTGTTATTAATATATAAAATAAAACCTGAAAGATGTCCCGTCTTTTATAAAATTCTTTGCTATCAGTCTTATATGTTTTGTTGTATTTGTTTACAAAACAATTGAATTTATTATTTATTATATTGTTGTCATCATTGTTACCAATTAAGACACCATTGATTAACAATATTAAAAGATACGACATTTTGTTAATATTTTTAAAGTTAAAGTCTTTAACAAAATATAACAAATCTTTTTTCACATAAATTACTTTTTAATAAAACTTATGATTATTTCATTATCTATGAAATGATTAGACATAAGTAAATGCAAACTCAGGATTCATTTATCACTTGTCTTGAAATAATTGATTACATCATTGAATGTCAGCAAAGATTGAATCAAATAATTGTCAGTTTAAATGAATAACGGTTCAGAAGAGCAGCAGATGTTGACCAATGCTTAGGAAGACTTTAAAAAAGTCAAATAAAGAGCCAAACAGTTGTATGAATGCATTGATTGGTTGAAACAATTATATCAACTGATTTGACATCTGTTGCCAAAAACACATCCAATTGGATGTATGTCTTGAATGACGTTTTCGATGACGACATTCATAGCCATAGTGTTTGTCTTAAGAGTCAGAAACAGAGCACAGACTCTATTGAAGTGATTTTAGTGACAACTATTGATATATTGGTTTTCATAGGTTTTGATGATTAGATCACTTGTTAAACAAACTAAACGATTGACAAACAGAAAAAGTCTTGTATTGTCACCACAAGTGCATCACTTAAGGACTAACGCAATGAGTAATAATATAGTGACCATTGAAGCGACGGCAAAGCAGACGTCAACCGTTGGTTTCATTGATTTTATTATTTTGTTTAACATTTTAAAGATATTTAATAATTACTTAATTTAGATAATTTTTTTACACGGATTGGGTGATACCGGCCACGGATGGGCTGATAGTATCAAACATATAAAGCCGTCGGATACTAAATGCATGTGTCCCACAGCGTATGTCTTTATCGGATAATTTGATCCGTTAAATATTTGCTTATTTAATCAAATTAATTATATGGACAGTCAGGTGATGCCCGTCTCACTGAACGGTGGTTTTCCAATGCCCTCCTGGTTTGATCTGTACTCACTTGACACGGATAGTAGAGTTGATGAAGAAGGCGTCAAAAAGGCCACAACTTATGTCCACCAGTTGATAGCTAATGAAGAAAAGGCTGGAATACCTGCCAATCGGATAGTTTTGGGCGGATTTTCACAGGGAGGGGCTCTTGCATTGTATGCCGGACTTAGTTATCCGAAACCATTGGCCGGAATACTTGCTTTTAGTTGTTGGTTACCTAAACATGAAGAAGTTGTTTCAGCCATTAAAAACAAAGACATTCCAATTCTTCAATGTTAGTTAGTCTTTACAAATATTATAACACATGTATTACTAAACTTTTTATTTTGACTTATAGGTCACGGAGATGCCGATCCCATTGTATGTTTGGTATAAATACAATAAAATTATTTAATTTCTAATGCATATCATAGGTTCAACACCGTTTGGGCCAATTGACAGCCACTGTACTCTCCAAGAAACTAACTAAACATCAATTCAAAACATACAGAGGAATGGCTCACAGTTCTTGCAATGAGGTTATCCTTATTAGACACATCTTATAAACCCATAATATGTTATTTTAATAACAATTTTCTATCTCTTTATAGGAATTAAGTGATGCAAAAAATTTTATAACCACTTGTTTGTCCAATTAATCAAACATTATATATCTTTATTTATTAAGTTAACTCTTTTATCCAATAATTACAAATTGTTGAATTGGATTTAAGATTCACAAAATATTTAGACATTAGATTGATTTAAATTTTTAGAAAATTATTATATAGAAAATGCAGAATCAATAGCTTTTATGATTATCTGTCGATATATACATGACTTATTTGATTTAAATATAGCTATGATATTATTTTTATAATTATTTTTCAAATTAATGTTATCATTAATTTGAATGAGCTCTTCGAGACCAATGATTGTAATAACACCCAAACCTTTACCTCTTGATATCTCTAAAGAATATTTTCCGAACTCTATTAAACCAATTATTTTTCGATTCAATTGATTGCATTTGTCTTCATTGATAATATCTTCATCGCTTGTTTGTCCAATTGATTCAATATCGCTATCATTGGGAACACATATATAGTCAAACTGTTGGGGAACTCCACGACCAACGCATACAACTTCTACATTAATCAATGCATTGTCCTTATTATAAATGTTATTAAAAGATATCTTTGAAAGTAATCGCAAATCTTTACAGAGCATTGAAAGCATCAAATCATTTCTTATGATATAAAGTGTCGAATTTGGCTCTCTTTTCAATAATTTGTTCAACAATTCAATAGTTGTCTTGTTTTCAAATGAGTCAATAAAACCAAATTCTGGAAACATTAGTGAAGAGGTATTTAAAGAAATCATATTTAAGTCATGTATTCCTCCCACTCTATGGCCTCTATTTTCGCATATTTTATGCCACAATCTATTAGCAAATTCACTCAAAACAACCAAATCATAAGTCACGCGATTCTTAAATGTGTTGTTTTTGGTGATCAACATAAAGTCAAAACAATTTATAAACTTTTTTGATGAGCTAACAAAACAATTGTCCAGAAATAGGTTCGTCTCATTCGAGTCTATTAAAGATGTTTTGTTTTCACTGATTCTCAAATAGTGAACTGAATTGACAGTCTTTGGGTCTAAGATTTGATTGAAGTCAAAGTTGAAGCATTTAGATAACAACATTAGTCCTTTAGGACCAATGATCCTAAACCTTTCCAATTGATTTTTGTGTCCATTTATTTTAAAATCAACTTTTGATAGATATTTTTGTTGACAATCATAAAATAAATTTAAGAGTTTATCGTAAACACAAATATGACACCAAATCCATAGTTTAGTAAACTTATGATTCCAAACAAAATTGATTGAAACTAACGGTTCAAACGGATAGGACTCGTAGTTATAGATGATTGTAATCCCTTCTCTATTTCCAGACTCATAGATCTTCGCTCCAAATGATGGACTGATGTCTAAGTGAGTAAACTTTGTTAAGAAGTCAATCAATAGTTGTTTTTCAGAGACTGAGTAATCGATTTCAATGCAAACATAAGTCGAGAGATAATAAGCGACAAAATCTTGTTTTGAATTTTGATATAAAATGCGTTCATTTTTAGTGCAATTATTGTTTGGCATCAATCGGTTGTAAAACATCTTCATATGAAATCGTTTAGCGAACCAAACGTGAAGAACACTTCTCTCTGACTTTTGATTTCGTCTTTGAATACTTTCTTTACGTTTAATTTCATTAACGAATTTCTTGTGTTTTTTATTCTTCTTTTGATTCTTCAATTTTTTATGTTTTTCAATTGAATCATTGGTCTTACCTTCGATGGCAAGTCTAATACTTTTGGGAACTCTTTTAGGGTTATGACTTGAAGCACGACGTCTCATAAAACGCGGTAATCGTTGAGACATAAGTTTCGGTAGTTTTGTACGACAATCGGCGGTCAGTGAATTCAACTCAAGACTGTGACTCTCTATTTGTTTCATCAGATATATGTCTTCAGAAAAATTAGATAAAATGTTATGTAATTTGAAATTTTTGTAAAAACATAGTAATTATTAGTCAAACCTGAAGAATGTGAAGTCGATGACTGACCACTTGTGCCCTCCATTGATATTATATTAAGATCTTTGATAAAAATATGGGATCAATTGAATGATTATTTGCCACAATTAGTATTATATCACAACATTGATAATATGACAAAACAGGTGATTGAAAGCACGTGATAAACACGTGTGGATTATATCTTAATGTAAACAAACTGTAAGTCAATGAAGCCTTTGGTTAGAGTTTTGTCTTTAAATCAAATGTCTTATCAAAAGACATACAATATTCAGATGCAAGTAATGGCAAAGATAAAGGAGTTGTTAAATAAAGGGATCAATTCAGTGACTGACAATACATTGATATTAGTAGAGCACAAACCGGTTTACACGATTGGCATCCGAAGCAAACCATATGAAGATCCACTTCTTGAAAGACGACTGCGAACTTTGGGCGCCGACTTTGTCCACACAAATAGAGGCGGTTTAATCACATTTCATGGATTGGGACAACTCGTCGCTTATCCCATATTATACTTACCATCATTTGATCTCAACAATAGCATCAAATGTTACGTACGAAGACTTGAATCAACTATTATTGATTTATGTAAAGAGTTTGGAGTCAAAAGTTCAACAATGGATGGTTTACCGGGTGTTTGGGTGGCCAACGATCGCAAAATAGCTGCCATTGGTATCCATTGTAGTCAATATGTTACCTGTCATGGAATAGCCATCAACTGTAACGTTGATCTCAAATGGTTTCAAGAGATCATACCGTGCGGTATAACAGATAAAACAGTGACTTCTTTATCAAATGAACTCAAACGTGATGTTAATATCAATGAAGTTATGCCTAAACTTTTGAAATCATTTCAAACTAATTTTAATTGTAATTTTCAATAACATAAACTAATTTAAACATAATATAAATGATAAAATATAGATTACCGGTAATTTTTAAAAAATTATTGTCCATGGTGCAATTAGTGAAATTGACAATTATAACAACATTATAAGATACAGTAATTCTAAAAACTTTAAATAACTTTTTTTAGAAACATAGATAACTAAAAAATAGTTTTAATTAAAAACAACTAAATTTATTTATAAACATTATTAATATTACTTATAATTTTTGGATTGTTATAGAAAATATTTATGCTGTATATATATTTCATAAAATAATTACTATTTGTAATAAAATCTTATTTAATAAATATTTCGATTAATTTGATTTTTTAGAACATATTTATAATTTAAACTCATTTTTGTTATAATTTCTTTAAAAATTATGTGACAAACTATATGTAAATTATATTTACTAATATATAGTCGAAATGAATGTCAACTTTACATTTTGTTAATATCTCAAAATCTAAACAGTACTGTATTGTAAATTTTTATTAAATTTGGCAAACATGCAGTTTATATCCTCCCAAACATGTTATAAATTATCAGATATTTATAGTTAATAGTTTTTAAAATTATACAAAAAATTACATTATAATTTCAATGACTAACTCGTGTGTTATCATTTAAATACTAAAGTGGATCCATTGGTTTCGGTATTGATTTAACTTAAATCATACACATATTTATTCAAATTAATTATTATGTATTGATGTATATTGTAAATCAAATATTCCATACTTTAAACATTGCAAATAAATTATTAATTATCAGCCAAACACCTGATCCCACACTCTTGTAGAGAATTGTGAGTCTTTAAGTGTTTAGATAGGCATTAGTGGTCATTATATCAGTGATACTCATATGAGAAAAGTTAACTCTCAAAACACATGTCTGTAAATCCAAGTAATGGAAAAAGTTTTTTTAACAAAAGTGTAAAAAATTAGAAAAATAAAAATTATTATTTAATAATTAACAATAAATATTAATATAACCGTAATTACCGTAGTGTTATCATAAGTAAAAACAATGTATGTCTTAACTTATTTTTTCTAGTTTTTTACTTTCAATGATTTTTTTGTAAACTTTATGCAACTTTTATAATGATTTTTTCTTAAATAAAATAAATAACTTTTAATCTTTTCAAAGATATTACAGCATCAGTGATGAAAAAGTATCAATTGTTTAGTAATTAAAAAAAGTCTTATTTCTAGTAAACTTTGCATTAAATAAGTTAGTATTATATAACTTTATATTAAATATAAAGTTTATTACAATATACTGTATAGTTGTTTATTAAAATAATATAATTTTGTTAAGACTGTTACAATATAACAGTTATATTAAGAATACCCGATCCCGGGGTCAGTGGGGGTCAGTATATGTCAAATGTAATCAATGAGATGAATGTGCTATAGATGTCAGTGTTGTGGTTGTATTGATAAGTGTTATGTTATTGTATTGATGTTTATGTGTCGCCATTGTTATGGTTATGCCTTTAATGTAGTGATGAAACCGATTTGATTTGATTTGAATTAATTAATTGATTGTCATTTGGTTCAGACATGAAACCCAAGAGAAGTCGTGGAAGAGCTAAGTTGAGTCAGTGCTCACAAATTGCGCGCTTAAGAGAGGGAACCGTTGACCTGACGTCTGCCGACTCTATTCTGGTTCACACAAACTTGAGGTCACTTCTGAATCGCCAAACATTCATGTCTTTGCCAGTGTATTATCAGTACAAATTGGTCCAATTGCTTCCCAAGTTTGATCAGATGGTCACTCCCGATGGTTGGATCAAACCGAGCACTTCTGCGCTCAACAATGAATTCTTTGCCAAATCGTGTCAGTCATGGCTCGAAAGGCTTTCTGATTCAAAGTTGACATCCGATTCGGACCAAAGATTTAAGATTGACGTTGAAAAAGAAAAGAGTAAATTGGATCCGTTTAAAGTCAAGTACTTTGAACCAATTTGGGGACAAACGCTTGAATCACAACAAGATATCACCAATGAATTTGATCGCATCCCCAAAACCAAGACTTCTAGTGATTCAAAACAAGAGACCGTCCGAAGACTCCGCAAAAGAAGGCTATATTTAAATAAGAAATTGAAATCACAAAAGAGAGTTAAAGCAATTGCTAAGAAGTCAATTATCAGTTCCACATCTACTACTAGTGTTAATACAACTACAACTACTACAACACAAAGTGAAATCAATTTGATTTGTGAGAGTGAGTCACAAATAGCTGAGACAACTATAGAGTTAACTAAAGAAGATAACAATAACAACAACAACAACAACAACAACAACAACAATGATAATAACAGTAATATTAGTACTAATATTGAAGTGAGTGCTGATAATGTGATTGTCGAAGATATAGTGATCGATGAAAACGAAAATATTGAAAGCAAACCATCAGAACTTTGTTCAGTAGTTGTAAAGAAAGTCCAAATAGAGTCAACTGTTAGCAAAACCGATGAAATAACAAATGAAATGACAAATGAAATGACAAATGAAATGACAAATGAAATGACAAATGAAATGACAAATGAAATGACAAATGAAATGACAAATGAAATGACAAATGAAATGACAAATGAAATGACATCCATTGTGTTGCCCTCCACTACAAGTGTGATACAGTCTACTAATATTAACACTCCTTCAAACATAACCGATAAATCAAATGATATGTTAGTTAAAGACAATGAAAATGATTTGAAAAGCAAGCGTTCAAATCGTAAACGAAATGCAAACACTAATGTTAATGAAGAGGGTGTCGATGAAGAGCGATCTTTCCTAATATGCCGGCGCGCACTTGAATCCAGTCCTAACAATAAGTTATTTTATGTCTCAAGATATCGACGAATACATACTGTCGAAAGTCCTCTTCTTTCAACTAACGAACCAAAAGAAAGCAAATCCAACGATAGTTGCAATGAAAAAGCTGTTGAATCAACCGTTAAAAGTGTAGACATTAACAGTATTGTGCCTTCAAGTGATACCAAATGCATTATGAATAATAAAAATGACATAAAGACAACGTCCAACACTATTAGTACAATACAATGGGCACCGTCTATAAAACAGCATTCAATAAATGATGGCTCGGATCAGATTAGTATAAAAGACAACTTGATTTCTATAATAAATCAATGCGGAGAAACACGACTTCTTTCACAAATAACTGTTATTCCTATCACAACAACAACTAATGTCAACCAATCAGTTGTGACGCCAACATCTGTACTGTCCTCACAGTCGGACTCAGCTCATGGTCCGTGTAATCTCAAGCCAATGACAATATGCAAGAAATGTGGCTCTTTTTGTCACTCGGACTGTATCGGGCCTTCAAAACTGTGCGTCGAGTGTTTGGTCAGATGATTGAATATACTGTATAATACAATTGTATATTATATATATATATGTTATGTATAATACAGTAAATTGTGATTTATTGGATAAAATCGTGTTAATTATAATAACAGTAATGTCTTATATTCTGTTATTATAAGCTTATAAAATAGATATCCTTTAATTAAAGCGATAACATTCATGTTTTTGTTTTATTAGTATTTAATTATATATCACTTAATTTAAAGTAAATGATTGTTTCAAATATATTTCATATTTTGATCTCTATTTTTAATAAATTCAGACAAATGTCTGATAACTCATAAAGACTATCATTTATTATCGCTAAAAATGTTGTATCAATTAAATCAAATTAAATATTTATATAACTAAACAATTACTGTTGTTTTATAGGCTTTGCGATACATATATCCAATACATATACATAGTGATGGACCAATTGCAAGATGCGCAATTGCATTGCTATGAAATTGCGTGAAATTGCCGCAATTGCGAAGATGCCGATTGCGAAAATCGCAATCGTATAGTAGCGCCATCTATTTTAACAATAATAAATTGTTTAAAAAATAAAACACATGTTATTATGTAGTTTAAAAATGGATAAAAATAAATCAGTGGTTTATAATTATTTTAATTTAGTTGACACAAAGTATAATTGTAATTATTGTGGCAATTATTTAGTCAAAAATGCTACACGAATGAGAGAACATTTACTAAATGCATGTAAAGGATGTCCACCACAAGACGTGTTATCAACCCTTAAAGTAGAGATTAAGACTAAAAATCTCAAACGTAAAGGTAATTATATCTTCAGTAGTATAGTGGTTAATATCCCATTTATTACAGTAACTGACGATTCAACTGAATCATCGGAGTCATCTCAATCACGAAAGGATGTTCCATCGTTTGTGGACTCAATAACTAAAAAAGATAATGATGACCTCAAGCTTTTATGCGCAAAGTTTGTGTACTCGTCTGGAAGTGCTTTTAGTCTAGTAGAGAACCAAGAGTTCATCCAATTCATTAAAAAATTGAGGCCATCATTTAAAATACCATTAAGAAAAGAATTGTCTAAAGAATTGTTAGACACAACATATTCAATGGTCTGCAGTAGTATAGTGGTTAATATCCCAATAACAAATTTATTTTTAGGTTAACTCTCACAACAATTCATTAATTACAAATACTAATTCGTTTGTTATAATCATCGATGGCTGGTCAAATATCAGAAATGATTCAATAGTTAATATTTGTGTTTGTTTGCCAAAACCTATTTTTTATAAAAGCATTGATATGGAAACTCGAAGACATTCAGGAGAAGAATTGGCTAATATTACTGAAGAAGTTATTAACGAATTAGGTAATAATATTTAATATATATATATTTTTGGGGTACTAACCATTATACTACTGAATATTTTTTTAGGTGTTAACAAGTGTTCAGCAATAATTGCTGATAATGCACGAAATATGTCAAATATGTCACAACGTCTTAAAGAAAAATATCCACATTTGTTGACATTTGGTTGTGTTGCTCATATACTAAATCTTTTAAGTCAAGATATCTGCACAAGTGTGACATATTTTAATGAGATACTTAAGATAACTCGTTCAATAACTGTAGAAATAAAAGATTCTCATTTAAAATTGGCGTTATTTCGTAGATTAGCAAAAGAGAATAAAATCAATTCACTAGTATTAGGGAGCAACACACGGTAAAAATTATTCTTCAGTAATATAGTGGTTAATATCCTATTTTAATCTTTAGATGGTATTCAAATATTAAACAAATGAAACGAGTTTTTAATGGAAAAGAAGTGCTACAAAAAATGGCAATCGATTCCTCAATTAAAATAAATGCTGACATCAAAAAGTATCTCTTGGATACAAATGACAGGTTTTGGACGGATCTGATGACAACAATTAATGTTTTGAATCCAGTTGCAGATGCAATAGCAATCATTGAATCAGATAAAGCAACACTTTCCGATACTATTATTGTTTTTAACAACATATATACATCTATTTTAAACTCATCAATTGATTGCAATATGAAATCTCAGGTTATCTTCAGTAGTATAGTGATTAATATCCCAAAAATTATGTTTTAATAATCTTTTTTTATTTTAGATTTTAAATCATTTCACTAATCGCAAACAAATGGCATCTGATGCTAATTATTTAACAAATATTCTTGATCCAAGATATAAAGGATTGGATTTGACCGATGAAGAGAGATTTTCGGCAAATAAATATACGATTATATTGATTCTATTGGTTTTTCAGATAAACTTACAGATATCAAAATTGCATACAACGATTATAAATCAAAAAATGGTAATATTTTTATTTTTGGGGATCTAACCACTATACTACTGAATATTTTTAGGGTTTTTTGCAATTGATTCATTGTGGATAAATATTAAAAATGTGATTCAATGGTGGACTGAATTCAAGGAATATAAGAAATATAAGGATTTATCTAATATTGCAATTAGATTATTGTCAATCCCTCCATCATCTGCTGCGGTTGAGAGAGTGTTTTCAAGTTTTGGAGACATTCATACTAAAAAACGTAACAAATTGACAAATGAAAGAGTTGCCAAATTAGTTTCAATACGTACACATTTTAAATGTATTAATAATAATTTAGAAGATTCATCTGAATCAGAAAATGAGTCTTAATTTTATATGATATAATAAATATTAATTCATTGATTATATGTGCAAATTTTATTAAATTTTTATACATTCCCTCATGCGCGCAATTTCACGCAATTTCACGCAATTTTCCGCAATTGCGGCAATCGAAAATTGGATTGCGTAAAATTCCCAACACTACATATACACTATTTGATATCTGATTGGTTTCAATACACAAATAATTGTTAAACTTTTTGTTTAGAAATTTTCTCATTTTGGTGGCCTCTGGATGAGCTGTCTGTTGCTTTCAAAATGAAATTCATATCAAAAATACTATGAATACAATCATTATATTGTATGGAGAGTTAAGATATGTGGGGTAAGTGACAGTAACTGGTCTTAGGGTTAGGATATGTGGGGTAAGTGACAGTAACTGGTCTTAGGGTTAGGATATGTGGGGTAAGTGACAGTAACTGGTCTTAGGGTTAGGATATGTGGGGTAAGTGACAGTAACTGGTCTTAGGGTTAGGATATGTGGGGTAAGTGACAGTAACTGGTCTTAGGGTTAGGATATGTGGGGTAAGTGACAGTAACTGGTCTGACAGTAACTGGTCTTAGGGTTAGGATATGTGGGGTAAGTGACAGTAACTGGTCTTAGGGTTAGGATATGTGGGGTAAGTGACAGTAACTGGTCTTAGGGTTAGGATATGTGGGGTAAGTGACAGTAACTGGTCTTAGGGTTAGGATATGTGGGGTAAGTGACAGTAACTGGTCTTAGGGTTAGGATATGTGGGGTAAGTGACAGTAACTGGTCTTAGGGTTAGGATATGTGGGGTAAGTGACAGTAACTGGTCTTAGGGTTAGGATATGTGGGGTAAGTGACAGTAACTGGTCTTAGGGTTAGGATATGTGGGGTAAGTGACAGTAACTGGTCTTAGGGTTAGGATATGTGGGGTAAGTGACAGTAACTGGTCTTAGGGTTAGGATATGTGGGGTAAGTGACAGTAACTGGTCTTAGGGTTAGGATATGTGGGGTAAGTGACAGTAACTGGTCTTAGGGTTAGGATATGTGGGGTAAGTGACAGTAACTGGTCTTAGGGTTAGGATATGTGGGGTAAGTGACAGTAACTGGTCTTAGGGTTAGGATATGTGGGGTAAGTGACAGTAACTGGTCTTAACTACAATTATTTAAACTCTGGTTTAACTGCGAGTCAACAATCAATACCTTATAATATAAATCAAGTTATAATATGACAAACCATTACAACATTTATCAGACTATTGTTATAATTTTATAGCAATTATTCTAAAATTAATTTATATATTATTTTGTTAAACAATTATTAATTCAATTATTAAATTTTATATTATTTAATAAATAATTTTTTTTAATGTAAAGCTTTGTCTAAAATTTGATAGAAATGTAAGAAATGATTGAAAGAGTGTTTAAATTCATTTGATATGCAGTCCAACAATCCTGTAATGTATTGATAGTACTATTGCTGTGTATCTAAAACCAAAGTCAAAACTTTAGAACCGCAACCGAACCGCAACCGAACCGCAACCGAACCGCAACCGAACCGCAACCGAACCGCAACCGAACCGCAACCGAACCGCAACCGAACCGCAACCGAACCGCAACCGAACCGCAACCGAACCGGTACTAAAACCATAGATCCGGAGCATTTTAATGTTGATAATAACAATATTGTTAGGCAACTATTATCGCTTTAGATAATGAGACCAAATAAATAAATTAATTTTTCATAAATTATATTAATATTTATTTTTTAATTTATAATTGATAATAAAAATTACAAAATATTTAAATATTTTTTATGTATTTTTTATTTAATAATATAATTTAATATAAAGTTTGTGGACTTATTTCGGCTTATCAGCTATTATTCAATATATTGTTTTATTTGATTTCAACTTTAACTCATTCATTCATAATTATTAAATAGTAACCAATCATTGACTAAAACACAGGAACCGAAACCGCTATAAAACCGTTTCGGTTTCGGTTTCAGTCGGTTTTAAGAAACAAAACCGTTTCGTTTCCGACCTCTAATATACTGTACAGTACTCTACTGTAGTGTATTATACTGTCATTAGGGTTAGATCAGATTCCCTCCCTCGTCTTATTTTCCATAAGTTCCTTATATTCCCTGTTCCCTGGGAATTCCCTGGGAAGACATTTCCTTGTGGTACCACCTATCATACACTAACTCACATTACATAATGTTTAATTAAAAACACGTTTGTATAGTAAATGTCTACAAAATGTATTAAATGTTTTTACTAAATGTTTAATAATATTTTAATCATATTTTGATTGAGTTATTACTAACATAATGGTCCCAATGAAACACATAGATTAGGTACTTTTTAATGTATGACAAATTATATTTCCCCTTTCTAACGATCAAGGGAGGGAATATAATATATTTTCCATATTTTCCGGGAAAATTGGAGGGAATTTATTTGGGAACTTCCCTCCCTCGGAATCTCAATCTAACCCTAACTGTCATACAGTATGTATAAGTTATACACATAAATGTATTGATATTACAGTAGAAACTATAGAAACTGTGATTGAATGCTGTGTTCTAATAATGATTGCATCACTGATTGTGTTGTACTGTATATCACATGTACTCTAATGTAGTGAAAGTTTGAATAGAATGTCAATAAAGTTATATTACTTTAGAAGTGATGACAAATCGATTGAATGTTTTGATTAATATTAGTATTAATCGATTGAATACTTCATTCAAAGTGATTAACAGACAATCCTTAAGATATTTGAGTCAAACAATGAATAATGATATCTATAATGAAGAGTATTGGCCACCAATTCTTCGACAAAAAGGACAAACATTGACACGATTTAAGCGATTCTTCTATGAATCAGATTATCAAAGAAAACCACAGATTGAAAGCAAATCAGTCAATGACTTATGGCTTACAAAATGTCATATCATTGAACCCAAAGAAGTGGTATTCACAGCAAAGGCTAAGAGAAAGAAAGAATCGGAAACTATTGTTATGGGAAAGGCGTTGATGTGGTTAAGAGATAACGGTTTGTTGTATTTATATTATTTTAATGACAAACGGATCAAATAAGGCTAAACTTATAATATATTTTAATATTTTCAGAGTTTGTTGATAACAACTTCAATGCAATTCAGTTAAATACACAACAAATAAGAGAGTGGTTTGATATTATCAATGGTCCCATTCATGTCAAACCTATTGATGAACAGTTAAGTAATGATATGATTAACTTTTGTGACGATTTCGATGACAAACTGAAAGATAAATTGAATGAAATGATTGATAAAAATAGTGAAAAAATGTTAATAAACTGTACTGAAGAAGGTTTTGCTGAAGAAGATAAACCAAATGTTATTAGAAATGTTTTTTCTAATGTTATACACAACGAACCCACAGACAGGACAGTAAAAGTTAGAAATAATTTATTGCTTAAGTTTTTAAACGAAAGACATAAAAGACAAGAAACCGATGACTCCTTTAGAAGTTTAAGACAACAAATAGAAGAACTGCCGATTAATAAATATAGGGAACAAATACTAAAAGAGATAAATGAAAATCGAGTGATTGTTATTAGTGGAGACACCGGTTGTGGCAAAACAACACAAATACCACAAATGATATTTGAAAATGAAATCAAAGGAGGAAGAGGTGCCTTCGCTAATATTGTTGTCACTCAACCACGACGTTTATCAGCCATTTCTATATCAGAAAGAGTTGCCTTAGAATTTGGTGAAGAAGTCATTGGCAAATCAATTGGTTATAACGTTAGATTTGATAAATCAGTTCCAATGTATTCAAATGGAGTCATACTTTTCTGTTCTGCAGGAATTTTGCTCAGAAAAATTGGTTATAATCCAAGTCTTTTGGGTGTCAGTTATATCATTGTCGATGAAGTTCATGAAAGAGATGTAATAACAGACTTCCTCTTAGTTTTATTAAAAAGAGCTCTTGATTTGAATGAAAATCTTAAATTAATATTTATGAGCGCATCCATGAATACTAATTTGTTAGTCAATTACTTCAACTGTCCATTAATTGAAGTCCCGGGACGTTGTTTTCAAGTTAATAACTATTACTTAAACGAATTTATTGAAAATACTGGAAATCATAGTTTTTCAATAAGGAATCCCAAAGTTGATATAAATCTTGTAACACAATTGATTGTAGACATCCATCGAAAGAAACCGGACGGTGCTATCCTTTGTTTTCTTCCGGGTTGGGCTGAAATACAAGCCGTTGACAATCAGCTTAATATGTTAAACATTGATTCAAATTTAAAAGTATTTGCCGTACATTCAAGACTTTCCCATTCTATTCAAAAGCAAATATTCACGCGAATGCCAATCGGTGTCCGAAAAGTAGTTTTGGCCACAAATATCGCCGAAACTTCTCTTACTATTGATGATGTCGTCTATGTTATTGATACCGGTTTAGCCAAAGTAATGAAATATAATTCCCAATTCAATGTTTCAAATTTTGGTACAAATTGGATATCAAAAGCTAATGCAAAACAAAGAAGTGGTCGCGCAGGTCGTGTCACTGAAGGCGAGTGCTATCGACTTTACACTAAAGAATTAGAGAACTCTTTAATGGATGAATATATGACTCCAGAAATGCTGAGAATTCCATTAGAAAATGTAGTGATGAGCGCCAAGTTTCACGTCCCCAATGAGTCTATCCATGATTTTCTCTCATTAGTTCCACAGCCGCCCTCCAATGAATCCATTAGAAGAGCAGTTAATATTTTAAAAGATCTTAATATATTAGACACCAAAGAAAATCTGACTATTTTAGGCAAAAGAGTAATTAGTTTTACATCTCATCCGAGACTTTCTGTGGCAATGATTTATTCAGTGTTTTTCAGTTGTCTAAAATCAATGCTTCCTTTGGTATCACATTTAAGTGCAAATCGCGAACCATTTCAAGTGATGCCAAATGCAAAAAGTGTGATTCGATCCGTTAAAGACAACTTCTCGTTTGACTTTATTTCAGATCATATATCAATGGCTGCTCTTATTCTTGAATATCAAGAATGTATTGGCGATTATCCCGTTTATAGTGAAAAAATCAAGAATTTTATTGATGATAATCATTTACATCGATATTCAATGGACTTTATTTTAGATACAATTAAATTATATGCCTCTCATTTAGAAGAGTCTAATTTCATCTCCAGAAATGAGTGGATTTCTAACAAAAGTCATATCAATTCTAACTTTTATCGCAAATCTTTAATAACAACTGCTTTAGTGCCAGCATTTGTGTCAAATTATGTGCGACTAATTAAAGGAGAAATTAGAAACCAAAAACTTAAATTAGATTCAATTTATCCGATTAATGCCATTACTGGATATAAAGTCAAATTTGTTGGCGAAAGTGTTTTCCAGAAGAACTTGAACGCACACCAAAATGTGGATCAGTTGACTAATTCTATACTTATTTATTTTAAAAGTTTCTTTTCAGAAGAGGCCAAAATGTTGACCATTTGTGACGCCTCTCAGGTGTCACCAATTGCTATAATACTGTTTTCAATGGATCGGTTGACAATCAACAAGAATTATTCCAAAGATGAATGTCTCGTTGAGTTAAATGATAACAAACACATGAAATTTAAATTAAGAAAAGTAGATATGAAACTATTAATTCGTTTGACACAAGTTTTAAACATTTTTTTCAATTGGTTTATCACTTGCAAAGATATTAATCAATTGCTTTCTCAAGACAATCAACAATATCAGAAAATACTTGATTTTCATAGAGACTTAATAGATCTTATTAGTGATTTAGTGTCCACTAAATCTTAATATTTAATTTATATATTATTCAATACTTTTATTATTTATTGATTATAAGGATATTACGGTACATCTGTAGTCATTTATACAATAAAAGCAATTCATTACAATCAAGTGTACACTTTAATTATTATAACGTAGCATAAAGTGTAGATTAAAGCATTAATTTGTTTTAAATTTTTTATAATTTACAGTCAATTTCTAAAATAATTCACAAATTAATCAATAATAGTGACAAATATTAAAGCAGTGATTTCTTATACAGTATTAATAAAATAATAACAATAATACATATAATAATATTTAGTAATACTCTTAAATATACAATATATTTATTAAACAAATGGTAATCCAATAGTTTAGAGTTTTCTGTGATAATTCAAGTAAGACTTAAGAACCAAAGGAAGCGGTAATTCATGAATGCTTTGTTTCATTAAATAAGAATAGCTTCCTTTGTCTTCTTCCAATTCTTTCTTTATCTCATTTTCGGATTCGTTTTGTTTATTATCACAACTGCTTTCCTTTTCTTCATTGACTAATGTGACGGCCATATCGTGATCACAACTACTTGTGTCTGAATCTGAGTCAAAGTCAGCCAAAGCTATTCGTTTAAATATAAGTCCAGTCGCCCGACGGAATCGATTCAAAGGATATTTCGATGAGTTTGAAGACACAGAGGCTTTTGAGTCGCTATTGGCATAACTTGTCGATTGAGTGGCTAATGGTTTTTCTTCTTCATCATCATCTGTTAAATTTAATAAATTTTATTAAATAATATTTTAAATGACATACAAAATGATATAAACCTGTTATACTAATACTCCTTTTCGACCTCTCAATAGTTGTATTTACTTCTTGTTCTTCATTATCATCTAAATCCAAATCCATAGGTTTATTATCATCAATTGTATTGATATTTGTGTCATGTTTTTCTAAATTGACTTTTTCTTGAAATGAATCATTAGAATTAGTGTCCAAATCTCGATTGCCATTATTGACCACTTGATGTAAAACAGCCGAAAGAGAAGAAGCGGCCGCCGCCACCATTCGGCACGAAAACGAATCGTTTAAATTATCTCTATTTGTATGTCTTTGAATATGATTGCTATTAGAGTCTTCACTTGTGCTGTCATTTTCTTCAAATATAGGAATAATAACTCGACGATTGCCTCTTCGCGGAGGACGTCTCGATCTTCCATTTGAATCGCTATTTCTATTTTTGATTAATTTCTGTTTACCTTTTGGAGTACTTCTTAATGTAATGGTTGGATGAACCATCTCTGTCTTCTTCCTTATAAGAATTCTTATTTTTGAACGGCATATCTCTTTAAGTGACAACGATTCTGTATCCGCTGTCAAATGCGTTAAGATATAAAAGTTTATACAACATAACAACTTACAGTAAATTAACAATATTTGTAATTATTTAAAAACTCACGTAATTTAACAGTCCTGAGGGCATCATTTTGTGTCGGGACTACCAGTGATGCAAATGAAACGGGAAGTATAGACTTGATGGTCCACGAAGATGCAGAAATACGGCGTATTTGAAGCAAATGATCATTCAATGGCATTATAAGAATACCTCCGACTTTAATCAAGTTCTTCATATAGTTTTCATGTTCGGGAGGACAGGAGGCCCCACAATAAACTCTATCGTATTGTCTCATTGAAGCCGTGTCTATAAGGAGACAGTTGCCAACTGTAAACTTTGGTTCACAGAACTCGTATTTATCGATTGCCGGGGAATTCATTTTAAACGATTGCAACTTTTCGTTGGCGTATTCAACTACATCTTCATGTAGTTCCACACCATGACTAACACCATAAGGACCCAGAATGAGACCAACCATTGTACTTAGATATCCCGTACCACTTCCCAAATTCAGAAATGATAGACCTGGCTCTAAATTTAGGGCTTCCATCACTTCAGAGTAAATACAGGGCGCTATCATCATCATTGACAACAAATTGACATCAGTTATTAACAAATGGATCAAAATGACAGATATGACAGACCTGATAGATGTAGATTGCCGTGTTTCCAGGCCAGGTCACGGTATGCATTTTCAGTACATCCATCAGCATAATAGTGAGCCCTATCTACTGCCCTAAAGATGCTTTCAATCTTTAAAGACTTGATATACTCGGCTTCAACTAAATTATCAATTAACTCATCATTGTCTTCACCGGCACTCACAGCGCCTCCCATTTTCACCACTATTTATATGTCTTAATAATCACAATTGTTTTATATAAATCAATACAGTATTTGTTGGTAATAAATATCTGTAACATATTATAAATAAAACATATGTTAAATATAATTAACATTCAATCTATATATCAAATTAATTATTCATGACAAAAATTAGCTAAAATTAATTAACATCACTATTAACTTCAATTGTATTTTAAGTATAAATATAACGCTTGAAATACATTAAAATTAAACTTAAAGCCTATTGTAATCAATTCATGTATTTATTAATTAAAATATAATTATTACATTTATCATTCACTAAACATATTATTTAATATTAAAATAAATAAAATAATATGATATAAATAAATTTCATAACATAACAAAGTTATAAAATAAAATATTAATCGTCTAAATAGTGATAAAATTGTTTTCACTGTTTATATTGATATCGATGTCAAAGAAATTTTATCTCAACTTTCACTGCTTTTAGCATTCAATATATCATTGAATATACGCTTAAAATATATTAATTCATAAGTCATATAATATTATAGTATTTAATATATTTCAATATTAATATAAATAATGCAATAAAACATGGATTTAAATAAATTAACATTAGATTGAATGTCACTCAATAGCAATACAATAACAATTCAATATATTTAAAACTCACCTCAAATTTAAAACAATTAATTTAAATAAGCATTGATTTGGTCCATGTCTTCAATAAATGGTTTATTGTTTGATGTGTTAAATAGTGATCACTGACTGATAAACAACTTTTCAGTAAATATTATAATATTTATTATTATATACTAAACATCAATACAAATGAATTAAAGTCCACAAACTTTTGACACATAATTACGACAAATACTTCATTTACTTTACATTACATACAATCACTTGACATTCATTTATATTAAGTCTAAACCATTTACTGACAAACAATTAACATTTGATTTGAGTTTTAATTTAATTTAAATTAGATTTATATTGATTTTAAATTAATTTAATTTAAAGGCTATTAGTTGAACGTCATGTTTGGCACTGGGAGTCAACAGCTGACAGTCTTATCAATAGACGTCACAAACATTTTAGTATAAAACTATCAAACATTGGTTACTGCAGTCACTAATATACAATAATATCTCATTATTCAAACCAATTGATTAATTTAGCTATAATTATAGTTTAAATGTTTGTTACATATATATGTAATAATAAAATGATTGTTTTAATATTGTTATATCAATTAAATGACTAAAACTTTGATTAACACATCAATTAGATATATATAAAGTGTTAGGTATATATATATTAGGTATTGTAAGTAATATCTAATGAATGTATACAATGTGTTGTCAACACTACAGTACTCTATCAGCCATTCATTTGTCTCTTTCTTTCATTTCAATCAATACTTTACTTTAGTCCACAACATGTCTCAGACCTACCCCTCCTAACCCTAACCCTAACCCTCTTAGCCCTCCTTTATATCAACATTTAATTAGCTATTATTTCAAACCCCTCTTTACTTGAGAACGATGTCTTTGATCTTATTTGATCTCTAAATCATCAATGGTTTAGCAGAGATGATGACAAACCCAATGATTGAGAAACTATTCAATGATTGTTTGATATCAATGTAAATATGTGTCGGAAGTGATGACCGGAATAGATATCAGATCGCAGTTTGCATTGATTTAGTCATTTGACTAATAAATGTATGGCTTTGATGAATGAAGCGATCACTGATCCAACACTTGCATTGATTCATACAAACTCTTAAATCATATAATATTTAATTAAATTTATATCAATTTATCATTTCATTTATATTTTTAAAATAAAATTTATTCATTGACTTAAAATTATCATTTTATTTAATTAATATTTGTTTAAATGTTTTTTTTGTACACACTTTACTAAAAATGTATAATTTATGATATTTAACGTAATATAATTTGGTTTACAATTAAAACAACTTTTGTATATTAATATATCATAAATACAATTTGTATGCATTAGTGCCAAAAAATGTTATTAATTGAATTATATGTATTTTAGATACTTAGGGATAGATTTAATGGTTATATAAATATATATATTATATATCAATAAATTGGTGCTAATTGTGGTCATTAATGGTCACTATTAGTTAGTATTAGTTAATATTAGTTAGTATTAGTATGTATTTCTATGTATGTTATGATTGGTTGTTAGTTAAGATTGTGGACCAATAGTAGTGTTAAATTGTATGTAAAATGGTATGCATTATACTCTGTATAATGGTTTGTAAGTGTGAGCGCATGCGTACATACAATGGACAATATCTTTGATTAAATTTTAGGTTTAGTTTAATATATAAAGTAGTGTTTTAATGGTGTAATAATATATTAATTGGACGGTTAGGTTAATTGGTGACCACCCGGTGCCGTCATATGGTTGTAGTGCAGCATTAAAACAATAGTTAATGACTTTTATTGTGTATAAAATTGTTGAGTAACTGCTGTATGTGTTAAAAAACAGCGATCACTGTATGTATTACTGTATCATTGATTGTATGCTTTAAGCCATACATTGCATACATTGCTATATAAGCCGTGCTTTTGGGAGAAGCCGTAAACAAGGCTTTAGTCGCCAAACGTTTGTAATCTTTTGATACTTTTATTGATTTCTTCGTTAGTTTAAGAATAAGAACTTTGAAAGAGAAAAGTTGTTAAATAACTGTTGTCTCAGAAATTACAATCAGTTTTCACTCAAAGCATTCAAGTTATGTCATTAGCTAATGATTGCGATACAAGTAATACAAGTTTAATAAACATGAATGATGTCAACCATAATGTGTCAAATGTGACACCGGGTGACCTACTGGTGACACCTACTCAAGATAAAAGTGGTGTCAAAGCTCCAGAAGTGGTCACTGTTAGTCAAACTGGTGGTCAGTGGCACTCAATTGCCTTGAATGAGATGCCTATTACAGGCAATGCATTGAATATAGCTATCAATAGTGCAGACATTCGTCCAAATATGACTTCCCTCACAACCAATACCCGAACCATTGCTCCAAAACCGGTCATTACTCCCGGAGAAGCCATTTCGGGTAAGTTTTGTTTTTGTTGTATATTTTGATTGAAAAGAGAGAAACAGTTGATATAATATAATTAATTGTTATTGAGTTGCAGGTAATATCGGTTCAAACTTAGATAAGTCACAAACGGTGATCATAACAACGGGAACCGATTCTTTAGTAAATACTACCATAACTGGCACTAAATATGGCATTAATAAAGTTATTCCGGTTTGTAAATATTTGATGATATTTTAATTTAATTTTTGTTAACTCTTATATTAATGATTAGCTAAGTCAACATCATATAGCACTTGTGTCATCACCCGACGGTACATCAATGTTTGCGGTACCGATGTCTAGTTTGATGACTAAAGGCAATGTTAATATAAAGTCATCGGTATCTTCCGTTCCCATGTCTATAAATCAGGCGACACTTAAATCAAAACCTCCTATTTTGCCGCTCAAGATATTTCCATTGATTACTTCAACCACTTCATCGACAACTCCCATAACAGTTCCGACGATCCCATTAGCTAAAGCTATAGCTCCTCAACCTCTTAATACATCAAATTCTGGTCTTACTATAATACCTGCAAATATTCCCAAATTTGTTTCTTCAAATACAGAGACATTGACCTCTACTGTTAATACCATTCCTGCAATTATCACAACAACAGGCACTACGGGAACTGACTTGAAGACTGATAGCATTTCAATTGGTAAATAAAAATTAATTAAAGCTTATAATCAATATATTTATTTATTTTACTCAATTGTCAAATTTATTTCAAACTTTAAATTAATTTTTGGTAAATTTCTTTATTAATCACAGACGAAGTTWCGACAAAAAACGATACCAACGCTCATTCACCACTTCCTCCGCCACTATTGACTCAAAACAGTACATTTGCAATGATTCCGATTACAAATAGTGTAACTATGAATCCGCCGACATTAACTCCCATCACAACTACAACTTTAACAATAAATACTAATACAAGCAGTGATAAAGTTGTGACCAAAAATGAGATAAAGTCTGTGACTGGAATTGAAGAAATGGATTCCGTTATTAAAATAATGGAATGGAAAGATGGGATCGGCGTTCTTCCTGGAAGTGATCTCAAGTTTCGAATCGATGAATTTGGACACTTAGACATGATTAATGAAATTGATAATAAAACAGCTAATGGTTCTAATGGCGATATTCCTGCTATCATTTCAACAGTAATCACTGGTAATGTAAAACAGGAAGAAAATACTGTTATAGTTGTTGAGACTTCTGCTCCTCAAGAATCTGACAAAACAGAAACAAAAGAAACGGACGAAAGTGAATCACTGATAACTTGTTTTAATTGTAATCAAAAAGGACCGGCAAATACATTCATTAGAGGTGGTCGATTCTGTAGCAAATCTTGTGCCACAATAGTGTCAACTGATCTCAAATTACTTACTAAAAGAAACACCGAATTAGCAGTGAAATCACAAACTGATGACCAAAAAAATCAAATTAAGAAATCTGAAGTAACGAAAGGTCGTAAACAAGTATTTGAAACAAACACTGCCTATCAATTAGATAACCAAACCATTGAAAATGAATTTGACAACAATGAAGATGCAAACGAAGAGGTTGAAGACGTAGAAACTAATTCAGGAGATTATAATGAAAATATTTCTTTGAATCCAACTTTTTCTTGGCGTCAATATCTCAATAAAACCAATTCAATCGCGGCTTCCATTAGATGTTTTAATGAAAGTCAAAAATTTCCAACAAATAAAAACCAATTTAAAGTTGGAATGAAATTAGAGGGTATAGACCCTCAACACCCCTCAAAATTTTGTGTTCTCTCTGTTGTTGAAGTCTGTGGTTACAGAATAAGACTTCATTTTGATGGATATAAAGAATTGTTCGACTATTGGGTTAATGTCGACAATAATTTTATATTTCAGGCCGGATTTTGTGAGCAAACAAATAGAAAATTGGAACCACCGGTTGGTATTGTGGCCGAAGAGTTCAATTGGCACAACTATTTACAACAAACCAGATCTGTTGCGGCGCCCAAACATTTATTTAGCACTAATTCGTACCAAACTGTTCCGCCAAATGGTTTTCGAGTTTCTATGAAACTAGAAGCTGTCGATCGGGCTAATACTGCACTGGTTTGTGTGGCCACTATTGCTGATATAATTGATAACTGGCTTCTTATACATTTTGATGGATGGGATGATAGTTATGACTATTGGGCTGAAACTACCTCACCATTTATACATCCTATTAATTGGTAAATTAAAATAAATTTTTAAAAATTAATTACTGGTAATTAATACAATTGTCTGAAATCAGGTGTCGAACAAAAGGTCGATCTCTTACTCCTCCAAAAGATTATTACCGCTCGAGTGAGAGATTTTCGTGGGAAGAATACCTGTTGGAGACTAAATCACAAGCAGTATCTCCGCGTATGTTTAAAACAAGGCCTTCAAATAACTTTAAAACTGGTATGAAGTTAGAAGTCGCCGACAAACGTAATCAACGACTGATCCGAGTGACCACTATTACACACAGACAATCACATTGTATTAAAATACATTTTGATGGCTGGGATGAAAAATTTGATTATTGGGTAAACATATGATTAGATAATCATATAGTTTATTGATAACTAATAACATTTAAGTTATAATTTTGTTGCAAATTACTTATTATTTTTAAGATCGATGACGATTCTCCAGATATTCATCCGGTTAATTGGTGTCATAAGACTGGTCACCCATTACAACCACCCCCTACTTCAGGTTAATCTTATTTTTTATAATTTATGTATTACAGAAAAATAATGTATGATACTAATGTTTACATGCAATTTATAGACTATCCTCTAAAAAAAGAAACGGATGGTTCGGCCTCATGTCCTACTCCAGGATGTCTTGGAATTGGTCACATTAGAGGACCAAAGTATCAATATCATTACTCAACAATTAGCTGTCTATATACCGACTCACGACTCGAATATGAATTGCCCGATAGATTAGGCAGATCTGGAGATAATTCAGATGATATACCAATTGATGAAATGAATGATAACGGCATTTCTCCCTCACAATCTCCATCACCTTCTGAATCTAATTCCATTAGTTCGATACAAAAAAGCCAAAAGCTATCAAAAACACAGCAATTATCAATCGGTAAATTTCGGAAACGCAAACTTGAGGTCAATCCTTCTAATGGAGTCAATGGTCCGATCTCTCCAAATATGAGCACAAATTCCGAGTCTGCGAAACAATCGCGACCCTCAACTCCCTCTTCAATAACAAACTTGTCATCACTTCAACACTCAATATTTTCAATGAGGATGAGTCAGCAGCAACAAGAGGCACCTGTATGTTGGGATAGACACTCTAAGACCACTTTACCCGGTATTGATAAGACTAAATCTAAGGATGTATTATTGTGGTCACCTACCAAAGTGGCCGAATTCATTGACCAGATTCCCGGTTGTGAATGTGTGGGACAAGTGTTTCAGGACCAGGTTTGTCTTACTGTCTTTTAAATTACCGGTATTTGTAATTACCATATATTTGTCTGATTGTAGCTCATCGATGGCGAAGCATTTCTTTTGCTCAATCAGAACGATATCGTCAAAATACTGGGCCTTAAATTAGGTCCGGCCATCAAAATATATAATAGTATTCTTGTTATACGTGATAATGCCATCAATGAAGATAATGTCTAAAATTAATTTCTCATTATTTAGTTGTAAATTATATTCATTTTTACACTTTTTTTCAGTAGTTTATGTCATATTTTATATACATTTATCTAATTTAATGTCATTTTCATTGTAATTGCTATAATATATTATAATTTAATAATGAGTCAAATATTTAAGTAAATTAAACAATAAGTGGTCTCAAAATTTAATGAAAATTTATTTTTTTATATATTTGATGACATTTTTAAATACATTATAAACGACATCTTCTTAGTCCAACTTCTTGAAACCAATTTGTTCCGCATATTGTCTGAAACATCGCCGACAGATATTGAGACCATACTTGCGGATCAATCCGTGATGGTTGGAACAGACGCGACTATTATCATCAATCAATGGTAATATTACTATACATAACTAGTACATCACTTGATCCTACTTACCAATAACGACTGCCGGCACCAAACTTTCTGGGATGACTGTACCAGATGTTGTTGTGTCCCATAATTGTCAACAATTGTTGTGATCACCAATTAATCAGTTAATCAACGATTCAATCAAATCAAACACACTTTCAATGTCTTAATGTTTGCGATCGTAAAGGAAAAGGAAATATTAAATAGTGATAGACTTCGGACATCAATAACGACAACAATATATATATATATATATAAACTATACTCTAATCAATGCATTCATACAAATAGATAAATCATTTATTTGTTTGACTCTTCAAACACTTGTCTATCATTTATAAAGACAATTGTTTGGATGTCAAGAGTGACATAAAATAATTAAATTTAATACTAATTAACAAAAAATTGTATTTTTAATTATCAAACAAAACTCAAATATATTTAGCTAACAAAACGCATGACATAAATATTATAATAAGCACTTAATCGACATTTTATTGAACTTTTCATAACTTTGTTCAACAATATACATAACATTGTAATCATTGCTTAACCAATGTATCGCTTTTGTTATATAATTATTAGACAACTTATTATTTGATGAAATAAAATGATTCAATGACTAAATCTCTGATAAATTAGTCTAAATAGTCATCACTTAAGACATTAAATAACGTAACAATAGTAAGCATTTAATTAATAAGTGCGACTTCACTGCAATACATAGCGATTGTGTAAAAAAACTGACATTGAATTGAATACTACTGTGTATTGTATTAATGTGTTATATATGGAGTATATTAATAATACAGTAGTTTAACAATCAATTGATTTCTTCAATGTTTAATACATTTGAATTAATGCATCGCTTTTTTAGACCAAATAGAGCACAGAAATGAGTTTTCATATATAATTGTAATATTTTAACACTTGTTTAATGAATGAACTCATATAATAGTGATGTTATCACAATAGTATAAGATTAGACTAAAGATTATTATAAATGTGTGATGTGTAATGTTGTCACTAATTGATCCTAATGTTGATAACGATTTTAATAAAAGTATTTATAATAACATCAATAATAAGAATAAAATAATTGAAAATAGTTTAAAGAGATCTGTAATGAACCGATACGTGACACTCAGTCAATTAGGTGATGGCACCTATGGTTCCGTACTATTAGCCCAACGATTGGATAACGGAGACAAAGTGGCCATTAAAAAGTATATCAATTGTTTTTCTTATTTGTCTTTTTTTTAACTAATAATAAAAATGTTTTATAAGAATGAAGAAAAAATACTATTCATGGGAAGAATGTATGAATTTGAGAGAAGTAAAGGTTTGCATCAATTTATTTCATTTTTATTGTTTTCAAATTTAAGTTAATTTAATGCAATTTTTATTAATATAAATTCATGTGTTTTACTTTTTTTTGGTACACTATTTGGCACTGACCTATATATTACCAATAACTGTATATTAACTTTATGTATATGTACCAAATATTTTTGTTTTGTTTTATAAATCAAGCTTGCTGATTTTTACCACATTGACAATTACTTTGTAAAATTTTTAATATTTATTATATTTATTTGTTGTAATATTTGTTATAATATTGTCTTAATATTGAATATAATAAGATGGATGGATATCTTTTTAACAATAATTCAATGTTATTACTAATAAGTTGTTGCTATTGGAAACATTATTATTCAAACATAATTTTATCAATTTTTTTATAAATAAAATAATATCTGAATTTTATTAATTCATAGCTATGTTTGCTCTCTAATTAACAAAAATATTTGCATTAATGGAGATGAAACTAAACAAAATTAAAATATTATATTAGTTTAGTAATTATAAATATTACAATTTTCGCACATTTGAAATAAAATATAAAATACCAGTTTTATTACAATATATTACATTATTCTATTAATATATAATTTATAAATAGTTTCAGTTATAGAAAGTTATACCAAGCATTGTGTAAAAATTGTACAATAATTTCTTAAGAAAATTAAGCAACAAATCTGACAATATTTAAAAATTATTAGAAAATTAGTTATTGAGTTAATACAATATTTTCTGGATTTTTCAAAATTTTTCAAAATTTAAAATAATAATAAAATATTATTTTTGAATACTACAATATATACAATGTAATTGTAATTTATATTTAAAATATATATAATGTATTTAACTGTCAATGTTCATTTTCAAATAATGTCCATTAAATAATTATATAAAGTTTAAAAATAAAATAAAAACTCATTATTACAACTTTATAATAATTAAAATAAATTTATATATCAATAGTCGCTACAAAAGTTAAGTCACGCAAACCTTATAAAACTAAAGGAAGTTATTCGTGAAGACAATACATTATATTTTGTTTTTGAATATATGAAAGAAAATCTCTATCAATTGATTAAAGACAGGTATTTTATATAAATTATTATTGAGTTATTTAGCGCAAAGTTTGACACAAATATGTAATTTTAGGGAAAAACCGTTTGCAGAACCAATTATTAGGAATATTCTTTACCAGATATTACAAGGGCTGGCGTTTATGCATAAACATGGATTCTTTCACAGAGATATTAAACCGGAAAATTTATTGTGTATGGGTCCCGATCTGATTAAAATTGCTGATTTTGGTTTGGCCAGAGAAATTAGATCCCGACCTCCGTATACTGATTATGTATCGACGCGATGGTATAGGGCTCCAGAAGTATTACTACGTTCAACAAATTATAACTCTCCTATTGATATTTGGGCAGTTGGTTGCATTATGGCTGAATTATATACATTGCAACCACTTTTTCCCGGCAGGAGTGAAATCGATCAGATATTTAGATGTTGTTCAGTATTGGGAACACCCGATAAGGTAATGACATTTCCTTTATTTTTCTATTATTTCAATTGACATTCAAAACTGGCATAAATTCAATGTTAAGAGTAGATTTCCGTTAATTAATAATTAAAATGTTTTATTAAGTAATATAAATTATTCTACATTACATTAAAGTTGTATATATTATTTAAAAAATTCAAGTTTAATTATATTATATTATCAAAACTTTAATACTGTAGAAATTATATATCTATGTTTTTCTTTATTTTAATAATTAATTACAGTAATTGCAGTATTTAATATTAAGTATAGCTTAGCTAATTATTTAAATAATGGGTGTGGAATATAATGTTAAAATATACTGCAATAAATTTGTGCATTTAATATATTGATATATTACATAGGTTAATTATTCATTAAATATTATATTCATAATTTAAAGTTTAAGTAATATTATATTTTGTTGATGGCTATGTCATTGAAATGCAATTTTTAAATTATATTTATTGTTATCAAAATGAGAAATAAAATAATAATAATAAATTAAATTTCAAGTATTCATTTCATTTAACAAACACATGATATTATTAAGTAATTTAATATTTTGAGCCAAATATTAGCGCAATAATATTTTAAGCATTAAATTAAAAAAAAAGATTTTTATAAAAGAAAGTATATATATATATATATATATAAAACAAATTAATTTAGAAAATTTAATTAAAATGACAATCTATAAATAAATATATGTTAATAATTTATAGCGCGATTGGCCCGAAGGATATCAATTAGCAAATGCAATGAATTTCCGATTTCCTCAGTTCAGTCCAATGCCTTTGGACTCAATTGTGGCCAACAGTCATACCGACGGTATTGTACTCTTAGAAGATATGCTCCGTTGGAATCCATCGAGACGTCCGACAGCTGTTCAGTCATTAAAATATAACTATTTTAAAGTCAATCAAAAGCTCGGTCCCCAACACATCAATAATTTAGTTACAAAAACTCCTTATAATCAAAACACAAATTCAAATAGTTTTTCTGATAAAAATGGTTTACAAATGACTGAATTTGAACACAATTTGAATTCAAAGTTATTTAATTACGATTCCAGTGAATCTCCAAATGTTGATAACAATAGTATTCAACAATTACAACAACAAATTGGATCCATTTCTTCGAGAAATAATAGTAGTAATAATTCAGTGCTTAAATCAAGTTTGTCAGTCAAAGAGCAATATTTGCAAAGATCTCGATATATTGCGGGACAGACAGTCAAAAATGCTTCCTATCGTAACTCAGGTTTTATTTCATATATGAATTAAATTTAATATTTTATTAAAATTATGGTTTTTAATAGCAATGTATGGTAATGGATACATTGGGAATGGCAATCGAAGACAATCATTGATATCAATGACATCTCATACGGTACCTGCAAATGGTGGGCCCCTAATAGCAGCCAACATAACTGGAAAGACCGATTGGACGGCCAAGTATGTCATATGAGTCCTATTTGATTACTTCATTTCAAGTACTTTAAGTTAAGTCTACTAATTCAATGAAATTATATTTTTATAGATACCTGCAATGAATTTCACTGAATTTTACTAATGAATTCAATTTAATTAAACTAAATGACTCCTACAGTATATCAACAATAAATTTAGATGTTTTATATATATTTTTGTTATTACTTTAGACTTTGTTTTGAAACACTTGGTTTGTATACTCAGCTTTTAATGTGAAGATTAAGTGCAACAACAAGTATTGAATATTAAATTAATGATGAAAATTGATAATTTTTGAAACTTTGAAACAGCTAATACATTAAGTTATTCAATAAATTTTGTTATTTATTATTATTTGCTTTTCATACCTATGCCGTCCATTGAAATGAAGCCAAAGGATATCATGCTTTTCAAAGTCATACAACATATTAATAATCTCTTAAAAACTAGGATTACTCTCAAATTCAAAGCAAAATTATTATTATTGATGATTACTATATAATCAAATTATTTATTTAACTCTTAAATATCCAACTATTGTATACTTTATTATAAATACGTCATATTTAAATATTTAAATATAGTTATATTATTTTTAAAGCTAAAATGTTAAAATAATTTACAATATTTTTGTTAGTCAATTTTTAGTGTACTTTTTTTATATATCAAATCACATATTATACAAGTCCTCCAATTGAAGGACTATTTAAAAAGACGTTTTTTATCATTTAATTTTTTTAAACATTACTTTTATTTTATTAATATTTCTTATTAATACCTGTATATAGTTTACTGTACATAAATATAGTAAAAATAATGTAATAATTTATTTTCTTATGAATTCTGATGTCATATAAGAACAAAACATTAAATAAAAATTATACCCAGAATTTAATATTTTTGATATTAATTTTTATTCTAAGTTATTAGTAAAGTATAGGTCATATAGGAAAAACAAACAATCATTTAAGTCACCCGATTAGATCCAGTGGTAACCGGATAGCAATTCAGTGTTAGTGTTGACTCACATGTCCTCTCAGCTTATTAAACATTGCTTAAAGGTAGACTCAGGTAAGCTGAGTTAGGCTCAGGTAGGTCAGACATTAAAATAAAAGTTAAATAAAGCATCTTTTATTAGAGAACTTTTTATAAAGATTTTTTATATTAAAACAGTTGACATTTTCAAATGATTTTATTTTAAGCTCAAATTTCAATCTGGGTTTTTAATTTATCAATATCAATAAAACTAATTTATGTACTGTATTATACAGTATATATACTAAAAAATGTCATTTTACACTAAATTAAAATTAACAAAATTATTTATGTATTATAATAACTAAGCTGTTATTTAAATTAACTTTATTTGTTTCTTAATAAAAATCAATATAAATTATTAAATGTATATTTTTACTTTTATGATATTAACTACAATACTGTATTTGATATAATTAAAGTATTTCTTTTATAACTAAACAAATACTATAAAAATAATGTATATTTGTTTAAATTATAACTTGAATTATAGCGAAATTCATATTAATATTGTACTATATTTTTTCTTAGTATTTTTAAACAAATATATTAAATTATTATTAATTCTTAGTTATTTTCAATTTTAATTTTAATTATACTAAAATGAATGAGAGATACATATTATTATTAATAGAATTATTATGAAGACACATAATTATAATTAAGTTTTATTATAGTTAAAATAAAAAAGATATAATTTTATATTAATTTTAAAATACTTTTATTGTATATGAGTTAATGAGATTACTGATATAAAAATATTTTATTTTACTTTTATTATAAAAAATAATTATACGACGTGTTTTTTATCTTTTATTAAGTTTTAAGTCAAATGATATTTATAAAAACTCATAATTTTAACTGAAACAAAAGTAATAAAATTAAATTTTTAATGAATCATGTTAGTAATTTATAATGATTTTTTTTGTATAAAACTATTATTTATTTGTTGTATCAAGGTATATAAAAAAATATTATAACTTATAATTTATAAGTATAACAAAAAAATTTGATACCTGTAAAATCAAAGAAGTTTCACAATATATATATTATACAAATTTTGCAATACCTGTAGTTGTTTATTCTAGTTTATAATGATTCATAAAACTCTTATAATTTTATTACCTGTACTATAATTTAAACAACAAAACATATGACTTTTTTTATGTCAGCCGTATATCTCTTTGTTTACTAAATTCTGTAAAATATAGAAATTACTTATATTTAGAAATGTTTTTATTTATATTTATCTAAGAAACTAAAGAATTTGATAATATATTCAATAAAGAGTTTGATGTACTAGACTTTTATAATTGACATCAAAATTATTATAACTCTAGTTATTGAGGTCCACATAATTATATATAATTTATAACTTATATATATTCTGTATTGAAAGGGATTGTTTGATAAAAAGAAATTTATAAGAATTTTGACTCAATCGTCAAGTGATCCATAAATTATGGGTTTTGTTGACACCTATATTTGAAACCAGATTCAACCGAATTGCTTAAAGTGGTATAAGCTTCTCATCAGTTTTATACTATACTTTAAATATATTTCTATCAATTAAATTAAGGTATATATACTGTATATAGTATTATAGTATTTATATAACAAGCAAAGTTGAGGTCATTATTATGAAATTCATAATTATCTTTAAGTGTTTTTTTTATTTGAAGCACATTTGGATATCGGTTCCAAAGTTAATATTTTTAGTTAATATTTACCAAACTTTTTAAGTTTTGAAGGGGTTCTTAAATATTTTTAATATAAAATAAATAAATATCTGAATGGGCTATAAATCAATATAATAAATATATACTGTATATATTGATATTTATTATTCTCATAATCATAAAAATAAAGTGTATATACACTGCTACACATTGTTTATATTAATTGATACAACATATACACGTAACGCTTTAATAATAAATAGTAAGTGTAGATAAATTTAAGTTATAATACTAATTGTAATAATTTACAAATAAGTGTTTATTGCAATTATTCACTGTTTGAGTGCATATCATATATTTTTTATATGATATAAAGTATTAGTTTTTAGTTTGAAAAATGTTGTCTTTGTCTTTACAGATAGCCTTCGAGAGGATGGCATTAGTGTAACACTCATAATGCTGTGTATTATATCGTATAATATTGTATTGAGTTTAAAGTAAATGGAGAGACACTTGAGTTTAGACTACATTTACACTCAAAATAAATGGTCCAATAATTGAGTCGATGACGAAATTCTTGTAAAACGTCATCCTTTAGGATATGATATAAAAGTCTATGAAATGCTTGGATGAGAAAGCATTGGGTTTTGTGTTAGAGTTTAGACATTCTTGTAATTCTGTAGTAAGTGTTGAACACATCTTATTGCAGACCTGGCTATTAACAGATCATTCAGTGATCTTAATATTTCATCATTTCGTCGATAAAAGAACTGAAAATTTCGGGGAAGGATTATTCACTACAGGTTTGTTAACATTTCTATCATTATTGTCATTATTATTACATTTATTATAACATTGTTTGCCATATTCTCGTTGTTCAGCCATATATGTATGACATACCCAACACATACACACTATTTTTAGATTTATTTCATATTTATTACACAGTTATATATGATTTATAAATTTATTGACATTTAAAAATTAAATTCTAATATTAATTTTACTTAAAATTCATATTAATTATATAATATATGATATTTTATTAAATAACATTAAATTAATGTTTGAATAGTATTTATCAGCTTTTGACTAACAATAAGCCATTTGTTATAAATTAGTGTAAATTTCCAGATTTTCCGAGTCATATGCTATTTGTATCAGAGATTTTAAATATATTAAATATCTGTTTTACTGATTGCTATACTATTAGAAATACAATATTAGTGTATAAGATATTATAAAATTATAAATAGACAAATACTTTAGATAAATACGACGATATGATAAATATTTGAATGTTTTGCCAATTTGTATATTAATAAATACTAGTAAACAAACATTTAAATAAATAAAATGATAACACAATATCAATGTATAGTCGATTAAAATATAATGTAATAATTAAGTTGTAGTTTTATAATTATAAAGTTATAAAATAAAAAAATATTTATGTATTATATTAGTGTATTACCTAATTAGCCAAATATAAAAACAGCTCCAAACCAGTCATATCTAGTTATAAGTGATATTGTCTGACAACATAAGTGGCCCTAAACTCGATCTATAAGTTAGGTATCAATAGTATGAATGTCTGGCTGTGTATACAATACTCATGAATCAGAAAAACATTTAAGACTTGTTTTTGGTTACAAAATTCTGTTTGAATTTTAAGTGCATTTTAATCGTTTAATTTATTTTTGTACATATTTTCTGTGCTTATCAAACATTCAATAAATTAAATGTAGATATGAGCACCATTACCATTAAAACCATTATGTCAATACAGGGGCTATATTTCTATTGATCCAACCATTACTTTAATGATAAGATTTCATTTATTTTTACTTTAAATATACATTATATGTATTAGAATTTAAGAATTTGCGTTAATTTCTTAAATCTATAAAAAATTTAGTAAATAAACCATTATTTTCTAATATCACTTGTTTATAGATATCTAGAAATATCATATAATAGTTTTTAAATTATGACAATCCAACTATGAAACTGGCATTTATATCAAGAATAGACTGTTTTAACGATAATAAAAAATACAATTATGAATTTGTAAACATTTTAATTGTATAGATTAATACTTTAAATGTTTTTACTGTCAATTAATTTAATATAAATCTAATAAAATTATTTTATACGAATAGGGGCTTCTTTTCCAAGTTCCCCGTGTGTCAGTAGTTGCATACGCCATATCAGTCCGCAAGTGTGAGGGGGCACCTCCTTGGCATAGCTGAGACCATTAGTACTTGATTTACAGATACATTGTTGACGAGTAAGTAATTACTTGAGAATAAAATATATTAATTTTAATTATTTATATTAATAATAATAAATTGCTTAACAGACCACTTGCGCCATAATTCCGGATTTGATTTTTATTTCAATTAAACCCATATTTCAAATAAATTCAATTAAAATAAAATTAAAATAATAAAAAAAATTAATAATAATGAAGACATCAGTGTTAGGACAGGACTTTGCAATGACTCCGAGTGTGGAAGAAATCATTCGCAATACAATCATTGATGACAATAATGAAGACGCTTTCTATGTGGTCGACATCCAAGACATTCTTCGCAAACACAAGAAATGGTTGTTGAATATGCCTCGCGTTCAACCTTACTATGCGGTCAAATGTAATCCAACACCTATTGTATTGGAACTGTTGTCTGCATTGGGAGTTGGCTTCGACTGCGCCTCAAAGGTATAACAGTTTATTGTAAAGTATTATCGATACGAATGAATGTCTAAACTATGAAATTTGTTACAGAATGAGATCGACTCAGTTATGAACATCGGAGTGACTCCTAATCGTATAATATATGCCAATCCGTGTAAAACCAAATCATTTATCAGACACGCGGCTGATGTTGGCGTTGAAGTAATGACATTTGATAACGAACTCGAGTTATACAAAGTGAGACAATTGCATCCAAACGCCAAAATGGTTATAAGGATCAAAGTGGATGACAGTCACGCCGTTTGTCGATTGGGTCTCAAATTTGGTGCCGACATCGACAAAGTGCAGCATTTGCTTCAAACAGCTAAGAATATTGGCGTCAATGTTATCGGTTGTAGTTTTCATGTGGGAAGTGGCTGTGAGAGCGCTGATGCTTACACTGAAGCCATAGCTAACGCCAAATACGTGTTTGAAGTCGGAAGAGAACTTGGCTTCAAAATGACATTTCTTGATATCGGTTAGTCTTATAATATTTGATTGATTTATAATATTAACGTAATTATGATAATATTAATACAGGCGGTGGCTTTCCCGGCACATCCATTACTAAAGTTCGCTTTGAAGACACGGCTAAAGCAGTCAGCGCTGCACTCGATCTTCATTTTCCAGCAGTCGATGCTTTTGGAAATGAATCAAATATTACAATCATTGCAGAACCGGGACGTTATTATGTATGGATTGATTTTATATTTAATAATTATTTATTTACTTAAGTATTGTCTATATTTACATTTTTAGGTGGCATCGGCTTTTGTTTTAGCCACTAATATAATTGCTAAAAGGAGTGTCCAAATGGAAGATCAGACAGCAATGATGTACTACTTGAATGATGGCGTTTATGGCTCATTTAATTGTACAATATTTGATCACTGGGTGGTCGAACCGACCCCTTTCCCAATTGATGAGAGTTTGGAAGATCGCCAAAATCATTTGACAACTATTTGGGGCCCAACGTGTGATAGTATGGATTGCATTAAACGAGACATACATATGCCAGAGATGCATATTGGAGAGTGGATTATATTTAAAGAAATGGGAGCTTACACTATGTGTGCCGGCTCTGAGTTTAATGGATTCAAAATGCCTGCACATCTTTACTATGTCCCGGCCTATACTCTGCAAATGCTTCACCATTTGCCGAATTGGTCACGAATTGCAGCCATTTTGGACATCGCCGACAACGAAGATATGTCTGACTCTGCAATGGATGTGTTCGATGCCGACCACAGTCTTGAACTCATATCTGTTCATTAAATTGCCTTTAATTGCATTCCATATTAACTTTTATTTGGCTTTTATTTTAATTTTCTTTATAATGTTTTTTATAATGTAAACAATTAGCAGTATTTTCTGCTAAAATACTAATACAATTTTTAAAATAATTTTAATATTACTTTTTTGAAAACTAGAGCTTTTGAATGTTATTTTTAATTTACAATTTTTGAAATTATTATCAATCCGGGAATTAATGGTTTTGTATATTATAAATAAGTAATTATGTGAATGTATGAATTGGTTAATTGACAAATTGCCAATTTTAATTGATATCATATCTTCACATAATTACTTATCCAGCAAGTGTTGTCGTTAATTATGTTCTGTATTTCATTATTTAATTATGTAATTTGTAATCTATTAGAAATTTTTAATAAATATACAGTATATTAAATAAGTTTACTATTTATTCAAATTAATTTAATAAATTATTGATAATAACTTCAATAATCATTGTACGGTCGGATTAAAACTAATTTATGTGAACTATATTATGTTAACTAATGTTTATTAGATTATAGTTTCACAGTTTTAATAGTTCACATTTAAAATAATTTAATCATAACTAAAATTGATACAAGAAATATATAAACTATAAAAATAATATACTTTAAAAACACTTAAAGTTTTTGTGTGTCGAGTGTTTAAATTGCAACTTTAAAAAACCAAAAGAATAAAAATTATTTATTTGTATAAAACAATAAATTTTAATAATTTACGAGTCAATCAATTATTGCTTAAATAAAAATATAGAAAATCTATAACTTAATGAAATAGTGTCAACAATTAATTGTTTTATAATTTCTGTGTTAGTATTGAGTAAAAAGATATATTTTTTGAAATTTTGCCTAAAAAATTGAAAAATTTTTAAAATAATAATTTAACTGTAATTTTCAGTATCCGGCAGATAGTTTGTATCCGACAATATATTGTCCAATATTCTACTTATAATGATAATAATATTAATACTTAATTAATATATTTACACACATAATGTACAAAAGGTATATTAATTTTTAAACTATCTTTAAAATGTTGTATTACAGACAGTTTATATGTTAATATTATTAAATAATAAATTTTTATATAAATATTAATATAGTTAAATTATAAATTTAATTAATTTTTTAATATAAATATAAAAAATTATATATAAATTAATTTTGTGTTGTCCGACACAATCAGGTATTATTGTATAGGACAGTGAAATCGTGTAAAATATAGTAACATATTTATCACCCGAACTATTACTTATAATAGAATATTAAATGTAATTTATTTTATTTAATCTACAGATAAGTAAATTATTAATAGTTTCAACAAAATTGTTGATAAGAAAACTCAATATGTTTTTGATTGATATTCAAAAACTATAAGTTGGATTAGTCACATGTGTGATAACTAGAGTTCGGGCAACTTTCCAAGTGAGGGAAGTTCCCTAATAAAATCCCTCCATTTTTCCCGGAAAATAGGGAAAATATTATATTTTCCTTCCCTGGCCCGTTATACAGGAAAATATATTTTGTATTTCTACAATAAATAATACCAAAACTTATTTTTTTGCATAAAATTTCATTGAATTATATAAAAATAAATTTGAATTCAATGAATTTGGTGATACTATTTAACAATAACACTCAAAATACAGTTTAATACAACATTTGTTATTCAGATCTTAAAATAAAAAATGTTGTTTATGGTTCAATAGGTGGTAGCATAAAGAAATAGATTCCCTGGGAATTTCCAGTGGGTATGAAAAATAGGGATTTTTGGAATATAAGACGAGGGAATGAATTTGCCCGAACCCTAGTGATAACTGATGACTTTTAGTAGAAATTTGTATAATTATTTATTTTAACTAATTTTGTCAAATGTTATCAACAAATCAATTTGATTTTTAAGAAATATGTGATAATTTAATCATAAATGTAATTATAAATTGTTGTATTAAAAATATTAGAATTTAAAATTACAAATATTTAAAAAATTAATAATAATAATAATAATAATAATAATAATAATAATAATAATAATAATAATGGTTAATTAATACGAGAAAGTTACCAAATTAAATAAAATGCAATTAATATCAAATATTTAAAAATTTAGATATAATTTACGCTATAAGTTATAAAATTTATAATTATAAGTTATAATATAAATTGTATAAAATAATACATTTAGTATACTGTACTGTATGTCCAATTGAACATTACTGTATTTTGTCTAAAATACTATACATTTTATTATCTTATTTTGTTTAAGTTGTTAATTATAAAAGTTTTGACTTTTTAATTTGATTTTTCAATTTTGATGTTTATATTTTATTATTAACAAGAATTTAAAAAAAATAAGTCCATGATATGATTTAAATATCTATTTATAACAATTATACCAATTAACGCAGGGTCATTTAGGCGTCCAAATATTATTTTATTGATTCAAAAGATAAAAATAGTTATTCATTGAATGCCTTTAGATATAATTTGTTTATATTATTTTTACAAAACTTGAAGTAATTGTTTGTTTAAATAAAATAAATTATTGTTTTTATTTTAATTTGTTGATATTGATAATTTTAATATTAATTTTTTTCTTAATATAATGTACAATTTTTATAAAATATAAATAAATATAAATAAAATTATTTTACAACTAGTTTATTAATTGAGTAAATATAAATATATATAATTAAAATTATGGTCATAATGAGTATATTTTAAAATAATATTTGTATATTTTTTTATTTAATAAATATTGTAAACAATTTTGATAATTAAAATTTATAAACAATAATATGAATTTACATTGAAATTGCTTTTAATTTGTAACTTCAAAATTTATCAATTCAAATTATTTTTAATTTATTTTATTATACAAATGTATATTATAATATTATTATGAGTTTATTAAACAATTTATTGACAAAAATAGGCTTATTATGTTAACAAAAATGATCAGTGTCAAATTGATATGCATTAAGTTATGATAGCAATGATCATAAAAATATATATATATATAAATCATACAAATATTATAGTATATGATATATAAATACAATAAAATGAATCAAATAATTGAAACTACAATACAATATAAAATAAATAATTTAAAAAATTTCATCGATATTACCAGCAAAGCAATCAACTGTTATTTCTATAATTTTATAGCAATTTTAAATAACAAAAATATAAATTATTTATACTGTATAATGATTTATAAATATTAATCGAATAAAAATACACTGAATAGCATTCAAAAGTGTAATAATCTATAGTAAATGGAATTCATGCTTAAATCGTTAATTTTTTAAATGATTTATTATATATAGTTTAGAATAGTGGTGTAAATTGAACTGAAAATGTCGTCCTGTCCTGTCCTGTCCTGTCCTGTCCTGTCCTGTCCTGTCCTGTCCTGTCCTGACCTGTCCTGTCCTGTCCTGTCCTGTTTCTAGCATTCTTAACTGGTTAAATATAAATTGTATAATTTTTTATAAAAAGCAAAATTTGTGAAATATAAAATTTTATTTATAAAATTGATTTTTGATAACAATTATCATTAAATAGTTGTATAAATTTGAAATATTCTTCTTAACATACATTTTGATTAAACTATACAAAATATTTTATATTAATTAATTTTTTTAAATTGTTAGTTAAATAATATTTATCAAAGCATTGTTTTAAAGTTATATAAATTTTTTAAAAATAAGTTTTATTTGAATAAAATAAATATTTTATAACTTTAAAATAGCGTTATTTATTATTTAGTGTTACCTTAGAAGCAATGCATTAGTGCTTAAAATACAATATATTAATAATAATATAAGTATTATTAGATCTGTTATACATATCCGACGATAGCTCAGTTGGTAGAGCGGAGGACTGTAGTAGCGTTGCAATAGACATCCTTAGGTCGGTGGTTCAAATCCGCCTCGTCGGACAATTTTTTGTTTTTTTTTTGTTACAACATAATTGTTTTGTACTTATTTTTTTTTAAAGTTTGCAATAAATGACTAAATAAAATGCATATTAAAATGTGTATTAAAAATATTAATATTGATAATGAAAGTACAATTTAAATCAATAAATAATGAAATGCTTAATTCAAGTGATCTGTTGGCTAATTGATAATGAAATGGTAGTGAATTGGGGTGACCCACATATAGACATACATTTTCCACTAAAACATCACTACATATGAGTAGTTAGTAAACTAAACATTTCAATGTATGTTAAGCTATGGTTTTGACCCAGAATTAAAAAATCAAAAGTTTGTTAGTTTATGTTTGGAAGGCGGGAATGGTATGACAGCTTTAGGTATGTTTTCTAGTAAACAGTAAGTGATTGTAATCTCGCCGGTCCTCCCCTTATATGTTGGTCTCTCTCCAGACTCTAAATTTTTCTTTTTATATTACCTATAGGTATATAAATATATTTTCGTAAACATAGTATGTATTTGAGGAAAACTATTATTAACTAATCTGCAAATGAAAAGAAGTTTTCTAAAGTTTTTTACAAACAAATAATTTAATTTAAAGGACAATATTTAAACATTTTTGTTGTTATATTAATGCAAAGTAGCATTAAAAACATGATATTTATTGAATATATCAAAAAGTTTTGTCAGATGACAAATACTTATTAGTAATGATAAGTAGTGTAAATTTATTAATTTTCATAAAGTTTTCAGATTAAATACTATATTTTGAAAATAGTTATTATACTATTTTTTTTGAAAAGTCGTGTAACTCACTAGTTATAATGGTATGAAATTAATGATAAGTAAAAAAAATCAGTGAATTAATTAAATATCAATCAAATAAACAATGACATCAAAAATTAAAGGATATCTATCTGTTTGTGGTACGGCTTGTGTGTACTTTGCTATGGGTTTGTACTTCAGTTCGGGTAATACAGCCGTATATCTGACTTCATATTTAAGATATCACAGCAAAGCTGACGTACAGTTAAGTGATTCCATTTGGTTTCTGGCGGCCGTTGGACTCTCGGCTCTTATCCTTCCCTTCGGAGGAATGCTTTACAGTGTCATCGGTTTGAGAGCCGTTTGCTTAATAGGAGGACTCCTTCAAAGGTAACATTACTTTTATTTTGTCAATCATTTCTACATTTATACTTTATATCAATAGTAAATAAAAATAACACATCTTTTATATTGCATTTGTAAGATTAATAAGTTAAATATAGTTTGGAATATATAACATGTTTACCGTTATATAAATCAATATAAAGTTTAAAATTAGTAAAAAATATAAATAATATAATAATATAAATAATATAATAATATAAATAATATACTCAATTTATTATAATTATATTAACCAAACAAACTAATAATTTCTAAATAAATGACAATTTTCAGAATTACCCCAAAGTAGGACAATATAGTAATGAATTGAATGTATTATATGATTGGAGGCAATAATTGCAATAATTTTTTGTTTATTTCTTATCGTTTCATAATTTTTGTTCCAATGCTTTGAAAACTATGTTTAATAGAGACTTCGGTCAAGGATTTGTTAAATTATATAATTATTCAAAAATCTTCATAATTTTGATTGATTTAATATTGTCCACCAAAAGTGTTGGCATATTATCCACATATTTTGCTTTGGAGACTACCTTTCCATTTGTGGTCATTTGCTATGGCGGCAGCTTTTTGCTCAGTTGTGGCATTTGCTACACACCACCGCTCGCTAATATTAACAAGGTAAATATTAATAATTTAGTAACAATTTAATATTTATCAGTTTATTTTATTTATCGGTATTAAGTGGTTTCCCGATAATAAGGGTCTCGTTACTGGTGTAGTGGGTAAGCACTTACTAAGCAGTATATATATATATATATATATATATATATATATATATATATATATATATATATATATATAATATGACGGCGTAAATCAGTTTTAACGATACAATTATTTAATAAAAAAGCCGCAGCAATGGCTTCGGCGCCAACGTTATGGACGCCATTGATCACAACTTATGTCAATCCAAATAATATATCTCCCGATGCTAACGGGTATTAAATACTAAATAAGTCCTAATTATGAATTGCTTAATAAGATTTTTCTTTCAGATATTTCATTGATCTGGAAGTACTGTCACGAAGTCGTCAATCAATGCTTTTGCAAGGATTTGTTACATTAATACTGTTTATTATTGGAGTTATTCTCCTATTTCCTGCACCGACAGCAAACAAATCGGATAAAGAGGTTCGTTAGTCACCATAACATTACTTTCATTTGGTATTTAATAATACTATTTTAAAAAATCAATTATTAACAATTATTTCTAACCATAAAATTATTAAATATTATAAAAAACAGCTACAATATATAACTTACAATAGTAATATTTCACATATTTATTATATAATTAGCTTTTTGTAGTATAGTATCAATTTTTCAATTCCTGTACATATATATATATATATATATATATATATACCTGTATATGATATTTTAAAAAATTGAATAGATTGCATAAAATTACCTTGTAACTTAAAACTTAATGAAATACTGGTGTTTACCTAAAATTATGAAATTATATTAATGATGTTAAATAGTATTAGTATAATAAACAAAATAATGTTTATTATAATGATATAAAAGTATAATAATAATAATTAAAAAAATGTTGTCTACTGTCAGTTATGCCAATGAGATCACTAGTATATCATTAAATTAATGAATACTTAAAACATCGATAAGAATAGATTTTGCGAATTCAGACAATATTTTGCAATTAAATGAAATCAAATGTTTGTATTCAATGTCATTAAACAACTATTTTATTTTAAAAACTTGTGAAATATATAGCAATTAATTATTTGATTGGATTTTAATTTTAAAACAAATATTCATAATAATTGTTATTTAGATGTAATGCCCTTAAGATACAAATTAATGTTAGAAAAAAAAATTATAAAAACAAACACTAAAGCAATTAAAATATTTGTAAATATAATATAATTTATAAAAAATATAAACAATTAATTTGAAACAATATATAGTCGTTTGCCAACAATTCAGTGGTTTATATAAAGAAAGAAGTATTCAATCAAAAGATGTCTCACTTGTCCAGTGAAGAAGGTTTGACTCCAAGACAGGTCATTGCAACCAAAGAGTTCATATTATTGTCAACAAAGATAATGCTTACGGAACTCGTCTTCTTTTATCTTCTCTTCGTTTATAAAGTAAGAAAACTAATTGTCATTTAGTATAAAATGATTAAATAATGTAAGTATTAATAAATAATTCATTTAACAATAACTTTTACACTAAGTTTTAGCAAATATTACAATCAATTTAATTTTATAAACTTTGAATACTAGGTATTAATATAATAATAGTATTATTATATAGTATTATCAAAGCATTAAATAATAACTAATTACTAAACTATGGATACAATCCCTAAAAGTGTTTGCATTGATGTAAACAAAAGCAATATTTGTCTAACACTTACGTTAAGTATTGATTGATAACAAACATTGTCATCGATGGCCACAATCGGTGCAAATCAAGTATTAGACAAATCATTTCACTATAACTTTGAGCCATTCTTTACGATTCAACCAAATATTGAGACCCGAAGACAACAGTTAAAAGCGTGGCGTCAATTGATTTGCGATTATTATGAAGTGATTAATGAACATGTCTTGGATGTTAACAAAGCCATCAATGATCCCATCTTTAAAAATAATAAAATTAGTCGTCAGTTGTCTTTAGATTCACTTCGAGTCATATTAGATGACATGCAGTCAAACGGTTTGATTGAATGGATAGATAAAAAACAAGACAATTGTTATGTTTATTGGAAGAGACCTCAAGATTGGGCACAACTGGTCCTTAAATGGGTCGATGAAAAAGCACTCAACAATACTGTCTGTACTTTCTATGAGATTGTGTCCAGCGATGAGACAAAGAATTATCCATTTCATGGACTCAATGAGCAAATACTGATCAAAGCGTTACAGTGTTTAGAAAAACAGGGAAAAGCAGTCCTCATGAGCTTTGATAACAACTCTGGCGTCAAATTTCTTTAAATTTATTTTATTTTTTATATTTTCTATAAATAATCTTAAAATTGATTGTAATTATTTGATAAATGAAATGAAAATAACTAATAATTTAACTAAATTTAAACTTTTACTTAACATTTGAACAGCCGTTCGGTCAGACCTTTATATCGGATGACTTATTCCTATCCTTTGTCGGCGCTTCGGCTGCCGTTTGCAATATGTTTTGTCGTATAGTTGTCGGTCACATCAAAGATCTGACCACTTATAAAGTGAGTCATATCTGTTCATTTAATTCTACTAATAGACTAGTCTTTCAAACATCAGATTTGTTGTATACCATTGAGTTGTTTGGCAACAATACTTGTCGTGGCCTTACCGTTAACTCCATACGCGCACCGTATGGTATATGCTGTTTGTATGGTTGCCGCTGTCGGTATAGTTGGTTCTCAGTACGCACTAATGCCATCAGCGGTTAGTGAAGCTTTCGGTGAGAAGTTTGCCAGTATTAACATTGGACTCGTCTATATGTCGACTGTAAGACATTTGATACCATAATAGAGTTATTTAAATAATTATATAAATGATTAGGTGATAGCAGATATTGCCGGTGCTTTTGCTTCACAATATTTGACGACCACATTAGGCTGGGAAGGGATGATTGCATTGGTTGGTGTCTGTGCTTTCATTGGTAAGTCACTCAACACAATATAATTTATTTTGATTAATTAATCATTTAATTCATAGATTTTATGATAACATTTCTATTACCTGATAACCAACGATTATTATTAATTAAAAGGTATTTAAGAATTTAAAATATTACAGTTTAATATAAATTATTAATTTTGATAGACTTGAGATAAATAAAGACAATAAAGCGATTAAAAATAAGACAAATTGTGTGTTTCCCACTGAAATCGTCTATAACTGTAATACTAACGATATCTTAACGGCCACTCGGAGGACAAGTATTTCAAAGCCTTCTTTATATAAAACATTTGACAATACCTGTGAAGCGACACGTCTTTAAATATTTTGTTTATGAGAATAAGATTAACATAATTATAAATATATTCACATATAAACATAATTTGATATTTTACTGTAATTAATGTATTTTTATTGTTAAAATTAAATTTTATATTGTATTAATATTTTATGTACAATTTGTAAATTAAATAAAACAATCTGCAAAAATACGGTAATATAATTAAACATAACTTATTCTATTATAATTACAGTACATCTAGTATTTCAATTATAAAATAATGTAAACAAATATATCAATAAAAATATTTGTATTAATAGTTAAGCTATACATTCAATTTGATGTATGTTTGAGTTTTGTCCTTGTTAATTTACTAATTATTACAGTATTTAAACAATTGTATTCATTTAATAATTGTAATTATATATACCCATAGAAATATTGTCTATATCATAGTTTGAACTACTAGTTACATATTATTTAATAATTATCATGGTATTTTTATTTTATTTTCTAAATTAATGTCCAAAACTTTATTGCCATTCAAAATGATATATAGTTAGATAAATATAATAATTTTAAAATTTAAAAACAAAACTAATGTAATCTAAGGCTAATTATTAGTACTAATCTATATCTGAGTCATCGATATCATCATCAATATCCATAACTAATGAATTAGTTTTAAAAGTGTTGCAAATTGGCTGAAGACAAGTGGGTCTCGTTTTGATATAGATTTTTGATTCAAGACTTCTTGTACTCGATGGGCAAGTCTTGAAATTATGTATTCTTACGAATCGATCTAAACTACAGCTCAATACTTTAAATGTATTGTGAGTTTGTCCGACATATTTTACGTCACGAATAGCTCCACCGCCAAAGCCTTTAAATACACCTAAATGTCGGTACGAATGAGTATTAAACCTGAGGTCGACTGCCATCATCCGACCGATAGTTGTTCCCAATATTATATTTTGTGTTGGCTTTGCAATAGTGTGCGGCACTGATGTCGAACAAATGGCTGTAAATGATGGCGGATTTGAATCATTATTAAAAGTTTCATTCTTCAGATTAATATTCATCACTGGTTTTTTTTGTTTGCTTTTAATATCATAAACACGAACAACAGAATCACTTCGGGAACAAGTGGCCACCCATGAGGGACATTCGTTGCTCTTAGAGTTGCCACCAACCCATTCAACACCCGATATCCACGTCTCTTGCTTTATGCCGAGCCAGTCATTGGACAGGGGTTTGGCATTAAAGATAGATTGTTTGGTATTTAAATCAAACACTTTTAAATCAATATTTTTTCCTCCTATGGCTAACATGTGATCATTAACTTTAAATGATGTCAAATGAGTGTTTGCTGTGTTGTAATTTGGATTGAATATTGGGGTACAAGAAGTGATAACAGATGACTCGGTGTTCACATATTTTGATGGTTTAGTACATGGTTTGGTCGACTTGGGTGTCAATACATCTTTACCATTAGAGCACTGAACACTCTTCGAGATCTTACGCTTTTCAACAGAATCGTCGGGCTTTGAAGTGGTGGTACTTATGAGGTCGAGACCTAATAGTTTGATAGCTTTCTTCTTGTTTTCAGATAATTGAATCAACTCCTTCTCAATATTTCTGATAAAAACTGATCCGTTTTCATAACAGACAACTATATTGTTATCATCAATAGGTTGAGCGCCCATTAAGAAGGATTCATTGTTGACTCCAACCCGAAACCGATGCAAATGATTGGACACAGAGTTATAAATGGAAAGTGAATGACATTTGTTTGCTATTAAGTAATCACTGCAATGATTATCATTATTGTTATTATGAAGACAAGTAATGGATGAGACACTCTTTGAATGATGGATGTCATCGACCGGTTCCGAGTGAATGGCCAACACTTTATCTTTAGCCGCCATATCTATGCGTTTCAAATGTCCCAATTCATCACCAATTAAGACACCCATCACTACATTCCTCTTGTAAGTGGTGTCGCCATCAACTGAATCGTCGTCTGAATCCATAATCAGTTGTCACACAATTAGTGGTCAATTAATGTTCAAAACTCATGTGATATTTATATAACGCGTGTTTCATAACATCAATGCTTACATCCATTGATTTGTAGCTAACATTTCAATCACTTTAATCATTACATTCACCGATAGCTACCACTAGTGTCGACACTTATCACACCATTTCCACTGTACTCTACAGTACTGTAACTTACAGTTAAAAGTTACAGTTTTGATATTATTGTGAAAATACAGTATATATATACAGTATATTTAATTAAATGTTTTTAGATGTTTGATAATTTAATTATTTCATATTAAATATTATAGTTAAATATATTGTATTTTATGTCTATATTAAGTTTTTTTAACTTTAATTTATATCATAAACAGTTATTACATTTATTATACAATAATTATTATAACATTTAACTGAAATTATTATTATTATTATAAGTAGTAAGAGTAGAGATTAGAAGTTTTTCAAAACTTTCAAGTTTTAAACTAAATTTACAAAATAACATATTATGTATAATAATGTATTAGGTATATATAAATACTACATGTATAATATTAGATATTATTACTTTATATTAATAGTAGTACTATATCTAAAAATATCGTAAATTAATTGTAGTAATAATTAATATTTAAGCAAATTTGTATATAATATACAAGCCTTACAAGGATATTATACTGTACCGTAATTTTCTAAATTATAATACTAATTATAATATAAATATAATTACTATTAGACTTAAAATAAATCAATGAGTGTTAAAATAATTGCTCACAAATAAACTGATTTATAAAATAATTAAATTGTATTTTATTTTACGCTTTTGTAGGTTATAAATTATAACTTATAATCGATATATTATTATTATATTATTTTTAATTAAATATAAGATAGATATTTTTTTTATTATTGACTATATAAAGTAAATGTGAATAAATTTTAGTTTTAATGAAGTTTAAAATTTAATAAAAATATATAATAATGACAAATAAAACAGTAAATCACAAAATATGAAATTTGAAAATTTGAAGGCCTTTCCTATCGATTTCATCGGAGTTAAGTTAAACAAAGTTTATTCAAATTAAACACAACAGTAGTCATAGGGTTTTTGACTCAAACTTTTGACGGCCAATACTAAGGATAAATTGTGGAAAGAAATGCAGTTATCAACTGTTAGGACATTGTTTTTACCCCTTATTAACCCACAGTTTATTCTAAGTCTATATATTAGAATAATATCCTATATTTGAAGTTATTTTTAAGTAATTAACTTATAATTTATTTTTTAGTAATTTAATGTTTTTATAAATAGATCAACAAATAAAAATTTTTCAATATTTTCTTATTTAATAGTGAGGAAAGAAAAGTATTCACAATTGGATATTAAGAAAACTTCAAATTGATGAGGAAATGGATGTGTCAATTGAAATATCGTTGAGTCCACTGCCGAAACATGTGTTTGTCAAACAAATTTTAACCACTTTTGGTATCTTATTATGACATCATTGATCACAAAAAAGTAAATACTGTATCTAAATGTATGTCTGATTATCAAAGATGATGTCATTTCCATTTGTCACAACAAATGCATTATACGACTTGAGATTATGTGAAATTGTCAAACAATATACCGGTAATAGATATCAATGAATGTGATCTTTAAGTTGCTTTTTCCAGAAATAAAAAACAGATTCTTTTATCTAAAGAATAACATTTTCATGAAATCACTTAAAATGATTAATTTTTTTTAACAATTTACTGACACTTTATATACAATTAGTGGTTTAAAAACTAAATTCAAAGAAAAATATCTAATATAAGATACTATAAGAGTTGCAGATTATGAGCACTGAAACGGAGAATTTAATAAGCATCGGCTTATATTAGAGTTAAATGTTTATTTTTAAAACAAAAAATATATATTAAATAATTAGTAAATTTTTATCAATAAGATATTTAAGACCTTAGATGTTCATTGTTTGCATCGACTAATAGTTAACGGTTTATGACAACAAACATTAGTAGAAATCAAACTCAAGAATTCAAATGATTTTTATAATTTAGTAAAATTTTAATTAAAATTATGATTTGACAAATTTATTTAAAAAATTATTAAAATATTTAATTGAATAACAAAGTTATAGATTTATTTTTAAATACTCTTGACTAATTCTTGGAATTTATTATTAAATATTAAGTTTTAATATAAATACAAAATTCAATAAATTATCAATCATTATAATATGATATCTTTCTAAATAATTATTTTACATTTGTAAACAAAAATATATTATGACTTCGTAATAAAACTTAATAATTATTAAAACAATTAATTTGAGCATTTGAGCAAATATTGTAAAATATTTATATCACACAATAGATATGTAATAAATTGATTAAAACTACACAATCATATAAATTGATTTTTAAAATAAGTATTACAATTAAATTTAATTAAAGACTAGGAGTTGCACTTTGTTTTGATTGATTAGACAGTAATTATTTGGAAGTACTGTAAGCTCTCGAATGTGTTATTTTTATATTAATTTGATTATAAAAGTAATAATAATTTACAAATGATTGGTCTCATTAATGTTATATATATATAGTTATCCGTTATAATCAACCATTACTGAGTTGAACGGGTGGTGCATAAGAAAATCCTTGGAAAGCATTATCGGGAATACTGGAGGAAACACTCATTCCGTGTGACTTACAAACTGAGGCGGGAATGGCTTCGCGAGTAAACTCTGGATCAATATTCTTAAAATCCAAATATCCCTTCTGTTTTGGAAATTAAAAACAATTTTTCACTATTTGTTGGCATTATTTAAACTCATCGATAAAACAACAATACGTACAACATTTGGATTAAAAGGCGGCGGAATATTCTTGGACTCCAAGTCCGCCCAATTAATTGGTTTAAAAAACTCATGTCTTTTCAATTCATCGGTGTCTTCAATACCTCCCAAACGCTTTTTCTTGTCTTTTTGTAATAACTGAATGCAATAAATCATTTGAAATTAATAAAAATCATTTAATGATAAGTATGTTAAACAATAATATCTTTACCCCTTCGAGCATACTTCTGGCTGCCAGTGATATATTGGTCCGAAGTCTGACCGGTTTATGAAGTATATTGTCATACATTTCTGCGGTATCACGACTATAGAATGGAGGCTATTATATAACATAAATAAAACATTAAATAATTATTATAATTAACAGATGATTAAAATATAACAAACCAATCCATATAACATTTCATAGAGAACAGCCCCTAAACACCACCAGTCGACTGTCCGATCATATGATTCTTTACGTAACACTTCAGGTGCTAAATATTCAGGAGTTCCACAAAAAGTATTTGTCGTCTCCTTTTCTCTCAGACCTTCTTTACAGAGACCAAAATCTGTAAGAATTATGTGTCCGTCGGAGTCAAGTAATATATTTTCCGGTTTTAAGTCTCGATAAATAATTCCTTGTGAATGAAGATATCCTAAAAAATAAAATCATAAAATCTATTAAAATAACGTCAAAAAATGTTAATAAATGTAAACCTAAGGCACTTGTGATTTCTGCGGCATAAAAGCGAGCGCGAGGTTCACCAAAATATCGCTCTTTTTGTAAGTGAAAAAAGAGCTGCAATTATAATGCAATAAAACATATGAGAAGTCAATAAAAAAATAGATAATAATTAAGTAATAAATTTATATAACAATCATATCATACTTCTCCTCCATTGACGTAATCCAACACAAAATATAACTTTTCTCGTGATTGAAATGAATAGTAAAGACCGACAAGAAATGGATGATTCAAATTCTTGAGTAAAACATTTCGTTCACTCATTATATGATTTCTTTCATTACGTTTAATAATCATTTTCTTATTCAGTACTTTGACGGCATAGATCTGATCTTCAGCCTTATGTCTGGCTGTATATACTTTTCCGAAACTTCCTTTTCCTATGACTTTAAGAAACTCAAAATCACTGGCCTTTGCGTGATGTTTCTCAGACGGTCCCAAATCTATTAGTTTATCGCAATTGTTTGATGTGATGGTCAGCTCTTCATCATTGTCTTGATCTTCATCACCGCTACTACTTTTCATACTAAGTCTATCCAATTGGAAGAATGTGCGAACTTCGGCGCTATTTATTAAATATTTTGTCAAATACTGTAATATTCAAACATTGATTGTCAATAAATGTCAAAACTTACTGATCTAAAACTCGTGGCTCTGAAAGCATTGTCTGCACCAAAGTATCCAAACCTTTTCGCCGACTGTTAATAAAATCAACGCTAAAGTTGTTTCCAAATAACTTCTTTCCGGGAAGTTTGAGATCTTTCGAAAGCCAAGGGTATTGTTTTTTGACCTTAATTTGTAATTTATAATTAATTAATTAAAACATAAAATTCAAATAAATATATAACTGACTAAATCATATAATTTTGTGAATTCATTATATCGTCGATAGAGAAGCCATGTCTTGCCGTCGCAATTGACGACCACTTGATATACGGCATACTTCTTATTCTTTTCCCAAATCTCTGAATTTGTCACATTAGCGGTCACTGTCATTGTTGTCGGCGACAAACGTTTATGTCTTTTATAACTAACTATTCTCTGACATCACAAGAGGCATATAAAAAATGATAAAATAAATTTAATATTCAATTCAATTATTACCACTATTACTATATTTCATACACAACTTGTCTCAACACTAAACTCGACACTAAATGTGAAGACAGGCTTATAATTAGGGGAGAGTTGTAGAGACTCTGACAGTATGGGTCTTATCACACATTTAATCATTTATTAGGTATGAGTAGTTGTCTTTGAATTTTTAGCTAAATATCCTTGATTATTATTATTATTATTATTATTATTATTATTTAGTATTATATGTATATATACTCACATTTTAATAAATATAGACTATTTATTACTCGAAAATATTGAATTTAATTATTGCTCTTTAATAACATATGATACTATTACTTCATAATTTTAATTATAAATTTATAATTTTAATACAATATAAACTAATTAATAAATAATAATTATATAAATTGTTTAGTTATACTCATAATATTTAATGAAAATAGATAAATCATAAATGAAATCCAATTATATTTACAATTCAATAATGTATTAATTATAAAGAAAATCATTTTTATTCAAAAATTAAATGCATAATACATATAATTTGCAGATTAAAATATTTGATAATAGTTTTTATTTTATTATTTGCAATAAATTTGATAAATTGTAACAAAAAATTATCATGATATAATATTAATCTAATTTGATTACGATACTAAAATTTTGTAATTACTTATTAAATCTCAAATTTTTAAACGTTTTTATTAATAAACTAAAAATAGACAGTTGTACATAAATATTATTGATCTAAATTATTTTTTAAAAATTAGCATAGTAAAAAAATAGAAAATCGTAACCATATTTTAAATTACTAATTTAACTTTTAAATATTAAACAGTTTATAAAATAAAACACTTGTTTAGTAAAGTTTTATAATAATTTGTATTCAAATAAAGATATAATTATCTAATTTAATGATAAACATAATAATAGTGATTATGATTACAAAAAACAGGATCAAATTTGAACTATGTACTTTTTACACTATGTTTTATTTTTATACTGTAAATACATTTATATTTATTTTAATATAATGTCTGAGAATTTCAAATAGTTATGTAATAATTCAATGGAAATGTTTATATTAAAAGCAAATAAACAGAAAGTGTTTATAAATAAATGTTAACATAAAGTATGGTCAGCACCGGAATCGGGCGGTATGTATGTGTGAGTCCGAGTCGATGACATTTATTGCAATTTATTTACAAAATATTAATACAGTATTATCTAATACATTGTTAACTTTTGAAATCCATTTTTAATGTACTATACTGTATATTGTAATGCTTTAAAAATAAACAAATTTATCTATTTTATAATGTTATTAAATTAAGCAAATAAATCAATACATTCTATTTATGGTTAAATGTACTGTATTTTAATAACAATAAAAATATATGTTATAAAAATTGAGTAAATAATCTAATATAACAATTTTCATGATAATCTAGTTTTTTTTTATAAAACTTCAAAATTTAGTGGAAATAATTCAAAATTATTACAAGTATTGAACACATTAACATATTAACTAATTGTAAGAAAACTTACTTTAGTTGAAAACACTTTATACTGTAATCACTAAACTACTAAATTGTTTTCTAGAAATAAATATTTTATGTATATTTAAAAATTACTTGACACTAATTTAGTGTCAATTAAATTTATTAATAGTATCAATGTACTCATCAAATGCACTGAAATATTATAATAATTTAATTGACGTATTGTTAATGACATTAAATCGAGTACTCAATGACTTTAAGAATATATACTATTTTGAAAGTCTATAGAAAATCGTGTAAAACGAGTGATAATCACATTTAATTAGATAACTAATTGAATATTATATAAAATACTATTACATAAAATAAAGTAAAAAAAAGTAAATAATAACAGTATTATTGCTTACATTTCTTGTTAATAGTAAAGCGATTGTCATTAATTCAAATCATATAAATTGAGTGGTTTTTTAAATGACGAAAAATTGTGACAATATTTATAATCAACTAATTGATCACTTTTTTAATGTCCAATAGGGGAGTGGTTTGGATCAGATGTGTTGAACACAAACCGCTTAATTGCTATAAAGTATAAACAGTTGATATAAAAATATATTTCATGAACACTACAGTCAACTATTCATATGTTTCAAAGTGATTGAAGAGATGGTGAAAAACATTTGTTGAATGTATGGGTGCTCTTGACGTCCCACCAATCAAATGCTAAATTAATGTACAGTATGTGTAGTTCATCACTATATCATCGACTTTCAGGGTTATCTGGAAACCCCTTTAAACAAACATTTTATTAACTTAATATACAGTATTGATAGTAACTATAATTTATAGTCTATAAGTAAGGCTATTAAATAGTGAGTTTACGACTAGTCTAATAGAAAATATGTATTAATTTTAATATGTTCATCAATATAATGAATTGGCACAAATTGACATAAATTGACATAAATTAGCATAACTTAGCATAACTTAGAATAACTTAGAATAACTTAGAATAACTTAGAATAACTTAGAATAACTTAGAATAACTTAGAATAACTTAGAATAACTTAGCATGCACGTTTTAAAATCATTAATCATTAAACACTTGTCTCAATTTATGTGATTTGCAAATATTTGTAATTATTTATTCAAATATCTTTATATCTCAACATAATTGATTTTAATAGGTTTTTAAAAAAATTAATGTATATTAATAATTGAAAGCTAATCAATATATAATTATGTTTAATGTTTTACAAATGTGTTGAATTATTAATAAGTGGTAATTATTAGTTCACTTATTTTTAAACTTACAGTAAATATGAACAACGAAAACATTATTCTGGATAATTATGCAAACCTTGCTATAAATAATAATATCAATTTTAATATTAATATTAAAAACATCATTATATGATATACCGCTGATTATTGTTTAACACTGTTTGTATGAAAATAAGTGAAAGTAATGTAGTCTAACAATTAAATAATAAATGCAATGTTATTAATAATATAAGTCTTTAATAATGACTTCAGTTAGTTGTGACCCATATTTCTATAAGAAAACTGATCGTCGATGACATTGAATGAATGAATTGACATCTCGTTAACCAATTTATAGTTAATAGCAATACAATGACAACTATTTAATATATAATACACATATTTAGTTTGCTTTAGACATTAACTATTTTTTTAAAAGTTATAGTTAGAGATAATAGATGTTATTTATTCATATTTGCATAATAGTAACGTTAGAGTAATAGCGTTAGAATAGTTATATAAATTTCAAATTTATATTCAAATTTATCAGTGATAAAAAATACTGACAGTTAATTAACTCTTAATCATAAATCACATAATATTTATCAAAACAATAATATCGATATAATGTTAAAAAAATAGAGACTAGTCTAGATTAGGTGTATATTATTAAATTAAAAAGTTATTAAAACTCAAATCATACAAATTAAGTGCTTAATTTTTGGTTATGTATTAATCCGTTTTTAAAACCGTTTATTTTATTATAAGTAAATTAGTATTTTTTAAATATAAGTTTTAATTCAAAATTTGTTTTTAAAAAATGTATTTTTGTTCTAAATATCAATATATTTATAAAAAGTATTCTTAAATTGGCTTTAATTCATAGTTAAATCTTATCACAAAAATTTGTGCCACTTATACATAATCTAATTAAATACAATCAATTATTATATAAATATTTATAATATACAGTATATTTTTTTTGCTTATAATGTATATAAACTAAAATTATAATATTAGTCAATAAAATGTTTATAAAAATATTCAAACTGTAGATAAATTTTAGTTTATATTCATAATACAGTATAATAGGTGTCATTTAATACTCAAAATTTGTTATACTGTGGGAATAGTACACATTAAGTGTAAATTTATATTAATATAATTGTGTTTAAATATATATGAAATTCAATTGTTAATAAAAACAATAATATAACCAATAATTATTTATTTATAAAAAATCAAACACTCTTACATTATATTACATTATATACAGTATAATAGAGTTGTGAATTACATTTTAAAAGTAAAAATATTTTCAAATAAAGATAACAACAATCAAAATGTCGATAATTTGTCTGTTTTAAGTAATTGCCAAAAGTTTTACAGTATTAGCTGAAAATGCAATTATGTGGTATAATTAAATTAAATTAAAATATTATTAATTATTTATAAATGTATTACTACTGTATTTAAAACATTTATTTTTTATGCATTATGAGAGTCTTAAATAGCGGCAATGCTATTAATTTCATTATCTGTTCAACAATACGTTGGATTTAAAAGTGACCAAGGGCAATGTTGTAGATAATTTTAAACTAAATAAGATAATTGGTCATTTTTAATTAATTGTATGTTTGACCAATCATTGATCATGGTCAATCAATTCTAATTAATTTTAAATAAAAATATGTAATAACAATTATATTTTAACACATTTCATTAGTAAAGTTTAAAAGTAATTATTTTTATCCAATCAAATAAAAATCAAACAAACAATTTGGTTAAACATATATTGATTAGTAATATGATATAATATATTATAAATAAACAATAAATAAAATGATTGTAATTAGAGATGATTACACTTTGTATTGCAATGTATAATAAAATCTAAAAAATAGTACTAAAATGAACTAAGTTTATTGCATTTACTATTATTTATATTATTTTATTTTATTATATATTTGATAACTTTTATATTTATTTTTATTTTGTAATGCTAAACGACAATTTCATTTATATTGAATTGTTTTAATTAAAACAAAACATGAATATTAAAATAAACAAATATGTAGCAATTTATTTATATCAATTTCAATTTATTAATTACTAATCAATAGTATTATCACATTTAAAGTAAAGCATATAAATAAAAAAGTAATTCAAATGAAATGTAAGACAAGTAAGATTTAAGTTAAGTTAAACTATTTAATTAATTTTATTGACAAATTAATAATGAAAGTGACTGTAAGTTAACTGATTTGATGATACAGTTTGAAAATCTCGACTTACATAATGTTTATATAATATTTAAAATGACTTTTTTGCTAAATAATGTAAATTCTGTGATTATATTGTATTACAGTTTATATTAATAGTAAGTCAAAGCACAGAATTGTTAGTCAACTTCATCACCAAAGCAATAGCATAGCAACTGTGATATCAATAAACATAATATTCATAACAAACACTTAAAACTTGACAATTTTGGCTTCAATATAGAGTTTAATTTAGTTGAATATATTTATCAAACATACAATTTACAGTAATTTATTGATATGATAGTAGAGGTAATAATAACTAAATTATTTAATTAATGAAATTATTTGTTAAGCATTTCTTATAATAATATTTTCCAATAGTGAACTTAATTGAGAAGCAATCAAATCGTTGACATTTTTGTTAACTATTGCTTATAATTTAAATTATTTATTTTAGTATAAAATTTGTAATTAATTTAATTTATGCTTAAATATTTATCATAAATGCTATAAATGTCGGCATAAAAACTAATAACACAATTATGATAAGTAATCAATTGAAGTGTAGGGGTTGCCAAACATTATCAGTTTATTTTAATTATCAATTTACAAATGAACTAATTATATTGTATAATATTAATTTGATAAATTAAAAGTATATGTTTTCATAAAAATGTATAATTTTATATATACTGATACTATGATATAATATATGCTATGATATTATAAATTTTTGTTTACAGAATTCAACCAAAACTAGTGACACGAATGTCAAGAATACTATAGTCTTTGATGTCTCTAAAAGCCCTAACTTTGGTCTTAACGATGGCTTCAGAACTTTGCAGAGAAGACTTAAGACAAGTGGTTGGAAAGTAATGAGGTATTCAATTGAATCCATATTCACATAATATAAGTCATAATAAATATATTGAGTAACTTATAAATTGTACTCATAATTGTTTATTGAGATAATAAATGCTTTTGTATTAAATAATAAATATTATAGCTATAAATTGAATTATTTGTAAGTGCATTATATTATAAGTACATTTATGTTTTTATTATATTGTGTTGTCTATTATAAGTTGTCTTATATAATGTAATATATTGATTATATAGTATATTACAAATTGTAATTGTAATTTACAATAGTTGTTACATTATATCATATCAAACAAACAAAAAGACTTTATAACCTAATATTTATATATATATTAATGACTTTTATAGCAATAAAGAAGAGATAACTAACGAAATATTATCGCAATCGACTATATTTGTCATCTTAAGTCCTAAATCTAAATATAATGACATTGAAGTTAGTAATTATTTAATATTATTACAATTAACTTATTTATTATGATTTATATATGATATTCAATATAAACAATAGTTTAAGAATATTCGTAAATATATACAAAATGGAGGAAAACTATGGCTTATGTTAGGAGAAGGAGGCGAACGAAAAGCTTCGACTAATGTTAACTTTTTACTCGAAGAATACGGAATCGCTATAAATAATGGTTTGATTTTTTATTGTATTCGTTATATTTTAGTTAATATTAATAATTTTCTAATATATTATTTAAAATTTACATAAAAGTTAAAAAATTATAGTGTATTAATTGTAAAACTAAATGTAAACTTGATAATTCAATAATCATAGAAATCTATTTATCACAAAATTAATTACAGTTTTTTCAACATTTCATTTAGTCATATCACTTAATAAGTTTATTACAGTATTGAATTTTTTAATAAATATATATTTTTAAAATATTTTATAGATATTATATAAATCTTCCATATCTTTATTTAATCGTTCGTTAATTTATCTAAATAATGAAGTTATAGTAAAATTATAATATAAATGTTAGTTTTAAAATGGTTAATTATGATTTTATTGGTATAATTACATAATATATATTTATTTCTAAAAACTTAAATATTAGACAAACTATAATTGTGAATTTAAGTTATCTTAACACTTTAAATATTAATATTTTAATTCAAACAATGTTTTAATGATTATAATAATAAATATTTTACTTACATTATTTTTTATATATTAACTATATAAAAATTAATTAAAACACTGTAAAAACAAACAATTTTTGCAATTAAATTATAGTTCAAATACTCGCTATAAATTATATCGCAGTAAAAATGTTGTCATAAATGACATCAATAATGATAATAAAGTGAATAATAAATGATTGTTAAAAATATGTGATAAACCGAGTGTTAGTTTTGATAAAATTTATTTTAAACAAAACAGATTGTGTGGTGAGAACTGCATTTTACAAGTATTATCACCCGAAAGAGGCACTTATAGGCAACGGTGTGTTAAACAGAGGGTTACTACAGTGTGCCAACAAATTGCAAAGATTGGTCAATCAGGACAATGAAGACACGATTCAAATTCAAAATATTAATTATGTTTATCCATTTGGGGCGACACTCAATGTGGCCAAACCCGCCACAGCTGTACTGTCAACCGGATCGCTAGCATTGCCACTGCATCGACCAGTTTGTGCTTTTTATAATCAGTCGACAAATGGCAAAATAGTTGTGTTGGCGTCCAGTCATATATTTAGCGACACTTATATCGAAAAAGAAGATAATTCTTTATTAAAGGATGTTATTATCAATTATTTGACAGACGATACGTTTGTTTTGAATACAATTGATGCACAAAACCCGGAAATATCTGATTATTATACGATTCCCGACATTGAATTGTTGTCGGATCAGCCCTTTTCTAGTCTCGAAGAAAGTGAAGAATTGCCGTCAGATTATAACAAATTATTTTCTAAAAGCATTAATCAAATTACAAACACAGAGCTGACGCAAGTTATCAAAGCCTATGAAGAGTTGCAGATGGATAGAGAAACGCTTAAACTTATAAAACCGCAGTTCGAGACACCCCTTCCAGCATTACAACCGGCTGTCTTTCCGCCCACTTTTAGGGAGTTACCAAAACCGGCTCTTGAGTTACTTGATTTGGACGATGCCTTCAGTTCAATACCAACACGATTGACACAAATCGCCAACAAATGCGGTGAAAATGATTTGGAATATTTCGTGAGAGAGTGCGGACTCATTGTTGGTATCAATGAGACAATGACCGGTCAGAAGTCCGCTAAAGCTATTCTTCACTATATATTTAGCAAAATTGTTGAATTCAAAAAAGTTAATTCAAATCAGGAAATTATTTTGCATTAATTTATAATTTTCAATATGTATTACTAAAACTTAATAGAAAACATGTTTATTAAAATTTWAAAAAATAAATTCACATGAAATCATCGGAATCATAGCCATCCTTTGCAAACAAATACATAATTAGTTATTGCAATAAAAATATGAAAATACAATACAATACTTGATTTGTTTGCATATTTTCATTCTTCATAACCGAATCATAACTCTTAAGTCTTGACATTTCTTCTTTTCTTTTCAATTCTTCTTTTTCTTTCTGTTTTTGTTGTCTTTGAATTGCTTTTAAATTATCTCTTTCTTTAGAATCTCTTTCTTCTCTTTCGGCTCTAAAGTCAACGTTTTGTTTCTCAACCTTTAATCAAATATTACAGCAATTGATTTAATTAAACTAATAAATAATACAATAATTTAATATAATTTTAAACTTAGATCTAATTTATTGTCGTAATTGTATTACGAAATTTTTGGATCTCTTGAATAATAATTTTCTCACTATTTGTTTATTATTGTTCATATGCTATGTTAACAGCATTTCCATATAACAAAAATTAACTTGGTAATATATGATTAAACAATTTATCTATACATATACGGTACTGTACACTGACATAATATATTAGCGATACTACTGTAGTATACAATACATGAATATAAATTTAAGTCAAAAAAATCTTATCTAGTTTTATAGAGACTATAAAAAAACCTTAAAAATTTATTTAATATTTATTATTATTATCTTATATGAAACAATAGTAGTACTAGTAAGTCATCAAAATAATTTTTGCTATATATATACTGTACAATATTTGTTAAATTTATTGCATAACTTGTGCCCAACATATGAAAGCTAAGTAGATATAGATGATAACAATAGTGATTGTCATCATTTTATTTAACATTAAATGTTATCAATCAGTATCTCCATAATAATCCTAATTATTTGTTTAACAATTATATATAACAGTATTTGCATTTGATATTATAGAAATATTAGCGGTATATAAAATTTATTTTTATTAAACATATCTGCAATTTTAAATAATTTGTCAATATTAAGGACATATGCCTAATGTATGTACTGTTATATAGGCTTAAGTGTCAAGAAAATGGCATATGTTTAGAGAGGATAGTCTTCTATAAAAATATATCAATCAATTGATGACAAAAATAAGTTAAATTATTATTATATATAATTTATATAAAAATAGTGAAAATAAAATATTTACACAAAAGTCACGGTTATTAAAAAAATGTAATAAATAGATACTAACCTTAGTTTTCTCCAGTCTTTTAATAATTTCATTAATTTTTTTCTCGACTCTAACTTTTCTGACGACTTTGTTGTCGTGAAAACCAACCTTTAAAATAGAAAATCTATAAAAAATGGTTCAATTGTTGATTATTGGTGCCATCATCTACTTGTCCGACATCCATATTAGGAGTTTTATTAAGATTTGACCATAAAGTGTACACAACATCCACTTCATTCATTTTGGATCCTTTAATACTATTATGTTTGACGAGTTGAGCGCAATCGTCAATCACCGCACTCGGGATGTCGTCCAATGTTTGTCCCGGTCTTAGTCTAAGATAAACGTGTGCCGACGACTCTTTGTCCACATGAAACCATAGATCTTCAGGCCAACCCCAACGGATCAGGTCTTCATCTAATTTAATGTGACAAATGATATCATATAATGTCTAATAATATGATAAAAGATTTACTCTCGTGTTTATCAAAACCCATGAATATAGTCATCGGCGGTGAGACCACTGATGAGAAAAAAATAGTCAATAATTATCATAATTTTATTGTTAACTTTGTATTGAAATCAAACCATTTGTGGTGAAGTAGTAAACCATTGTTTGTTCACAAACTTCTTGAGACAATAACTGATGAATCAATGATTGATTTGCAGTCAACTCGTTGTCAGTCTATGTATACAAAAATGTAAACAAATGTATCACTCATTGAATGTGTTATCGATTGCATCACTCAATGAATACACAGTTTGTCGTAATTTATGATTTGTTTGAATGTTTGGCGCCTTTTGGACAACAAGTGATTGTCGACACAAACGCATACTTTGGTCACAAGTGATGTCCGGTCTCTTTGAAAGTCCCGTTAAGATTATCACTAATGATATCCGCAATTACTTTCCGGTCATTGAAGGCAAATGTCAATCAAGTGTTAAAAAGAAGAAAACATCAAGAAATGAGTTGAGAAGTGCGTCCGAAAAGAGACCGAAAAGTGTGCCCAAAGACCGCAAGAGTTTAGCCAAAAGAAAACTTACACTCTTTGATGCATCGGAACAGTTGGCCCTTGACTTCGGACAGAAGGACTTTGATTCAAAACGCTGTAAGACATGTAATATGTTATATACAACGGGAGAAGTGGTCGATGAACGGACTCATGAGGAATATCACGATATGTTTGTCAATAGTTTGAGATTCATTGGTTGGAAACATGAGGAAGTGGTGTCGGTCTATGACGACGGGAGGATCATCCGTATTGTCGCCGACTCTAAACATAAATATATGTTTAAAAAAGTGAACGAACTCTTCAAAGTGGCTGACATTGAGTTAGGAATAAATGTGGACTTAGAGTCTAGTCTTAAGCCAACTTCCGTTTATCTTTTATTTGCCACTAAAACCAAACGTATCGCTGGTTTTGTGGCCTCTGAACGTATTAAATCGGCCAATAAACTCATTAGTGAAGAACCATTTATTGCATCGACCGATGAGGTGCCGGCCGAGTGTGGAATCGCCCGAATCTGGACACATCCTAATTTCCGACGCCAAAAAATAGCGACCCGACTATTGGATACATTGCGAACATGTTTTTCATACGGAAAGATAATTCCCAAATCAAACATTGCTTTCTCTGATCCAACTATTAATGGCAAAGATTTTGCTAAACATTATACTAAAAGAAATAATTTTTTGGTTTATTGCTATCAAAGTATTTATTAATGTATTACAGTATTCAATATATCAAAAGTCAATTTATATTGTTTTTTAATCACATTTTTATTTATACATACAGTATATTACTTAATGTCAATTGTTATCTTACAGTATATTTTTAAAAATACTTAAATACAAAAAAACTGTGATTTGTACAGTATTTTATAATTTGTTGTAACATAATCTCAAATATTTTTATTAAACAAAACAATTATATTGTTTTATTAAGAGATTTTTAAATCAAATGATTAATTATAAAAAAAAAATTGAAGAACATATTAAAAGCAAATATCATTTTTAAACAATAACTGATTCAATGATGCAAACTTATATATTTATGATTACCAACGATTACCACCTCCTCTTCGACCTCCCGAACCACCGCCTTGAGGACAGTCCCGAGAGAAGTGTCCAGATTGTCCGCATTTAAAGCAATCGTTACCTGAAGCCCCTCCTCTGGGACCTCGTTTGCCACCACATGCCGCCAATTCAGCGTCATGTTTGGCTTTCCACACACCATAACGTGAAGCCATACCTGACAACTCAGGAGGTACTTCTTGATGTGCTTCTTCTAATATTGGAATCAATTCCGGTGTATGTTTCCAATCCTCACGAGTCACATACGTAATTGATTCACCTGTTCGCCTGATATGATCACAAAATTTAGTTTATATTTGAAAAGAGATCAACAAAATACAGACCCGGATCTACCAGTTCTTCCAACTCTATGCACATAATCTTCAATATTTCGCGGGAAATCAAAATTTAAAATATGACTAAAGAAAAAATGGTTATAAAACGAAATAATAATAATAATAAAAATATATTTACGTTATGTCGTCGATATCAAGTCCTCTGGAAGCAACATCAGTTGCAAAGAGAATCTGAACCTTTCCTAATGTTATATCTTCTAAAGCTTGTTCCCTGTCGTGTTGATCTCTATCGCCGTGTATTGATTGGCAATCAATACCTTTCAAAATACAATCTGAGGCTAAATCATCAGCACTTATATAATAAAAATAAATATTAAAGGATTACAGTAATACAATTGTCATCAACTAAGACATACACAGCCTTTTTTCCGACAAAAATGATCACTTTTTCATGTGATTTCATATTTCTAATAAAGTCATACATAAGAGACCGCTTTTCGTCGGCAGATGTAATAATAATCTTTTGAGTAACGCTATGAACAGCTGCTAAATCCAAAGTACCGACGTATATCTGCATCGGATCCTTCATGTAAGTCACTGCTAACCGTCTAACAGCTGGAGGCCAAGTGGCTGACATCATAACTGTATGGCGATCTGGTCTTACATCAAGCATTATCTTTTTAATTTGTGGTTCAAATCCCATATCAAGCATACGGTCGGCTTCGTCCAAAACCTGTTTAGTATTTTGTCAAAAATCAATTACCGATACATTATAAGAGATAACAACTACTAATGACAGACCAGATAAGAAACAGCAGCCAAATCAATGTGTTTATTCATACAGAGATCATTGAGTCGTCCGGGGGTTGCGATCACAATTTCCACCCCTTTTCCCACTTTATTGATTTGTAAATTTCTATCGCCTCCGCCGTAAATACAAATGCATTTAATATTTCGATAGCAATACTTATTACATTCCTTTTCAATTTGTTGCGCCAATTCACGTGTCGGAGCCATTATTAGAGCTGTTGGTCCGGGACGCTCTTGTCTTGACCTTTATATTTAATAATTAAATCAATGTTTTCAAAAATACCTTAAAATATTAATAGTATACATCTGTTGGCTATCGATGTGAATTAAAGCGGGCAAAAGATAAGCTAATGTTTTTCCTGTACCGGTCTGTGCGATACCAATCAAATCATAACCACTGAGTAGTATAGGCCAAGATTGGCATTGTATTGGTGATGGCTTCTCAAATCCTTGTTTATTGATTTCATCTAATATTTCAGCTATAATACAAATATTTGTTAAAATATAAGAAAACAAATAATGGGTGAAAAACTGACGAAAGTGTTCAAAGGCTTGTTTGAAGTGTTGAACTGGATTTGGGATAACTCTTTGATCGTCTTCATTGAAATGACTGACCATTATATTGTTATTCTCTAAACGAAATTTATCGATATTTTCAGCACTCATTGCTCTGATTTCTGGATCTTCGAAATAAAACTGTTTGTTTATGGGTGGAAGTGATGCCCATTTCTTTTTAGTCGCTTCTTCACTCTCTGCAATGGCTGCGCCCCAATCAATAAAGTCTTCAGATTCTTTGGTTTCAGTTTTAGCTTCAAAATGACTATAGAAATCGCTATTATTATTATTATTTCGCGAATCACTTGAATTGCCGGTCAACTCATTAATGAGTCTTTGAGCGCAATCTAATTGTTCATTAGTTCCCATTAATTCAATATCAGTTTCATATGAATTACTCGTTTCTTTATTAATGTTAATCCGGGCGCCACTCTTGCTCTGTAATTCACGAATTGTTTGACCTCCTCTTCCGATAACTTTTCCCACAAAAGAAGACGAAATCTGAATCTTACGTTTCGATGAATTACTAGTATTTGAATTATAAGATCTACGACTTGAATATGAGTTTTCTTGTCTTGAATTGTTGTCCGACCACTGGTCAGTCAAATCTTCAGATCGCGTACTCGATTGCCACTCTTGACTGACGGCTACTCTTTTTCCTCGTCCTCTTCCGTATCCACCTCCTGACCAGTTGTTGTCATTGTCATCAAAAGTATCATTTAATTTACGTTTTCTTTCGTTACCTTTGTTTACATTTGAACTCAAATGAGAATCACTTGTATTAGTCTTAGAGGGAGTACTCTCTGGCCAACCGGTGTCCCAATTGTTGTCCACATTATTGGCCGCAGTGTTTGTGGTGACAGTTGGTGTCGGTTCCCACTCATCATCATTCCAGCCATCATTTGTTGCCATTATCTCAATCAATGGTAAATCAAAGTAATTATAATCACTTTAATTGTCAATCAATTGAATAGACTTTTATTCAAACATTACATCAATTGATTCAACTTTCGTCATACACTTAAAGCATGTATTCACACATTGACTAACAATTACGTCATTTTGTTAAACATTTAAATAAATAGTTTATTGTGTTTAGGGTTTGATTTGTTTTAGACATTATTTATGTAAAGATTTTATAAAACAAAAGCAAATAATTTGAATAAATGACAAAATAATAGAAAATGTTTTAATCTATTGTTTGATTGATTAACAAAACATTTGATATTAATTAGCATTGATTTGTCAAAACAATTGTCTCAACAAGACTTTTAAGCCCGTAATTACGGCCCGTTTTAATTAAATTAAATATATTTTTATTCAATGATAGTATTGAGACAATAGCGACAAATAATTTTAAATATTAGTTTTGAAATGTTATGAAAACTTTGTGAAAGTGTCAGATAATCTTAAACAGCGTCGGCGGCGATGCTATTAATTATAATTATCTGGTGAACAATACGTTGAATTAATAAGTGACCAAGGGCAATGTTGTAGATAAATTTAGACTAAGTAAAATTGTAATTGGTTATTTTTTAATTAATTGTATGATTTGCTAGATAAATGCAGTCGACTATCATTTATAAATTTTTTTAAACAGTCGACTGTAAATTATTTAGCATATAATACAATTAATTAAAAATTGACCAATTACAATTTTATTTATTTTAAATTTATCTACAACTTTGCCCTTGGTCACTTATTAATTCAATGTATTGTTGACCATATAATTGTAATTAATATCATCTCCGCCGCCGCTGTTTAAGACTCTCTGTGAAAGTGTACCTAAAATGTGATGCTATGTCTCACACATGATATCAATGCTTATAATGTGTTTAAGTGTGTTATGTTAATACATGTACTGTAGATGTATTGTATAGCTTACTGTAGTTCACAGTCACACACACAGTGCTAGTGCTATAGTATAGCAGCTATACACACAAATCTACTCCTATGTGGGTGTCGTTAATGAGTGTCGTATACTGTCTTTTATATATATTAATACACACTTAAAGCCACTCCTATGCGGGGGTCGGTAATGGGGGTCGCTTACTGTCCTTTATATATATTAATAATAATAACAATAATATATTAATATTAATAATAAATGAATGAATGGATCAAATGACTAAAATGTCCTCAAATATAGACATTGAATGGACACCAGAAAATGAGATCAAATTGTTTTATGCAATGCGTGGCCACAAACCCGTCGGTAATTATCAATTGATTTAATGATATCTTTTAATAATTGTTTGATTTTCTTGAGATTTATTGTTTGCTGACAATTATGCTTACAATTAATAAAATAAATTGTTATATATATATCATATATATATAATACAGTATATCATATGATATATCATATAATTGTTATAACAAATAAATAATATAAAACTAATTGTATTTATTTGAATGATCCGAAAGGTGTGGCCAAGAATTTTCATATGATCTCAATATTAGATGAATTTGTGAGACTAACAGATAAAGAAATGTCATCTAAAGTGATTTGGAACCGATTGGACACAATGTACGATATGGACACTTTGGTAGGCTTTTGCTTCAATTGTTAACTGTTTTTACCATTTTATTATACATTTGTTATAATCAAACAAAGCATGAAAATGAAGACATGCCGTTCCCAAACACCAACACTTGTTTCACTATTGAAGACAATCCTGAGTTCACTGAATTGATCGAAAAGAGGAAAGCAAACCAATTAAATAAATCAGATAAAGATATTGAAATAAAAGAAGAGTTAGTATCAAATGTTTCGACGACAACAACTAACACTCCGACGGTTACGAAAACTGGAAATAAAACCAAAACTCAAGAGACCAATAAAAGTCAATCGAAAGTAAAATCAGAAATCGATAAAAATGCGAAATCTGATCGAAAAGAAGATTCAACCAAACATTCGGATAAAAGTGAAGAAATTGAAGATAAATGGATTCGTTCGAAAAAAACAGTGGCCAACAAAAGTGGTGCCGATTTAAGATCATCCACGACATCAAGCACTAAGAAACGTAAATAACGATTTGATTCAAAAGTATTTAGCATTTATTTGTAAATTATTAAATAAATATAATTTTGACATTGATTTCAATTGAGTAAATCATAACTTATGATTTATAAAAGAAAAACTTTAATTACTATTAATATAAAACATTTGTCACACATTAGGAATGTTTTACAATAGTTATTAGAAAATATAGTGTGTCATCAAAATAATGAATGTTTAAACATTTTTGTACAAATTATACTAAATTTAGATAAACATTGAGTTATATTTATCTTTAAAGTTATGGCTTAATGACTAAATATATTTTAAGTCTTAATTCTATTAATTCAATATTTGCTTAAATAAATAAAAATAAATATATTAATTACAAGTATAGCTATTGTTGATAATTGCGATTAATAAAAACTAGAATCTTATCGATTAACAATAAATCAATTGTTTGTTATCAGTCATAGTTATTGCCACAAATTGTTTGAAGCGGTAACTCCGGAGGTTTGATTTAACGAAGTATTATTATTATTAAAAGCCCATTGAGGACCAGTATCTGGTTGTGTGAATAGTGAGCCGGAATTAGTATTAATTGTTCCTAAATTATTAGCAAAAGGAACACCCGTTGGAATGGAAGTTGGCATCGATACGAATGGATTAATACTTGTAGTCGTCAATGGCATTGAAGGGCCAGTATTTTGCGGAACCATATTAAACCAATTAGAACTACTGTTTGCCATTGCATTCATATTAGGGTTGACACCTGTCATCGGATTCATTTGTAAAGATGACATTTGTTGCGGTAACTGAAGTTAATTTGAAAAAACAAACCAATATTACAATTATATTATAATTATTAAGTAACCGATTGGACAGACCTGTTGTACAGTTTGCTGACCAAAGTTAGAATTCATTGAAGTATTGTTAGCAAGAAAAGGGTTTGTCGTTAGAGGAAAGTTAGACTGTTTTAAATGAAGTAATAGATATTGTATAGAGAATGACATTAAAGTAATTAACTATTAATGGCTTACTTGAGTCATTTGATTCATTAGATTTGATGACTGCAGACCATCGACTGCAGGAGAGACTGAATTATTTTGTGACATAAACAATGAATTGGGAATTTGTGTTGTCATTGGTTGTGAATTAGGTACAAATTGTCCCATAAATAGTGCATTTGAAGTATTAAACGATGCATTTTGCGTCCCAACATTCGGTTGTTGCTGTGGTAAAGATGTGGCTATTGGTGAAGCACTTGCATAAAGCGATAAAATGGATTCTTTAGACATCACCTTCTTTTCATCTCCTGTTGCCTTTTGATTAAAGAAATCCGATTCTTCATTTGATTTTATCTTAGAATCGCATTTATTTTCATTATTTTCTTTAGTGTCAGCAGAGCTAACAAAAAGGCCAAATGATTCGTCATCTGATTTGTTGGTCAAAGAATTACTAATATCAAGACCTAAGAGATCAGTACTGGATTTTCCGTTTTCTACTTTCTGTACTATTTTATCAGCATTTATAGCATTATTAACTCCAGTAGAATTTGGACGGGGAAGAGGGTTAGCCTAATTTAGATTAGTTGTTATATATATTACTTAATTTGACACAAATTAGTGGTAATTATATACATCACCTGTAATTCTGTTGTTGTCATAGGACTCTGAAATGCCTTCACTTTGTTGCGCTTCTTCTCCTTTTCTTTTCTAAGTTCTTCTTCGATGTCAAACTATTATAAATTTTAATAATTAAATAATACAATCAAAACATTTTATATTAAAATACCGCTGGTTTAGGAGGCGGCGGTTCAACCCATTCTTTAGCGATATATTTTTTCTGTTCATATTTAGCTCTTATAAATGCTTCTAAAGTCGAGTCAGTAGTCGGACGCCGGAAATTGTCCGGAAGATTGGCCTCATAGACAGCTCTGGCTTTCGAGTTACCCATGTTTTGTATACACGCTATCTGTTCGGGAGTCCAGGCGTCCAAATTCACCGATTTTACACGTGATATGTGAACACCGAGATTGCGGTGAATACCTATATCACACAATCATTCATATTATACATTCAAACGTATTGTTTAATACTTTAATTACCTGCACATCGGATGCACAAAAATATGCCTAAATTCCAAGCCGTCCATCGGGGACCTAAAAATTAATTATTATATTTTGTATTTACATTTGTTTTAGATATATTATAATAACTTATAAGTAAAAAAGTATTTAAAAAATCTATATTGTAATATATTGTATATTTGTATGCTCAATGTTTACTCAATGTAATAACTTTATTTAATATATACAATAGTATATCAAAATACTATACAGTATTTAATCCACTTATAATATCTACTATTTTTAGAATTTTATAAATTGCTTACATAATTGTTTTTAAATTAAATAAATAATAAAAAGACAATCAATAAAAGTTTTAAAAATTAATTTTTCCTATTTTTGGAAATACAAACTGTAATACAGTATTACTGTAGACTTTACAATATTCAAAATTTCTCGACAAAGTTAACATTTAGTTGTAAATCAGACTATTAATACTTATATAAATAATTAACAAAAATATTAAATACAGTTAACTCATTGAGTTATTGTTCAGTTATATTAATTTTCAATATATTCAGTTAATTGACAAATTTATTAATCGAGACAGTGCTTAATCATACTCTTTATATCGCTTATCGTTAATAATTATATTTTATAGTATTATATATTTATATATTGATAATTTAGACGTGAAAATATTTGTTTCTCCAAATCAAATAAAACAATAACTTCAATCAAACAGTTAAAAAACTATTTTATGTAAACAACTTTAGCACTTGTAAAACATATTATACATATACAGTATATATATATATCAGTAAATTAATTGTGATAATAGACAAAGCATTTCCTAAATATTATAATTGATAGATAAAAATATGGTAAAAGTGGGTCTAATGAGTTTGTAATAATATTTGTGATAATTTATAAATTAACATTATTTGATAATAAACTAACAATTATGATATAAACCTAAGTATTTATATTTTAAGTTTCATTTATAACTTATCGATTAATAATGTTTTTGTAATAAATGTGATATTATTCATTAAAATTTGTTTTTTACTGTATCACATATACTGTATAAAATCAATTTGTTTGATGTCATCATTGATTGCTTGTTTTGAATAAATCTAATGCCTTTGAGATTAACTAAAAAATTAATTAACATTTTAATTAAATATTTAATACATTTTGTTAAATAAAACATTTGTTACAAAAATAACAAAACACATCAATCAATGGCACAATTGGTAGGAGTAAGTGATTGTCAGATATTAATATATCATATGATATATAAAAACTTATTTGATATGAAATGTCTGTTATGTATATTATGGTAAACTAGTCATCAATAAAATCAAATCATTAATTACAAGACATTTACAGACCTTTTGCATCACAATCGACACAATATTTGTTGTCTTCATCTCTAAGAAGTTGACCCAAAATCTGTTGACACTTTTCAGTCACCAGTTTTTGTTTATCTCTCTCTAACTTATTATTAAAAGCCATCTAATATTAAGCAACAATTTATTAATATTATTATTAATTATATAATAATTTAACTAATTATACAAAAAACTAGTGAAATGGCACTCAATTTGTTGAATACTTTTAATACAATTATTGTAAACAATGAATAAATTAACTAATATTTGCAATGATTTTGACAATTTGTCATTTAATAAATGTATTTCAACACTAAATTCACGTTTAATGACAAATGATTTCAATTATTAAATGATTAACAAATCAAATAAATCCATATATTATAAGACAATTGACGACAATTGACATCAAATGGCAAACATTTGTCCACAGATTGACTCCAATATTGTGTGATTGAGTCAAGTATTTCAATGCATATAATAATTGACATTCAATTCAACACTCAGTTTAAACGCGTAAGCAATGCATCGATACATATGAATGACTGCCATCTCTATTGTATTATTAATATTATATAGATTTAGTTAAAGTTAAACCATTGATCAAAATTAATTAATTTACACATAATTTATAATTCATTTAAACTATACTATTATTGATGTTAAAAGTTATATTAAACCATAAAAAATAAATATCAATACAATGTTGTAAATTATATACAGTATTTATTAATTATAAAGTTCATTACGATATAATAAATACATTTGACTTAATGTTTATATTTTTATGATCTTATATCAACTTATGATCGATAACTTTTAAACTTAAAAATATATTTAATTAAAATACATTTAACATTTGAAAAATATCATGAATGACATTACACTTTATAAAATTAAATTTCACACAAACTACAGGTACCGATAGTACAAATTAAAAAAGTAACTTTGAGTTTATCTTACAATTTAATAATTTTCATTTTTTATATAATAACTGTTTGTTTTCATAATAATAATAATAAGTTTTTATGTTATATATGTTAGATATTTAATAGAAAAGTTATCATCACTTATTGTCGATGACTGATCTAATTACAGATACAGGTAATTGTTTTGTTAAATATATTTGTAACCAAATTACGGGTAAATGTCAAGAGGAAAGTTGTCATTATTTTCTATCGACTCCTTTAACAATAATTTTGAGAGAAATGTCACAATAAAAAGTGTTTTGAAGCGCATCTTTGGCTGACTGAACCACTGATGCTATGGTCTGACCTTTGGGTCCAATAACAAGTGACTGAAACCTTTTTGGACAAAACAAATTCAGTGATATAAACATATTTCCCGTGGGATCCAAGTGCCACATTGTAATCACTGAATCTATTTTATAAGGAATCTCTTGTGGCAATAGATCCAACAGTTTCTCTTTGATTGCATTGATGATTATATCACGTGGACTTTGGTCAGTAACTTGAGATCTATGATATCTCCACGGATGAAATGGTGCTTTACTTAAAAAATATTGTCGAATATCATCGATTCCATCGCCAGTTAGCGCACAAGTCATGAAAACACGAGAGAATCGATTCCAACTAATATTTTCAATATCTTCACTATTTATTTCATTTTCATTATCGGTATTGATATTGATATTAGTTTTCAGATTTAACTTTTCTTCGGTTTTGTTTAAAATTGTTTCTAAACTTTTTTGATTATTAAAAACCACACGTTTTTTAGTTATTAAAGAAGTTATTCCTCCGACAACACCGCCTGTCAATAGAGTGGTTATATCTAAAAGTTTTCGTTTTTCTTTTATTTTATCGATTTTATTCAAAATAAGAACTGATTCTTTGTTTGGATGTCTTTTTAATAGTTTAATCACTCCTTTATTCAGTCCTTTTCGTTCCCTAATATTTGATACATCATTAATAATGGCAATAATATCTGCAGAGTCAACACCTCTTATCGGGTCATTAATGAAATTGGTCTCCAGTTTATGTTTTGCACAGTGCTGTCGGGTCACTATTCCCGGTGTGTCCAACAATTCAATTTGGATCTCATCTTCAACAACAACTCCAACCACTCCTTGTCTTGTTGTGTGTACTTTAGACGAAACGGCGCTAACTCTGTGACCAACCAATTGATTAGTAATCGTTGATTTACCAGCATTTGGTGACCCAATCATAACAACTTTGGCCAGACGTGGTATAGGCGGCTGTTTGACCTTCAATTGTCTCAACAATCGATACTCTTCATTGGTTTTGGCAACTCTTCTCTCAGACAAATCCAATTGAGTCTTCAAAAGTGATTCATTAATAATTGGATAATCATATGATTTATTGTCGATATAGTCATTGCTGTCATAAACAGGTGTTTCATCAATGGCTTCAATCATTGGATTTTTATTTGAATGACAAAAACATTTAGAAATGTAAACAAAGTTTTTATCAAACATTTCATTAATTAAATGCTTTTTAATAACAATTCGTGAATTTAATTGATTTTTCATAAAATGTTTCAAACAATTATTAATATTGTTTAAGACATACATTATTAAACTTATAACAAATATATATATCATATATTATAACGATATAAAAAGTTGGCCACAAAGTTGGTCACAAAGTTGGTCACTCATTAAATCGATAACTGGTGTCCAAACCTCCGAAAGCGGGTGAATCTGAAGTGATTCGAAAGAGATGGCCAGCAGTCGGCTCTTCAGCTCGTCTTTGAGCGTCCAATGGCTTAGAAGCGGTCGTAACAAACAATTGGTTCAGATCTTGACCACCAAAACACACACTTGTGATACAACTGGTCGGCAATGATATCGTGTCTATAATATCACCTGAAATTGTAGAGACATATCATATGATTATTGAGAAAACACATGTCTTTATTGACTGTACTGTATATACAAACAAACATTCAATTACTTATTATTAATATAAATACAATACTATTTGTACATACATTACGATACAGTATTAAAGTATTAATTCTAAAATCATCAAAAAATGATTAAACTATTTAATATTATAAACAAATTTAAAAACAAATACAATATAAGAATTTTATAGAATTGTAATAATTGTATAATAAGTTTTAATCAAAAACATTAGCACATATTTAATTAAAAATACAATAAATAAATTAGTAATTATATCATTATACAGTACATTATTTCACTGATAACTTATCAACTTTGATAATAAATGAACTAATACTGTAAGTTGATTGTCAACTAAAAATTTATTATTAAATTATAGTACTGTATACTATACAATATAAAATAATTAAATCAATAATATTTAAAAAGTTCAATGTCAAGTATTAAATCCTAATTAATTTTAAAATAATAAGATATCGTTTTTGTTATAAAATTTAAAAATACTAGAATTTGTTTAATAATTATGTATATAACTAACTTATCAATGAATTGTTAATTTATATATCAATTAAACTAATGTAAAACAAATAAAAGTTTAATTAATTGTTAAAGACTATATATTAAAAATAAAAAATTTTATGGAAATTTTATAAAAATTCAATGTTATAAATTTATCATGAAAAACATTTAAATGTTTTTTAGTTAAATGACATTGAAATGTAAATCATTATTAATAATCAGCAAAACTCACCCGTTTTTGTGTTAATATTGATAATCCGAGAACCGTTAAAACAGGCGACCCATAGATTTCCGCTTTTATCTATAGTCATACCGTCCGGTAATAGAGATTTTGGCAAATCTTGTCTTTTATTGAAATCAAAGAAAATCTTTTCATTTGCTAAAAATTTTGTAAACTAATCTTAATATAAATTTAAATAAATTTAAATATTTATAACTAACTGATAGATCCATTATTGATGTCGTAATCAAAAGAATAAATTAGTCTTTTGGTTGAATCAATGAAATACATTATTTTGTTGTCCAAAGACCAGGCGATACCATTGGAAAGATTTACGGTTTCAAACTTTTTCTCTAATTCATTGCCATAGGAATAAAGGGAACCTTCAAAGTAATAAATGTAATATTTTTTTATTAACTGAAATAAATAAATTAACATAATATATGATACCTCTATCGGGATCGACAACACCGGGTGATGACTCGGGACCCATACTTCCGACCCAAAACCTGCCGCTGGCATCACATTTGCCGTCATTCAAACGATTTCCGGTCAAATCTTTTTCCACTTCAGCCAATTGTTTCAATTGTTTTGTATTCCAATTGAATTTAAAGAGTTTGTTATTTTGACCGATAATGAAGTCATTGTCGTTGTTGTTGATGGGAACCAATACCGATACAATCTCTCCGATGTGATTGATCTCCGATTCTTTAGTTTTAGGATACAGTCGACAAACATCTCCGTTCAATAGGTCCACGTAATATAATGTCTGAGACTTTTGGTCCCAATGCGGACCCTCTCCCAGTTGGCAGACGTGGTTTGATATGACTTCAACAGTATATTTAGCCATTGTTTCCGACTATTTCTACTATAGATCTTATGCTCAGTAAATGCAATACAAGAATAAATGAAAATTAAATTTTGTGCTAAAAGTTATTGTATGTGTTTGACATTGAAAATGAGTTTTTTATAACAAATTCAAGCATATTATCAATTTATGTGTAACTGTACTGATCAGACAAACCTTGATTATGTTTTCAATGACTATATACTAGTATTATTATATTGTCAAATCATAATTGATGTAAAATAAAAAATAGTAATACAAATAAAATTATAAATATTCAAATGAAAATTGTTGTTATTTAATTTACATATAATATTTACCAAAATATGTTAATTTATTATAAAAATTATTATTTTCTCTTTAATAATTAATATAATAGTTTATAAAAATATAAGCTATTAATATACTTACARTATATTTCCTTATAAATGACTTAATGTTTAACTTATAAAGTCTTATATTGTTAACAAACAGTAAGTGTATTACATGTATCAGTATTATTAAATTTAAAACATTTGATTATTGAATACATGAATACCAATCAAACAAACCACAAATGAAATATAAATCGTCCGTTTCATTCAATTTACAGTATATTATATAAAATAAATTATTTTGCAATTGTATATACTATTCATACAATTGTATTTTATATTAATTTTTTTTATTTTGCATAACAATTGACGATTATGTCAATTAAATTCCTACTTAAATGCTTATCATAAAATTTGGGTCATTTTGTCGCTATATATAAACAAATTATTGTATACTAAACAAAACGTGGATTGAATCACAAAGAAGGATGCATTTGAAATAATTTACAAAAAAAAAATAATAAATGAAATTATACTTTATTATAATTTTTAATTACAAATATTATAAAATATAAATAAGTTTAAACTTAGTTTAAACGTGATTTCTTAGGCACACAAATAAACATTTGTTTTTGTGAGATAATAATTACATTATGTTTTGGTGAGAATTGTTAAATGATTTAATGATAATATTTTTTAATGAATGATTTTATGATATGTTTGTTGTTTTATCATCAAATTATGTTTTAAATATATGAAATATTTATATTATTACATTAACTACAGTAATTGTCATTAATTTAAATACAAAAATATTTAATATTTATTTATAGTGTATATAGTTATTAAAAATATCAATACGATTCACTGGGATTCTGTAAGTTTCATACAAAACAGTTGGCAGTTGTAAAGTACTGTATATAACAATACAGTATTGTTCATAGGATCTGATAAACTATCATTGATAATAAATTATGTTACAAATATTGTAACTTACAATTAATTAAATATCTATATCAAAATCGATGTAATCTAGTTTATGTATTGTTCAACTTATATAGATCTCTCTTTAAAAATAATACAAAAAATATATCATGTACTGCATTGTACTGTACTCTAGGATTTAACAAAAAGTTATAAAAAATATTATTCAAATATTGTTGATTCAATATTATCACAAATGTTTTGTTGAGTGTTTTTAAAAACTTGAGTATAAAGTTTTTGTATATTATGTAATGTATCTTAAAATCTCATCGATTACAACCTTACAATCTAATAATTTGTATCAATCGGTAAATATGTTTTATTTATTTAAATAATATTTATCGATAAAAATTGTCTGTTATTTTTCATATTGAATGAAAAGTTTTAAAAAATAAATAAAAATTTCATCCAATATATTCATATATTTAAGTTGTAAATGTTTGTATAGCTCACAAATTAATTATCAATTATATACATACAGTAGATAATTCATTTTCTCTTCAAATGGATGACCAAATATTACAAATCAATACATAATATGAAAATTATGTACCGAAAGGCAGTAATGATTTAAACAATAAAATATTTAATATAATGATAAATATCACAAATATTGAGTGTGAAGAACATTAAGTTACACATTATGACTCTGCATGTGTACTCCGTGCAGTCCATGTCCTCCATGTCCTCCATGTCCTCCATTTCCTACATTTCCTCCATGTGTGCCGTTTCCGTTAGAATTGATTGATGCAAATCTTGATGCCGTTTGAGGTTGTGTTGAACGGATAGCAACACTGACTGTACTTCCATTAGTATTGTTATGATTTCTAAATGCACTGGTATTGGCATAGAGTGGTTGGTTATGATGTCCCGACGGTGGACTAAATGTGACCAAACCATTTGGATGATGTCTAATAGCACCGTTATTGGCCAGATTATTAGCAGCTGCCGCTGCCTCTGATTCAAGACTCAATCGTGAGTACGACATAACAGTAGCCGTGTCTTTATCTGGCTGTCGGTTCACTTCAACGTTTTCCGTATTTTTAACCGGTTGTGGTTTTTTACTGTATTTAATATAAAAATTAGCATGGTTATTTATTTCAAATAAAAAATCACACAATTAACTTACGCTTTTAGACAAATAACAGATACAATAATTATAAGAATAAGAAGAGCTCCGGCACCGACTGCTATCCCAATTCCTATAGCTTTCGATGACTCAAAATTGGGATCAAACGTATGATCAACTGTTTGGGTTTCACGATTTTTCTCTATTTCATTAGCAATAGCTAATTCAAGACATCGGGGAATTGTTCCACTCCTATAATATCAATACAGGACAGGTATGTAATTTTCAATATTTATTATCTATTATGTTATCCATACCAATCTCCAGTGGCCATACATTTTCTGTGTTGGGAATCACCAATTAATTTGAATTCAGGCAAACAATGATATTCAACAATACTTCCAAATAGTGTCGTTCCGTTTACTAAATATGCCCTACCATTAGGTATTACTGGAGGGCGACCACAATCAACAACTATAAATTATAAACAATAAATATAATAACAATAAAATGCATCTTTAGATAAGATGTACTCACGTCTACAGTACGGTATATCTCCACTCCATTGACCACTTGGCTGACACATTCTGTTTTCTTCGCCAACTAATTCTAGTCCATAACTGCATGAATAATATGCTTTAGCGGCCACTGAATAGCTATTGACTTCTATAATAGTCTTGTCGTCTTTAGTTTCGGGTTTATTACACGTAACGACTGAAAAAATTATAAATATTAAAACTTTTATTAAAATTAATATTTTGTCTTTTAGTGTTAAACCATCACAAAGTGGAGGAATGCTACTCCAGGTGCCATTCTCCAGACATATCCTCCTTCCCGGTCCATTCAATTTGAAATTCTGATCGCAAACATATTCAACAGTACTTCCATAATATGTTGTATTACTATTGAGTAACCACTTTCCATGAGATATTGGGAATGGAAGACCACAATCAATATCTTAAAGTAATTTAAAAATAATTATTTATTATAAATAATGTAAAATTTTTAATATCAATATTATTTTCAACTTACAAATACAAATCGGTGGTGAACCCGACCAAAGACCATTGGACTCACAAGTTCTAAGTGACTGTCCCTGAACTATGTGTCCCTGAGAGCATCGGTATTGTACTGTCGATCCTACTTTGAATGAATCACTTGAAGATCTATCATTACCACTGTAGACAACCGATGAATTTTTAGGAATCTCTGGCGGAACGCATCGTATTTCTATTGTAATCATAAAAAAGTATAATAAAGTTTAGTGTTTTTAAAATTATATTAAAAATAATGTTTGAGTCTCGATAATAATAATTTTTTTAATTTATAAATTAATTATCTTAAATACCTTCACATTTGGGTGTAGATCCCGACCAACGGGACTCATCACTGCAGACTCTAGTCTTAGAGCCAATCAATTTATAACCACTACTGCATGAGTATGAGATTTGACTGTTGAGATAAGTGGTTGAATTGACATAACTTACTTCCCCTTTCAATATTGTCTGCACTCTACCGCACTCGATAGCTGTAAATATCAATTAATTTTAATTTATTAAATTAAGTAAAATATAGTTTTAAAAAATATCATTTATAAAAGTTTTCAGTCAAGCGTTAAGTAAAGATAACATATAATTATATGTGGTATAGGTATGCATACCATATGGCATTGCAAACAGTATATATTGTATAAAGATATACTGATATAAAGTATAAATACCGGTATTTATATTACAATGACTTACCATTGCAAACAGGAAGAGCTCCACTCCACTTTCCATCCGACTGACACTTGTGTCTGACATCTCCTCCAACCAGTTTGTGTCCCGGTTCGCACTCAAATATAACCTCAGAGTGGACTGTGAATGAATCGCTTAACAGTTTAACCCCTTGGGGCACAAAAGGCTTTCCGCAGTCAATTACTATAACAGTGTATAACAATTGATATAAAATACAATATATGGGAAAATAGTAAGAAGACATACATTTGCAGATAGGTTGGGTACCACTCCAGTTGGCGTATTCCGTACAGTTACGTAACTCATTGCCATCAATAGTATAATTTTGGTCGCATTCGTACTTAACACTACTGTTGTAATATGTAGTGCCGTTAAGTAAACGATATTTTGCGTTTCGCACTTCTATAGGTACTCCACAGTCAACAACTATAAAATATGAGAAAATCATTGAAGCGTTAGATATAATAGTAATTTGATTGCATTATATTAGTCATACATTTGCAGACGGGCTCAGAATCGGTCCATTTTCCTCCTAAGAGACACTTTCGAGTGTTATTACCAACTATTAGGTGACCCTTATGGCAGCTATATGTGGCCAAACCATTTTCAGTACGATTTGTTATATTAATGGCACCGTTTGGAATAAATGTCAATATTGGACACCAACTGTATAGACATTTTGGTTCAGTGCCACTCCAGGTGCTATTACCCAGACATACTCGAGTTTCATTTCCCACGAGTGTATAATTTTCATCACATGTATATCGAGCGGTTGCATTGAATGTGGTCCGAGAGTTATTAACAAATTCAACCCTACCGTGAGGTATATATGTTAATGATCCACAATTGACATATTGACAGGTGGGTGCATTGTTCTGCCAAAAACCATTGCTTTGACAATTACGTTGAGCAGATCCGTCCAATCGACTATCAACTGGACACTGGTATGTAATGGTTTGTCCGACGCGATAATCTTTGTCTATAATAGTTGTGTTTTCATTTTTGTCAGGACTGCCACAGTTTGATGGTCTATATTGACATATCCACGAAAGATAGTCCAAATCTATATTAATTATCAACAAAAAAAATTATGAGTAAACTATTTTTAAAAATATATAATATAAGAAACAGACCACAAGTGACATCATTCCAGAGCCATTTGCGACCGCCATCGAGAACAATGCAATTTTGTTGACCGTTATAATTATTTGGTTGATCCTCAGCCCACAAAAAGTTTGTCACTGGTTGTCCACTAACCCAATGCCACTTTGATGCACGCGATCGATGAAAACTGGGACCTTTATGTTGGTCGACATCCCGACGCGCTCCCAACCAAACTAGCTTTGACTTGAGCTTAGGTTTAATTCTTTCCAATTCATAATATAAAAAATTATGACTGACGTCGACCACTGAGTTGACCACTAGTCCTCCTCTAGCCTTACAATAAGACTCGGCGTCATTGAATGATCCGCCTCTTTGTGTCTGAAACTCATAACAAGTCTTATTGAAAGGAGTCAACTGTTGATATTCCATAGCATTCCCGCAACGATCCGATGAAAACTCTAAAATATTTATACAATTTTTTCATCACATAATTGTATGAAATATAGTACAGTATATTCTATGTCTTATTCATACCTTTAGTAGTAAAAACAAATACTTCGCAAAGTGATAGCGAACCCTCAATACCGACCATTTGAATGTATACATAACGACCAGTAATAGGAATGGCACAAAACAAATCTTTATGCATACCATCATCTATGGGTTCAAATGATTTTTTAAAAATAAAATCATTGCCAAAATAACTGATAGATGATTGTAATGGTTGCCTAAAATCATACCGAGAGTGCCGGGAAACCAGGAGCACAATCTGTTTCCCTGAACTGTCGAACTGTTACCAACTCTAATCTCGAGATCGTGTAGTGGTTGATGTCCACAACAGCCTCGGGTGACAATCCTAATGACTTTGATCTCATAAGGTTGCAATAGGTCCACCTGCCACCATGGACTCGACTCTATCTTAGTTTCGGTGCAATACTTATTTTCATGAATTGCAGTGATATCGCCATCATTTGCATTACGGGATTCTCCTCCGCGAATAGTACTCGACTGATTGCTTGGCTTACCGTAAGCCACGTTAACAGCTATTGTATTGAAATAATTGTTTTTTTTTGTTTATGCTATAATTTGCAATCAGAAAAATGTTACAATAGACTGACCACAATAAGGCAAATCTCCTGTCCATTTGCCATCATTGCCACAAACCCTGACTGCAGTACCAAACAACTCATAGCCGTCATCGCACTTGTAGGTAGTGGTAGATCCAGAAGTAAAGTTTACTTCATCTGATATAACAACCTGAGCGTATAAAGGAATAGCCGGGTGGGGACATGATTTAGCCTCTGTATTGATGACAGACAAACAAATTTTACAATTAAGTCATTGAAGCTTTTAAAATGAGACGCTTAATGAAATAAATATATGTTAAAAACTTATTATTAAACATATTTTATTGCTTTCTTTTGTTGGCAATTGAATAGATATGAAACAAATAATTAGTGTAATATAACATCACTACTAAAGGTTACTAATTGTATACTTCAAGACACTGATTACTATATGTTTCTTAATGTTTGCAAATACTGTATAATAGTTTGTTATACAATGTGAAGGACACAAAAAACATTTAATTTTTATATTTAAATCAATTTATCATTAAAAAAGAAAAAATCTTTATATGCTTAATATTTGGTCAAAAATGTAAAATTTTTATTAATCCTTGACCTAATTTGAGAGGATATTAACGCATCAAATGTTTCTTTATTAACAAAAATCCAATATAATTATGTAGTTTTAAAAATATTTTTAACAATATAAACAATAATTTAAATGATATAACACCAATTTTTATTTTCTTTCTTTAAACAATTCAATTTATTTATTTATTTATCAACAAAAAAATTGTTTAAATTTCATAATAAGGCAAATCAAATGACTGAAAAAAATTGGATGCAAAATGAATGAATGGGTCAATGATTATGTCAAATAAATAACACAATAATCATTGATTTGAATAATTATATAATAAATGAAATACACAAAAATAACTGATAAATATAATGATAGTACTAATTGAACACTATTTAGTATTAACTACAACTAATTTATTATTGATATTCATTATATCAGTGCTTTATAATAATTATTTAGCTATTTATGTCTTTCATTTTAATTATTATCAACACCACTACTATAGTATTATTTTTTAAATTGTTTAAATTTTTTTACCTTAAGCTTAATTAAAGTAATTATAAAAATGTTTAATTTGAAACAATTTACTTTGTATTTACTTCTAAATATAAATAGAGATCTTGTGAATTGACAAATGTTTTACGTGAGTTGTATCTTAAGTTTAGTTAAACAATACAACTAAATAAGTAAAGATATATTTAGTTAGTTTTTTAGATAATATTTTCCTAAAATACAGTATTTATGTGAAAAACAATGCATAGCATGTTATAAAGCAGTATCAGATTTATATTATTTGAATCTTAATTTTATAAGTTAGTAAACTATGTATAAAGATTTTTTATATGGCCTTCATTTATAACCTCATCTTTAAAACAAAGTAGTGATAAATTTAAATATCATATCATTTGATACAATTAAAATCATAATATAATTTAGTCAATGATTGCGTGTCAGACAACCAACTTATGACACGTAACTATGATATGACTAATTAATTAAAATTCAATTTATTATATTATAAAATTCACACAAATTGTATTGTTTGCAAAAAAATTAAATATTTTATTATATTTATACAAATAGTTTGAAAATAGGATACGATATTAGATTAATTTAAATAAAATTATTTTAATTAATATAAATTATAATCAAACCGTTAATACAGGTATTTTTAAAAATATGATATACAGTACAGTATGAACACAAAAAAACTTCTTTTGTGATTTAATTGTTAAAATATGCATTAAAAACATAACTTATTTATTTCATATTAAACCTTGAATTACGTCCAATATATTAAAAAATAATAATAATAATGTTAGTTAAATTACTGTATTTTAAAGGTAAACAAAAAAATTATTTATAATTGATCTTATCGATAATTATTTTACCTAATTTTGGGATTAAATCGTGAAAATGTGGGTTTTTTTAAAAACATTTTTTTTATTCACATTAAATTAAATTAATAATGTCACTAAATATAGCTAATAAATAAATAAATTAAACACTATAGTAAAAATATAAATTTAATAAAAATCTAAACATCATTTGTTAAAAACTTTTTCATACAATATATCACAACAAGTGCTATAAATTATATTAAATAATACAAGATTTTAATATATAAAACATAAATATTCAACAGATGCTCATCTGTTCAATCTTTATGGTCTGAATTTAATAACAAATTATCTCTAAATTCGTGCCATTCGTGACCCAAGAGATGATTATTTGATGCGAAGGTTTAACTAATTCAATACATCTTATATTTATTCAATAATTATCATGTATTTGTTGTTATGTTCTGTTATTTTTATTTATCTTTTAAAAACTTGACTTTAAAACAATGAAATTAATGGAAAATAATATAATTTATTTAGCAATCACTTTATTATAACAACCTATTGAGTTAAAGCAAATAAAAATCTTATAAATGTAATAATAACCAAATATTATGAAAAATATAAATATCAATATTACAGATGTAACTGAATGTAACATAAGATTACATTATATTTTTTATAAGTACTCTAACTATTTATATTTATATCTCTTCCGTGTCTGCATTACATTACAGTAAATAATTATTTTATTGTCACTTATTGTATGTATATTTATGCTGACTATTATACTATTAAAAGTTAAATATTATTTATTGAAGTGGTTGATATAGTAAACTATTGGATTCAATCAATTAATAATGTAATCATTTTGAATTAATAATCAAATAATAATTTATTTTAAAGATTTTTTTTACATTTTTTACATTACATTTAAAGATATTAACTTTAGCTAATCAATCAACAAAAATTTGTTGAACAAAGTTTAATATGACATACAATTATGTAAAAGTTTTTTATAATGAGATTTAAATAATAATTTAAAATATTTGTTTTATATGCTAACCTTTTAAATAGTTACCTACAGCTAGTATTTGCATATTTAATAATAATTCATATAACAAATAATTTTAAAGGTTTAAAAACTATATTCTCTTAAATTATTTATAATATATTGTTAATTTAATTAATAAATATAATTTTTTATATATAATTGTTCTAAAGTTAAAACTTATGATAAAATCTGAATCTATAATATTTATAGTATAATTGTAATATAATTTTTTTCCAACTTTAAATGACTCATATAAAATTTCGACACAAATACCTGTATATTATAAACATAAATTGTTATCAATAAAATAAAAATTATTAACAGACACTTAACAGTTACTAATTGCTAATTAATTTGAAGCTATTTTGTTATATTTTTTAATTGACGTTATAATTTAATTGACTATAATTTGATTTTACTTAAAATAAACAAACGATAAAAATTGTTTCAAAAATCTAAATAATGATTTAAGACTTAAAAAATAAAAGTAATTTGTATTTTAAAAATCTACGTTTTTATTTAATAAATAAAAAAGTAATGTAAAATATTAAATATTATTAATATTTTTTATTTAATTTTATATAAGAATAAAATAAATTTCTTTATTATTTTTATTAATTATAATTTTTTTTTATTTATATACTATATTAAAATTAAGTAATCTTGTAAACAATTAATTAGTAATTTTAAAAAGTTTACATATTATAAGCAAATATTGAGATCAATTATATGAGATTTAATGACAGTATTTATTATTATCTAATGATAATCAACTAGTGTTAGATAAATAAAACTTTTTCCAAAAAATCTCGACAAAATTTCTAGAAAGTTTCTTAGTCAATTTTCTATTATAATTTATAGCTGGTACTTATAATGGAAATTTTCTATAAATTTACTATTTGCTATTAAGTTATTATAGCTTTAGATAAAATAAAAATAAAACTCAAATTTAGGCTATACTGTATATTGTACTTACAAATAATTAGCTTTTATGACACATTATGCCTATTATATCTTATAAAACCTCAATAGGTAATGACATACAATCAAAATAATAATAGTTAATAATAGTCAATTATAATGTCACAAATCATATAAAGTATATAAATTATAATACAGTACAAACACATTATGGCTAAATCAACACATTTTTTGGCTTATATTTGAAATTTTTAATAAATTATGTTAAATAAAACATTATATAAAACAAAATATTTGCAAATATTAACGAAAATAGGTTTAAATTGTCTTATTATTGAGAATTATATATACAGTAATCAGTATATTCTGAATATTGATTATCTATTCAATTATGATTTGTGACATAATATTCAAGATAATTAACATTTGCTATAAAATATTATATTTAACTGAATATTTTAACACTAGATTTGCAAACTTTTATCATAATTATCATTAATTCCTTGATTTTATTATATTAATCTCAAAATGAATTATTATATTACAAAATGACAATTTATAATGACTTGATTATAAGTGTTCAGTAAAAATAATAACTTAGGAAATAGTATTTAAAATGGTTATTAAAATATAAAATAAACTCAAGAGTAAAGCTTTTTAAGTTAATGCGCTTTTAATATAATTTTAATTAAAATCATATTTAAAGTTAAATATTATCTTAGCAATTTTTGCCAATATTATTATTTTCATTATTACCAATCAAAATTAATCTAATTAAAGCTCTATTATAAACTATATAATTTATATAGCTAATGTTAAGATCTATTGTAATTGTATACTTAGGTAGTCATCAAAATTTTGATCAACAAGTGTACCATATATTAATAATGGTTCAATTTTGTCTTATTTAACAACTTTTAAAAAATAAAAATTTATCAAAATTATTTTATTAATTGCATAATAATTAGTTTCAAAAACAGACAATATTTGAAATTAGATTATTTGCTCAATTGTTAAATTGACAACTAATGTGAATAATAGTGTTAAGAAAGTATAAATACATTTTACTGTTAAGGAAAAGACCATATAATTTGAAAATAAATTCATTGACATAAATATATATATATATATATACCATATATGTATATTATATGTATATAATTAAATGATTTAACTGTCTAACTATCTACTGTGTTCTTTATTATAACAATTCATTTAAATAATAAATAATTTAATATTGATTTTACAGTATATATAAATAGATATTACAAAATGTGTAAAAACCATATACAGTAAGTACAGTAAATGAGCTAATATATAGTATGAAATATTATACAAATAAACTTCAATACTTTAACAATTAATAAAAGGTTTATTTTTTATTATTAAATTTACAATTAGATGTATTAATCAATTTTTGTAATTACTTATAATCTATTACAGTATTATTAAAAGTCAAAGATATAATTTAATATTTTGCTTAAAAAATGTATGGATTAATTGAAGCGGTAATATAAAAGGACATATAAATTGTGTCACTAAATGAAAGCCCACCCAATCTAACCCAACCTAACCCAACCCCATCCCTTGTACCGTATGGTTGGGTCAATATTCGTGGTCTACTAGTAGTGCGAATTTCCTTTAGGGCTAAAAAATTATTATTATTTCATATAATCTATTGAAGTGATTATTAAATGAGAATACAACCCCTAATTTTACTTATAAAAATATGTTACGTTAAAAAATTTAATTATTTTTAAAATTTCAAACAAAATTATTTTTTTAATACACTTATAAACTTATTGACAAATTTTTATAGTTGATAATACTGTACTTAATATTAAATATAATTAATATAAAAATAAAATATTTTTTACAATTATGTAGAAAAAAGTTTAATTATCAATAGTTTATCTGTGCATGATCAAATATTAATCAACATAAAATAAGATATGTAAAAATTTATCACATCATCTATATATTTATAATTTATAAAATAAAATAACAATCGATTTATAACATTATATTAGAGATAAATGTTTGAGTCGGCTATGATTTTATGCCTCAAATGCAATGCAATTATGATTTATTATTTGATGCATAAACTTAAACTTGAATTACAATCAAACTATAAAATACTTCAAATATAGTAAGTTATATAAAAATTGTTATTAGGGTTAAATCAGATTCCCTCCTTCGCTTAATTTTCCAAAAGTTCCTTATGTTCCCTACTCTATGGGTATTCCCAGGGAATCTATTTCCTAGTGCTATCATCTTTTAAACTCTAAAGTTTAGAGTCTAAACAACACATTTTATTATAATGTTTGAAAAACAAATTATATTAAACTGTATTTTAAGTTATATTGATAAATAGTATAACTAAATTTATTGAATTGAAATTTGTTTTTAAATATTTAAATATTTTTTTGTAAATATTTAAGTTTTGGTACTATTTATTGTAATAATATAAAATATATTTTCCTTTTCTAACGATCAAAAGGAGGAAAATAAATTATTTTCCATATTTTCCGGGAAAATTAAGAGGAATTTTATAGTGAACTTCCGTATACGTTCCGGAACTTCAGTTTCATATACGTTCTGTTGAATAATTAATAGATATATTTGTAATAATATATAAACTTATATAAAAATGTCCTAGCTACATATCACTTAAAATAAGTTATAAAAATTTTAATTTAATAAAATACATTGTTTTATATTGAGAGTAGCATTAGTAGTGTATTGGTGTTCATAATTATAAGTCTATTACTACACTATTACTACAAGACTAGTATTACTCTATTTTTCTTTAATAAAATTAAAATAACTTTTTTATTTTAAGATAAGTAGCTAGGACATTTTTATAAAAGTTGTACATATCATTATATATACAAATAAATCACTTACTTTTAATTATCTAGAATATAGGCACTGACAGGAAAAGGTTACTTTTAAAATTAATAGAAAAAGTAGTTTATTAAACATTATAAAAAATGATCAGGTACATACAAAATATTATTAATTAATCTTTACTTTATTATCTAATTGAATGCATTAATTATTTTGTGTAAATTTGCTAATTATAATGACATAAAAAGTAAGTTATAATAAGCTTTTGCTTTGAGTGCTTAATCTGGAAAACGTAATGCAATTAACGCCTAATTTATAAATAGTTTTTTAATAAATGTCAAAATCAATCAACACTTACCTCCCGATTGAAATGATATCAATGACACTAAACATAAAATTATAAAATTATTATAAAATAAATAAATATTATTCGTTGGTATCGTTGAAACCATTTTTGTCACAAACAAACAATTATCACATGAAATAAACGTTATTTCCCTTTCATTATAATTTATTTCAATTATTAAATGATTAACAAATCAAATAAATCCATATATTATAAGACAATTGATATCAATTGACATCAAATGGCAAACATTTATCCACAGATAGACTATTGTGTGATTGAGTCAAGTATTTCAATGCATATAATAATAGACATTCAATTCAACACTTAGTTAAAACTTTAAACACGTAAGCAATGCATCGATACATATGTATGACTGCCATCTATTATATTATTATTATATAAATTTAGTTAAACCATTGATTATAATTAATTAATTTAAACTATAGTATTATATTTATGTTAAAAATTATATTAAACCACAAAAATAAATATAAATACAATATTGTAAATTATATACAGTATTTATTAATTATAAAGTTAATTAAGGTATTTTTACAAACATGTTTACATTTTTAACTAACTTATGATCGATAACTTTTGAACTTAAAATTATAATTAAAATACATTTAAAAAATAACATAATATTGTCGAATATCATCGATTCCATCGCCAGTTAGCGCACAAGTCATGAAAACACGAGAGAATCGATTCCAACTAATATTTTCAATATCTTCACTATTTATTTCATTTTCATTATCGGTATTGATATTGATATTAGTTTTCAGATTTAACTTTTCTTCGGTTTTGTTTAAAATTGTTTCTAAACTTTTTTGATTATTAAAAACCACACGTTTTTTAGTTATTAAAGAAGTTATTCCTCCGACAACACCGCCTGTCAATAGAGTGGTTATATCTAAAAGTTTTCGTTTTTCTTTTATTTTATCGATTTTATTCAAAATAAGAACTGATTCTTTGTTTGGATGTCTTTTTAATAGTTTAATCACTCCTTTATTCAGTCCTTTTCGTTCCCTAATATTTGATACATCATTAATAATGGCAATAATATCTGCAGTCAACACCTCTTATCGGGTCATTAATGAAATTGGTCTCCAGTTTATGTTTTGCACAGTGATGTCGGGTCACTATTCCCGGTGTGTCCAACAATTCAATTTGGATCAAATTATATACAAACAAATATTCAATTATTTATTAATACAAATACAGTACTATTTGTACATACAGTACATTACGATACAAAATATAGTATTAAAGTATTAATTCTAAAATCATAAAAAATTATTAAATTTTTGTAATAGAAAAATCAAATAATTACGATAATTGTTTCGTTCATGTTATTACCTTATAGTCCCGCATATTCCCCCTGGTAAATTTTTCAAATTTAAAAATCAACATTTGTTATGGGGGTGTATCTCACATATACCCCCTACTGGGACTATATGTGAAGTCGTGGAAGTAAGAAACGATTGGTAGACGGGGTAATATGATTTGTAATCAGAAACCATCTAAACGCCAGTTAATAGTAATTATTGTTAAGATAGTTTAAATTAAATATATGATTATACAGTAATGATAGAAATAATAATTAACACAATAATCAGCTTCCGGTTAGTCATTAAATTTTAAATTACCAATTTGTAGGCCATTATTTGGCATTAAATAGACCGGTCAATAGATTGCATTTTTTAAGGGGGGAATTACAGACATTCAAAAAACTTAAATAATTTCATTAGTGGGTATATTTGCGAATTTATTAAATCAAACATTTGGTATGGAATTATATCTCAAATAGCCCCTGATGGCCGGGGGGGCTATATGCGGGACTATACTGTAAATATATTAGTCATCATTCTGTTCGACAACAGTGCCATCAGGTTTAGGGTCGGTTTCATCTCCATCGACATCATCTTCATCATCATCATCGTCGTCATCACCCGATACCTCTTGATTTTCACGATCCAATTGTTCCATTTTCTTAGCCAACTCTGCCTCATCCATATCGGTAACAACTTTAGGCTGATTAATGAAAATTATAATAATCATAGAACCGGTATTTGAATACAAAAATATAACTGTAATTAATTAAATTACCGCCACTTGTACTATAAATATTCCTCCCGAGTTCTTAATTGATGTTTCAATTTTTTGTAGCGCATCAGTCAGCAGTTGTATACCGTGTTCCCTATCCATAGTAGTAGTGGTTACCACATATAATGGCGGTGCAATTAAATTGATCTTAATTTGCATGTCATCTATTGAACAGGCAATACCAGCTCTCAATGCATTCTTGACGGCATCAATGCCTTCATAGGCACAACAGCCCACCTCTATATCGGCCCTAACTTTGACCGCTTGAGGCATTAAACGGCGCTTTATATGAGTGATCAACACTTCTTTTGTTTTCTCGTCGAGTCCTAACTCATCTAATATACTGACGTCACTATTCAACCAATTAATTAACAAATAGTTTATATCATAGTCTGACAAATTCATTATATTTTTATCCATACTTTACAATATGTTTAAACATATCATAACTTGAAGACTGTTTTTTGGACTTCTCCTCAAAATACCAGGCAGTCTTGCGGTACAACTCATCCAACTCTTCATTAGTTTCATACCCAAGAATTTCTGCCACATGTCTTAAAATACTATTAACCTATTTATTAAAAATAATTAGTCTTCAATCAAACAATTATTTGTTGAAAAAACAATTATTTCAATTACAGCTTTCGCTTTTGCAAACTTTTCTTCACATCTGACAATATCTTCGGGAGAAACGCGACGTTTAGACAAATCAATATAACCCTTGTCTTTGTCGACACGGATGACAACAACACATTCATTACGTCCGACACGAATCAGTTTATTGATTGACCGAATCCGACGCCGAGACAACTCGGATAACAATATCATACCTAAATTCATCAAATAAGACCTCAAATCAATTAATTGATTCACTTTTAATAATGACAATCAATAATACCTTCAATGTTGTTATACTCCAAGAGGTGGACATAAGCTCCCATCTCAGCGATGGAGCGGACGTTAACCATAACCACGTCATCCACTTCTGGAAACTTTTGCGGATAAAACCGACAGCTGAGTGGCATCTCTTCACTATTATCACTACTATTTGTTCACTAATTATTTATTAATAATTAAAAATTATATGTATTATCAGCTATTAATGTCTTCAATAACACCATAAGTGTAATCACAGATTAATTTAATAATTAATTGTAAATTAAATGAAATAATTATTTAATGAAAAGTAATGTTTGTGTCAATTGAAAGCCGAAACGTGTGAACACATGTCATCAATGTTTGCATACAATCAATAACACAATAGCATATTAATTCACATTTAGTCCTTTTATATATATTTATTTAATAGAGTTATCATTTGAAAAAGGAATATATTTTGTGATACAATTATATGATTTAAATCAATGAAAATCTGATGAAATGTTGAATGTATTGAAAGCAGTAGTGTTTTGATGACCCGATGGCCAACTTGTTTAGCGGAACACTTCACGCATCCATTTACGCCAAATTCAGACCAAATCCACCACAAGATATCATTAAATCAATACTAAGTTATTTATCCCATAAAGTAGACCGTAATGAGTGGCGCTTAGCTGTGGATGTCGGTTGCGGTAATGGTCAGTGTAGTAAACCGTTGGCCAAACACTTTGATCGGGTTTACGGGTTTGACACGAGTTCGGCACAAATCGGTGAAGCGATTCGTACCAATCATTCATCAAATATATCTTTCAATGTGAGAGACTATACATACATATTGACCCCACAATGTCCTATGACCTCAAACATCGGACTATTATCCGCAATGATTGTTGTTTTATCAAACAAGACATAAGACATAACATATAATAATTGGTTAACTAAAACATAATTAGTCATTGAATTCATCCCTAACTTATCCTATCGTATACTACTTTACCAACAAATATGATATATTGATGTTTTAATTTGCTTAGGATTACAACATTTGATACAATATTTTAATTATTATATTTAAATAAAAGTAAATTTACGTTAAAAAGTTTAGACTAATATATTTAGATATTTTAAAATTACAATACTTAACATTATAGAAAATAATAGCAATCATTGTTTTTAACCTGGTTAAGTTTAAGTACCGTAATATTATTTCATTAATTAATATTTTATATTAATAAGAAAAATATGTATTGAAAATAATAGATCCAAACATTTAAAATAAGAAAAAATAATTATTAATTTGATTTTTGAATGTTAGGTAAGTCCAGCCGAAACTTTACCGCTTGAGTCCAATTGTGTGCAATTATTAACTGCTTGTCAAGCATTTCATTGGTTTGATTTCAATAGATTTTATAATGAAGTCAATCGTGTTTTAGTGACCAATGGAGTGATAGCACTGTTGGGTTACACAATGCCAGACATATCACACAATAGTTTTAAAAATAACAACAGAATTAAAAATTTAGTCAAAAATTTTTATAAAAGTCCATCACTTTTGTGGTCTAAAAAAGAGAGACAATTAGTCGATGAGGAATACTCTTCGGTTAAGTTACCATTTGCTGATGAAATAAGAAGTAATAAGTTTGAGACACAAATAACAGCGACGGCTCAAGAGTTAAAAGGCTATCTTTATTCGTGGTCCGGATATAACACTTTATATCAAACAAATCAACAAAATGCTAATCAATTTATCAAATCATTTGATGACGAAATTAAAGATATTTTTGGTGATAAAAGCTTTAATGAAATTGACTTTACTATACATTTCAATTACTTTCTTGTGATGGCAAGAAAATCGGATAATTGATAATTTGAGTCATTTATATACATTAAATTTATATTTTAAATTAGTAAAAATTTATAAAATATTGTTATATCAATTAATGATAATAAAAAATATTATTCAATAAAAATATGTATATAATATATAAAACTGCAGTATTTCTATATATTTCCAAAAACAATATTTATTACAATTAATTACTACCACATATAATATATATAATATTACAGTTTACCTGTACATTAATAATTATATTTAATATAACAGGTAAAGACTGTAAATTAATTTTGACAGTTATTATTAGGGACATCAAAATATATGAAATATTTTTTGCGGTTAAAGATATTTATCGTGGAATTAATATCTATCCGAATCATATAATAAGGATTCTTTGGACAAATTTTCAAAACCTATTTTCACATATTTTGAATCCACATATTACACAATTTTTCAATAAAAATTTTATAATTTTACAAAAATATATAATTTTTAAGTTAGCAATTTTTATACAATATTATTAAATTTGAAAATATTAGAAAAAATGTTTATAAACAAGACTTAAGATTAATTCAAACAGTATGTCATTAAAATGAAATGAATTATATGATGAAACATACTGTATATACTTTTTTATACTGTATATTAATATAATAAAATTAATTTTATATACAATACTATATTATAGTAATTTTAAGACAAATAGTGTCTCAAAATTAATTAGTAATAATATACTAATAAAATATGTACAAATTTGGTGCAATTATAATTGAATTTTTAAAAAATTACACATTTCCACATATTTTGATCATTTTAAACACATATTTTATTAAATATTTTTGAAATATCGACCACATATTTTGAGGTCTCTGGTTATTATATATTGATATATAAAATTATATATATATATATATTAATTTAACTCCATATATATACTGTACTAATATTATAAAGTATTTTGAATATGAAATTGTTTTTTATGATTTTTGTTTACAGTTAAATTTATTGAACTTTTATTGACACTTCTAATTAAATATTCAATTTTATATAAATACTGTTTAATAAAAACAGAAAAAATGTTTAGTATTTTTAAAGTATAATAAATAAAACAATAATATAATGTATTTTTAGTATCTTTAAATTAAAAATCAAGTAAATGTACAAAAATATGATTTAAAGACTTTTTTGAATTGAAAATTTGAATACAATTTTATAGTTTGAGTTAATAAGAATTATGTTCAAGGTTATTTTTGATTTTTTGTTTGTTTGATGAGATCATATGAAGTATTAATTATTTTACATTAAATTAAAGGGAAAATAAATTATATAAATAGATTATTATTTTTTATATCGATTAGTTTTTAGAGGCAAATAATTCATATTAAAATCTTATAATATTTAATATAATCGTTGATTTAATGAAGTCGTTTTGACAAAAAAATCATTAAATATTTTATTGCTTTTAATCTTAACTCTTTTTATTATTTATATTGATATTAAAAATAAAGTTTAAATTTAAAATGTGTTTTTTTTGTTTTAATGTTTATTGTTTTAAAATATAATGTGATTATGTTATATGAATTACATTTATTATATGAATTACATGGTCATATAAACCTAAATTAGGACAATTTTTTCCCAATATCCTTGAAATGTTGAATTCATCGACTATTAGGAAATTTTTTAAAATATTACTTAATTTTAATTAATTAATTAATTAAAAACTATTGGTATTAAAATAATGTACGATTAGATTCTTGCAAAATATATTTGTATTGTTTGAACAATCTTTGGACTGCAAACTCGTAGAGTTCATAATCATTGCTGAGATTAGCTTTTAGATAGCTCTTAATTTGATGACTTATTTGTTGTTTTTGTATATTTTTATTTTTATGAATTTTATTGTTATCATTATTGTAATACGAGTTTAGGACACCTTCAAAAAATTGTGGTATTATGTGTTGTAATACTTTTAATGTTACATTAAAGTACTCCAATATTCCGACCACTTTATAATGTTTTTCAATGTTATGTTTTGCCGCCTCCAGAGCCCACTTACTGTTGACATCCAAACATTTGCGGTGTTGTCCACAAAAATATGGCAATAAAGACATTATGAATGAATTGTTAGCATTGATATCACATTCAGAGTCTTTATTGAACACACATTTTTCAAAGCTCTGAATTATATTTTTTTAATAAAAATAAAATAAAAATTGATTTTAAAATTACAAATCAATAATTATAACATTAATAAAATTACATTTACTTTATTAAACCAGTAATCGCTTGGTTTGCTTTTGTCCGTCAAATTGTTTGTCATTGATTTTAATGCAACAAATCTTCTATAATAATAACTCGATATAACTCTTTCTACGGGTTCTCGTATTATATTAATATAAATGGGAATATTTGATACATTATATAATTCAAAATCTAAAAACATTAAATTTTAATTAATTAAGTTTATAAATAAAATTTATAATGTATTAAAATTAATAATTTAATTTTATAACTTACTTATAAAGTAGATGTGTCTGTCATATGAAAAAGGAGCTGAATATTGCATTAATTCATTAATAAATATTTTCTGATATAGATATAAGTAAACAAATTTTTTAGTAGTAAATAATTAAATATTTTAATTTAAAAAAACTTATTTTATATACCTGTTGTTTGAAATTAAGTAAACGTTTATTATATATTTTTGAATTATAATGTTTAAAATGATTTAATTTCGATAAGTTTTCTAATAGTGTTATTAATGTAGTGCTTCCACATTTGGGAACTCTATTGTATATAAGCTTTGATATATCAAAAGTAATATTTTTAAATTTATTATCATTTTTATCTATAATATTTATATATTTATAGTCAATTGTCGATTTATTTGCAATACTGGAAGTGATTAAAAAATTTTTATATAAACATGTATACAATAGACCATATAATATAGATGAAACCAATGATAAAAATAATATTCTGAAATTATAACAAAAAATAAAACAATGGTTTGATACATATTTACGGTATAGAATAGAGTTGCTATTATATTATAGTTTATTATATATTAGAATAATGAATACTTTTATATATCAAAAATTGGTTTATACTTACCTAAAGATTATGCGATATTTTTTGTATTTATAATTTACATTCAGATTTTTAAAATAGTTCCTATAAATATTAATGTGATAAATTTTAGTAAAATTTTAATTAAAAAATTATTAAACAATACTTACATAAGATCTAAAACAATGTTTTATTTTATAAATTAATGCTTGAATAGTTACTTAAATTAAAAATATAACAACAAATATGATGATATGAATTTGAACAAATTTTAAAGTAATTTTATAGTATTCTACAAAATAATTGAAATATGGAGTCATATAAACCAAAAATATCTATAATTGATTATTAGTTTGATATTATTTTTAATATACACTATTTCTAGAAAATATGTCATCAATTATAGCATTTTAACTCTTTGTAAATATTTTGAAAACGCCTTCATTGGACTAAAATTCTTCAAATGTTTTTTATATTTGAGTTGAATGTTCTTTCAATACATATTATATGTAGGCTTTCATCTCACATAATGTTTAACTAAATATCTTAAGTCATTAAATAATATTTGATTGGAAATTCTGTTATACCTTACTATAGATTTATAACGAACTAAACAATAGTTTAAAAATTAATTGAGTAAATGATTTATTTGTAGTATTTTATATTTTTCTACAATATTATTTTCATAAATTTTGCAATATATAATAATATATTTTATGTAAATCATTAGTATCTACAAACCAGGGTTAAGCAAGGTTTTGGATTTTAGGGGGGGGGTAGACCGGGGTAAAATTTACAAAATTCTCGAAAAATCTTGGGGAGGATATTGGGTGGGGTAAGATTTTTATTGCATTTTTAAACGGCAATTTTTTCAAAAATCCAAAATCAAGGGGGGGGGGTCAAGAGAAAATTCCCTAAAAATTCCTTAAGTTCCCGAATATTCCCATGTAAATTCAATAAAATTCCCATAAGTTCCCGTATAAATTCCCGGGAAAATAGGTAAAATTTCCAAAAATATAAAAAAACTTAAAAATTAACAAAAACAATTTTAACAAAATTAAATAATTATTTAAGATTTAAAAATAGTTGATAAAAGCATTAATGATACACTATGAGTTATTTTTAGTATTTTAATAATTTTTAACTTTTAACATAATTAATTTTTTAAATAATACTTAATGTTTATAGTTTGTTATATATTTTTATTTTTTAAATGTTATTTTTATACAAATACTGACTGAATACTACTTATTTAACTCAAATTTCGTTAAAGTTTAATTACATTAAGTACAAAATTAAAATTATTAATAAAAAAACTTATAATATAAGTATTTATTGTTTTATTAACTTCTTAAACTATCTTAAACTTATATTTAAATTGTAATATGATTACTCTTTTCAACAAATAGGTAATTTTTAATTTTTTAGTTTATTTTAATTAAAATAATGTTATTTTTTGATGAGTTTTAACGTTATTTTAACTATTTTTAATCAATAATTAGATTTTTATAAATATTAAAAACATAGACACTTACTAAAATAGTTTCAACTAAAATTAAAATTTATATAAAGTTCATTTCTAGGGGGGTCATTTCTCTTCGTTTTTAAGCGACAATTTTTCCAATTTGGTCAAAAAGTCTGGGGGGTAAAATCCCAATTTCTCGATCTTAGGGGGGTATTTTGGCCTTACCCCCCCCTACCCCCCCCTTACTTAACCCTGCTACAAACATAACATTAATTAATTATTTAAAGTTTTAGAATCTTCTAAAATCACTTTTAATAATTAAATTTATTCGTTTATTAACTATTATTATCAATTACAAGTGATAATTATTTGTAAATATTTGATATATTTTAATTAAAGTTTTCGTAAGTAATTCGTTGATTTAATAATTATTTATAAAGTGTTTTATTGTTTTAATTGCAAATTAATTAAAACCGAACCGATTTCAACACTATTCACACTGTTTATACATATAGTACTGTATATAATGTATATAAGATGTGTAGTACATTGTGAACAATATTGTTTTTGTTTTTATTTTTGATTAATTAATTATTACTTTTATGATTGATCTAAGTTTAGTAAATTTTAAGGTTATATATAATTAACTGGTTATTATCAAGGTTAAATTATAATTAGTTGGATATTCCGTGGAAAAATATTTAAATTATTTTTTATTGGTATATATGGATAGTTTGATATATTTTAAGAAATATAATATATTATATTATTGTCATTTATATTGAGATCTGTGTTTTCAACAATTATTAGCAATCATTGAAGCGTTGATTTGGAGATAATATTTTTATGTAATTTGAAAGTGAAGTCTATTTAAGTAATATTTAATTGTTATACATAACGATTGTATTTACTTAAAATTATTTGCACAATTAGTAAATTCAATATAACACAAAAATCACTCATTTAGGCACATGTCTTGTAAATTGACTCATTAAACATTTAATTATACTGTATTATCATACAAATCATTGAAACATATAATATTATATTTAAATGTATTTCACTTTTTAAATTATAGATAAAAAATAGAATTTAATAATATTGTTCTAATTTTTTATCATTTTATTATAATAAATAGATTAAAAATATTAGTTTTATAATAATAATATCAATAATTAATACAAAAGTGATTCAATATTTTTAAAACTTTATTATAACTTTCTATACTGTTATGTTATAATTTTTGTATTATTGAAAGAGACAATTGCGTTGACAATACAGTTATCAACTAATTGAACAATATTTTAAAAATTAATAATTTCAATATTAAAGCCAAAAAAATCATATAAAACATATCCGGTTTAATGATAAATATAACGCTTTTATTATTTAAATAAATAATACTATTGTGTTATTAAATAATAATTTAATATTACTTGCGATTTCATAATAACTAAAAATTGATTCGTTGTTATGATAGACACCTCTTTATCCAACCCTCAGTGGAGGAGTCAAGTCTTGATTAAGTTTTGTGTCATTTTATATAATTATTATCCAATTGTATAATTTTGTGCAAATAATAAATAATTGATTGCTATTCTCTGAACCAGTAGTCGGTCTATAGCTTAGGTGTGACCTTAACTTTATTTAATATTATTTCTTTATTTAACTCGTTTTTAGTGACATTCAAATAAATTTTAATATTTATTTTTAAAATAAGAACAAATTCACCGAAACTGCCTAAAGGCTCAAAAATTCAATTTTCACAAAAATTTTATTCATTTAATATTTTTGTTTATAATAATATTTAAGTTTACTAACAGTTTGTGTGAAAATTGAAAATTTTATGTTTTGATAAAAAAAAAATAAAGTCAAACCAGAGCTGAATTTAGAGCATTGATTCATTTGGACCGGAAAGTAGAACATAAGGTAATGTATGTATCAATGTTTTCTCAGTTATGTATATTATATATATATTTATTTATTTATATCTATTTATAAATTTATTATAATCATATAATAAAATACTTTTTTGTGTTATTTTTAATATATTATATTTTATTATTCATATTGAAATAAATTTATTTTGTGTGACATATAGTTATATAAATTATTAACTATTAAAATATACTTATTATTGTACATAATACTACTGTATATTGTATATAAAACAATATAATACACTTTAAACTATTTAAACTATTTAAAAAGTTATTAAAGTAAAATATCTTTTTGTAAATTATAGTAATTAAAATTAATCAGTGATATTTTTTACAATTATACTATTAATCATAAATCATTTATAGTGTCATTTTATATAAATTATTTTTTGTTAATATTTTTATGAAAGTCTAATATTTACTCAGATTTATACTATAATATAAATCTATATACATATGACAAAAATTCATTATTCAACAAAAAATTTGTCAGTGATTTTGGTATATATTTGACAAACATATTAAACAGTTCAAAAACAATAAATTGCAACATAAATATTTAAAATTAGTAAAAAATGATTTTTATTACAAAATATTTGTTATAAAATTGTAAGAATAAAATTCACAGAAACTCACGTTTGATATAAACTTTTCAGTGCCGATACGTTTCACTGAATATTTATAATTCAAGATATAATTATAAATAATATTTATATAAAACTAACAATTTTTCTTAGCTTTTAATTGTGAAAGCTTTGATAAGTATTTTATATAAACTGTAAAATATATTTTTATTTATATAAATTTTAAAACTTACTATAAAATTAATTTATGATTATAAAAGTTAATGAATGGAAAAGATATGACAAACAGTGACGATAATAATGTGTCAAATGGATCACCATTTCAAAGGAGTACAACTGATCCAAATCGACGATCCAGAGCTTCCATACGAAAGATTGAAGTAAGACGTGAATCAACAACAAGTGTAAAGTCAAGAGGAGGTTGGGGTAACAAATGGGGTCTGTTTTGAGAATTTATAAAAATTAATTCATATTTTAATAATTTTTTAACAATTTTTTAAGAATTTCTATTGAGTTGTGTTGGGCTTAGTGTTGGAATTGGAAATGTTTGGAGGTATTCATTCAATCATTTAATTTAAACATTTTATTTGATCTATCATTTTATATTAATAAACTAATATAGTATAGTATAGTATAGTATAATATAATATAAATTTATATAAAAACCCAACGATAAAATAGTTTAGATGTTAATCATACTAATCAATAATTAGGGATTGTAATAGATTTAATAAATGTTTATAATGAATATGTAATTTAAGAACAAATCTATATTATATTTTATGTATCATATTTAGAATTAGTCAAAATATTTTTTTAATTTAGGACAAAATGAAAGTTTATATTAAAAAATATGTTTTTGGTATTTTTATATAATTTGTATTTTATTACAGGGTTAAGCAATTTTTGGTCTAGGGGGGGGGTACTGGAGGGGTATAGACTTTTATTGCATTTTTAAAAGGGATTTTCTTTTAATTTGAAAATCGTGAGAAAATTCCCAAAGTTCCCGAAAATTCAAATGTAAATGGGAGGAAATTCCCAGCAAAATATGAAGATATTCCAAATAAATTCCCTTATTTTCGGCAAATTTTCTAAAAATTATGAATTTATTTAAATTTAACTTAAATATTAAAAATAAAAAACTATTTTAGCATTAATAATGAAAAATTTAGAAATTATTAAAAAGTACACTAATTAATATAGTATTTCCATTATTATTATTATTATTATTATTATTATTATTTTGAATACATACTAATTGAAACAAAATTAATCATTTTAAACAAATATTCCTTTTTAACTTTTAAGATAAATTTTTAATAAAATATAAATAATAGAATTTAAATTAATAAATTTAATTATTTAAACTTATTTTTATCTAATAACTCAACTCAATTAAGTTATAATATTAAGATGAAAAATAAATTTATATTAAATATATAAAAATAATATTCTATAAATTTTCCAATACGTTTTTTAAACATATAGTTCATTTCTTAAAATTTAATTTACATATTTTAATTAAAATTATGTTATATTTAGATTAATTTTTCTTTATTTAACTAAACTAACTTAATTTTAATTAAATTTTTAACTATTTTACATAATAATTTGATGTAAATAATATAGAAAAACATAAAAATTGTAATTAACAAATATTTATTAAAATTTTAATATTAAAAAATTTCGGCACAGAAATTTTAGGGGCGACAATTTTTCAAAATCTCCAAAATCTTGGTCTCAGGGGGAAAGTCGATTTTAACCCACCCCCATCCCTAACCCTGATTTTATTGATATATTTATGTATATTGTAAATTACAATTTGTAATACACTAAAATTATTATTGAACCATAATATTATAGTTTTAAAAAATTTCATATATATTAGTTAACTACAAATACTATAAAATCTATTCTTAGTTTTGTTTTCTAATATATAAAAAATGAATATATAATATCAGTGGTAATTAAATACTGTTTTTGAAAAAATTATTTGAATCTAATGTAATCCCATATTATTAACTTTGATTATTTCAAAACGTTTTGTCTATGATTTTATATTATATAATTAATACAGAATTTATTAGTAGTGTTACAACATGTTAGTACAAAATTATTTTTAAATATTGATGGCTCAGATATGTTACTTCAAATATAATTTTTAAATATTTATATTTATCATATAATTTTAATTAAAGTTACTTAAAAATATTTTATAAAGGTTTCCATATTTGGCATATGAAAATGGTAATAAATGTTAAGTCTAATTATTATAAAATTGTTGTAAAAATTATGATCAATGAATATATGATTAGGTGGCGGAGCATTTCTCATACCATACCTGATAATGCTAACATTAGCCGGCAAACCCATGTATTTTATGGAGTTAGCATTTGGTCAATTTGGTGGTACCGGTCCATTATCTATATGGAAGTGCACTCCTATAGCCAAAGGTATAGGATCTGCTATGATAGCTGTGTCGTTAGTTGTTTGTATTTATTATAATGTGGTAAGTGGTGTGACATAATGTTTCTCATAATATTTTTAATTATTTATTAACATTTAATTATATATTGATCCAATTGATTACATTTAGGTGATGTCATATACACTTTATTTCATCGCACATTCATTTCAATCAGAGCTTCCGTGGCAAAGATGTGATCCTGAGTGGGCTAACGGCACAAATTGCACCGTTAGATCAAAAAATGTATTAAAAATAAAATATTGACAATATATTTAAATAATATTTGTATAAATATATTGTATATTATATTTTAGACTACAATTTTAGAAGGAGTATCTTCAAGTCAGGTATTTTTAGATTTATTATAAAATATTACAAATTAATTAATTTCATTTCATTTAAGGTTTTTTGGGAGTAAGTTTCATACAAAATAAAAATCTATTATAAACTGATTTAAAAATACTTTATATTAGACGAAAAGTATTGGATTTGTCGCCAGGAATTGATCAGTTAAATGGTGTGAAATGGGATTTAGCTCTTTGTTTGGCTATTAGTTGGGTTATTGTCATCCTTTGCTTATTAAAAGGTTTGGTTTGATTTTCTGTAGTTTTTTTGCAACTGCTGCATCACTTATTATACATTTTATTAACCATATTTCTATTAACTTTATTTTATTTTATTTATAGGAGTAAAAACAAGTGGGAAAGTTGTATATTTTGCGGCCACTTTTCCATGTATGTCATGTTATACAGTATTTACTGTACAGTCCTAACATATACTAACTTTAGTTTTTTTTATAAATATTTTATCAATTTGAATATAATTTGTCTAAATTAATCAATCTGAATAACAATAAAACGTTAATTTAAAAAACTATATTAAAAGTAAATAATTTAAATCTTAATTTATAAATAAATAATAAGAAATTTAGATAAAATTAAACTAATCTTTACGATAGTACTCTTATTTATTCAAAATATTATTCAAATATTAAGTATTCATTTATTATTATAATTAAAATTAAATTAAGGTTTAAATTTTGATATGCTATTTTTATATAATTAATAACTGTATATATTATTTTTTGTGTTGTAATATATAAATGTAATATATTAGATGTCATTTTAATTTCACTATTAATTGCCGGAATAACTCAAACGGGTGCGTGGGAGGGTATGTCTACTAAATTAAAAATATATTATTTTAATCTTTTTTAATATAAAATCTTTTTATAATAGGAATAAAATATTTTATAGTACCTGATTGGGGCAAACTTCTTGAAATTAAAGTAAAATATTAATATTTAAATAAAATTAATAATATGTTATTAAATTGAATGTTTTGTAAGGTATGGCAGGCAGCGGCCGGTCAGATGTTTTTCAGTTTAAGTGTTGCGATGGGCGGACTCATTATGTTTAGTAGTTATAATGATTTTCGTCACAATATATTTCAGTAATATATTATTGTTATATTTTTTAACTTAAATTATTTAATATACAGTATATATATATAATAATGAATTAATTTTTATTATTTTAAAGTGACGCTATGATTGTTAGTATTTTGGATACAATTACTTCAATTATAGTAAGAATTTCAAAAATATTTATCAAATTAATGATTTAAAACTCAATATTAACTTATATTAAAATATTTTGTCTTTAAGTCAGGATTAGTAATATTTTCAGTATTGGGTGCTATGGCTAATGATTTGGGACCAGACGTTAAAGTAACAGATGTGGTTAAAAGTGGTCCGGGACTGGTATTTCAATTATTTTATCAATCATTTGACAAATTACAGTATTATTTATAAATACCTTAATATGATTGCAGGCGTTTGTCACATATCCAGAAGCTCTAACTCGACTACCATTCCCTCAAGTTTGGTCCGTTTTATTTTTCTTTATGTTATTTACATTAGGACTCGATTCTGAGGTAATTAATCAAAGTTAACATATAGATAGTATAATATATAGTAGTATGATATATACAGTATAATAATCAAATAGAGAAGTAAATAACACAACTTTTTTAAATATCAATGATTTTTGAAAGATTATTATTGTCTATAATTTATAGAAAAGTGTTAAAAATATTTACGATTTCTATATTTTATCTACAATATATATTTTTATAGATTTACAGTATATATTAAACACAACATATATTAAATTAAAATTTTAACGTTTTTAAATAATAAAGTAATATATAATACAAAAAAATATTTCAGTATATAGTAGATTATCTTAACTCAAAACTTGTAGAAATTTAAAATTAAATATTTTTATAATGCTTTTTTATTATAGAGTAATTTTTATATTTTATTTTATAAAACAATTAGTTTATTAATTTATAAACAGTATTATAGATGATTGTTGTGTTGACTAATTAATTAGACATTTTCAAAGATTTTAAAATGTATTCAATAGTTTGCACTCATGGAGAATGTTTTGACCAGTCTTTCGGATGAAATACCGTTTCTAAGAAAACATAAACTAAAGTTTTGTGTCGTAACGGGAATTGTTTGCTTTATTTTAGGACTTCCTTGTGTTACAAGAGGTTTGTTTGTTATGCAATAAATTGTTATTTTAATAAAAAATGTTATGTATATATTAGGAGGACAATACATATTTGATGTGATGGATAACTATGGAGGAAGTCTACCACTTGTTTTTATAGCTGTTTCTGAATGTGTAGCTCTCATGTGGATCTATGGCTTCGATAGGTTTGCTTTTGATATAGATTTTATGTTAGGAAAGCAATTGGGACTCTATTGGAAAATTACTTGGAAATATACTTCACCAATAATATTGGCCCTTATTTTTATCTATTCACTAATCAATTTTAAACCATTAAAGGTATATTTAATATTTTTATACTCAATTACTATTACTACTTTTGTATTTCAATAATTTTAATAGTATGGTGAATATGATTATCCCGATTGGGCTGACGCTATGGGCATATGTCTGACACTCGTTATTATACTACAGGTACCCATTTGGGCTATTTATGCAATATATTCACAAAATAAAGGACAAACGCTTAAAGAAGTATAGCATAAAATTGATTTTAACTATTATTAAAACTATAATTAAAATAAAAATATATTTCTAGAAAATTGAATTATCGCGTATAGACACTGAAGATTGGGGTCCCAGAGATTTGGCACTAAGACATGAGTGGAGAACTAAATATACAAACTGTCTGTCCATTGGATATCAAACGTCAAATTTAAATAAAGAACCGGCAGTTTTGATGAAATGTCAAAATATAACTAAAAGGACAAACAGTGCCGATAATCCAGCATTTATTCCGGACATACCTTAAATTATTGGTTTTTAATTATAAAAACAATTTTAATTCATTTATACTGCATTTAATAAGTTATTTTCTTTATCATTTGTTGTGTAATTTTTACTAATGTTAAGCACAATCTAAGCACAATATATTGCATTTAAATAAAACTATTTTATGTAATATAAAACTTACAACTAATTGATTATTATAATAAATGTTAAATTTTGAAAAGGTTTGTCAAATATTATTACTGTAAAGTGTGTACAACAGTATACATAACGAGGTATTTATAATAAAGAAGTCGTAAATGTTTGTAATAAATGTCCGATTATTACTTTTTTCAAATCTTTGCTTAAATGCACAAATCGTTTACTAGTTATTAAATTATTGAACTAAAAACTTTTAGATTTTAAAAATTTTATTTGAAAATTGTTATTAAATTGAAAATATTAATACAATGTTTTTATTACTTTCATGGGTCCATTTTTCATATTGTTATTGAATGTATCAAAAGTAAAAGTAAAAACATTTGTATTACCGGTTAATATATTAAATTAATATCTTATTGTAATTTGTAATACAAATTATAAATCTAATGAATTGAATGCATATAATGCTTATATAATAGTTTTGATGCAATAATAATATCGAAAAGTATTTGCAAACCCACCAAAAAAAACAATTGGAAAAACAATAAAAATATTAATTCTATTAAAATAAAAATATACTATATTTTAATAGAATTACATTAAAAATGTTTCATAAATCTATTGCTGAGACGTTTGAACAGTTTGTATGTCTGTCGGGTTAAGAGGTTCATCGGTTAACAAAATTCGTGGTCCATATAGAAGAACATAAGCGCTGTGCCAATCACCTAATAAATCAATTTGTATATTAAATAAACAAATATTACAATTCTATACAAACACATACCACCGCCCGAAAGCTTCAGTATCTCATCGGAGTTGACGAGAGTGACCACATCGTCATCACATTTAAACCATTCATCTAAAAAAATCAAAAATATATAATAACTCTTAAAATACTATGAAGTTATACCCGGCTTTCTTCTAATCCAACCGACATAATGACCACTAGAACTGGATCGGCCCTTATGTGTCAGCACTGCCTGTAAATCATAAAATCCACTGTTATTGGAGCCGATGTCGTCATCAAAAGAGTATTTATGTTTGTATTTTGCTTTTGTTTCGTCTTCTTTTTCTTTCTTTTGTTTATTAGTTTTATTTCGAGTTTCTTCTAATTGTTTGTCTTCTATTTCCTTAAACTTGTGTCTCATTGGTATTAGTTTATCCTGTAGTGAAGTCGTACACAATTCAAATACATCTAAATTGAGCGTAAATTTAATATCCTTAAGGATCTTAGCGTTGACAGAACCCCGTTCTTTGTAGAAGAATCTAACGAACTGAATGGCCAAATATGCCGGCAATCGACTTAATTTACTGGTCTTTTCGTACTTTGAGTTCTTGTTAAGTGTCGGCGAAAACTTTTCTATTGTCTCTTTAAGACGTAACTTGAGTCCCGATTGTAAGTATTTGACGTCTTTAATAAAAATTGATTAAAATATTATTACCGGTAAATAGAAATACATTTTAGACAATACCTGTTGATATAAAACAACTCAATTGCAAAAAGTTTTCAGTTGAACGAACCGGTTCTTCGCTATCAGTTTCAGTACATTTCATTTCAACATCAAAAGTACCGCCAAAATATTGGTCAATAAAATTGAGAGTTTGTACTGAACTAGAATTGACTTTAAGTCTTTGTTGAATCATTCGGATCAGTTCAGTCCAGCACTCGTTGGCGTCGTGTTGGATGAAACCTCCACTCTCTCCCTTTTCAGCGAACCGAGGAAACGCCAAATGCAAAACTTGAAGCAATATTAACGGTGCGATTGTAGACGATTTGTCCATTGCTTCGTATAAATCGCGTAAAGCTATTGTCAAACTTTGTGAAGCATCTAATGATCCATCAGTTATGGTTAATCGTCCGGAATAACTATAACATCACATTTAATTAATTATTTTAATACTTTAAATAATTAAAACATAACTTACTTTTTAAGACATTCAATGAGTTCGGGAACAGTTCGCAGACACTGAACCGTTGCGTTCATATAACAAGTATTACCCAAATTTGTGAGACCGGCCGGCAATTGAAGAGCTGATGCCAACTCGTTATCATTCATGTCTTCCATGAATACTATCTGCTCTTTGGGCACTTCTGGCAACTCTTCTTTACTGCCCATCAATAGTAAAGTGATTCCCTGTTTAACAATATATTATATCTAATTATWATATTACCGTAAATCCAATTCAGTGATAATTATCATAAGTCATACATCTTTGATTTGAAGATTATTCCAGTCGTCATCCTTGACAGTCATACCCTTAAAGAGTAGCTTTTGTCGGTCAGTGTTAACTCCGGTCAATGCAAACAACTGCGCTTTGAAGACAACGGGCGGCTCTTCAGTGCATAACTCCATGTCTTGATAGACCTCTTTATTCCACTTTACTTTCACTGAACATAACAATTATGTCAATTGATATATCATTTCAAACAATTAATTAATGAAAAACAGACCTTTAAATGTAGGCATTGTGTCAAATGTGATGTCAAACAAACAAATTAGTTAATTATCTCAAAAATTAAACTAATATTCACTTAATTTAAGTGTCAGTTAAACACTGTTTTGACGATTCATTCAATCATTCATTCATTGATTCATTCAAATGCCAACCATTTACTCCATTCACAAACACTATGACTATAATAATAATACAAAGCTTTTTAAATTTAATACTCCTTTTGATTATAAAATATGTGCTAAAAGTAGTGAGAGAGAGGTTTTTCATATAAATCTATCAATCAATTGACCTAAAGGTAGAACTAAATAATTATTAATAACTTTAGATATATGTGACTAAAATTAGTGTTTTATTGAATGAAATATTTGCTTAAAAGCATGAAAATATGTGATTATATTTTGTTAAAATAGTCAAAATATGTGGTTATATTTAATAACAATTTAAAAATTGTGTTACAATTAATGATAAATTAATATTTTTTTTTCTTATCAATACTTAAATTCTCATAAATTAAAATTATACAACTTTTAAATTCAGTATAAATTAAAATCAATACAAATAAATCTTTAAATCTTATTTTCTTTTAGTAGACATTAGAAATTAGTAGAATTTTAGAAAACATAAATATTATGATACAGTATTTGTCTGAAATTATGAAATAGTAATAATGTATAATACACATAAAAATAAAATGCTTGTTATTTATTTTAAAATATTGAAAACAATAATACATATACTAAATAAACATAAGAAAAATGTATTTTAACTATTATTTTCCATTATATTATAGTTATTTGCAAAATATGTGCTTATATTTGATAATATGTGACTACCTTTTAAAATATGTTGTTATATGTGTTTATGTGACTAAAACTTTTGCCATAATAATCAGTTTTCAATCAATTGCTTATATATCTAATTATTTTGTTAATATCTTTAATCACTAAAAATATAAGTTATATGTGAAATAAATGCTCTAATAATTAGTTGCAATAATGCATTCTATAGTTACTCATACTATGGCACAGTTAGGTAAGCTCAGGGATGTTCATTATCTCAAAAAACAATATTAGCATCAATTGAATTGTATTAATACCAGAATAAACTAAATGAAAAATGTCTAGAAATGTGTTTAAAAAAATACTGTAAATACTGTAAATAGATAAACAGTAAATTTAATATAAATATGAAAATTTCAAAACAAACACTAAATATAATAAAATTATATATATTTAAAATTTATTGGTATATTAATTATATTCACTAAATTCTATATCTAATACAGAATAAATAAATCATACATTGAAACCAAGTTTCTATTTGCTATAGAATTTAAGATATTAAATAAAAGACATTTTGTCTAATAATTGTTTTATAATTGTTTATATACTGTACAGTACAGTACAATATCTATTAAAATTTTTTAACCTAATCTTAAAACATAAAATATTCATAATAGACAATAATAAATGTCTTTTATTTAATACTATACATTAAATTTTATATCAAATAAAAACTTGGTTTCAATGATTTATTCGTAAATATTCATAAAACTCTACATTAAATTCAAATTCATTATCATATTTGTATATTAACATTCAAAACTATGACCTATATTTTGTCCACGTTAATTGATATAAAAGCTTAGTTAAATAAATATTTTTATTATATTATCCAATAATTATTATAAAATCAACATATTTTTAAATACAAATAAACGCATACATACATACATACATACATACATACATACATACATACATACATACATACATACATACATACATACATACATACATACATACATACATACATACATACATACATACATACATACATACATACATACATACATACATACATACATACATACATACATACATACATACATACATACATACATACATACATACATACATACATACATACATACATACATACATACATACATACATACATACATACATACATACATACATACATACATACATACATACATACATACATACATACATACATACATACATACATACATACATACATACATACATACATACATACATACATACATACATACATACATACATACATACATACATACATACATACATACATACATACATACATACATACATACATACATACATACATACATACATACATACATACATACATACATACATACATACATACATACATACATACATACATACATACATACATACATACATACATACATACATACATACATACATACATACATACATACATACATACATACATACATACATACATACATACATACATACATAATGAATTTAAATATGTATAAGCTAGTAATAATACTAATAAAACCAATAATGTTTTCAATTAAAATTTAATAAATCTTTAATATAATATGCATTTTAATACAACACAGTATTTGCAATGTTGCAATTTACAAATTTTAAAATTAATTGTAAATATTTTATTATTTAACTTAACATTTGCTTGTAATTACTAAATTAATATTGTTACACTAATGATAATTATTTAATGATTACATAAATATAACAAATTATGACATTATACAACCAACTAATTTTTTAAATAAATATTTTGTACATAATTTGTATATACCTAATTATAATAATACATGCAATAACTTAAATTTATATATATATTATATATTTACAAAAATAATTTATTTTTATGTAAAATATTTTGGCATAAATATATTTTAATATTTAAAATTCACAAAGTTGAACTTAATTTCAAATTTAAATAATTTTATAAAGTTAAACAATTAGTTACATAATTAAGTAATTAAATTAAATAAGTAGAAAGGCGAAAAAATTTTCAAAAAAATACTAAATAATATTTTAATGATTAAATAATCATTTATTTAAATCTTAGGTGCGTTAAGATCTTTTTTATTATAACATATGCCATATGATATTAAAAAGTGTATAAATTTTATATTTAATGTGAAAAAATGTAAATTTTTGGATGGCTTTATAACTTAATATTAGTGACGGATTATTTCAATTTGAAGTAAATTTATTATATTATTTGGTTTTAAAAATTTGGTGCAAAAATTCAGTCAAAATAGTTTATAATATTTAAATTGTTATTATTGATAAAAATAATGATATAAACTGAAAGATCATTAACTTTAAAGATATTTATAAAATATGAAAATTCAGTAAAGATTCGGTTGAAAATCACATTTAATTTTAAGGAATAGTATTATTGACTCAAACGACTAGTAAATCAAACAAAAATTTAATTTAATATAATATCGATTAATTAATTTCTCAATTATTAAAACTAACAAATAACTTATAACTAACAGTAACTTCAAATATATTTTTAAATATTTTACTAAATAACAAGCAATAGGCAACATACAGTGTATTATTACTATATATCATATAGATTAAAAATAGTAAATCTAAATTATAAATAATATTATAGGTAAGTTTAATTTTAAAATACTTTTAAAATAATTTATAAAAAAGTTTAATTGCAAAATATTCAAAATAACTCTTGCAATATATTCAAGTTATTTTTTAAATTTGTGTTTCATTTATTTATTTTCGATAATTTATTGTGTGTTGTAATAGTGGGTAAATCTAGTTTTAATTTTAACTCTAGTAAACTATTGTTATAATAACTATTACAATAACTCAGTTGCCGATTACTTGTTTGGATAAATATTATTATGAAATTAAATGTTATATACATTACTGTATATCATAATTGAGTTATGTTTGATAGTTGTTTTAATTGAGTTGCACTTGTATTTGTATTGCAAGTTTGCAATACAGATATTGGAGTCTAAAATACTGTATATTCATATTAATATAGTGTATATAAATGTCAAAAAACTTATATTAATCTCAATAATAAACTTAAATATTTTCAAAAATAAAATAAATTAGATAAACAATTATTGAAAATATTAGATAAGTTAAAAAAATATCTCACAAATATTGTAGCGTCAAATCAATTGTCATATCAGTCATAACATAACTTAAGAAATTTGTCACAAATATCTATACGACAGACCCATTATTATCATCTTTAAGATTTTTGGTAAATTTCTTATTAATTTTTGAATCTGAAAAAGATGTGGGAACAGCTGGTCTGGGATGTAAGAGACGACCCTGAGTTGTCCACAAACCCTGAGTTGCGTGTAGTGTGCGTTTCATCTTCTGATTTAATGATGATTCCCGACGTTCACTGTTATCATCATTATTACGACAATTCATTATTTTACTCGGATGAAACCATAAATAATAAACAACCTTTAAAACATAATTAATTACCGGTAATAATATTTGAATCAATTTATATAATACTAATAATTACCATAAATGCGATTCCGAGTGTAAAAGATATTAGAAATGCAGGAAAACCTAAAGGTTTATAAATTTCACTTTCAGGACAATTAAAATACCAAAGAGTTAATATTATAATATTTTCACAAAACATAAACAAATAATATAAAATATATCGTCGACGAGTTGGTGTATCCACGGGATTAAAATAACAAAATATGAATATAAATGCAAGAATAGCATTATATCCCAATTCTTCGATACGATTCTTACAAAATGATGTTCGCATCGATACAATCCATAAAAACATAAGAAACCAATGAATACTACAAACTATACTTATATAGAATCGGAATTGACTGGCAAATAGTGATAGTGTTACCACTCGAGAGGCAACCATAAAGAATCGCCAAATAAATTGAATGGCGAGTCCCTAAAAAAAGACAAATAACTCTTTAAAACATTTTTCCAATTACCGGTAAATTAATTTTATTAAAACATACCGTCCATTTCATATTGGCCTTATCAGGCAATGATAAACGCAATGCACGATGATATGAAACCAATGACCACGAAACTGATACCAGTGATGCTAAACATGAAGTTATTGATATTGTGACTAATTTCCAATAAAACAAATACCAAAAAATAACATTTTATTAATATTTCATAAATATATATATAGTTATGATGTCTTATACATACTAATCCAGAAAAGATAATACCAAGTATTAAAATTCTTGATAAGAATATAAAGTTGAAGAACTAGTTGTGGCGCCGCTTCCATAAAACACTCGAAGAGCCTCAACATTGTTGCGTCAGTGTCTTCGTAAACCATGTATTGGAAGTACTTTTTCTTCGCTTCCTTTGAATTGGACGCCTGTCTGAACTTCAGTCCGTACATCAATGAATCAAAATAGCGTAAAATTGGTCCCAATTGAAGCAACAAAAATATAACTCTCAGAATCCATTGAAAAGGAGTTATCTTTGGTGATCCCTCTTCTCTTGAGTCCACGACATACCATCGCAATGATATTCCCGTCATTACAAGTGTAGGTAATATGACAAACGTTAGGGTCAGATAGAAATACCTGAGTGTTGTATAAACTATTTTATTACAATAACATACAGTATATTATTGACTAAAACAAAGACAAACCAATTATTATCAGTGATATAATAATATGCGGCAACAGCTATATCAGTGCCGATATCCAACAGAAAGCTGCCGATGGAGAACAAGATGGCCACCGCATCCAATATTGTGAATGTCATGTGTTCGGGAAGTGCGTCCACCCGGTCCTCATCCGTGTCATCGGTATATGTTATCATATGATGTGAGATCAGTGACGGTCGCGAAGTGGCGCTATAGACGTGAGACTTCTGGCGACTCAATGTTCGGCTATACGTCCGGTTAAGACCACAGGTCTCGAGTGGCGTCTCTTCTTCTCTTATCTGGTCTTGAGATTGAGTACCTCTTGTATTAACAATAAGAGATACTTCATTAATATTGTTAATATCATCGTTTGAATTGTTGGCCATTGTCTTATCGCAAATATAAGTCGATAATCAATTTAAAACTTTAATTTATATTATTATAAACTATTCATTAAAATTAATTCACTTTTAATAAACATTTCATTTCCTCAATAATTAACATTTATTTAATTGATTATTAAATTTATTAAATGAATAAAATTGAAATAAAAATATTTTTATGAAACAAATGAAAACATTTAATAAAAAAGAAATGAAATACTAATAATTCAATTGATATATAATATTAGTTAATAAATAAAATTAAATTAAAAATTATGATAAACTTGTAATTTATTTTAAATCAATTCATAATTATATATCAAATAATAAGTCAATTATCAAAAAGTAATGTTTAGTTAAATGTATTAATAATATAACAAAACAATTGTTGGTTTGTTTTGGAGGACACTCTCTATACTACTGTATAGGACAGCATATTATTGTTCAGTAAAACTAGTGTTGTATCAACAATGTCGACACCCAAACATGTATTGACAGCTTCTTTACTTTATATAATTAGTGTAAACACTAGTATTTATAAATTTATTCACACAATCATTGAAATAGTTGTGACAAAAGTTTAATATAAAATACAATTTAATCATATTTTACGTTAAAATTGAAATATAATTAACAAAACATTAGTTATTAATAATAATTACAATTATTATTCAATGTTTCAATTTATAATTAAATATAATGTTATAGATTAATCATACAATTGACTAATGCATGCATTGCTAAGCATTTTGGCTAAAAAGTAATGATTTAATAAATAAAAACTATTTTTCATTTAATTATTGTATTGATATTATCATCTAATTAGACGATAAATATTTGTGTCAATCAGTTAATCATTTTAATGTTTTTTTAATATATAAATTAATAGCTAATAATGTATAAATTTATATGTTTTCTACAATACAATACAATAAACCATAATTTATGAAACATTTAAATGATTACACAATTATTTTTGTTGATTGACGTCATGTAATACAGACAGCACTTACTTGACTACACGTGCTTTCAATGGTATTAAACACACGTGTGGTATGTATTGACAAATCAATGACTTATTTGTTGTCATTTAAGACAATTTGTTAAAAATATCAATTAATTTACGATTTATTAAGTGATCAATAGATTCATTGATGTCTTAATAATAAAGTTTTAGCCAAAATATGGGGAGATTTCAGGCGTTTAACGCAACGAAAAGTTTGTGTCAAATGGACACAAACCATGAGTTGATAACACAGTTAAGACATTTTCTGACACTAAAGAGTTGGTCACCCGATAATCGACAACACATTTTGGACATTGTGTCAGATTTGATACTCATACGTGAAGTGCGACCAAAATTGGTGTCACTGTTTGCCGCCGTTTTAAATGATTTACTCTTTAGATGTCTAAAGAAGACTCAATTAAGACGTGATCTGTTTGTTGCTGTCAGTGAACTAATTGGTTATTACTCTTATGCCACACATTTTGCTTATCAATGTTTTCAAACCTCACTGTTTAATCCGATTGTTTTGTTGGACAATACAACTGAAGATAATGAAGTTCTTGATATTATCATCGCATGTCTTAGTTATGTTCACTTCAATCCCGTCTGGTTTAGGGACGCATTTGATTGGAGTTTTATATTGCAATTGACATCACATGCAAACCAAGACATTAGATATATTTCAATACAATGTTATGTCATTTTGTTTGGTTTAAATGGCACTCAATTTGATGAGTTGTTCGCTAAAGAGTTTACTGAAGAAGATTTGATTCAACTAAGACTTAAATATTTATATTTATTTTCAATGCGAATGCCATTAACTCAACTAAAAGATGTTTTATATTATGAGATAAGTAATGATAAATTTTGTGGTGATTTTGAGCATTATTTCGATGAAAAGGATTTCACTGATGATGTCGTGTGCGTTGAAGGGATTTTAATTAATAAATTAAAAAGTTGTCAATTAATTGATGGAAATAGTGATAGTTATGATAATTTCAATGATAATAATGTAATATTACTGTCGACCACTCGAAACAATATAAGAAACATTGCATTAGGTATTGCTTATGAAAAACCCATTCTCATTGAAGGACCGGTAGGTTCAGGAAAGACATTACTTATTGAATACATTGCTTCTCTTACGGGAAGACGAAAAGCACCTCAACTAACAAAAATTCAAATGGGAGACCAAATTGACGCCAAAATGCTGATCGGATCCTATATTTGTACCGACATTCCCGGAGAGTTCGTTTGGAAGGCCGGACCACTAACTCAGGCCATGAAATACGGTCATTGGATTGTTTTAGAAGACATAGACTGTGCTCCTTCTGATGTCATATCAATGCTGACATCTGTATTAGAATCCAATTCTTTGTCATCACTTCCCGGTTGTGAAAATCAATTAAATAGAGTTCACAACGAATTTTGCATATTCTTTACCAGACGTCTGATAAGCTCTCAAAACAGTGATATAAAACATTCAGAGTTTGCCATTAAATTTGGTGTTCATAATAGTGTCAATAAATTGTGTTTTAAAGTGACACTCAATTTGATGGACAGAACGGAATTGTCATCACTTATATCAAAGAAGTGGTCAAATTTGGATAAAATAATTGACAGAATTTTAGATATTTATTATTATCTTCAAACTGAAAGTCAAAATAATAGTCTTAAAAGACAAATATCATTAAGAGATTTAATGAAATGGTGTCAAAGGATTTCCAAGAATTTTAAACTAAACTCCGATAAGTCGGCGATAACGGCATTATTGGATGCAAACGATTGTTTTCTTCAATCACATTCTAGTCCATCGATACGGATAACCAAATCGCAAGTCATTGGTTCTCATTTGAATATAACTGAAAGTCAAAGTGAATACCTGTGCGCTAAACGTAAACCTGAATTAATTGTAAACAAAAATATGTTTAAAATTGGAAGAATTGATTTCAAATTAAATTATAATAAAATTAATTTGAATGAAGATTACAAGCATTTGCCAACATTTGCTTTGACTCATCAGTCGCTATCACTTTTGGAGCGCATATCTGTTGCCATTGATAATAGAGAACCAGTTCTGTTGTGCGGCGAAACAGGAACTGGAAAGACATCATGTGTTCAATATTTGGCCAAAAGATTAAATAAATCATTGACTGTCATCAATATGAACCAACAAAGTGATAGTTCAGATCTTTTAGGTGGATATAAACCTATTGAACTGAATGTAATGATTAGTCCAATAAAAGATGAATATTTGTATTTGTTTGAAAATACTTTTGAAAAGGAGAAAAATTTAACATTTTTGACAAAATTTGAACGATTATATAAATCTGAAGAGTGGTCGACACTATTTAAAATTATACTTCGGGTTTATGAAAATGCTTTAACCAAATGTAAAGATCAATCACTTCTTGAACGATGGAAAGTATTAGGCGAACGAATTACTCGATTGCAGACAAATAGATGCAAACAAAAGGGTTGTTTGGCTTTTAGTTTTATTGAAGGAAGTCTTGTAAAGGCAATGAAAAATGGTGACTGGATTTTATTGGATGAAATCAATTTGGCTGAATCTGAAACACTGCAGTGTTTGTCTGCTATATTGGACACTGAAAAGGGTTCAGTTGTTCTTCTAGATAAAGCCGATGGTATAGCAGCCCAACGAAACCCAGAGTTCCGTTTGTTTGCGTGTATGAATCCGGCCACAGATGTCGGCAAAAAGGAGTTACCTCTTGGCATAAGAAATCGTTTTACTGAGTTTTTTGTCGACGAACTCGAAGATAAACCTGATTTGAGAATTCTCATCCATTCATATATTGGGAAATATGTTTCACCGAATTTGATCGAAACAATTCTCAACTTTTATTTGCAAATGAAAAGCGATTCAAAGACCATTTTGACGGACAGTAATGGATTGCGACCGCACTATAGTTTAAGGTTTGTTTTTTTGTTGATAACTTATGGACAGTAATAACAATTTTTTGATATATTTTATAATAAATAATAGGACTCTTTGTCGGGCACTAAGTGTCTCGGCTTCAAATCCGTGTACAATTGTCTTGAGATCACTTTATGAAGCAATTTGTTTATCATTTCTCACTCGATTGGATCACAACTCGCATATTAAAGTTGAAAATGATATTAAGTTAGCTTTATTTGGTGCCAAAGATACACAAAAGATATTGAAAGCTAAAATTCAAGCGCCAAAGTTGTCGGAGAAATATCAATGCATTGAAGGGTTTTATATTCTTAAGGGACCTAAAGAATTAAAAATGAATGATTCATATATTTTAACGGAAACTGTTAAAAGAAATCTTCAGATGATTTGCAGAATAGTATCAATTGGTAAAACTTTTCCAATTCTGTTGGAGGGCGAGACCTCAGTCGGAAAAACAAGTTTAATTGAATGGTTGGCCGCCGTCACCGGAAATGTGTGCGTCCGCGTCAATAATCACGAACACACAGATCTTCAGGTAATGATATTAGTATAACATTATTAATATATTGATACTAATATAACTAATTTTTATAGGAATATGTGGGCAGTTATTGTGTGGATGCAAATGGAAAGCTTGTATTCAGAGAAGGAGTTTTGGCTGAAGCCATGAGAAATGGTTATTGGATTATATTAGACGAACTTAATTTAGCGCCGACTGATGTATTGGAAGCTCTTAACAGAGTTTTAGATGATAATAGAGAGCTATTTATTCCCGAAACACAACAACTAATTAAAGCCAATTCCAGATTTTTATTGTTTGCCACCCAAAACCCCGCCGGTCATTATGGCGGACGTAAAGTGTTGTCCCGTGCTTTTCGTAATCGTTTTGTTGAATTACATTTTAATGAAATTCCTAACGAAGAACTTGAGATTATTCTTCATAAAAGATGTGCTCTTCCTATGTCTTATGCTAAGAGAATGGTTGGAGTTTTGCACGATTTACAAATAAGGCGACGAGAAAGTGGTGTTTTTGCCGGAAAACAAGGATTTATTACGTTAAGAGATCTCTTTCGTTGGGGTGAAAGATATAGAAGATTTGCAAATGAACTGAACAAAGAAATAACATTTTATGATTATGACTTACATCTTGTCAAAGATGGTTATATGTTACTCGCCGGTAGGGTTCGTAAACCTGAAGAGCTATCACTCGTGCAATCTGTTCTCGAAACGAGATTTAAACGAAAATTGGATACAAATACTTTGTTTAATTCGACTTCATTTCTCGGCGATTATAATATTGATGATGAATACAAACATATTGTATGGACCAAGTCTTTTAAACGATTGGCCATTCTATTGTCCGAAGCTATCAAATACAATGAACCGGTTTTATTAGTTGGAGAAACTGGATGTGGAAAGACATCAATTTGTCAACTGTTTGCAGGACTCAGTAATCGAAAATTACATTCCGTTAGTTGTCATATGAATACCGAAAGCGCAGATTTTTTAGGAAGTCTCAGACCTGTTCGCGAACATATAGATGAAGACAGTGAAGAAAATAGTAAATTATTTGAATGGGTTGACGGACCACTTGTTGATGCAATGAAAAATGGCGACTACTTTATGGTTGACGAGATATCTCTTGCAGATGACTCAGTTTTGGAGCGTCTAAACTCTGTCTTAGAAACAGAAAGAACTCTTGTTTTAGCGGAAAACAACAACACCTTTGATAGTGATATATCAATTCCAGTGATCAAAGCTAAGCCATCGTTTAGATATATGGCAACTATGAATCCGGGCGGCGATTACGGTAAGAAAGAGCTCTCGCCTGCGCTTAGGAATAGATTTACAGAGATCTGGTGTCCATCTTATGATAATATTGAAGACATCAAAGATATAATTGATCATAATTTAAGTGATACTTTAGATGAGTTTAAGAATATTGTCTGTCAATCTATTTGTCAATTTATTTCTTGGTTTAATATAAACATAAAAAATTCAAAGCAATTAATATTAAGCATTAGAGATGTCTTAAGTTGGGTTGAATTCATAAATGTTAGCATTCAGTCATCAAATGTAATATCTCTGTCCATTAGCGATGCATTTATGAACGGAGCACTTCTTGTTTTTGTTGACGCCATTGGATGTGCCGGATATACATTCAATACAAACATCAAGAGTTCAATTGAAATTCGCACTGAATGTCAACAATATCTTAATAATTTGTGTCAAAATATTATTGTCAATCAAACAACAACTGATAAGATGGATATTAACTTAGATAACAGCAAATATTTTACTATTAAACCATTTTGTATACATAAAGGACCGCATATTCATACGATTATTGATAATCAATACTATTGGGACAGTCCTACAGTTAGAAATAATGCTTTAAGTGTATTAAGAGCAATGCAATTACCGAAACCCATACTTCTTGAAGGTATGCCTGGAGTAGGAAAGACTACTTTAGTACAGGCATTGGCTAAAGCAAGTGGACATCGATTGATTCGTATTAATCTATCGGAACAAACAGATATTAGTGATCTTTTTGGTGCTGATCTTCCTATCGAAGGTGACAACTCTGCCGGAAAATTTGCGTTCAGAGACGGACCACTACTTCAGGCACTTAAGAGCGATTGGACATGGATTGTGTTGGATGAACTTAATTTGGCCCAACAATCAGTTCTTGAGGGTCTAAATGCTTGTTTTGATCACAGAAATGAAATATTTATTCCCGAATTGAATAAGACATTTAAGATAAGCAAAACAATGACCCGTATATTTGCCACTCAAAACCCACATTCAGAAGGTGGTGCTCGAAAGGGTTTACCCCGATCTTTACTAAACCGTTTCACTAATGTATATATGCATAATTTGGACACCGATGACTATGTCTTAATACTTACAAACACTTTTCCAAAAGTTCCGATAACTGTTATTAAACAAATGGTATCTTTTAATGATGAAGTTATTAATGAAATTGTGAAATCTAATAAATTTGGCCAAAAGGGCAGTCCCTGGGAATTCAATCTAAGAGAATTGATCCGATGGTTACAATTGACTACACATAAAGTATCGGACTTTAATTATGTTGAACCCGAAAATTTTGTGAAATTGTTATATATCGATAAAATGAGGACAATTGAAGATAAAATAAAAATGAGTGAAATCGTCGAAAAGCATTTTAATAATTTTAAATTAAAAACAATTAATTTTGTTGTCACTGATAATTATTTACAAATCGGACATTCGTTTATAAAACGGCGACGAAATCTGAACAATGAATTAACAAATTTTATTGTTTTTGATTCACAAAAGCAATATTTGGAGTCATTAATGAAATGTCTTGAAATGAATTGGATGTCAATATTAATMGGCGACTCAGGTGTTGGCAAAACAAGTGTTGTCAAACTTTTGGCTGATCTAACGGGACATAAACTTAGAATCTTTTCAATGAATCCAGAAATGGATACAATGGATCTTTTGGGAGGATTTGAACAAAAGGATTTCTCTCATCAATTAAAAGATATCGAAGAATCGATTTATTCTATATTTTGTCAAACTTTTTATAACAATTCACCACAAAAGCAAAAAACAAAGCAAATTCTTGAATTGTGGTTTAAATTACAAACATTACACTTAAGTGATCTATCGATTAATGACATGTTATTAGAAAAGCTTCAAATTTTTGATGAAATTCTAGACATTATTAAAGAAATGAATGTTTTGGATAATACAATAACAACTAATTTGAAACAACAAGTGATTTCAATTAAGACAAGTAGTTATAATGACTCAATTAGTGGTACATTTGAATGGCGCGACTCGATTGTGGTCAGAGCTGTAACTTCTGGAGGATGGCTTCTTATAGATAACGCAAATCTTTGTAGTGCTTCCGTATTGGACAGACTAAACAGTTTACTTGAGCCAAATGGTGAACTTATTATTACAGAAAAGGGATCAATTGATGGTCAATTGACAACAATTAAACCACATCCTGACTTTCGACTAATTTTGACAATGGATTCATTAAATGGTGAACTCTCACGAGCGATGAGAAACAGAGGAATTGAGATATTTATGTTTCCCATTAATGATAAACAAGATTTTATAAAACAATTGAATGGTTTGTTTGAAAGTGATAGTGATTTATACCAAATTGTTGTCAAATGTTACGAACAATTTAATAACAATGAAAACGACAAAATTAGTTTATTTTCATTGACTGAATGTGTCAAAAGTTTGATTTATAATTTACAAAACGGTTTTAGACCTGAATTATGTCTAAAAGAGTTTTGTTTAAAAATCAGTAAACATTGTGTTTGTGTCGACGATATTGAACTTTTTGTTAATAATATTATGTCCATCAATATAACGAATAATTTAAGACGAAAAACATTGTCATTAAATAATTATAAATACGATTCATTGACATCATATGCTGTCGACGATTTAGTTGTCGTTTCTGATATATCCAAACTAAGGCGACAATCGATTGATAGGAATTACTTAATCGAGAAATTCTCCACAACTTTGAGAATCTATTTAGAAAAGAGTTGTTTCAAAGATTTCAATATTCGTTGCCATTTATTAAACCAATACTCTAGTGATTATTATTATACAAATGACACACAATTAATGTCAACTATTGGTAGCAAAATAGAAGAATTGATCCCAAAAACGAATATATTTAACAATTTCTCTGAAATTGAAATTGATTTGAGACATAATACTGATGTCTGGAAATATTTATCGCATTTAATGAATTTCAGTGATTGTATTGAATTAATTGAGAATAATATAAATCGATTTATGATTAATATGTTTTGCCATCAATTAAAATGCCAACAAATGTTTATAAAGACCACAAATGGTGACCAAATGATGACATTCATGCAAATGGTTTCTCAACTAATTAATGATAAATCTTTTCGAAGTCCGCATTCAAAACTTTTTATTGCTATTTATAGTGTAATTAATAATATTGAGAATCAATTGATTACAAAAGCGCGTGAATTGTGTCCAACCAATGATGACTTTATACTATTACGTGATATTCTTCTTTGGATTAATCAATTACTGACTATTTGTTATCAGAAGTATCCAAAAGCTGATGTCTTAAGCAAATTTGTGTCTCAAGAATTTATCACATTATGGATTCTCTGCAATGATAAGTCTTTATCAATATTGCAAACATTTTTAGATATAGATTTAGGAGATACTATATCTAACGTTAACAATCTATTAAACATCGATGGCATGGAATCAATGAAAACTAAATACAATTTATCTCTTTTAATGAATAATAATTGTTTTATTATGAGATCACAAGACTCTGCAATATATTTTGAATCTTTCGTTGGTTTATGTGATGATATCTTTCGCATCAAACATTTGTGTCATTTAAATTCATGTAAAGACATTATTTTATTGATGTATCACAGCATTTGTGATTTGATTAGTGATACTTATAATAGAGTTAATGTCAAAAAAGATTTAAAAATTATTAAACAAATGATAACTAATTTGTCAAAAGATAAGAAAGAAGACGAAGAAGAAAGTTTTGAATACAAAGACGCTATTAATAGACGAAAGTCAGTGACAAACAAACAATTAGAACCGTTATATCTTTTATCGATATTTTACGCGGAAATGATTTATTTCAACAAAATATTAAACAATTTTAGTGATCAATACTTGAAACTATTTGAATCCAAATTTGTAACATTAAATCCATTTCATATGACATGTTTGACTTTAAGCAACAAAAGCGATAATATCTCAACAGATTTAATACTTTATCATTTCATTGACTTAAACCAAAATTTGACGATTAGTAATGTCTTAAATCTTTTTTCTATTGATTTGACAAATAAAACAATTAAATCATTTGAAACTAATATATTTAATGAACGACTATTACAACTGACGTCTGAATGTTTGCCATTTATATCATTGACATCGAGTTATTTGTTATCAAACAAACATAACTCAATTGGTTTATTAAGTGAAAAGTTATATCAATACCAGCGCTTAAAACAATTTTTGACATTGAATTTTGAAACTATTAATGAATTTCAAACAAAATCACTGACTAAACAACATTTTATTTTTATAAAGACCTGGTTTTCACAATTAATTCAAAACGTGAACACAAGTTCTCCCGTCAAGAAAAACAGTTTAAGTGCCAAAATCAACGACACTAATGAACTTTTCAATTATATCTCTTTATTGATCTATGAATGCAAAGACTCATTTGATGAAAGTGTTGCCATGATTTACATCGGATACACAACCACTCAGTTATTGTGTCCAACGTATCCAATTGATCCAATTGTGCGAATCAATTGTAAACTTAATCACTATATAATAGATCTGAAGTTAATCAATGCTGAAATTGAAGTGAGAAATGCTTTTTTGCTTATTAAGTCAAGTCATACATCAATTGACTCTTCAGATCACATATTAATGCAACAATTGATTGAACGGAAGAAACTTTTGGAGAAAAAGATTGCAAAGTTTGAGTCAAGTCTTCCGTTTCGGTCAACTTCTTGTGACTACCAAAAGCTAAAAGCAGATTGTATTCAATTTATTGATACTGTAATTAATAAGAAAGCATTAGATAATTGTTTAAAGAAGTCAATTACAGTATTTAGAGAATCAAATGGTAATAAATCAGTGATAAATATTCAGCAAATGATGGATGAGTTAATGAATCTTCAGTTGACAATTACATCATTCATCCGTCGCATTCAAATTTCTTATCCATTATATCAAGACTTAGTTAATGTATTTCTTATTGGTGTCTCTTTCATACAAAAAGGACTAAAAGATCTAACATTTTATTTTCAAAATAAAAATTTAGTGATTAATGAATTGAAATTTAGTCAAATGACTGATTTTAAAACGTGTATTCAAATTGTGGGCAATTTTTGTAATACAAAATCGCCCGCATTTATAGCAAAATATTTGTGTTCAGTCGATAATATAAATAATTTCAAACGATTATTAAGTTTTGCAAAATTGGATTTTGACTCAAATATCTCGAAACTTTTGATATCAGCATTAATTGAAATTCAAAATGAAATGTCTATAAACTATAATAACTCTCATATATTACTTTCTTTACGTATTTTTGATATTTTTGTCAAATGTTGGCAAAAAATGAAAGAAGAAGAAGAGATAAAGAAATCAGAAGAAGAAACACTTTTTGAGTATCGAATGAAGACTGAATGTACTGAAGAAATGGTTGAAGAGGAAAGAGATAAACAAGAAATAGAAATACTATTTCCCACTTATTATGAACAATATGTGGATGTCATCGATCAATACGACAGCAATGAAGACATTAAAGTAGATTTAAATGAATACAAAACAGATAAAGATATTACATGTGATATAATAAGGAGTCACTTGAATATCGTTGAATTGTATAACACAAGTGACAAAAAAGTGATTAACTTTCGTGAGCCTTATATTATAAGACATTCAGTGGTCTCTCAAATAATTAAACGATTGGGAGTTTTCTTTGATATATCAGTTGATAGTGAGCTTATTGGCGGACATTTAATTGCTTGCAATGAAATAATTAATGACATTAATAGTGTTGATTTCATCGATTCATTTAATATATACCACAACTCATCGATTCAAGAAACAAGTGTTTGCTTAAAAATTTTGGAAACAATGGAAACAAAAATTATGATTGAATTGTTGCCTCAGTTTGAAAATCATCCGATTTTATTGAAAATTCTTAAAGTGATTCACAGAATATTTGAATTTAACTCAAGAGAACCGCTTATTAAATTTGCCACCGGATTAGAGGTATTACTTGAGGTATCACAAGATTGGCAATTAATGGCTCATAAAGGTATCAGTTTAACTGATAATCTTAACGAAGTGACACAATTATTGATCAGTTGGCGAAAACTGGAGCTCAAGTGTTGGTCTGAATGCTTGAATTCAGTTGACATCGATATTGAAAAGAAACTAATGATTAACTTTTGGTTTCATTTATACATAACTATAACATCTTTATTGGAGAGCAATAAAAATGATTTCTATGAAAACGAAATTAAAGAATTTATTGCTTCAATACAAAAATTTATTGAAAATTCAAAATTAGGTGAATTCAAGATTAGACTTAACCTTTTGAGAGCATTTATATATCACATTCAATCTGTTAACAAAAAAAGTTTTGATAATTATTTGTTTATTTCTCTCAAAAATTTATATGAATTTTATCGACAATTTAATACAAATATTGAAAATGCTTTGATTAATGTGAGAAAACCCATTGAAAAAGAAGTGAAAGAGTTTGTAAAGATTACCAAATGGAGTGATAATAACTTTTGGTCGCTTAAGAGTACTGTCGATAAATCACACAAACAGTTGTATAAATATATTAAGAAATACAGATCACAATTGATTCAACCCATTCACCAATTTCTTGTCATTCAAAACACTGATAGTGTAAATGAATCGTCAAATTGGAAATTAGTTTTGAATTATAAAAATACGTTTGACATTCATAACACAATTGAAGATAAAAATCTACAAATGTTTTGTGATTATAATTTACTTCAAAAAAGTCCATCACTTCTCATTAAAAGCAAACGTTTGTCTAAAAAGATTTTTAAAAATACTTCAAATATTGTTAAGAAAATCAATTGTATTGAAGAGTTTTCTTCTGATATTATAAATACAGTAAAGGAGTTGAGTTGTCTTCAGGTAACTGAAGATATTAAAGATAAAACAAAGTGGAAAAAGAGTGTTAATCACATCCAAAACAGGAAACGTCGCGCTTTGAGTGAACTGTTTAAAAGTTTAACTCATTTTGGACTTTCTTATAGAAAAGGTTTGGTCATTGAAAGTAATATAGACYWCAATGAGATGATTATGACTACCAATTGTCTCAATAACAACATTCATCAAAGTTTTCAATTATCAATTGATATGATAAACGATATAACTTCTTGTGATAAATATTTTTATAAAAGTTTGGCCCGTTTTACGACACTTCGTGTATCACTAGAAAGTCCTAACAAACAGTTATCCATTGGAAGTATTGACAGAATCAAAGGATTTTCAGCACAATTAATGAACCAAATAATAGATACAAGAAATTCATTGTCAAAATTTATAAATGTATTTAAAAGTTTTAAATTATATCAACAAAATCTGAATGTATTTACCGGAGACAATGCATTAACACAAATAATATCAAAGTCAGAGATAAACGGATTTATAAATTCAGCTGAAAATATAATAATTAAAATAATTGCATATATTTATCGTTCAATTGATTTGATAAACTCTTTGAGTGTAGTCACTGAAGAACCAGTTTTATTGCTCTCATCTCAACATAGATTTCACATTTCAGATCAAAATGTTAATGAATTGAATTATTCACTAAATTTCTATATTTCAAAGTTTAACGAAATTATAAGTAAATTTAAATCTTTGGAAATTAATGGTAAGAATGGACTGAATTCTCTCAAAGATTTATATGATTTAAAAGAGATTTACAACACTTTAATGACTTTAATGGATGAATTGAAAACCTGTTATTCAAACGAAATATTTTGTTATTTAAGTTTAGATTTAAAATTTGAAACACTTTTCAATGAAACTAATGAATTAATATTAAATTTTGAATCAAAATCTCAAAATTATTTGTCAACTAATTTTGAAGCAAAAGTTGATAATATATGCGCTGAACAATCAATAGTTTATATTAAAACAATATTATTATCAATTGAAAAGATTTTCAAATCATTTAATGAATTAAAAGATGAGACGAATGAAGATTTATTAGAGAATTCATTTCAATCTTTTGATTTGAAAAATATTTCAAAGAGTTTAAAGATTGTCAATAATTTGAAATTATTTGAAAAACTGATTGATTTGATGAATACTGTTTGTCAGCCAATTGAAGACTCTTTGTCTTTGATGTCGTTTCTTGAATTTAGAACTCAAATATTGAAAACTATTTATCCATTTTTGGAAATTTATACAAATTTATTGCAATATTTTGTGATTTTATCGATTTCTTCATTGAGAACATCAAACAAACTTCTTTACGTACTTTTATCACTGTTTTGTGAGTTAATTCAAAACGGATTTTGTTTACCACAAGAACTGAACGAAGAAAGTGAAAGCAATGAAAAGGGAACGGAGTTTAAGAACATTGAAAACGCAGGTCTTGGAGAAGGAGAGGGAACTAAGGATGTGAGCGATAAAATTGAAAGCGAAGATCAACTCGAAGATACTTTTAAAGAAGGTCTTGAAAAAGGAAATAAAGATGAAGAGGAAGACAATGATATTGAAGAAGAAGATAATGGACTTGAAATGGAAAATGATTTTGAGGGACAAATGTTTAGTCCATCTAAAGGAGATAAAGAAGATGATGACAATGATTCTGAAGGAAGTAATGAAGACGAAAACTTAGAGAATCAAATGGATGACGTCGATGACAATTCTGAAGTTTTAGATGAAAAAATTTGGGGATCAGATGAAGAGGACTTAGATTCCGATCAACAGGAAGATGACGATGAAACGGGATTTGCCGGAAAAGATTCAATTGATAGCAAAGTTGTATCAAAGGATGAAAACAAAGATTTAAAGAAAGAAAATGAAATAAATGAAAATGAAAGAGAAAATGATGAAGATTTGGATATTAATGAAAATGAATTGCAAAACGATGAATACGAAGACGAAACTATTGATCCATACAAAGAGGTCGAACCTAAAGTAGATAAATCACAACAAGATTTACCTGAAAATATGCAATTAGATGATAATGACGAAGAAAATGATAAGAATTCCGAACAAAATGACGAAATTTCAGTTTCTAACGAAAGTTTTAACGATTCTGAGTCTAATGAACAAGATTTGGATGATCTAAATGAAGAAGATTTTAATAACATTGAAGAAAATGAAACGAATGATAACAACTGTAATGATAAAACAGATGAAATTGATGACAAAGAATCAGAAGACAATGAAACAAAAGAATCAGAAGACAAGCAATCGATATCTAATCCAAATAAAGAAGAAAGGAATACCAATAATGAAATCTTTGGATTAGACAATAATGACAAGTCATTAGAAAATGATATGAATTCAAAACAAGAATCAGATATTTGTAACGAACAAAATTCGGATCAAACAGACACTCATAATGTCATCGAAAATGACAAACAACACGGACTCAGCCAATCATTAGTCGGCGATAACTCGACTCAATCACAATCACAACAAATTCAAACTTCTGATTCTTTTGAGGACAAAGAGTCAAATGAAGAAAAGTTTCAACAAAACAACAAAATGGATAAAACTCGACGAACTTTGACCGATGATTACAATAAAAGTGCTAAACGACAGAAAGTGTTAGAAAATAACAGTCAATTTGATGAAATTGAAGAAATAAATTGCCAAAAAAATGAATCAGAAAATCAAATGATTAATTCACAACTTTATCAACACATCGATGACAAGACAAAAGCTAATAATCAAGTTATGGACATCGCAAGCAATGAAGAGAAAATTATTCAAAAAGAAGACATTGAAAATGATGGTAAAGAGGATAATAAACAAATTGATGTAAACAAACCCGAAGAGATGGATATTGAGGAAACTGAAGTTGAAATGATTGATAAACTAAAACCAATTGATGTCAAACCAGAAGTAACTAATAATAAATTAAATGATAAAAACAAAGATAAGAATAGCAATACAAGCGAAGAAATAATGGATACCGACGGACAAGTTGTACCCACTTTAACCGTCCAAAGAGGAAATGAGTCTACATTTTGCACTCCAATGAATGTCATGATTACTGAAGAATTAAATGAGATTTTAATTGAGAATTGTTTTCATGAGTTATCCTTCAAAGGGACTAACAATTTGGACATAAATACAGTGATAGATATGTGGAAGGAATGTGAGGCCAAAGTGTCTCCATTGGTATATGAATTGTGCGATCGCTTACAACTGGTTTTAGAGCCGACAAAAATGGCGAAACTTAGAGGAGATTACAGAACTGGTAAACGTCTTAATATGCGGAAAGTGATCGCATATATTGCAAGCGATTTTAGAAAAGATAAGATTTGGTTGCGAAGAACTAAAGCCAGTAAACGTGAGTTTCAGATTGTTATTGCCATCGATGACTCTTCCAGTATGTCCGACAATAAGTCAAAACAAATGGCTTTTGAGTCATTGGCTCTTTTGGGCAAATCTTTGACATTACTAGAAGCGGGAGAACTGGCTATTGTTAGCTTTGGACAAACCGTCAATTTGTTGCATCATTTCAATCAAACATTTAACGAGAATACAGGAGTAAACCTTTTAACTCAAGTAAGTTATAATATATTAAATAATAATTTATTAATTTTATATTAATATAAATATTGTTTATTTAAAATTTAGTTGACTTTTGAACAAAAGGAGACACGAATTGGGGATCTTTTAGAGGCTGTAATTCAATTGATGTCAAACTCTAGAAACAGAATGAGTTCAGCGAAGGTAGACATCTCTCAATTGCTTGTTATAGTTTCCGATGGAAGAGGTATTTATAGTGAAGGAGAACAAAGAGTTAAACAAGTGATCCGAAGAATGAAAGAATTGGGAGTATTTGTAGTGTTTGTTGTCATCGATAATCCTCTGAATAAAGATTCAATTCTTGACATACGAGTACCCATTTTCAGTACTACCGGTTCCGTCAAAATTGAGTCATATATGGAAAGATTTCCCTTTCCTTTCTATATATTATTACGTGATATCAATGGTTTGCCTATTGTTATGGGAGAAGCTTTAAGACAATGGTTTGAGTTGATTACAAGTGGACAGACATAAAGTACTTCATTAATTGATTTATTAATTATTTATAATTAGATAAAATATATTTTCAATAATTAAAATACATTAACATTTGTTTAGAATAAACAAAATTTTAAATAAAAACTGTAAATAAAAACGTTTTCAATAAGAAAAAAATTCATGATTTAAAATTTAATGATAACTATTTTTTAAAGTATTCAAAATTGTTGCCTAAAAAACAACTATTTTTAACTTTTTTTTGTTGATTTCTTGGTTTTGGGTGTCTCGACCTCTAACTGAGACCAGGCCTCGTCATTCCAGCCATCAGTCCAATCGATTCCACTTTTACTTATAGTAGACTTCTTATTAATCTTGACTTCACTGCTGGCAAAGTCTAAAACTTTTTCCTCTTTACTAATTCGTGAGTTCGAACCGTTTGAACTACTTTTCGGTCGACTTTGTTTCTGTGGTGACGACTCTTTCAATAGATTTGAAGATTCAGTATTTCGTGGCTCTCTATTAACCGAATGTATTGGCGTCGATGAGGCCGACGATGACGTGGAACTAAATAAATCTTCGGAATGATAACTACCAGTATTTTGATAACTATTTTCATAACTGTTTTCAGCGTTTGGATCCGTATATTGTGATCGTTGAGAAAAAAGAGATGACATTTCACTCCAACCACGTTTACCCATATCTGCAAACTAATCAAATCATAAATCAATCAATTTTTTAGTGACTCTTCAGTTTAACAAACCTTTGAACTCAAGACAGAGACTTGTGTTTGTAAATCATTAACTAAAGTCCCGTCTTTAACCTATTATTGTCACAAYAAATACAATACACAAACACAAAAAACTGAAAACTACTAAAAAACAAAATAGTGATAACAATGGATCAATTGAATACCTTATCATTAACACTACCACCCATTTCAGTGGCTTTTTGCGAAGCAATTGATCCAAACTTAACAGCCTTTTAAAATAATAATCGTGCAAATAATAAAACAATATAAACGAAATAATAATAAAATAATAATAATAATAAACAAAATCAAATAGAGTTAAAACCGTTAAATCTTACATTTTCTGACGCTTTTGAGGCCAGTTTTGTAGCATTTGTTGCCAACATAGACCAACCCTTAATAATAATCAATTTTTTAGTGATTAAAAATTAGACAATAAATACTTAAATTACTGATGAAAGTGAAGAAAATGCATTTAATCCGTATTCCGATTGACTTCTCGGAGGGTTTGCATTATATCCAAATCCAGAATACTTTCCTCCTTGACTCGGAGGTAAATCACTGTCACAAAGATTTTCATTTATAAAATGTATTCAAATAAATTAAATACAAGTCATACTCGGGTCGACTCATATTTTCATTTTGTTTTCGGGCAAAAAAATCCTCTTTTTGTCGATCAACTTCTTGCGCATCATAACTACGATAATGTATTACATTTACATATAATTTAATGATCATATAAATCCAATTTCCATTATTTAAAAATGTTAAAAAACTAAACAAATGTTAATACCTTTGATAACTAGATTGAGACCATTCATCATCCCATCCGGTGTTATTTGATTTCATTTCTGAAACCATCGATGAGTTTTTGCTATTGACTGAAGATTTTGGAATTATGCGTGAAGTGTAATCTTTGGCTGAAGAAGTGTCAATTGACCACTTCTTTCCCTGTGCTTCGGTCACAATCTAATCAAATGTTAATTCATTAATAAATGTTATTTTGAAATATTTGTCTATACTTTGTCTCTATAGAGAGCGGCCGCTCGTGTGTTGTATTTCTCGGTTAGTGGTAGTGATGGGTCCCAATCGGACTGCGAAGAGAAAAACTCTTTAGCTTTTCGATTGCCACCGATTTTCATCTTCTGAAGCTCAATGTCTTTCCACTTATCCATTGTTACCGATCGGACAAAACTGTCAAATTGGTCAGTAATAAGTTAATACTTGTGTTGCTATTAACAGATACTATGAAATCACCTCAAATGAACTCCAAGACCTCGATGTTTGCCGGAACAGTCCAGACATATCCATATGCCATACGAGACACTAACCCACTGAGGATTACATGCGTTGCACTCAAAACAGTACTAATTATGAGATAATTCAAGACATTTAGTGGTCATTCAAGCAAAACATATGATATAAGAAAAAGATAAAAATTTACATTATTTTCATCGTTAGGTCTCAACTCTTGTAATATTCTTCTGGTTCTCGGACTCGCCATTTGTCTTCAGTTGTGATCTTAACTGAAATATAATTAAATGATTGAAAATTCAGTGAAAATGTGTGTCAAATATGTGGCAAATGTTTGTTAAACTCATTCATACATAGAGTCTAACAAACACTCAGTCAATAACTCAATGCATTAAACGTCATATGCGTTGACGTCAGCGACAAGTGATCACTGATTGAATGCTTTACTGTTAAAACACATTTCGGGAGACAAACACCACATCCAACACATCCAACACATCCAACACATCCATCACTTTATTATAGATATGATAAACAATACTAACTCTTCAATTATGACATTAATTATCAAATAATTTATATATTATTTGTAATATTTATAAGTTATATTATATAATAATTTATTTGTAAATAAATGAACATTTGATAGAAAATGCAATCAAACAGCTGTTAATGTGATTGAAATTAATAACAAATATTGATATTATATAAGACTTGTTGCCATATATTGTCATCAAATGGAGAACAAGTCATCTAAACCTTTGGTTTATATGACACGTAAAGAGTGTTTTAGTTCAGCTCATCGTCTGAATAATAGATCAATTGATGACAAAACCAATTGTCAGATATTTGGCAAATGTAATGCAATTCATGGACATAACTATACTATTGAAGTGACTGTCAAAGGTGTGGTCGATGTCACCACTGGTATGGTATTAGATATGACTGTCATTAAAGATATTATATCGGAAACGGTGTTGAAATCATTAGATCATAAATTTATTGACGAAGACGTGCCTTATTTTAGAGACAACCAAATAGTGAGTACATCTGAAAACATATCGATTTATATTTGGAAAGTTATCGCCGAAAGATTGCCAACAAATGTTACATTGGATTCAATTAAATTGTTTGAAACCGACAAAAATATTGTTATTTTTCGCGGACAGTTTGCCTAAACATTCAATAATTTTATGTTAAATATCTGATAAAATATAATCAATTCAAAAATATACTGTAGGATACATATAATTTACTAATGTATGAAAAGCTATTTTTAAGTTTACTTTGTTTATATAATATATTTAATAGAAAACTGATAAAAAAATTATTTGAAAAAACTAGTTAAAGATAGCTAAGAAATAGCAAAAGTTATGACAACACATTTGATTTGAATGTACGCTTGAATTTTGGTTGCTATGGATTTTAATTTAATTTTACTTACAAAACATATCATATCATATATAATATATTTTTTGTTGTAATAAAATATATTAAGTAAAATGTCATCAATTTTAAGAACCAAATGCTTAATCATTGGTGAATCAACTGTTGGAAAGACATCGATAACCAAATTACTAACCAATACTGTGTCAGACATTTCCAATGGTTATCGTATGACACGAGGTATTGAAGTATCGGTTAAAAAGTTTAGGACACAAAACAATGAGTCAGAAGTCGAGCTTTTTCTATACGATTGCTCCGGAAAACAGTTTTATCAACCAATTTATGAGACAATACTATCACACAATATATCAACAATTGTGGCCGTCTTTGATGTAACTAATGAACAAACACTCAACTCATTGCATCAATGGTTAACCAATACTCTGAAGACAATTTCAAAAGATAGTGTCATTGGAGTCATATTAGGAAATAAAATAGATTTAGAAGAAAGAGTTATTGTTAGCAAAGATGAGGCACATCTGTTGGCAAAGAAGTTCAAAATGAGATATTTTGAAACCAGTGCTAAACATAACATTGGTATCGATGATGCCTTCAATTATATTGTCAATACTTTCTATGATCCAAATAATAAAAATACTATTATTAAAGATATTTAATATTTTATTTCTTATAATTTTAATATATTATAATTTTATTAATCAAAAACAATTTATTTCTGTACTTAATTAACGTTTAATGATTAAATTATATAATTATTAAATTAAATGTTTTAATTGTGTGTTTTGAAAAATATAATAAAAATAATTATACAAATACAAAATTATTTATAAAAATAATTATCATTTCTTTTATAAATTAATTTTCTAATTATTATCCTAATTAATACTCGTTTTTATATGTTATTGCATATAAGATACAGTATTTATTAAATAGAGTACACTATATAATAAATACATTAATAATAATAATAATAATATCAGAACATGTTATTAATATTTGCAATGATATTCATTAATAATGCTAACTTAATAAATTAGAACATATATAATCTAAATAATAAAATTACCCGTATAATTTATAAGACATTAAATATTTTTAATTTACATGATATTACAAACAATACTACCATTTTTAATGGCATATTCATTAGCCCGTATTTTCATGGCTTCAATATAAACATTTCGGTTAAAATTTCCAGCATTTAATCGGTTGATGACATCTCTTCCAGGTTTGAGTTGAACATCAAATAAAGCTATGACTGGTTTATGATCTGATGAAACCATTGAAGGCACCCAATCATACAAAAGTGAACTAATATGAGACTCTCTTTTAGAGCGATAGAGAATCCTATCAGTAAATGATGGAACTCTTTGGCTGAAGAGGTCGTAGTCATCACTTCCTAACTTGAATTTATAAGTCGGAGGAAACTTAGGCGCCGACGGCTCACTAAAACCTTTAAAAGCTAATCCTCTTTGTATAACATTTATCAATTGATCCGATTCTTTAAAATAATTGACCGATACGTTTGACAAATTTATTGGTTTATTAATAATTTTCATTATTTCTTGAGTTGATATCTCTAATCTGAAGTTGAGATCTCCAAACCAAAAAACTGTGTCAAATCTTGCCGTCACATCATTACTGATATACCGAGGATTTAAAGGCTGAAGATTTTTTGGTAAATCAAGAGATTTGCAAATTTTTAGATATTCTTCAATTCTGTCTTTAATTTTAGTTTGATGTGCCGTTAAGTGAGAGTTAATGAAGAGAAAAGAAGTACCAAAAAGTGCAAATGAAATACCGATTGCTCCCTTTGTTTTGACCAAATTTGTAGCCGAAGGACGGGTATTGAAGAAAGAATCTTCAGGTATCGTACAAAACCAAATCAGATCTCTTCTGATAAATATTAACAAATGAAGAACACCTAATGTTGACGAATGAAACAATACATGACTGGCACCGACTGTGGCCTGTATTTGGATTTGAAACTCATTTATCTGACGTTTATCCGGACCTTCTTGTATACCAATGGCATATAAATCGGGAACAAATGTTACGGATTCAGGAAGTAATAGATTTTTAATATCTTTTGGACCACTTTTTGAACTCATATTCCACGAAACAACAAATACTCTGCAAACAAATTACAGTAAATTATAATTATACTATACTTTAATTATATAATTTATATTTATATTTATAAATTAAATAATTAATACTTGATTTTTGAATTTGGAAAATATCTCAATAACTCTTCTCTACCAAAAAGTGAATCCTTAAATTAAAAAAGTATTTAATTTATTAAATATTATTATAATTAACATACTGTTGAGCCAACACTTCCAATCAAATAATTTTGATTTCTCGCCTCATCGACGGTAATGGGATGTAAGATACTAGCGCTTGATGTGGTTGTGACCATTGATGAAGATGATGATGAATATCCACTATTGGCACTGTTTTTCTCTATTGTTATATCACTACCATTACCTCTTAAAGAGTCTAAACTTGAACTAATTTTATTATTATCTTTATTTTTACCATTCATTTTATTAACAAATGATATATTATTAAATAATAATATTTTTATGACATAAAAATCATTGTTATTTTAGCAATTTTTTCTTTAAAAAACGATTTAAATTATTCATAATTAATAGAATATTATTACAATAATTAAAATAATGTTTATTTAAACTTTATATATTAAATAATAATTAGATATTTTGTATTCTTTATATTATATATTAATTTAAATTTGTAAAGTAATAATAATAGCAAACTTGTTTTATAAGAGGATAGTTAACTGATACTGAATTAGCCTTAATATTGACAGTTACGACAATTTTGTTACTAAAATAACAATTCTCTATATTTATTGATTGTTTTCATTTTTCCTAAGCAACCGATTCTACATTAAAATTATTAACTATTGTTAACAAGAATTATGTTTTTGTTGTTAATTTTATATAAGTTATTGTATTCATCGCTATAATTTTTTGTAATGTATAAGAAATAGATAATAGTAAAAACCATAATTTTTCATTTATTTAATTAAATTAATGAAATAGATAAATAACATTAAGAATTTTAATAAATGTGTAATAATTTTTAACTAATTTTGTAAATTGTATATAAAAATATTAATTTTGATTTTGATTTTTTAAAAATAAATATGAAAAGCTAACAGAACAATATAAAAATAATCACATAGTTTTAAGTTTAGTTAAAAGTGTTTAAAAGTATAATTATAGTTTATTAAAATACTTTATATATATATATATATATATATATATATATATATATATAAAGTATTTTAATAAACTATAATTATACTTTATATATATATATATATCAATAGTATAGTTTTATAAAATATTTAAAACTTAATTTTAACCAAATAAAATTAGAAAATTAATTAATAAATTATACATTAATAGTAATTTACATGCGATTCAATATTATATAATTATTGGTAATATGAATTTTGCTTTAATAAACTATTAAATGTTTATTTATCTTACTTGAATTATGCAATTATGTATTTTATATTTACTTTGTTAATGTTATTTATATAATAAATATTAATTTTGAAGACATTTTAATTGAAAATACATTACATTTGATAAGATATTATACATTTTAAAAGATATAAAATGTTACACGTATTCTATATCATTCATATAGTCATATATTATCATTAATGTTATTTCATAAATCTCTATATGACTTATTTAATGCATGAATTAATATTTTAAAAAATTATTTCAATGATATTTATAAATATTTTAAATTCTATTTAATTACAATATGTTTATATTGAATATTTTTAATACATAGACTTAACCATATAAATAAAATTTAAATTATAATAATTAAACTCTAAAAATTATTTTTATAAAAATGGCAAATATATTTTTTCAAAACAATACAAACCATTTGAAAATGCTAGAAGGCATTGCCAGAAACAAACTTTAATGACGTAAATTAATTCGTAAGACTAATAAATCACACATTTTATAAATATGATGATTCTCACCATTAGTACTAATTTTAACAAAAATATTCATTGCTAATAACAATTATTCAATAATTATGTCATATTATAAAAAATCATTGTTTCTCATAATTAGTATTTAATTAATTATAATTAGTATAATTAATATTAGTAATAGTAAAATATTATAACCAAAATATTTATTACATATTATAATCAAAATTATATACAAAAATATGAAAACATTTAAACATTTCTAAAATCAATTCGTTAAAAAATTGTCGGCCATTTTGACCATGCTCAAATAGACTAATATTTTTAGACAATAATATTCAACATTTTAATGATTTATATGAATCTAAAGTCAAAATTCGAAAATAAAATTAGACACACATACACATACACATACACATACACATACACATACACATACACATACACATACACATACACATACACATACACATACACATACACATACACATACACATACACATACACATACACATACACATACACATACACATACACATACACATACACATACACATACACATACACATACACATACACATACACATACACATACACATACACATACACATACACATACACATACACATACACATACACATACACATACACATACACATACACATACACATACACATACACATACACATACACATACACATACACATACACATACACATACACATACACATACACATACACATACACACACATACACATACACATACACATACACATACACATACACATACACATACACATACACATACACATACACATACACATACACATACACATACACATACACATACACATACACATACACATACACTCGTATAGATTTCAGTAAACAAAAAACTTTTAAAAGTTTGTTTGAAAATAAACATTTATTTTATGTTTTGTTTTGTTTATAATTAGATTTTTCAATCTTAGATTTGTGTTGTTGAGTGTGAGTTATTAGTAGTGTATTGATTAATAATTTTTTATACTCTATTAAATAGTTGTTATAATAGTTGCCAAAAAATGTCAAATAGTTGTTAAAATAGTTATTTAAACTGTATTAAATAGTTGTATATAATTGCCAAAAAAACCAAATAGTTATTGAAATAGTTATTTATTTTCTTATAAATATTTCAACTGATATATAATTCACTTGTTTTCAGCATATTTACAAAAATGATTTATATAAATAAACTAATTATTTCTATTGTTAAAAAAGTAATATGAGTTGATAACAGTTTACACATGTTATATAATTTATATAACTATTATTTTTTGTTTTTACATATATTTGAGCAATATTTTACAATCTAATGCTTATATTTTTCAAAATAACTGAAATAGTTATTTATAAGTTTTTATAGTTGCTAACCTAACAAATAGTTATTTATAGTTATAATAAAATTTCGGAAATAGCGTCCACTGGTCAACTTCGGTGGACATACTAAGTCCCAGTTATAAGCGTTAAACCGACAAAATAATTTTTTTAGTTGAAAATCAAGACACTAGTTATTAGTTAATGTGGATATAAATCACATTATATGATAATTTTAATATAGTGTAGTTTACATACGGTATATAACTCATTATATATATATATATTTATATTTAATTCATTGATGACATCTTTTGCTGATAAAATTTTCCTTTTTTTAAATCTGTGTAATAAAAATTATAAATATTTATTTGATTTGATTTTATTAATTATATAGTAATACTGACTATTAGATTCTTTATAAAACCTATGTTTACAAAGTCTACTTAAAAGTGATTTTACAACTATTATATATATAATAATATTTTTAATATTAAATGCAATAAACAGTATATATATTATTATAAAATTATTATTTAAAAAATAATTTATATGAGATTATAATTTTTTAATTTAATGATTTCATATAAAATATTTTGTACATTAATTAGATTTGATATAATTTATATACATTACTGTATTTAAACTATAAAATAGTATTTGAATTTAGTTTTTTAAATCTTATTCGTTAATCACTCAAAATATTGTTTAATTTAGAGAAATACTACTCAGAAGTAGTTTATTATTAATTATTAATTATTATATTAATTTAATTATAGAATTTAAAAATAATGATAATCTATAAATGTCTATAATATAACGTAAATGTAATGTAAATGTAAATGTAATATAAATGTACATGGACACTTTTTAACTTTTTGTATTATTGTTCACATATAACGTTACGTTTGGCAGTTTGAAAGTGAGTGTCATTTGTGTTATTGGACTTTATATTAAAGACATTGATATTCATATCGTTTATAGTATTAATATATTTGTGAATCCAAACGATTTGAGTGAAAATATGGTAAATGTTTGGATGAAAGGGATGTTTATTCTGTAAATACATTATAATAGCAGTGAATGACTGTATTGTCGAGTGTTTAGTGTTTAGTCTTTCTTATGATTAGTCCTTCAATTGATATGATTGTGATCTGAATGCAGACATTCAATGCATTCAATCGTTTCAATTAAGTCTTAATTAACGCTATATTAATGTTCAATGCGTTCACTCATTGCTTATATCCTGTCATTTGAATGACTATTACTTTAATAATCAGTTAAACGACTAAATAATAATAATTCATAAATTTATTTAAAAAGCATTTGTTTACATATTATTATATAATTATTTTAAAGCCAAAAGTGATTGACTGATCGATTGGTTAAAACAATGGCTAAGAAGACATACGACTTGTTATTCAAGTTATTATTGATCGGCGACTCCGGTGTCGGCAAGACTTGTATACTCTTCAGGTTTTCCGACGACGCCTTCAATACGACATTCATTTCCACAATTGGTATCAACAATAGTAGATCTTTGACAATGATTTGAATACTTAACCATTGATTGTATTATCAATTCAGGCATCGACTTTAAAATAAAGACAATTGAATTGAGAGGAAAGCGAATTAAACTTCAGATATGGTTTGTACTGATATTTGATTAGTAATTGCTTTACCATTGCTATGATATTTGTATTATAAATGATAATCAGGGATACGGCCGGACAGGAGAGGTTCCACACCATTACAACTAGTTATTACAGGGGAGCGATGGGTATTATGTTAGTCTATGACATAACTAATCCTAAGAGTTTCGACAATATCGCCAAATGGCTCAGAAATATTGATGAAGTAATATATTATATTATATCATAATTAATATAATAACAATTGTTTATAAATATTATTTGTTTAATTGATGTAAAGCACGCCAATGAAGACGTGGAAAAAATGATTTTAGGAAATAAGTGCGATATGGAGGACAAGCGGGTCATCTCCAGAGAAAGAGGTGAAACCATTGCCAGAGAGCACAGCATTAGGTTTCTTGAAACCAGTGCTAAGGCCAACATCAACATTGATAGAGCTTTCCTTGAATTAGCCGAAGCCATACTCAATAAGGTTTGTTTTATACAATTATATATCGATTTATTGATATTTGATATCAATTGTTTGATATCTTTTAGCAAACGGCTGGTCAGAATCCATCGGAAAACACTGATAAAGTGAATGTTTCGCGACAGGACGTTAAAGTGGGCTCCAAGTGCTGTAATTTATAATTGAATATAATTGCACTTAAATTTAAAATTAGTTTGTTTTTAAAACTGTTACTAAACACTAAACATTAGACAACATTTAGACTTTTATCATCGTTTCGTTTTTATTTAATGTCAGACTAAACCTAAAACTCATCGTATGTTTCATGTATTTTGATAAGGAGTTTGAATCTGAAATGACAATAATTTTGTATTGTATTGTAGTTTTAATTGTAATTATTGTATATATAATTGGATTGATTGTACAAAACTGTATTTTGTTCCCAAATTACTCAGTTTATCGATACAATTATTGAATAATTTCTGAGTCAAACACTTTAAACCATTGATAGATTCGCTTTTAAATTATTGACTCTCTCTTTGATTGTCGATTTGATTTCAAGTCAATCACATTATAAGATCAAATCACATGTGTTGGGAGTGAGAGAGTGAATGTCAGACAGTTGTGATATTACGGTCTCACTATTTATATGAAGTTATTTTTCAATTAACTTTAGTCTTAACAACAATTTATTTACTTTATTTATAAACACAAACGTTGATAAGTTAATGACAAACACACTTTTGGATAAAGTTTTAAATATCTTTAAATCTGTTTTATATATATATTTGTCATTTAATTTATAAAAAAGTCAATAATTTGATAAACTTAAATATGCGACTAATTATAGCTAAATATATTAGTCGTTAAACAATTGCATAAATTATTTGCAATTTTTACAAAAGCATAAGTTATAACAAAATAATTTAAATTAAATCTCGAATGAAATATATTAAATAAATAAGATTAATAAATAATACAATATATGGCAACAATTAGTTAATTATGGTTAGGATTTACCTAAGCTTTTAACTAATTTAAATGCAGACGAGTCGGAACTGGAGGGCTGTTTGCTGTATAGAAATATAGAGCCGATAACTAGTGCTGCGCCTAATATGAACTGAAGAGTCACCTCAAACTGGAAGACATACACTGAGACAATACATGAAAGAATTATAGACAGAGAAGTGGCGAATCCTTTCAATATATTATCGGCATATTTGACAACAACAGCAACCAGAAGACCTCCCTGTGCTTGAAGTAACACTACAGTCCACGTGAGTAATGTATAGCCATAGAAAAAACCCTTTTCGGAAACTAGCTGTGAATCAGTGATAAATACTTGAAGCAAACCAAAGGGAACGGCTATTGCACTCAATTGAATGTTTCGGATCCAAAGCGAGACTTCAGTCGAACTCTTCAATATTTTTTCAAAGTAAACGCCGGCAAATCCCGACAATACACAGGCCATCAATATTGCTGTGAAGCCTAACAACGGGTTTTGTTGGTTAGACTGTTTTGAACTGCTTTTATTGATTTGGACCAATTGGACTAATGCCACACCAATGAATAATATGACTAATGCTAACCATTGGTTCCTATAGAGGCGCTTCTTAAGGACAAACACCGAGAATAAAGCTGTAGTAATAATTTTGAGCTGATATGTCACTTGAGTTGTGGCCGCATCCAAGTGTGTGGCACCCAAATAGATGAGATTGTTCTGTACGTAATACACGATCGCTGGTACCGCCACTTTCAAAGTGTCCTTCGGCTCATTCAATATATTTCGTTGTATTGATTGCACCAATCGTTTAATACTTTTTTCTATAAATAGTTAATTGAATGAAAATTTAATCATATGTTTGTCAAACTAACAATTAATTCAAACCTTCGTCAATAAATACCATAATAAGACAAGAGATAAGTTTTATTGCTTCAGATATGATAACAGCAGTCGACGATATAAAGAGTTGTTCCTGAGTTCGGGCGGCTCTCATGGTTAGAGTCAGAGCCGCATTCTGGACGGTCAGTGTGACCAACGAGGCGTACTTCAGGGTCTCTTTAGTACCATTCCTCAACTGATCCATCACTGATATCTCTTTAGTCTTATAATTATCCACGTCATCATCCATTTGAATCAGTCTCTCATAATTTATATTTGATTTGTCATTCATTTTAGACATTATTTCAAATTTAATAAAATTTATATTTTTATTATAACTTTATAACAATTCATATGACGTGTAGTTTTACAACAATTACTTCTTTTTTATACAAATATTGATAATTTTATTAATCAAAACATAATAACTGATCCGTTTGTTTGTTAAATGTTGTCAATGAATGGCAATCCATATGAAACCAAATCAATACAATTGTTGACAAATATTCAAATTAATAGCAATTTAAATGTCAATCAATAAACACAACATTGAATCGGCGTTTCATTGAAACCATAGAAACCTCACATTTGGATCACATTTGTTGACATTAAATACATGATAACATGTGTTAGTACTGTAATAGTAATAGTAATGCAATGACTGTCTATTAATAGTACAGTATTTCAGTAATTAGTTTATCAAATATTCTTTAAATACATTTTTGACTCCGATTTCATTGATAACTATAGTCTATAGACTATAATATTATACAATATATTCACAATAAGTTTTATAACATTTGCAATCATTAGCCATAAAGTCAATGCCAACACATTTTTATTGCATTTTATAATTTATGTTTTTGTCTTACTTTTTTAAGTTTTATATTTAAAGTTTTTAAGGCATAAACTTTTAAATTGAAAACTAATCAATGATATGAATGTAAATAATGATAGAAATCAATGGATATATTTGTTATGTTCAACGATGACAACTGTTTTATGTCTTGTCCTCAAAATTCCTCAATTGATTGCTTTACTCAAAAGCAAATCAAGTCGTGGACTTAGTCTTCAGAGTTTAGTCCTCGAGTTTTGGGCGTAAGTATTGTCTAAATTGTTTACAATAATTATACAATTATTGTAACATTAATACAGATATATGACAATGACTTCATACTCTTTGGCCAATTCATACCCGCTGTCAATGTTCTGTGAATATCCTATTCTTCTAATTCAAGGTATTATTGATTGATATCATAAAACATTAATATTTGTCATCATTTCAGACATAATAATCATTTATTTGATATTGCATTTCAACCAATCACTTAATTTCAAGTGCTTTTTAACTTTTGTTTTGTAAGAAATCTTATAATTATTTATTTATTAAAATATTTAAGTTTAAATGATTGAACTTTTTTAATGACAAAGATTTTTAAAATAATAAATTTAGGATTTGTTTATTTCATACATCAATCGCAATYCAAGTAATACCTATTAAAGTATCCGTAATATTAATTGTAAGTTTTATCAATTGTTTTCAACTATAAACGTAAGCTTACGGTATATTAAATTATATGGTAAATACTGTAGCAATTAGGAAATCCTATTGGATGGTATAGTAAAGCAATTCAAATGTTGACAATTGTTAAGAATAAGGATTCGGGTCAGGTATCAGCTCTGACGTGGTTTTTAAATGCCTGTTCCTGTGCTGGTTGTCTCATAAATCTATTTTTGTTGATAATGTCTTTTTAATTGTTTAATGTTATTCATTGATAGCACGTTTGACAACTCTTTGGCTTTCTATTATGGATCCAATAGTAGTGACAACTTTGATCGTCTCATTCTTTCTCAATACAGGTGTTGCGATCGTCGCTCTTACATATAGACCGAAGATAAAGAGCGATTGAGACTTATTTTGATTTTATTTTTACAAATCTTTTATAGTATTTTTATAATCTATAATTCTATATATTAGTGGCATAAAGATATCACACAATAAAATTTTTAAATAACATTATATTACATTATTTAATAGATAATATATTAAAGTTGATATTTAACTTATTAGAGGTGCATATTAGCAATTCTACTTTTTCGGGATTAATATTATGATAAAATAGACAAATATACAAAATTATGATAAATAATTGTTAAATCACTCAGATTTATGCTCTCAAATCCTCATCACTTTGTTCGAGATCTTCATCATCTAAAAGTCCTTCGGTTACCGATTTAGTTGGTCTTATAATTACATAAAGAGCTGACAGAAATGAAATCTAATGGCAAATATATAGAATATGAATCGATATACAAATGTAAATAGTTATTGAATACAGACCACAATCAATGCCCACATCGACCAGTAATAAAAGGCTCCGAAGAACCAAACCTTATAAAAGAAACGGACCAATAATACACTCACTCGAGTCATAGTACAGTTCTCTGAAGATAATGAATTACCAATTAGTTAATCAATTAGTGACAACACAATTGGATTACCTCTTGTGGTATTTGAATTGCAATCACTAATTGTATGGTTAGTTGTGTTTGCAATGGTTTGTATGTAGTGTTGACTGCCCCACGACACGTATTGCGGTGATATACAGTAAAATAATATATTCATTCCAAGAGTCGACAGCATTAGTGTTGAAAACAATAGAAGCAACGCCTGAGGGGTTGATTTGTTGATTCGGATTTTATACAACTTTATAATTATCATTAGTTAAAATAGTCATTAGAAAAATCATTAGTCAATAGTTAAAAAAATTAATTTATATTATTAGATAATAACAAATTGTTTTACCCGAACAAAGAAGAACCAAATGCCCAAATTCTTAACACCAGACATTGTAGCCATTATGAAGAATAAAGCCATTAAAATGATAAGAATATAATCCAATGGGAAAACAGTCTGAAATGCGACCAAAATTATATCAATTGGATTCGGCAACGATCTCTTGGGTAAAGCATAGCCCATCTTCATTCCCAATGAATTCATTGCTTTATCGATACTAAAAATATTATAAATTTATTAATAATAAATAATAATTAAATTCATTATCATTTACTTCGTAAGTAAGAGTGATATCCAAACAATTAAGGAAAGAGAGGCCGCAATAAATCCAATGCCTATTTGTAACGGACGAACAAGATTTCTCAGTTTATAGAATAACGATCCTCTGTATGTCAATAGATATTGTTCTTCGAGGGTAATAATCCTTTCGTTTTCTTCAAGTTTAGACAATTGTCTTCTTTCACGAGGTGTCAGTTTGCTTCCTATACGTTGCTTATCTCTTAATCCATTAATTCTCGTTTGATTAGTTAGATGTGATTCTTGTATGCGTTCCATCTCTAATCGGGCACTTTTGGTGCCTCTAATCAAACCGATAGGAAACGATGACATACCGAATCCAGTGTAGACTATCAATAAGAGAACTCCAAAAGATGTCAAAATGCTTAAAACCATCGAAAGCGCGTCTTCTCCTCTGTTTCTGCTAAAGTCATCCCAAATAAAACGCAATTCATTGATCCATTCGGAACTGTTGGAACTGGTCGAGTTGTCTACGGCTGAAGGAATTTCTTGTAATGGTATAAATGCTCTGAAAATAGATGTTATTTTACTATTTTATTGATGTTATAAAATAATTAAATTACCCAATAAGTAGAAGAGTGACGGCAACAAACAGAAAAGCCAGAGTATATTTGATGGCCGAACATAATCTCTATTTGTTTAATATATAAAATATACGATAATTTAATTTCATATCATTTTGATTAATATTTCGATTAAAAACAGGTAATTGTAATAACAAACCCCTTCAGATGTAAATCCTTCTTCACTCTTCTCTTCGTAATAGAAGTACACGAAAGGGATTACAATTAATATACAGAAGAATATAAGCGAATAGAGAGCTAATTAAAGCATTAAAATAAAGTATTAATGTTTTTTAATTAATCAATAAAATGATAAATGTATTGATATTACTATAATATGAATAAAGAACTGCATTCTCGATGACCATCCTTTGTGTTAAATTTGACGCCCAATCCTATCAATCAATCAAAACAATAATAAGTATTTAGTAATTGGTTTAAAATTTATTAAATAATATATCCATTAAACAAATGGTTACTTTGAAGTCTCCGTCGGAAGTCTTCATATACGATACGATAAAGATATCAACGGGAATGAGAGCACAGGTCAACAGCGATACAAACAGTGCACCGATTGATGTAATGGTCGCACATCTGTCCGATTCATATGGATTGCGATATCGGCGGACATAAAATATGCAAAAGACGAGAATCACCTGATAATGATAATCATATTAATTAATGGTTATTATATTTCAAGACATATTTTGATGCAAATTCTTACCACAAATGATAGCAGAAATGGTAATATCGTGTAAAGTGTTGCCACCGATGGCAACATTGTTGACAACTATTGATTGACCGATAAATCACATCAAATGACAATTCAATCAAACAATTGTTGTTTTGACGACTTATTCATTCAATTCATTCATTTATTTATTATAAGTATTATTATTGACTGTTGTATTGAATGTTGTATTGAATGTTGTATTGACTGTTGTATTGAATGTTGTATTGAATGTTGTATTGAATGTTGTATTGACTGTTGTATTGACTGTTGTATTGAATGTTGTATTGAATGTTATATTGCATTGTATTGAGTAATACTGTATTCAAGTACTGTATATAAAGTAACGTAATCTGTGAACCACTGGCTCTACAATACTGTATAATTGGCGCCAAAAGTGACAATTAATTTGTTGTTTGTCTTCAGCTATCAATTGACGAACAGTTTGTTTACAAAAGTCAAACAAATTGGTGACTATATTATCAAATCAATTATTTCATTACAATTCATATCCAAATCACCACAAGAATGGAGTTTAAGACAAATCGAGACTTACGTTTGAGTCAAACAATTGGATCAATTAATAACCCAAAACGGTTGGCCAATGATGGCGAGTATTGCATCAACTTTTATACTTCACCACCGATGGGAAAGATATCGCTAGAAGACGCCGAAGATATGGTTACCGAAAGACTCAACCGTTTGTTTCATTTAAAAAAATTTTTATATTGTTTTTATAATTTACTATTTATTCATTCAATAGTGTTATCCATTTGTGACGAAATGCTTAAGGGATTGGAGAAGAGTTCAACATTCAGGAGAAATAAGATGTATTTTGAAACTCTTGAAAGTCGTCTATTAAATGCCGAATCAAAGTTTGATAAGAACTTCTATTATTTGGTATGTCTTGTATGGGTGACGGGGAAGTAGTTGTTCTCAATTGACTTATTTTATTATATCATAACAGTCGACAAAAGGATTGAATGGCAAAAAAGATCCCGAAGCCCGAAAACGTGATATAACATCTCATTGGTTGCTGAGGTTATATTATTGTCAAACCGATGAACTAAAGAAATGGTTTATTAGCCGCGAATGTGAACTTTTAAGAGTTCGTCTAATGGATCCCTCTTTGACACCAATTTTACCAGAAATTTTGGCACAAAACGGTTTTAACTATGAGAAGATTGAGGAGTCGGAAAAAAAAAGTTTTTTGGAGAAGATTAGTTGGAATCTTCTTTCGGTAACAAAAGAATCTGTTATTTATAAAATTCGTTTCGAAGAATCATTAGAAGCCGTTAGATCCAGAAAAGTCTTTTTGAACAATGGATTCGCTTATATATTGGTTCAGGACATGGTTTCAGTCATTTGCAGCAAATTTCGATCACAACTGTCACATGCATTGGCGGTAAAAACTATATTTCAAACTTTTATTTTTTTTATAATTTATTGTATTTTTCAACAAATTTATAGTTAAGTAAATTATATTTACATGAGTTAGAAGAAGAACAGAGACTTATTCCACGTTTGCATTCTTTGCATTTGCATGTGATTGACAATCGGAAAAGTAATGTTAAATCCGAAGACGATTCGGGTCGAGAAGTGGTTACGCCTCAGATGATTGATCCGCTTAGCAAAGAGTCATTTCCTCCGTGTATGCAAAACATTCACGAAATACTACGCAAAGAACATCATCTGCGACATTATGGACGTCTACACTATGGACTCTTTCTTAAGGGCATTGGTTTATCACTCGAAGACGCGTTGGATTTTTTTCGTCAAGAATTCACTAAAAAGTTAACTCCGGATAAGTTTCAAAAAGAGTATTCTTATAATATTAGATATAATTATGGAAAGGAAGGCAAACGAATCATCGGAAAGGCCTACAGCTGTCAAAAGATTATTAACGACAATCCGCCGGCAACTGGCGATAGTCACGGCTGTCCATTCAAACACTTCGATAACAATAATTTGAAAATATTTCTTCGCAAACAACATATCGACGAAAATAATATTTCAGAAGTAAGAGTAAAATATCTTTTGTTTTTAAACAAGTTTACGATAATCACTAACTACTGAAATATCTTTAAATAGATGTTAGAAATGGTTGAAAAGGATCAAAATTATTCAATGGCCTGTTCTAAGTATTTCTCGTGTAAACATCAATGGTATCCTAATATCAATGTATATCATCCAAATCAATACTACACTGAAAGTCGAAAAGCATTTCATGTTTCAACACTTACTCCACCACAAAGCGGACAAACAAATGGTGATATATCGATGATTGACAGTAACAAAATTGAAAGTATCGATGAGTCTATATTCGACGCTGAAGATGACTTCGATCGGTCAGTCGGTGCCATGGATTTAGACCTTTCAGTTACCGAACCTTTTGAGAACAATGATAGTACACAATAAGTAGCTATAAATGATCGTAAATATAAATAATTTTTAATTACAATATATTGTATTTTATTTTTAATTAATTGTACGTTTTTCTGTACAAAGAATATATATATATTTTTATCATTTATATTTATTTTTTTAATTATTTTAAAACAATATAATACTTTACTACTCAATAAAACTAATGTTTTTATAAACGTTTTCTAAAATATTATCGATGTATTCATTTGAGGTTAAGTTATGTCTAAGACTCGGCTCAATGTTAAGCTCATAAGTTGGTCGATACGCTAAAAAGCATGAATGGTCTGGTATATCATTATCTAACTGTTCATTGAGAGCACATGCAGTCAATGATGTCCAGAGTCGAGCCGTATTTAGCAAATGATAACCACCGCCACCTAAAAGTATTAGGGGTTTATTAATTGTTATTAAATATTTAAGACATTCAGAGTAACCATCAATTGTAAGGTTAAATGCATTCATGGGATCACCAGCGAGACCGTCGGCTCCCATTTGACAAACAATTACTTGACTTTTATAAGCCGTTTGTATTTTGTTTAAAACTTTTTTAAATATATTGACATAGCATTCATCAGTTATACCATCTTTTAGGGGAACATTAATTGAATAATATTTGCCTTTTGATCCAAAGCCAACATCATTGGTATCACCGGTTCCGGGAAAGAAGCCGATCTCGTATTTATGAAATGAAACGGACAATACTTTATTCGTGTGAATAAATGAGTTTTGGACACCATCTCCGTGATGGAGATCCAAATCCACGTATAATATTTTGTCAAATCCATTGTCCAATAAATGCAAAATACAAAACACTATATCATTGGTATAACAATAACCCGACGCCTCATCTCTGTGTGAGTGATGCCAACCACCGAACCAATTGATCACAATATCACATCTCTTTTGGATAATAGCATCGGCGGCACTAATTGAAGAACCAGCGATATGTGTCATCAGCTGATAAAGTTGTGGTATCGGTGGACAATCGTAACCAATGCCAAAGTCTTCACTAATAAACTCTTCACTAAAATCTTCATCGCTTAACATCTTATCGCTAACATGTTTGACAAAATTGAGATAATCTTCGCTATGAAAACATCTCATTTGTAAATCATTTGCAGCAACCGATTCAATGATAAGACATTTTGTGGTCAAACCATAAGCTTTGATGAGTTCGTGTACGAGAAATGCCTTTTCAAAGATATAATATCAACTCAATTGTTAACTTAATATTTTGATATAAATTAATGATTGTTATTATCATCTAAAACCAAATCACTTACTCTTCCCTTAACTTTAGGTAACCGATTGCAGTGATAATACAATTGTTTGCTGAAGACATAGCCGACAACAGTGTTGACATTATCACACACTTTGGTTATTAAATTATCGACAATTTCAACCATTTGGTCACTCATTATCTCTCTTTGTGTCCAAAATCTAAAACATTTGTCAAAACATAATACAAATAACTAATGTTTACATATAAACTAAATTAATAAACAAAAAATAAACTAATAGTTAATAATAGTATCAATGAATTACATGTAATTAAAGTTATAAATAATATGTAGTTTTTATTGTTTTACGCGCTAAACATGTGTTCAACGATTATTTCACTTATTTATTAATATAATACTCTATTACTGTAGATAAGCGGTCAATACTTTCATAAACAACTTATTAATACAAATCTTATATAACTTATACAGTATTATACAGTACTGTACTTTAAATTTGTCTAAACTAACCAAAGGGAGGGAAGTTTACAAATAAAATCTCCAATTTTTTTCGAAAAATAAGGAAAATATTTTATTTTTCCTCCCCTACACACTGTCAAAGAGAAATATAAATTTATTTTATAATATTTAAATAAAAAGTATTAAAACTCAGATACTAAGCATAAAATTTTATTGAAATATTTAAAAATAAATATAAATTTACAAAAATTTTATGATACTATTCAACAATACCACTGAATGTAAAATTAAAACATAACCTGATAATTGTTAACTAATATTAATGTGATAAATGTGTGGTTAGTGTTGAATAGGTCACATAAAAATAGATTCTCTGGAAATTTTCATGGAACGGGAATAATATGGAATTTTAGATAAAACGGAGGGAATTTTACTACATTTTTTTATAAGTATAGAGTTATATTATATAACTTATATACTATTATATTAATATATTTAATATAAATTTTATAGTTATATATGAGTTAAAGACATGGTTTTTGCTAAAAATTAGCAAAAGAAAGACATATTAAATATTTATTTATATCAATACATTCATTACTACACACTGTGTATAAATAGTATATATTATATTCTACTATTTTTCATTTATTATGTTATTTGAAAATATGGTTATAATTGAATGTTTTGCAATATATTATGGTTTTTAAATGAGTTGTTTTCTAAAAGTTATCTAATCTTTTATAAATAAATACAGTATTTAATAATAAACGACTGCAACAACAAAACATTGAACTATTTAATGTTCAGTTATATAGTAAATGTATAGTTTATTGATACTGTTTTAAGTGTATATATAATACATAATATGATATATTTTATGATATTGTTATTAAATAGTTATAATGGAATATTTGACACTTGTATGCAATACAATAGTAATGATAATACAGTACACTAACTGTTTGTACATAAAATCATATGCAATTAAATATTGGTAGATATATTTGAAATATGCCATTTATTTTAAATAAGTTTATAAATTTTATGTTTAATAAGTTCAATATATCTACCAATATTTAATTGCATATGATTTTGTGTACAAACAGTTAGTGTACTGTATTATCATTACTATTGTATTGCATACAAGTGTCAAATATGATATTTCAATTAATTGATTATCTAACATATAATATTTTACATCATAACGTTACTAACATTTGTTTAATTAATTACTTGATTTTGTAAAATTTATAAATTGTTTTAACAATAATGAAAATCCTTTTATATATTAGAATATTGATTACTTGTGTAGTATTTATGTTTAAATCTATTATTATATTAATTCCTATTTTAAACTGTCATTCACTAAAATTTCGTTATTAGTGTTGTATTTGAATAAAACAGCTTTGACTGTATCATAGAATTTGTATAATATAGTACATGTATAGCAAGCATTAAGTTTGAGTGAAAATTTTGACGTCATATAGTATTGTTTGAATTCAAAATAATAATAATATATATATAGGGGTCCTCAAAATTTTTTCTCCAAAATTAGATAAACTTAATATAAATACATATATTTTATTTATTGTAAAAATTTTATATAAATAAATAAATAAAAGTGTTATAAATATTTTAATTATTAATCGTGTTAAAAAAATAACAATATCATAAATAAAATACATAATATTTTAAAACGAAAAATAATTAAACGCATCATTATCATTATTAATTTCCTCAGTTTCTTCAATATTGTCATCAAGTTTAGCTTTTTTGTTTTTATCTAAAAAAAATAAAATTGTTAAAATCAGTAAAAAATAAAATAAAATTACCCAAATTTCTATCAATTTCTGCGTTTGGATGTAATAAAGCAAATTGTTGAGCTATATTTAATGCATCAAAATCTTTTAAAAATGAACCGTCGATTTTACATAAAAATAAAATATATGTATTTATATTAAATTTATCTAATTTTGGAGAAAATATTTTGAGGACCCCTGTATATATATATATATATTATTATTATTTTGAATTCAAACAATACTATGACGTCAAAATTTTCACTCAAACTTAATGCTTGATGTATAGTAAGTACTGTATATCTTTCAGACAAATTGTTTCATTGCTTTACTTTTACATACAATTCAAAACAATAATTGTATTAATAAACAGATACGAAAATATTTTGTATTTGAATTTGTTATGTCTGTCTGTTGTCTGTCTGTTTGTTTTTCAGAATTTGTAAACTTTGAATTCAAAATCTCATATTTGATAAAAAATATAATTATTTGGTATCAACTTCCTATAGGATAGCTATCTCTTAAGTAACATATCATATGTAACATATGGGTCAAAATTTTATACATTAATATCAATATTATTTACACTTAATTTCTAAATTTTCAAACTATGATATTTAATCCAATATACAATTTCACGAATGACCGTCTATTTAGTATTTACCCATTTTGTCACCAATTTTTATGAAATAAATACATGTATATCCAAATAAAATTCACAATATTGTTTGATCTCATCTGGCAATGCTATGTATACTATGTATTGTATAGCATATGATGTGTTTTACAATTTTTTGGATTTGAAAAAAAATTAGGATTATCTCTATTATAGCTTTATTAAGTTTACATACATTATTAATAGTTAATATTAAATGCAACACATTTTATCATTATAATGGAAAAATTATTTAATTAAATCTCTTAAATTCTATATTAATCAGTAAATTGGTTTCAATGAAAGATTTGTAGATAATATAATTGTCTGAACCTGTATACCGGTGCAAATATCGGTGCAAATATGCATTCAAAACTGATAATACCATTGTATTGATAACTAAAATTTATAATTAATTTACACCAAATTATTCTGTTTCAGTTTAACTCATAATATTCAGGATATTTTAACAAAAACTATTTTCAATATTTTTGTCATAAATTTTATTTTAAGCAAATTATTATTTAATTATTTTTACATTAATTAATAATGACTAACTTATATAATATTTCAATTATATGATTAATTATTATACCGATATTAAATAATAATCTTATAATAGTAATTGTAATTTTTAAAAACTATTATGATTTATTTTTTTCAAATAATATAAACTTTTCCTTATTTGATAAATAGAAATAATATTTTAATTTTAATTAATAGTCAACATTTAATTTACAGTATTAAGTCAGAGTCAATGTTTAAAGTCTAAATTTTAAATAAACGTAACGTTTATATTGATTTAAATGTTTAAAATAAACAAATTTTTATTTTTAATAAATCTAGTATACAGTATATTAATAATACACGTGTGTTATCATAGAAAGCAATGTTTTGGTAAATAATCAAAGTCTAATAAATAATGATTATAATTTTTATTAACATTATTATTTATAAAATTGCAAAACAATGACAATATTATACATTGAATTTTTATATGACATAGTTATATACAGTATACAGTTTATATATATATTGTACAATAAATAATTATAAACTAACTTTTACATTTGTAATTATATAACTAACATATAAATTGACAATTTTGTATAATAATTATTATTGCAAAGTCTGGTAATTTTTGTAATTTTTACTTAATTTTGTATAAAACAAATTAAGAGTACATTTGAAGTACTTTACATTATAAAGATTGTACAGTACTTTAAATGTACTCTTAATTTGTTGAATTCAAAATTAAGTAAAAATATCATTAAAAATATATAAAATCAGGTTTATTATAATTATAAAAACTTGTTCACATAAGTTTACTGTTTACAGTCAGTATAATAGCATTGAAGTATATGTTAATTAAATATTTTATTTGTAAATTATAATAACCTAACTAATAAATTAACTTTTAATATTAACTATAAGTTTGAATATTAAAAAAAATATATTAGAATATACATTATATTGCAATGTATTATATTGTATAACTTATATACTGTATTACATTGTTGTATTAGATTATAAAGTATAATTGTAACACTGAACATACAGTATACTTCATAATATTTATATTTATTAATTGTCAATAATATTTATACAGTACTTTATTATTAAATAATAATAGATTTTTTGTTAATTTATTTTAAATCTCTTATTATTAACAGATTTTCAAAATTTTCAAATTTATTTCATTATATTATAATATTTTAAAAGTTAGAAAAATTAAAATTTATATTTTAAATAAAAGTAGTTATAATCTATTAATTAAATCTATCTGTTAATTACCGGTAAGAAGATCTTTGCATTTATAGAAATTATTTAAAAGTGAAAGTATATATAGTATTATCAATTTAATAATGAGTTTATAATTGATGGCAGTATTAAACTAACACTAACTAATATCACTAATTTGGTTATATATTGTTTTAATAGAGTATATACTGTATGTTACTATAATGTATATTGTAGTTATTGATAATAAATCATTGTATTTATTTAACTTCTCTATTTGATTAAATTTAAAAACTGATTACATATGTTATAAATTATAATTATTACATTGTAAGTATTGAATATATATACAAATGTAAATTTTTATATATTAATATCATGTTATAGTTTAAAAAAAAAAAAATATTTTTAAAATGTTAATTAGATATACAGTAAATAATAATATTTACTAAATATACTATTTGCTATAACTTATAGCCTATAAGTATAAATTGGTATAAACATTTATATAGGTTATAAAATGTACATAGGTAAAAATGTTATTTTTATTGAAAAAGTTCCGGTAAATCGATAAAATAAATCATAAAAAATATTAATTATAAAAATATATATAATATATTGATTGAACCAAAAAAGAGGTCAATAAAAGTACAAACAGTTTGCACTCCTGTTTGTACTCTAATTTTGTACTCTCGTCTAATATTTTGATTTTTCTAAAACAAGTTTATAGTCACAACAAAAATACAAAACAGACCTTGAATTTGGAAATAAAACATTTTTGTGTGAAATAATTATTACAAACTTATAATATATAACCCGAGTCATGAATTTATATTTATTTATTTTTAAATTGTAATAAAACTTAATGAAAAAAAAATATTTTTTGTTATGAAAAAAAGTTTCTATTTATAAAATATTATTTAAACAAAAGTCCTTCGTATGTTATTTTCTATTCAATGGACATATGACTAAAAAACTTGTTTTTTAAAAATTATAAAACTAATAAAGATTGACTTTATTTCATATGATGTAATAAATTTCATAAAATCAAAAGTTATATTTATTGATGTAAAACACAAGATATATCTCTATATAACTCATATAATACAAAGTCTTTTTCCGTTTCTATTAATAAAAGCTTAGTTTGTGATCAAATTTCACCACAAGTTTATTAATAATATCAAAGTTTAATAACAATTATCATTTGTATGTGTCTTATAAAAGCCGTGTTTTACAGACATACAAAAATTATAACAATTTTTATTTTACAGTATATTTTCTAAATAAAAGAATAGTTGATATAATTTTTAAAACGTGTTATTAGTTTATTATGAAAATCAAAATATTCCGATACATGTGTTAAATAAAGGCATATATTTGGACGTATAGTATAACACAAGTGTTTGAATGGAAAAGTTTACGTCGCGGGCAATCCCTTCACTCAAACAGTAGTATTATAGCTATTAATGCTATTAATAGTAAATCGTTGTATAAATCGTTGGGTCTAAAGCACGACTCGTGTGTTTTCTGATAAAACTTTCCATAAGTTTACCAACAATTATATCCTCACATAAAGACAGTACATATTATCAGACTTTTGCATTACCTGTACTTTAGAGTAAGTCCTCAGTCACTCCTCACTCATATTATCTTATTTTACAGAATATATAGTATTTTTACAAACCATATAAAAGTCAGAATTTCTTTAATTCAGTCATTCATTTGAAAACTGCTTTCAAAAGAAAAAGTTTTTAAACAGACTTCAAACTAATTTTATTAAATTTTTAGTTTTTGAAACTTTAGTTTAATTATATATATGTTAGACCTATTGATTATTGTAAGAAATATTAAAAATGAATCGTTCAAAATCAATTCAGACTTCGAAGAAAATGCAAAACTGTGGTCAAACAGGTCTAATAGAGAAGATGTTGTGCGCCGGATCTGCTGCCTGTATGGCAGATATCGCGACTTTTCCATTAGATGTAAGTAATCAATAATTTTGTTATAATTAAAACTATAACTTATTATATAATTTTTAACAAATAGGTGGCAAAAGTTCGTTTACAAATCCAATCTTCTTCGGTCTCTAAAATTGCTTCAAATGTGCTGACACTTCAGGCAAATGGTTTGGCTGCCCATCAATACAGTGGACTCTTTGGAACACTTATAGGAATGGCTCGCAATGAAGGTATCGGTGCCCTATATGGAGGTATTGGACCCGGACTTCAAAGACAGTGTGTGTTTGCATCACTCAGAATAGGACTATACGAACCGGTTAAGGATATCTATACAAGAAAACTGAATTTAGGTGAAAATGCCGCTTCTATTATGACTATTAGAATTATTTCTGGCATAACTACCGGTGCTATTGCCATAACTGTTGCTCAGGTAATTCATTTTAATATCTCTTGTAAAGTATAATAATTTAATAAAATCAATGACTAAACAGCCAACAGATCTGGTGAAAGTACGAATGCAGGCCCAGAGTAGACAAACCGGTGGCCGTCCTGTATATAACAACTCAATTCACGCCTATAAGACAATCTATGCATCTGAAGGCCTGAAAGGTTTATGGAAAGGATTGGGACCTAATATTCTTCGTAATTCTGTAGTAAACGCCGCAGAGCTGGTCTGTTACGACACTATCAAAGAATTATTGTTAAATTATGGAATATTCAGAGACGGACTTCCCTGTCATTTCAGCGCCGCTTTTACAGGTATTTACACTAATCAATGTTATGTAAGCAAATAATCTATTATTTATTTTAATTATTGCAATTATTTTAATAAATAAAAAGCTGGCTTTTGTGCAACTTTGGTGTCGAGTCCTATAGATGTTGTCAAAACTCGGTATATGAACTCTACGGGACAGTACTCTAGTGTAATACATTGTGCGAAGACATTGGCCAAACAGGGAGGCTTTTCCGCCTTCTATAAGGGGTTGGCTATTATAATGATAATTAACACCTATTTATTTGATGACTAATTTATATGATATTACAAATAGGTTTACGCCATCATTCATGCGATTGGGTTCTTGGAATGTCTGTATGTTTGTCACATTTGAACAGTTGAAGAGATTGAGTAATAATTGGAAGAGTGAGAGACAAAGTAAAAGCAGTAATAAATCAAGTCTTGTGGTACTCACAAAACCGGCCACTCTTTGAGTATTGATGTCATCACTTAATTATATTTATTTATTACAATTATACTATCATTAATACAATATATTATCTCATCAATGGTTTGATTCAAATCAATAATCAAAGTCCATATCGGAACAGACCTTTAAACAGATTATTAAGTCATTAAATTTGTACTCATTTTCTAATGTCTTTAATCTATAATTATGTGATATTTGTTTATTCACTTATTATTTGTTATATATTTATATTTTATTTTTACAAATTATTTAAACAATTGATTTTTATTTAAATATTTTATTATAATTACAATGACTTATTTGATTAATAAATATTAAAATTTAAAAATTTGAATATAAATGATTAATATTAATAGTAAATATTACTTTTAATCTATATTGATAATTTTATTTACTATTAATATATTATTTATTTTAAATAATATTAATACAGTATGATACAGTATATAAAGTATATAACATCATATACTGTACAATATTAATAATTATGAATATTTATAAAATCATTAATAAATCAACTAAAGTGACTGCTATTGAAAAATGTAGATACAGTTCATAGTTTTTAGCTTCTAATATAAAAATATTATTGTAATGATTTTATAAGCAGTATTTTAAAATTCATTCATATATTTCACTTATGTAATTAAATATGTAACTATATATATCAAATGTATAACTAAATCTATAATAATTTATAATATATAGTTAATGTTTTGTATCTAATAATAGTTATGTTTAATTTGTTTTTTAATTCAAATCAATTCAGTTTATTTAAAGAGTAAAGTATCACCTTTTAGGTGTTTTTCATACATCAACTCTATTACAGTATTATAATACTATAAATATTTACTTTTATAATAATTAAATTAATAGTAGATTTCTATAAATTTATAATTAGCAATAATATTTTAACAATATACCTATAATTTGAAATTATAATAAAAATATATTTAGCATTCATTAGAAATAATAATTCAATAGAAAATGTAGAGTACAATAAATATTAATCTATAATGTATTCATGTATTAATTAACGTCTGATATAAATAATTTGTAAAACTTTATACACATTTATGACAATTGAAAACCAGGAAAAAGGCTTTCATTAGGTTTCAATAAATCTGACAAATAATATATAGTTCCGGCCATTCCCTCAAACAAAGAAAATGGTCGGTCAGGTGTACGACATCCATGTTCTCCATACCGACCACACCAGAGCCCAAACTTAACAGCTCTATAGTAATACTTGACATCATTAGTCAGTTGATATAATCTAAGAAATGCATATCCATTTCCAGCCACTCCGTGACATAAGCCATAACCTGATTGTATAAAACAATTATTATTACTATTATATTCTTAACTGACTCTTAACTCAGATTCAATCACTCATTCAATTCAATTATGTCTTACCTTTAGTTAAGAGTCCTCTCTTCCAAATACATTCACAACAATCTTTGGCTGCCATTAGGTATTTGTCTTCATTGAACACCCGATAAGCCAATGCAAACAAATGTACGGCACCGGGACTTCCGTGACACCAATGAACTAAAATGTCTCTGTAATTGCGTAAACTCGATGGATAATTACCCGTAGATAATCTGAGTCCAAAAATAAATTCAATGGTAGGCTTAATGTAATTATTTAGTTCATCTTCTGTAAGATATTTGTTTGCCTCTAACAACATATAGATAATACCAACTAATCCGTGTGCGGCACCAATATATACCTTTTCGTGCCAGTAATACATAAGCGGACACTTATCGTTAACTTTATCCTTAATTGCTGTCTTCAAACCCGATTGAATGATAGTATTGACAACAGATCTGATGTCATCGTCAGTAATATATTGATCCGAGTGTTCAATATATTTGCGGACAAAAAGTAATGAATAAAGAAGACCAGATCTTCCGTAAAGTACTTCATCGGGAATATCATTAGACAAATCGTTTGCAAACTTAACCATTGGTTTCATTTGTCTCAAAATCATATTACAATCATTTGGACGATCTCTCAGGTGATAAACCAATGCTTTGATAGCAAATAGTGAAGAATCACCGCAAATAAAGGTTACTTTTTTGGCATTCAATTCACCCGTCGGTTCAAGAATTACCAACGATTTGTTTAGAAACTTGCGGTCATTGAGGACACGAAACAATTGAACAAACAGTAAGCCATAACCAGTACTTCCAGTATAAACACTGTAATTATTTTCATCGAGAATATCATCAAAGTTTGACTCCAAATGTTTGGTAAGTCGAGTGACACTTCGCAAGAAGTAATCTTTGGTGTCATCATTGAGTTGACCACTAGTTTGATCCAAAATATCGTTTAACGGACTATAATCTTGAAAATTGTTGTCAAAGTATCGCTTCTCTGTCATCATTAGTCTTCAATTGTGTCTTCAATTGTGTCTTCAATTGTGTCTTCAATTGTGTCTTCAATTGTGTCTTCAATTGTGTCTTCAATTGTGTCTTCAATTGTGTCTTCAATTGTGTCTTCAATTGTGTCTTCAATTGTGTCTTCAATTGTGTCTTCAATTGTGTCTTCAATTGTGTCTTCAATTGTGTCTTCAATTGTGTCTTCAATTGTGTCTTCAATTGTGTCTTCAATTGTGTCTTCAATTGTGTCCACAAATTGTCTCAAATTATATTCAAATTCAAACAAATGTCACTTCAATTCATTCAATAAATACGTATAAAATATAAAATATTTTAAATTAATTTTAATTAAATAATAAATTTGTGACAAATATGTTATAAAATAATTTCAATAAATTTATTAATTGTATTTAAAAATAATTTATTTTATAAAATAATATTAAATTTTCATAATTTTATTAAACTTTAGAAATACTTTTTGATAAACAAATTGTTGACATAATTGATGGCAAAAGTATTGACATGTTTTCAGTGACTGTTTGTATTGCAAACACATGTCATTTGTTTATGAATTTAATTCAATTATTATTATTTAATTAATTAATGATTTAAACAGTGTTTTTGAGACAAATTGTTAATATTTACTGTTATTTAGTATTATATCAATTGATTTGATGGTCAGATATGAGACACTCGAGGATTGCCAAAAGTAAAAGACACAAAAAGCTTAAAATTGTCCCCAATTGTGACGATGAAGACATCGCCGATAGACATGTCTCACAAAAGTATAATAATTTGATATATTTTTTGATAATTACTTGATTTGTGTTTCAAATGATGTATTGATAGAAATCTTTGCGATCAATTCATACCAAGAAAGTGGACACAAATTTGCCAAATGAAACAACTGTTGACTGAGAAAAACAAACTCAAGAAGAAAAGGAAAAAGAAAAATATGAAAGAATTGATTACTGGTTTGACTTTTATTATCATTAATTGTTTGATAATATAAGTCATCAAATGATTAACTTTTTATTATTTTTAATTTAAAAGTGAGGATCAATTCGGATGTCATAGAGAAAGGAATGACAAGAAATGATAAGCCATTGCCGTCAGTGATTGAACAGGGATTGTATGAAAGTCAGTCACATTTCTTAAGCCGTTTATCTCGATTGTCGGCCAAAGCACGGGCTGAGGCCAACATTGAAGAGAGATTTGATGTCGATTTCTGTGAGAAGTTAGACACATCTGACGATAAAACTAATGCTATGACTGATACTAAAGGAAAAGCAAAGAATATTAAGAAAAATGAGAGAAAAAAACTTAAAAGGAAAAGACATAACAAAGAGACCTCTTTTGATCACTTGGAAGATAACGTCTTATTTGGTGAACGAGTCGATGAACCGCCAAATTTGAATGCTTTTAATTTTAAAAAGAAATTAAAAACCAAATAAATGACATCAAATAAATCAAACATTTGTACATTATTTTAATGTTATTATAAATAAAAAGTATATTATTTTTTTACTATTTACAGCTACAGTATTGCCAATAAATTGAAATTAAAATGAAACATATTTGGATTGTTTTATTTAAGATATCAATCAACACAATAGAGTTTCAAGTGATTCACAAATAATCACTACTTTTGTTATTCTTGATATTGTCTTATACTGTAATGTGTAGTGTATTATGAAGTTTAGCTAATGTTAAGTACAGTATGTTATTGTAAGTGAAAAATAACTGAAGACAGTATTTGATCCAAGTTTTACTCATTGAAAACAAATGCATTTTAGTTATATTTTTATAAAAAAAAAGATAATTATTTAACATTTATAAAATTTTAATTAAATTAAATTAGTTCTTATTGTTTAATTAAATTTAATTACATAATAATGTTTTTGATTGTTTCAATGTTGATAAATTGCATTTTGTTTTTTTTTTTAAATAAATTATTATATTTTGTTGACTTTTATTGATTTATTTTACTTTTTGTCAATTTTTGTTATATTATATTTATTATTATTAACTTAATACTAAATATGATGTAATTTAAATCATTATATCATATAATTTATATGAGATAAAGAAGATAAATACAGTATATGAACAAAATAATAAACAAAACCTAATAATAGTGAGAAAATCGGATTTCATTAAACGTACAAAAGTTTTAAATTCAATGAATAAATAAACAAAATGTTAGTTTAGTCTTGTTTTTCATTGATTTATTACTTTATAATAATATACTGTAAATAATTTTGATGTCAAATGATATACATTTTAGAAAACGTTATAATTAATTAGTTGAATATTAAAAAAACTAATTTACATTTTTATATCTTATGATACAAAACTTCAAGCTATTGTTATTAAAATATTGTATAAAATACATGTAAAGTAGAGTAATATTCAGTATTAAAGTATTTTAGAGATTCATTGTTGCACTGAACACATGCTTTTGAGAGATACACTACCAGTAATACTAATGTAAAGTATTAATACATATTAAGTATTTATGATTATTATGCACTAAATTACTAATAGTTATGCTTATGAAAAAATTATGATAATAATGATAGAGTAATCAAAAATAATTAAAAAATATTGGTCATTACTAATTAATTTTAAAATTTTATTTTATTATTAAATAGTTAATTTTTTGATATTTTATAATTTCTCTTTAAATATAGAATTATAAAACTTAATACAATTGACAGTAAATACACATTATTTTATTTGACATTATATAATATGACAATAAAAGCTGTAGTCATAAATATTAATTAATATTAATAAATTCAATATTATATAACCTTGCAATTTATTTATTTTTAAGCACATATAAATTGATTAAATTAGTATATTATTCATGCAGTTATGTTTAGTGACCATCACATGATTAGATTTAAACTGAAAATTATTATTAGATTTGTTTTGCATTCATAGGATAATTGTATTGAGACATAGAGTTTGTAAAGTTATAGTTAAGAACAAGTCTTAATAAATATTATATTTTTTGCCTAATATTCGAAATTTGTTTTTCTAGAGAATCATAGATTTAATAAATAATTTTAATTAAAACCAATTTGTTTTTTAACTATTTGTGAAATGAGTAAAACATATGCCATACGATAAATGAGGCAAAAAAGTCAAATGCTATATCAATCAAATGGCAGTAAAAGACAACAAAATAAAATAAAATTTGTTTTTTGAATTTGAGTTTAAAAACATTTATTAAAATAGAGTAAAAATTCAATTTTTAAGATTAACTTTTTATTGCTATAAAATATTGATTACAAATAAGAAACAAAGCCTTAATAGTCCAATAACTTTGATTAACTGAGGATTCACTCGTATATACAGTATATACAGTATATATTTATATAGTATTTTGTAATAATCTATATAATAGAATAGTATAAGAGTATAAACATTAGTGTAAATTTATATAAGATTTTAAGTGCATTATATATAAAACATAAAAAATAATAAATAATGAAAAGAGAAGAAAACAAATTTTGGGATTTTATGTATGGAATGGTATGGTATGTATGGTATGAATGCTGTGGTAGAGCCGGGAGAGCCGTATCGCTGCCGTTGCGCCAAACAAAGTGCCAGTCAAAGGTTGGACTCCTGCTATTCGTAGGCGGAGTGCTTTTATTCTGTGTGTGAGGTAAGCCCTGAGCCTAAGGTGTCGATGCATTTATTCATTGAGTGTTAGTCTCTTATATGAAGCCACTTCTTCACACATTTCCACTCATTTACTGATAATACTCACAACTCGGCCATCAATGCAATTGTATTTTTATCTGATATCAGTGACCACTCATAGTAATCATTCAATTAGATCTTTAAATTTAAGCTAAACTTAGTACACAAAACAAGTGCTTCCCATTTGTCTAAATGCTAGTTAAGTGTATATCTCTCTCTCCTGGTGTCCAACACTTGTCCAATACTATCAATTTATTTTGATTTGATTTGTGTTAAAAAATACAACCAAAAGAAAAATTGGATAATAAAATCAACGACTAATGTATTTCTCAAGTCATTATTGCAATCATTGTGTGTGTTATATATAGTGTTCAATAAATAACAAATAATTTCATTGAAATAACTATACACTAGTTGTAAGCTTAACTTATTTTCACTCTCAACCTGTGGCTTAACAAAGTTTTGCAACATTTTTAGGTTAAGACACTTTATACTAGTATCTCAATAATGACTTTTATTGAGAGACAATGGCATACAAGTGCTGAACATTGATTTGATGAGATATACCAAAACTTACTCACGATTTAAGTCTTGTTAAAGACTCTTAAGATTAAAGTCAAAAATAAAGCAAAATATAGCCATAAAGTTTAGACATAATAACAAGTTGTGTGAATAATAATAAGCCTCGCAAATAAAAATCCATTGAAAATCTATTGGCGTTACCATTGAATCCAATCGGAAACATAATAATAAGTTTAAGACGAGAAACGCCTTCCCATTACATTTAACCAGCAATTTGTGCCAACGATTCCACTCTTAACAATAAATATGATTGAAGTCTACCAGAAACGGGCCCTCACTTACCTTATATTACTGGTGACCTACACTGTCTTCAACTACAAGACTATTGTAGTCAACTCATCCTTTTTGACTCTCTTCTCACCACAAACTGAACCATTGGATCCATGTTATGATGAGTTAGGTATGTCTATCATTATATAACTTAACAATAGTACTTAACAATATCTAATCTAACCTAAAAATAATTTATCATAGCCTATACTATCATAAAAATAACGTGAATTATACCAAAAACAAACCTAAAGTTTACCATAACATGACATAACATAGCAAAACAATGATACACTTGACTATCAATAAAATAGTTTAAATTAAAGTTGAATAAAATCATTTTTTGCTTAAAAATTTTAATTAATAAACTTCATTTGACATTTAATTTGTTAATAATAATATTCAATGCAATAAAAATGCAATTTTTAATACCTCTCTATAGTATAGACTCTATACTAAAATCTACATAATATATTAATATATTAATATTACTGAACATATTTTAACTAAACATATACATAGTTAGTATGTAGTTATATAAGCTATCAATCAACTTATTTCACATTTTTATCATATTATTTACATATTATGTTGGTTTTTATTCTAGAATTATGATTTTACATTAAAATATTGTGTAAATAAAAATTTATTTATTTATATCATGAAAACAGTAGTCATAAAGATTTACACATTTTTTAAAAACGCAGGAAATCCTCGACGATGTATACCTGACTTTGTGAACGCGGCGTTTAATAAAGAAGTTAAGGTTTGTCTTACTTTTAAACAATTATATTAATTTTTTAAACCAACTTTCATTTTAAACAAATATATATAATAAATAAATATACTCTTAGACACGTTTTGTTTGCATGTTAGGTGTATTCATTTTTTATATTACAAAAATAAACAAATTGAAAAGTTTAAATAAATTTTTATACTAAATTTGATATATTTGTATAAATAAATTAGCTTTTTAAAGTAGTTTTATTTTATGTAATATAGTAAATAATAACCTGAAAATAAGTTAGTACTTAACTTATACTGCTTTAATGTTAAATATTGTATATATATATATATTTGTATGAAATTTGACTAAATTGTTGATTTTATGAAAAGTAAGACTATATTTGTTAGATAAATCCTAATCATAATTGTATGACTGTCTGTCTATATATGGAATCTATTAGGTGTCGAGTGAATGTGGTAATCCTCCTTCACGTTTATGTATTGCCACAAACAATGATAGGGGAGATATAGTAAAGGATTGTCAGATTTGTGATATCAATGATCCCAAGCGTCGACATCCGGCATCATATCTGACTGATCTGAATAATCCAAATAACCTGAGCTGTTGGATATCAGAGCCCCTAAGTCAGGGCAATCAAAATGTTACTCTAACCCTAAGTCTAAGCAAAAAATATGAGTTGACTTATATTAGTTTACAATTTTGTGCCGCAAAACCCGATTCAATGGCTATTTTTAAAAGTATGGACTACGGGGAGACTTGGCATCCATTTCAATACTATTCGAGTCAATGCAGAAAAGTTTACGGCAGACAAAACAGAGCCGCTATTACTAAAGGTTTCACTTTACTATTATTAATAAGTGTTGATATTATTTGAATGACTAATATATAGTATTTATATTGATTTAAATATTGAAATGATGGGTCACTCAATGAAATAGCCAACGAACAGGAACCTCTCTGTGCTGATTCCAATACTGAGCCCATTCCAGGTGCGAGAGTGGCCTTTAGTACTCTCGAAGGACGACCATCTGCTTATGATTTTGACAACAGTCCAGTACTACAGGATTGGGTCACTGCTACCGACATTAGGATTGTATTCAACAGGTTTATCATTTTTTTAAATTAAATTTCAATCATTCACTGCATTTGCATATTTAAAAAAATAAATGATTGGTTTATTAATGAAAAATTGAAATTAGAATAAATGTGAAAACACAGACATCCGAGACAACCACAATATACACCATCGATGATAACATAACCGACTCATCAAACGACTTGACAAAACCATCAGACGCTGTATATTATGCCGTATCAGATCTGGCAGTAGGCGGTAGATGCAAGTGTCAGTACCAACGCTTTTACAAATTTTATTACATAAAAAATAAAATATAAAAATGAAAATAAATTTAAGAATTTAATATTTTTCTTCATTTTCAACGTGTAAATCCCTTTTCATTGGCACCGGTAGGCAATGGACACGCATCCAAGTGAGTCAATTTAATTTATATTCACAATTTTGTTTAACTTATAATAAAAAACAATTTTACACTTTATTATAATTGAAAATTTGAAATTGAATTTGTATTATATTTAATAAAGAAAAGTTTAGGGTGTGTTTATATACGTGTGTTAAATAAAATATGTTATAATATAATAGTAATACTGTACTATGTATGCATCTATTAAAAGATCATATAAAATTTTTTATAAATATTTTCTTTCAATTTAATTTATAATTTATATATAAAACTTAACTAAAGTGTAATATTTCTCATTTCAGATGTGTCTACAATAAAGACAAAAAATTAGTTTGCGACTGTAAGGTAATTGATATTTTAATAATAATAAGATTGTATATTATTGTATATATTAATAATAAATAATAAAATTGCTAAAACAGCACAACACGGCTGGAAATGATTGTGAGAAGTGTAAGCCTTTCCACTTTGACAGACCCTGGGCTCGGGCCACGGCTTTTGACGCTCATGAGTGCACTCGTATGTCTTTAAATTAATTTTTATATTTAAATTCTTTAACAAAATCGTCACTTTTATTGCCTAAAAGAAATAATAATATTATATTAGAGTTGAATAAATGCATGAATAACTAGAATGGCATTAAGTGATGGTTCATATGAGAGGAGAGCCATAAAATAACGTATAACTTAACTCAATATTCTTGTGCCGACTCTATTGATGAAGAGAGAGAGAGAGAGAGAGAGAGAGAGAGAGAGAGAGAGAGAGAGAGAGAGAGAGAGTAAGAGGGGATCATAAGGAGCGGTAATAGAAGAATGTGTTGTTTGTACTGTATATATACACTATGTTTGCTGTTATATACATTTAACTCCCAATCTATTACTTTAATACTAATGATATGACCCAAAGCTAAGCTCTAAAATGCTATTTTAATCAGAAATAGATAGTGAAAAGTATATTATTCGCATCAATTCATGTCTAATATAGCATATAATTCAAGAGATACATAACTGTATCTCTTTTCTTAAGTCATTTAGTGATAAATACTGTAAATGTCTTTTAAGTGATATCTTTTCTGATGTTCTCTTAATAATATAATCACTAAATGGTTGGCCTTTTTTGATGACCTCATGTGCTAAATGTTTTCATTTTATTGTTGTGATTAGTATAGGACTAACTGAATGAATGATATGATGTATTTGTTGACTATTGTCAATATTTTTGGTGACATGCAGTCTGAAAAAGCAAACAAATATATTGTGAAAATGTGTTGAATTGAACTATAAATCGGTCTGAAATCATGCATTGCTACTGATTACTAGTGGTGTACCTCCAGAGCACAGGCCGTTTCTAAAGGAATTTCTATGACTAATCTCAATGGGAATTACTAATAAAAGCTTAGTATTTGTTGGAAGTGTTTATTTGAAAAGCGGTTATATTATGGGTCTTACAGTGAGTCAAATTAGCTTTTATATTATGATGAAAAAAGCGAGAAAAGCAAATGCATTAAAATTTGCCATTCATTTCACTTGTTTTCCACATACTGTATACCACACTATACGGTATATGAGATATTTATAGTGTAAGGTATTTTGCTAGCGTTACCTTTTGTATGGCACAGGTAGGAGTCTATGATAACATAGATAGGAGAGTCAGGGAAAGGTATTGGTATTGGCAATTGTGTTGGTCATGTTTTTTGGCACATTTGCCTCATTCAGTACTACCAGCAGATGTTCTCATAGTAGGTATGACTACTATTACTTCAACTCTCAAATCTTGTCGTATAACACAATATTTACCAAAAATATAACTTTTTGGTTATTGGTATGCCTTTAGGATTCCTATTAGTTTTTGCTACAAATGTATTGCAACTGTAATAGTATTGAAAACATTTTTTACATTTTTGCATTCAAATAGTTTTAGAGGGAAAACTTTATTTTGTTGAACATTATACGGCATAAACTTTTATTAATTGTTTATTATGTCCTATAATTATGTGTTAAAGCATTCAAATTTAAACTAACTTAAATTATTTTCAAGGTAATAATTAATACAGTATTTTACTAGACTTTTAGTGATAGAGATTATTTTTAATACAAAATACACTACATTTATTGACTCAATTTTAAAATTTATTACTATTAAATGTAAAATGGCTAAATATTAATAAAAATTAAGAAAAATAAAACATAAATTTTTATTATCCTTTTTATCTAAATCCCTGATTTAATAAATAGATAGAAATTTTATTATGCAAAAAATATAGCACAAAAATATTTAAAATTAATAAATGACAAAATATAGAATATAGTAATAATCAGTGTTGACAGAGACAAAAAGATTTGTATAATACAAATCGTATTAAGTACAATACAATGTATAATACATGGTCAATTTTGCTTACAAACAAAATTTAGCGTCACCTAGTGTTTAAAGTATTGATATAAGCATAGTTCTATAATATAGAGTTAATATTTTTTATCGAATTTCTATTATTAATTATTTTTATCAATTATTCAATAAATTATTTTAAATTATTTCATTAATATTTTTTAAAAACGATTTTTATAACAATACTGATTATTCTCTAGTAATATAAATTAGTTTTTAAAATTGTATAATACAAGCAGAACATTGTATTATACAAAATTCAAAACCTTGTATTTTTCCAACCCTTGTAATAATAAATATAATTTATATTTAACTGAAAGCCTGCAACTGTAACCTTCACGCCCGCAAATGTCGGTTCAATATGGAGTTATACAAACTGTCCGGTCGTAAGAGTGGTGGGGTTTGCCTCAAGTGTCGGCACAACACCGCTGGCAGACATTGCCATTATTGCAAAGAAGGTATTCATTATATTTTTATTTATCGATATTTATTTGTCATTATATATAATTTATATATCGATACGTAGCATATTGTGTATTGTATAGATTTTTTAAACATTTTATTTTTAATGTTAGATAATTTATATAAAAATTATAATAATAATTTAAAAATGAAAAAGTAATTAATTTTACTGAAACATTTAGATTTAAGTTACATTACTGTTATCATATTTGTAGTTTTTTTTAATAAAAATTGCAAAAAATGTTATTAAAACGGTTTAATTAATTATTAGGTTATTTTCGGGACTCAGCAAAACCCATCACTCATAGAAAGGCGTGCAAACGTGAGTAAACTGGGCTTTAATTTTTTACTTATGTTTATTACATTTATTGATATTTTATAATATATTTTTTAATACAAGCGTGTAATCTTAAATTAAAAAGCACTGTTAATTTGCTGAATAACCAAATGAAATAATTAGATTTTAATTAAAAGTAATAATCTGTAAGCAATTAAATGTTTAAAAAAAAGTTTTTAAACAGTTTTTGAAACAATTAAATTTTATAACATTAATTTATTATTATTATACCTGTAATATATTTTTAGTTATTTAAATTTATTTGACTAATATCTATGACATAGAGTAAGTTAATTTATTGTTTTATGAGTATCTTAAAAAGTAGTTGTCTTTAAACAATAGAAAGTATATTGAATATACTGTATTTATTATGAAAACATTTTTGATGCAATAAGTGAATATAGTATATAATATTTATTAAAATAATATTTTAACCCATACAAAATGATTCTTACTAAACTTACTATAATAATAATTTTTGAATAATATAATTTTACAATTAGTTGTCAAATAGTTAATATACTGTATATAAATAAGTGAAGTTTAATAAAATTTTATAACATTTATTATATACATTATAAACATTTAACAAATATTATACACAAATAATAACTTTAAATTTCAATGTAAATATTAGTGGTATTAGTGAAGTGATAAACATTTATCAATCATATAGAGTGTGACTGTCATCCAGTGGGTAGTTCTGGACGAAACTGTAACATAACGAGTGGTCAGTGCCAATGCAAACCCGGTGTTACCGGCATTAGTTGCAACAGATGTGCTAAAGTGAGTCATAAATGCATCACTTTTGATAATTTTCTCAATATTATATATACAGTATATATACTGTATTTAAATATTATTAATTGAAAATAAACATATATAACATCTAATTATTTATATATTAATCAATTTCTTATATAGTGTATTATTAGTAGTTAAATAATACTAACTGGAAATTAACTGTATTTTAACACTTAGGGATATCAACAATCAAGATCTCCAGTACAACCGTGCATAAGTTAGTAATAGTATTAGTATTAGCTTTATTTATAATTATATTTATTTATTTAAGATAAAATTGATTGAAAACATTTTGTTGGCTTTTTATTTATTTAGAGATCCCACAAAATAATGACATATCGTTTGCATCAATGGAGACAACATCAGAGCCCGACTCTGATTCCGGTATATATAGTATTTTCTATATATATAATAGATTTTATTTAAAGCAGTATTTATGATATGAATCATATATTGACTGAAATATTGGTGTTATTATTGTCATTATTTAGGCGATAGTTGTTCGTCGTGTCAATACTCGACCCAAAGAGTAAATCTGCGTAAATATTGCAAAAGAGATTTCGGTAAGTCATAGACTTAATGGTAGGGCTATGACTGCCCCACCATTGATATTGTCATATATAGTAATCGGGACTTTAATAACACGGATGAATGCTGTGCTTAACTTATGTCTGATGAGAGATGAGAGGATATCCCTTGAGTTGAGCACTACTGCTCTCAATGATACTGTGGCCGCAAATGTGTGCCTAAAAGCCAAACCTAAAACTCTATAGCAATCAAAATGCTTGGGTGTTGTTGTCTAACATTACAGCCATACACAGTATATGATATACTTATAGACACGTATCCAACGTTTCCATTGAATTACATTAAAACTGTTGTACATTGTATGCCAATATATGCTATATTAATAATGCCTGCGTCCACATTGACATCCATAGAGATCCCCATCCTTTAGATCCCCATCCATGGCATCAGTGGTATTGAACACATACTTGACTACATATATCTTTCGCTTCACTTTCTCTATGAGTCATACATTGAGACCAATTTTAGGCAACGTTAGCAACGGATCCGAGAAATGCCTTACTTTTGTTGTTCCTTTGCTACCAAATATCTCACTATTTTTGACACCATTTTCATCAATAATGGCAAAACTTTGCTACTTTTAGTAATCGCTTCAATGAATCGTATATTTGATTAAAAGGCAAAACATATGTTTTGAAGTATCACTTATGAGTGTTGGTGTCGAACCATAGATACACTGGACTTTCATTTAGTGTCATTTCATTGCTTTAACCAATTTGTTTAATACTAACACCAGAACCCACTCAACCATTTATTGATATTTATTATACCATATTTATATAAAATATTATTACATAACATTTATAACATTTGTTTTTATTAATAGCATTTCTCTATAATCACTCATTTGTTTAAATTATGAAAAAACATGATATGTTATAAAAACATGTATTACTACTAAATTATGTAGTTTTTCAACAATAATTAAGACTAAATTATCAAACATTTACAATGATTATGATTTAAGTTTATTTACAGTGCCATAAATAAAATTGTTGATATATGACTTGAAATAACATGTTTTCTGCTTTATATCACATTTTCGTAAATCACATCCCAATGAATCCTAACATTTACTGACATATTTTGAGACCATTTCAAGACTGTCTTATCAGTGAAACTTTTTTTCATTTGTTTTTTAGCAAAAAACTAGTAAATATCAGTTCAATAATTTCTAGGCTATATATTATGATATAAGCAGACAGTTTGCCAAATGTAGTTAACTTCGGTATAGTATTGAAGTCGTCCGCACTTTTATCATAAGTCTCGTGAGATTTTCCTCTTCTAGTTGTTTAATAGCGTTGAAAGTTATATTTAATGGGAAAGCCATTCGGAAACAGTGGTGTGAATACCATAACGTCAATAATTCACAGACTAAGCTTATATAGTATTTAGCAAAAAGGGTTGACTCATTGAATACCCGCTCAATAATTATAATGACGACAATTATGTGATCAAAATGATTGTATTGGCGGAGAGTTACTGTTAAGTTGTTTATTAAAATTTATGGCACATATTCTGCTGTCTCATTGGTGTCACTAATATTATCTCAAGAAAACAGACCATAGATTAGCTGAAAATTACATTTTGATGAACATATGAACATTATGTTGAATTATAAGTAAATTTTTGCATATATTTCAAGTCATTTATAAAGTCATATTTAGAAGCATAAAAATCTTTATTTATTATTTAAATAAATTTAACGAATGAAAAACAATTTTAAAATTTATTTTTTACTTCAAAAAACTAATCTTTTATTAGCTTTTTTTGTATAGTTTTGTTCACAAACAGGCATTTGGAGAATGTGTTCATAAAAATATATTGTTTGCCATTCTTTGAGTTTTATTTTGTTAGAGTAGAAGTTAGATCTCATTTTGGGTAACATATCTTCAAATGAATTGAACGGCATATTTATAGTCCTCCCTAATAGAGTTGGAATAACAATAATAATATATAAACACTTTTGGTATAAACCATTATTTGTCGTTACCGTTATGGGTATGCGATTTGGGATTGCATTTATAAAAGTGATAGTAAATGTGAAAGTAGGGTGGTCAACTGTCACCAATTTATACAAATATAAGGTACATGAGCTCACTTAAAAAACATTAGCCAAACAATGACTTATTTGATAATTTTTCAGTTTTGAAAATAATTAAAAATACAATTTAACAAACTAATATTAAGTACTTTATATTTGTATTGAAATATCAAAGAATTCATGTATAAACTAAACAAAAAAGTAATTTATCTAAATATAAATCAAATAATAATTATTGACTTTTAAAAATTAATGTAAGTTAAATAACAATTATTTATTATCATCTAATAGAATTATATTAARCAATGTTAGTCAGAATTGAAATTCCGGTATTTTTTCAGAAAACTATTTTCATTGTCCATATGTTTACTTTAKAATTTTTGGTTACTCTACAGTATATGAAAGATTTCTATAGACAATAATAGTGAAGACAAATAAGTTACTAACTTATAGAGTATATTGTTATTTATTTTGTTAGCAATTCAGGCAAATATTATATCGCGAGAGACAGTCGGCGATTGGGTTCGCTTTACGATTCAGATTCAGCAGATCTACAAACACGCGACCACTAAATTGAGACGCGGGTCTGAATTTATTTGGGTGCCAATCGACGACCTGGCCTGCAAGTGCCCTAAAATTAGAGTCAAACACACCTACCTAATTTTAGGTATTTCCATTAAATTAATATTAATACTTTACCACAATATAAATTATGTCAACATCACAATAATCTTTCACAATATTTCTTTACTCTAACAAAAAATATGAAAACTTTTAACAAAAACTTGTGTATCATTCAGGAAATGATGAGCGGGAGAGTCAGCCCTCGGGACTGATCGCTGATAGAAGAAGTATTGCTATTGAATGGAAAGAGGAATGGGCTGATCGTATGAGACGATTCCAGACCCGACAGTTCAAAGGAAAGTGCAAACATGAAACTCATGTCTGAAACATATCACTAAACATTATCTCAAACAATGGCCAAACATTTTCTAATGTTTTACCTGATATTACTGTGAAAATACATTATCAATCATTATTGACATACCATTGATAAAGTCATCAACAAATCGTATACATATCTATTGCGATATTATTATACAGTATAAGATTATGTGCCAACAATTTTTGAATTTTGTAATAATTATATAATAGAAAGATAATTATTTGTTTATTAGTTAAATATAATTTTAATGTTATACTGTATACTATTAATAGATGATATTTATAAGTTATACTCAACGTTAAGTATTTATCATAAATCAGATTATGTTGTAGACTATAGAAAATTTCTATACATTATTAAAAATTTTAGTATTATATATAAATTATAATAGAAATATTAAATTATAATAATTATAATTAAATTTAATGTTATGTCGAGTCATTCAGTCATATGAATATTAATATAAACAATAATTAAAAATAATTGATTTTCATTGTATATTAATAACTATTTATYAATCAATACAGTGCAGCTTATTATATTATATATACGGTAAAATATACGAAGTATATTATATATTAAATATATTATAATACTTTTATATACTATATTTGAAATAGTTTTAAAAATTACATCAAAACAATAATTTATAAATTATTTAAAGTATGAATTAAGCATAATTGTACAAAAAAAATACGACTACTTAAATTTATTGAAATAATTTTGTTTATTAATTGTAAAATAGTAATATTTTTACAAAAATAGTGTTATATTTATTTTTTAAATAATTAATTTAATCAAAATTGGCGTTTAATATATTCAATCAAAAAATAATTCAAAATAAAATAAGTTTTGTTTTATAAAAGTCAATTTTAAATTTTAAATTGATTTAATTATTTATTTATTTTTGTTATATATAATATATATTGTATGAACATTTCAATTATCATTTTTAAAAAATATTAACTCATTTTTTTGTAATATATTATATTAAATTACTCAATAAAATAAAATTAAATGTTTGTCGAAATTTATTTTTTWAAAATTACTTTTATTATTATACGACAAATACTATAAACAAATATTATAATCTCGTGTCATATAATAATCATATAAATAGTATGATAATATACATGTAAATGTACAATATAATTAAAATGCAAAACTTTTATAAAATAATTTTGACAGTTAACTATATATTTAATTTTAAGAAAAATTAATAAAAGTGAATCTAATTTATTAAATAATATGACAGAAGATAGTAATCTTTTAAACGTATTTAACATTTTGTTTATTTTCACTATAATAGGAATGGTTTACATAATTGTAAATATATAATATTTATAATACATACTGTAAAACAGTCACAAAATTTAGCAAATAAAATATAATAAATTGTGTTTAATTAAATGACATATTTATTATATRGATCTAAGTTAAAGAATATTAATTTACAATTTGTTATAGAAATTTTTATGAGTGTTAACACTGTTTTTATCAATCTATTTAMCAATCAAACTATTGTAAAAACCAAACTTTTAATATAATAGCTGATATAAAAACAATTATTTTTTAGATATTGATTATATGGATAGCAATCATAACGAGTAAACATAATATACAATATATAAGACGAGAAGTTGACATAAGAATGAGTTATTTAGACGACAAAAGGATATACGAGAAGAAAGAGAAGACAACTGTAAAGAAAGCAAACAAAGTGATCGACAAACAGATATATCATTCTTATAAAGCCATTGACAGACACTATGAAAACCATAATTTATTAGTTGAAACAATTGTTACTATTAATGATACAAAAGATAATCATTCAAATTATAACCAAAACCATAACCACAAGCAGACAATAACCAGAGATAAGTTGGAATCAATTTCTGACAAATCATCGCAAGAATATGTAAGAGAATACTTTGAAAAGATTAGCAGAAGTGTCTACTTTGATAGCAAAGGAAATATAATTAAAGATAACAAAACCGTTGAGTGTTTGCAACCGATCCAACTAATTGATACAAATTATGTTCAAATGACTAAATCTGAAACTATTGTCACAACAATTCCCATAAAAATTGATAAAAATCAAATCTTTAAAAGTAAGGATAAAAATCCTATAATTGAGACTAAAAGTAAAAAGTGTGAAAAAAGTGTCTTAAATGTCATCCTCGATGTYCACGAATCGTCAAATACTTTAGCAGTCACTTCAGAGGCTAATATCCAATCGACTATCAATGTAATCAATAATACAGAACTTTCATCCGATAAACTTATATCTAATGTGAATATTAATGAATCAAAGGTCTGATAATATATTATTACTATATTTGTTTTTATACTAATTTTATACTAATTTTTATTATTTTTAAAATTCAGTCATTAGTTAATGCAATTAATATAAAAGAAGTGCCTACACTTGCAAGTTATCTAACAGTAAATATTAATATCAATTAAATGTATAATAAAATGACACGTTTTTTAAACAAATTTCAGATATCAGAAGTTCCTGTATTTGTTAATGAAATGAATATTAAAGAGATCCCGGAGCCAACAAAGCAGATAAGTAATACAATTAGTAGTGATGTAGTGGAGGTTCAGCTGCCCATCAATATTAACAAAGTTATAACTAAACGCAAGATTCCGGCTCTCATTCCTATAACCAGACAAACGACCAAATTTTCTAAACAAGTTTAGTGTTTAATATTAATTTTATTATAAWAATAATATTTTAATGTTTTCTTAATAATAATTTACTTATCATAAAAATATCATATTATCATTGCATTATATAACAATAACAACAATTAATATAAAAATCAATACATTTTATTTATAAAACCTTGACTTTCACATAAAGTGTCGTCAAATAATAATAATAAAAGTAAAAAAAATTATATAATATTTGTTTTCTGTATATAAATTCTATAGTATTATAAAAATATAACGTAAAGCTATTCTAAGTGTTTATAACTATACTTAATGTCTATAATATAGTGACCAATACCTCGACGTTTGTCACTATAATTGACTATTTATTTATTGATGTCTTTGTTGTCACGAAATAAAAATAATAATTTCAACACATTTTATATAATAGATTTAATAATTGAAACAATTTATAAAAATAACAAATAAATCAATCCAATTGTCATTTATTTTTATTAAGATTTTAAATTATTATAGTTTATAAATTAACGTTTCCTTTAAGTTTAAGATTTTAAAAAATGAAAACTTAAATATAAAAATATGTTTACATTTTAGTCAAATTCAATTAGAGAGGTAATCGACTCATTAGTTTATATTAAATATCTGATAAACCATACATTGAATTTAAAAATGACCAAGGACATACATATTTATATATTATATTAAACTCATCATTATTGTAATTGGTCATTTTTTGATTAATTGTAAAATAAACTAGATAATAGTAGATAAGTAAACTATTTTATGTGGATGATTTTAGAATTAATCAAAAAATGACCAAGTAGTTTCTATATATTGAATATTTCAATAATAAATAGACAATGAAATATACATTAAGTTTTTTAGATTACTTTATTTTTACTGTAAATACCACTAAAAAATAATAATTTTATACTTTTATATTATACAATAGTATTATACAATTTTGATGTCAAATCTGATGATTGCATAACAYAAGTGTAGACTTTATGTATGTATTACATGATGTCAGCACTGGTTTGTCAATCAATATATCGATTGATGGAAACAATGTAAATCCAAACATATAATACATTTAACGTTATTCTGTATTAACTAATAGTAAATACATTGTAAACTTGTTTTGCTTAGCATTGACTGCAATAGCTATACATTGAATACATTGAAGTGCTGTTCGATGTTGTGTTGCGTCGAGAGTTAGACAGACATTGACTCACATATGTATCGATGATTTGATGACTACTTTGACTATTGATTTGATTTTTAATTATTTGTTAATTATTTGTTAATCATATTATCATTCAATCGATTGACTCAATAGTGTTAACACAATAACTGGTTGTTACTCATCGATCAATAGGTTTGTTATATTTAACTGTTTTTCATATATTATTTAAACTCAATATTGTATCAAATGTTTACATTGTTTACAATATTGTAATCATTTGATCCATTAATTGATTGATTTGTTAACTAATACTATGAATGACTACTGATTTGATTGCATTTAACATTTGAACGACAATTAATTGTCACTCAATTGAGTCCATAAGTGCTGTCATTTGATGCTATTTTATCAAACAATATATAGTGTGTAATAAATGTATAAAAATAAATGTTATTTATATTAATAATCAATAGATTACTAATGTTTATGATATTGAATGCAATCAATGAGTATTTGTCTAATCATTAAAGTAATAAAATGATGAATATTTAGCTAATAATGAGTCGACAATTAATTAGTGAAAATACTTATATAAAGTATTAATAATTGATTTTTTGACAATTAATGATTAAAAAAATATTTAAATTTATTTATTAATAGTATGTGTGATTAGATGTCGAGTACAGCCATTAATATGAGTGAAAGTGCAGCAAACGCTACGACAACAAGTATACCGTCGGGTCATTCGGTAATGGACACAATGACGGGAGGTTTACCCAAATTGGCTAATATTACACAACTTGTAGGACATCCGGGAATCTTCTTGCAGTCGACGTCTGCAAAAGCCATTTCCGGAGCTTTCATTTGGATTGCACTCTTCATTTCATGTCATCAGGTGATACATCTTGTGATACAAACTAATGCTTTTATATAGTAATGAATTATTGTTTTCATTATATTGCAGATCTACCAACACTTACGCTTCTATACGATGCCATCAGAGCAACGATGGATTGTTAGGATATTATTCATAGTTCCCATCTATGCTCTCGACTCATGGCTTAGTCTACTATTTTTTAAAGACAACTATTATGTTTATTTTGATAGTGTTAGGGATTGGTATGAAGGTATGGTATATATATATAGTAAAATAAACTGGAAATGTATTAAATTGTATTTTGTTGATAGCATTTGTGATTTACAACTTTTTGAGTCTTTGTTACGAATATTTGGGCGGTGAGGGTAACATAATGACCGAAATCCGCGGTAAACCAATCCGGTCGAGCTGGTGGTTCGGCACCTGTTGTCTATCTGGTCGAACCTATTCTATTGGATTTTTGCGATTCTGCAAACAAGCGACTCTTCAATTCTGTGCTGTAAAGCCAATGATGTCTATTATAACACTTATATTACAAGCATTTGGCAAATATAAAGACGGCGATTGGAGTGCCAATTCTGGATACTTATATATAACAATGATTTATAACATCAGTGTTTCACTGGCACTCTATGGTCTGGTGCTCTTCTATCACGCGACCAGAGACTTGTTGTCACCATATGATCCGGTCTGGAAGTTCTTCACTGTCAAGTCTGTTATCTTCTTGTCTTTTTGGCAGGGTTTGTATATTTACTATACAATTCAATTATCTGTATTATAATTAACGGTGAATGTTGTTAATCATAGGTGTAATTCTTGCTATTTTTGAAAAAGCAAGTCTTATATCACCGGTGACGACCTTTGAAGGAGAACGAGCCAACGCTGGAACAGTTTCAGCCGGTTATCAAAAYTTCTTAATTTGTGTCGAAATGTTTTTTGCAGCTCTAGCTCTTAGATATGCTTTTCCTTATCAGGTATGTATGTTACGGTATATTTAAATATTTATTCAATTAATATATTATGTTTGTTCACAACAGATATACTCCAGCGGCTGCTCGACTGATAGTCAGGGAAGGTCTGTAACAATGCAGAGCATATCAAGCAGTTTGAAGGAGACTATGAATCCTAGAGACATCATGAATGACGCCATACATAACTTTCATCCCAATTATCAACAGTACACTCAATACCAATCGTCCACTAAATCCAACAGTGGTTCTGCAAAACCAGTTGGAGAGACGGGAGCTTTAAATAAGTCAAGTGCTGTTAATGACCCTCAGACTGGCTATAATAGTGTCTCCATTGATGTGAACGCAATGAATGGCGTCGTGAATATGGCGGCCACTATTGAGACTGAAGAGGCAAAATCTGGTAAGAAGTCTACACCACAGCCGGGAAGACAAATACAAACAATTAGTCAAAATTATTCAGAAAAAACAACATTATTATCATCTGATGATGAATTTCAATGAATTTTATTCATACCTTTTATCTCTCCTTTTAATGAAAATGTTTTTTTGACTGCATTTATTAGGAGTTATAAAAGTTATGATTCTTAAAATTATTTATTTAATTATAATTATTAATATTTAAAAAATTTTAAGCTGTTTATGTCATATTTGGAAATGAAATAGTGATCTAAAAATATTTGAGTTTGTTTTAAAATGTTGGACCTATTGAGTTGAAAAGTATCGTATAATTGATATTTATTATATTTGTACATTAATTCCATTTGAATTGTATTTTTGTGCAATTATGTCAACTTATGTTATAATCTTTTAATCATAAATTATATTAAATATTTGAAATAAATGAAAACTTTTGCCCGACAGTTGTTCAAACAAATGTAGTAAATGTCTGCAATTAAAAGCTAATTTTATTTATAATTAAGTGAGAAATTGATTTTATGATATTATTAGAAAAATGGTCACAACTTTGTAAATGATTACTTCATTTGTTTGAACTATTGTTAAACTATTGTCAAAATACCAAAGAATTAGTAAATATATAATTATCTAAATMTTGTAATCATTATAAATATATGTTATATAATACGGACATTATTTTTAAGAGTTTTCTATTTTGAATATAAATATATATTTTAGTTTTAATGTAATTTATAGTAACTAATTCTCACTCTTTGGTAATTTGACTGTTTGGCCATTTAAACTAAATTTAAATCCTATTTAAAATTATAATTTAATTATTTGAAATTATGTATAGAAATGTTTTTTGTTATGCTCTGTACAATATTTGGTATTTAATCTTATTTAAAATTTGTGATTAAAATATATGTACAATAAATTTCTCTAAAATAATATCTTTATATACTATTTGACTTTATTTTAAGACATTTATCGTTATAATAAATAGTTTTTCTTTTATTTTTACTAATTTCTCTCAAAAGTCTACTTAATTGAGTGAAATATTTTTGTCAAATAAATGCATTAAACGATTATTAATATTTTGACAAAATGTTTGGTTATATTTATTATATATTAATTAAGTGTCGATTGTTTAAAAAGCTGAAAAATTAAGCAAAAATGTTATAAAATTGACTATTGATTGATATATTGTTGTATTAATAGTGATAGTACTGTACAGTACTGTAAGTCTGTAACATATGATTGCATTCATGGCTTGACTTGAATGACAAACACAACGATTGTGTAAACAGTTGTGAATTTGAATTACAATTTGAATCCATCTGTTATTTGTATCACTAATTATATGATTTGTCGATCACTTAATTAGATTTTATAGTTAAGTGTCTTTGAATATGATTTGTTGATTGCCATTGTTTTCGTCAATTTTATTATTTTATTTAATTATCTGAATTGATCTGAATTTATCAATGATTGCCATAAAAGTGATATTATTATCGCTGATTATTTTGATTACAAGAACTATCACCATATTATGTACACCACATATACAGCTCAATAAAGAGCGCATTGAAGATGCCTTCGGCGATCACCTAAGTGACAAAAATGCTGACAATCAACACAATGGCCACCATTTCGATCACGAGGCCGTTCTCGGCAGTAAAGATACCGCCAAAGAGTTTGACCAAATGAGTGCCGAAGAGTCTAAACGCAGACTTAGGGTATTAGTAAAGTCAGGAATGGATGTAAACGGCGACGGATTTGTCGACAAACAAGAATTAATTGATTGGATTCTTAAGTCATTTAAAACACTCGCCATTGAAGATGGAAACGAACGACTGGAAGAAGAAGATCTTAATAAGGATGGAGTCGTCTCATGGGATGAACACTTAAAAGATTCGTTTGATATCGAAGAAGATGTCGACGACAACCAATTGCTTAAAGACGAAGTTATGGCTGAAGATAAAGCTTTATGGAAAGCAGCGGATATTAATGGGGATAATGTATTGGACTCTACAGAGTTTGCGGCTTTTAATAGTCCAGAAGAGTTTGAACAAATGCATCAAACAATTTATGATCTAATGATGACTAAAAGAGATCGCAATAAAAATGGTTTTTTAGAAATTGATGAATTTGTCAGTGATGTTAACGGAAGACCATTAGATCCCAAATCTGAACATTATTTGGTAGAAAAAGATCGCTTCCATAATGAGTACGACTTGGATCACGACAATAGACTTAACAAAAAAGAGTGTCTTCTTTGGCTAATTCCTAATAACTACGAAATGTCCGAAAGTGAAGCCAATCACTTAATTAGTTTATCAGATGATAATCGAGATGAAAGACTATCTATTGATGAGATTGTTGATCATCACGACGTGTTCGTTGGCAGTGAGGTCACAGATTTTGGACAAAATCTTGAAAACGTAAGACTTAGCGATGAACTATAACTACAGATTTTTTATTACCGGTAATAATTAAATGAAATAATTTATTTCAATAACAATTTATATCAAAATATTTTATTTGTATTGACCCAAACAATGTCCGCAATAACCCGTTTCGACRGTTAAAAAGTCTACCTATAAGGTTAGGGTTTTGTAAGCTCTCCCCAATCGGGAGTTATTGTACACCAAATTGTTTGTTTGAATTTTATTTGTTTTCATTTAACAATTACAGTAATTTAAAGATCTCATAAATTATTTATTAGATTAGTTTATTTATATTTATTATAATTTGCTTATCGTAGTTGTGCCAAAATTTCTCAATTAGTTTGAATTATGCAATTTTAAGTGATAATAAAAATTAATTTATTTATAAAATATTGATTTTATTTTTCAAGTATAGAAATGACAATTATAACGATTATAATATTTTTAAATAATAAAACATGAAATCGTATGATAATATAAATTACTGTAAAATACAAAATGGATTAACAATTTATTTGTTCAAATATATGATTAGTAAAAAAGATAATTATTTTCCAATACTTTCAATGTTTCCATTGCAAGAAATGCCATCAAAAAGAAAGAAGTTTCTGATTGGAGTGTCTTTTTCAGATATAACTCGTATTACGTCTTGTGCTAAAACTCCTCCAACGACAGCACAAACAGGACTTAATTCTCCGAAGACATGTTTGTGCCAATCGTTGACTTTATTTGATATAATATCTTCATTGACACCCAATCTTTCAATCACTTGTTTCTCTAAAATAGCCAACTCTTTGATATCATTATCTCGTGAGTCGGGCGATGGATATCTGGAATGCTTGTCATAAAATTCTAGTAAAATGTGAGTTATAATAAATGAACTGCTCGTGCGTTTGGTCAGTCCGTAACCAGATTTGCCGGCTTTAACGGCCAAAGCTGTCTCAAGCGATACGAAACTAACTTTCTGTAAAAAATAACATAAATACCATTAGAATCAATAATTGTCTTATCATTGTTTGTGTTAACCTTTTCGACAATTTGTTTGACGGTGTCATCTAATTTAACCTTTTTCTTCAACGGTTCGTTGTTGTCTCCAATTATTTCTTCTTCACGTTTTACATCCTCTCTAAAGACAAAATTATTGATAATCTATAAAATGTTAAAAATGTTAAAAATATTTGAATACTCCGTGACATATGTGTGTTCAGATCCTAAGTCAGTAAAAGTGAATCCAAATAAACCCCAAACAGCAGTCGCAAAGAATTTGATTTTAAGTTCATTACAGAATTGGTTTACTTTAAACATCGTTTGTTTGTCATAATTGGATACAATTACCACTTGAAATGCACTCAAATAGTCTTTATCTTTGTCAGCAATGTTTCCGCACTCACTCTTTACGGCGACCATTGGATTCAATGACTGAACCAAATCTCGTGCCACTTCTGCCCTATTCTTTCCTAATTGTCTTTTAGTAAATAAATTGCTGAGTGAATCGTTTGTTGTCACTAATTGGTCGTCCAATAAAGTGATTGAATTGATTCCCGACAGCACTATATTCTTGACAATCTCAGACCCGACACCATTGATACCGGCCATCAATACATCGGCCATTCGCAACTTTTTCTGTGCCGAAGCACCCCATAAGCGTATTTGTCGGTCATATAGAGCGGCCTCGGCATCAGTTATGACCGAATCGACGGCAGTATTATCGGTCGTTGTGTTGACCAACTGATCAGTCGATGATTGCATTACTTCACACATGATATGAGTGGACAACAAGTGATTTCATTGAAAACGATTGCAAACATTAATGCATTGAATGCGCCAAACGTTGTCTCACTTGTAATCCAATCGTTGATTCATTTTTGTGAACACTTTCTCCTTTAAAACTATTAATACGATCTACAAGTCATATAATGTGTTGAATTCAACTAAAACTTTGCCGTAAAAAACGTTTCGTTTGAATCAACGATTAGTTTATATTTATTTGATATTAAAGACAATTAATACAAATAAAGACAATACCATTGATTACATACTTAGTTTGGGATCAGTTTTAGTGATTATTTACATTAACAGTATAACAGTTAACGATCAATATATAGTCAATAAGTTTAGGACAATGTTGTCGACGTAATGATTGTATTGTTTGTTGAAATTAATCGTCTGTTTTGATCCACACGTCGACCGAAGAGTTGATCCAAAACATTGCCATTTGATTAAGTGATTACAAGACACAAGTGATCAGTGAAAATGTTGATTGAAAACAACGAAACGGTAAGTGTTTGGGTGATGTTTGACAACATTTGATGTTTATATACGGTATGTCTTAATCTATTGGTTTAGTTCTTGAGTGAAATGACAAAACTGTTTCAAACAAACCAAACAAAAGGCGGATCACTATATATAACGATGAAGAGGTTAGAACCAAGAGATCATAAAGTCAAGAGTGGTTCCAAAGCCAAGTCGGAGTCACAATCATCGAGTGGTCAGTCGGAGAACAAATGTCTAATTCGTGTCCACAACAGCAAGAAGAAGATATCAACGATTGTGTCGGCAAAAGATGTCAATAAGTTTCAACTCGTGAGTTGATATTCATTGTATTGTATAGATTGTGATAATATGGCTAATATTGTATTGATTATTGTTTTAAGGCTTACGCTAACCTATTGAAAGGCAATTTGATTGGACTCAAGAAGAGAGACAACAAAAAGAAAAGTCCGAAATCAAAAGCCACTCAATAATTGTTACGATATTTAACTCATTTCATGTTATTTTTAATATTGTTTTATATATTTTTATTAAAAACAATTTAATACTACACTTTATTTATGATAAAAACCTTGTTTTTTAATAACTTAGCAAATATTTTATATCATAATATACAGTATTTATATAATTTAAATATATAATTAAAAGTTAGATTAAATTACAAAATAGTTATCATTTAAACATTTGTTTTCATTAAATAGCAGTTTTTATTAACATTTGATTCATTGAAAGCTGTCATCATTTTTTAAATGTTATTTTTGTAAACATTTGTTTTTACTATAAAAAATGATAAAAATGTAATAATATATAAATATTTAATTTTAGTTAAAAAATTAAAAATATTTAGTGATTAGAAGGATAAACAATTTAATGAAATATTATGTCAAACTATGAAATATCAATGATAGCATCAATTATAGTATAAAACTATTATTACAGTATAATCCATTAAAAATATAATATATAATATATATATATAATTTCTATATTACCAATGAATCAACAAATTTTAAATTCTGCTATTTTGTGTAATATTGTATTTATATAATTAATAATTTATTTTTGTAATTAATATTAATTTTAATAAGTTATGGCAAACAGTTAACATATTTATCTCGTATAATAAACCCTATAATAAAGTGTTTTGGATCTCCAAAGAGAGTATGAATTATCAAATTTCAACAAATAAATGCCTGAACCCGGATAGACATGTGAACCACTAAACACTTCCTCGTGAGAATCGCGACGATATATTGGGATAATAACACTAATTGGCGAAGTGTCTGTTTGACCACTTTTTGGTGATAATGTCTCTTTTTCGGGATCAATTGGTTGTCCCTTTTCAATATCGTTACCAATTGCTGTTTCACCTAGATTAATTTCTAAAAATAATGAAACTGGTAATTTAGATACAAAATTGCTCAAACCTTCTTCTTCCTCATCTTCTTCATCTTCACTTTCACTAATATGAACTGAGACCTGATTTCCTGGATTTTTAGTCCATTCAAAAAGTAGACCGAATCCTATATCATAGCTATCGGTACAGAATTCCCAGAAAATACAGGTGCCATCTTTATGTGTGGGCACTCTTACGGTCACAATTTCTCCGTGTCCTACTTTGATGATACCGTCACCTCCTTCAGCTCGAATCGACTCTTTAAAGGACACAATTTCTTTTCGAGTCCACATCGATGCGCCAGCTATTGGACCAAAACTTTCAGAGTCAGACTCACTTTCTGATCCTGTGGTCGGTTCCAAGTGATGATTGTTTTCATAGTTTTGATCCTCCTCTTCGTTGGTCAGTTTTGGTTCAAGTTTTATAGTTTGTGTGACTAAACTCGTATTGTTTGATAAATTGACTGTTTTATCACTTTCGTGGTTAAGATTATTATTATAACTATTATTCATATTCTGGTTATGACTTCTTTGTAACTCTTGTTCTCTCACTTGAAGCAAATATTGTTGATAATGTTGTTCTTGTAATTGTCGGATTAAATCATTTTGTTGTTCAATATTTCCGGGATATTGTTGTTCGGCATAAGATTTGAACTGTTGGTATGTCTGTCTGTTCAACGCCTCCTGAACTGCATGTCTAGTCATTTAAAATAATCAATATATTAATAAAAATATATTTTAATAATTTTGATAACAATTTATTGGTTTCACCGGTAAATTAATTTGCAACATATAATAAAAAATTGCTCACATTTGCAAAACTATAGATTATTTTTGTTTATACAGTAATTACTCTTTTAGTTGTCTAACAAATCAATAATTAACATCATTATAGAGTTGTGTTATACGATATATAAAAATATTTATCAATTTGTATATTATGTACTTTTTTACTGTAATACAAAAAAACTTTATACGATATTCTATAGTATATTTGTATACAAAAGCAAATTGTGAATATAATCTTCAAAAAAATTAATGATTATAAACAAAATAATTGTCTCATAAATGTTATTATAAACGATAACAATACAGTAAAATCGATTTATCTTATATACTATTGATATTTGTATTTCATGTTATGTTCAAAATAAAAAAATTTGGATAAATATCTGATTATTTTATTAATAATTACTACAGTAATAATTATAAACTATTACTCAATAAATTTATTGAAAAAAAACATAATTCAAGTATAATTATTATATAACTAAATCAAGATTTATAATTATATAAAATAGTTTGTCATCAAATAGAAAATCAATAGTATTTAGTATTGTTTTGGATAAAAGTAGTAAAACTAGTAATGAATGAAATAATCATTAAATGATAACAAAAATGGTAACCAATGTTATTAAGGATCGCGCATATCATCAATCAATTTCATCAATCGATTCAATGAAAGCAAAAGCAAACAACTGATGGCATAACTCGAGTCAAACGTAATATCATTTCATTACTACAAACACTTACTTCTGTTCTTCCGATAGTTTTTTCTCTTCTTCAGCCTTTCGTTGAATTTCTTCCTCAATTCGTTGTCTTTCAGTCTCATCGTGTAATCGTTTTTCTTCGGCTTCTTTAGCCACGCGTTTAAGTCTTTCTTTTTCGTCGAAATCAACTTTAAATGCTTTGACGTATGGCTCAAACAGTGGACACATTTGGTGCAAAAGTTTGACAAAACCTTTTTGTGCCGACAATTGATTCGTATCCGTCAAACTTATCCACGAATTTCTGATAAATAGTTATTAATGACAATCAAGTAAGTGATTGAAGACAAACCTGCGATCTTTGCCGACAATATCGAGAGGACCTAAAGGCTTGGCTTTTGAAGCATCAAATTTTCCGTATTTTTCTTGAAAAATAAATGCCATGAATTGATTGCGATTATCATATGACGGATGAAATGCTTTGCTTTCATTATCTGACAAATAGTGGTCAATACTATCAGTGATTAAAAGTATGGATCAATTGAATTAAATGGTAAACCTTTATAAAACTTGATGGCTATTTTGTACAGTTGTGTCCAGTCTTGTAAATGCCAATCGGACACCAAGTCGTCGTCATTTTGAAGACCATTCATCTGGTCTTCGGTCGTGTCATCACTCGGTTTGCTGTTAGTCTCGGTTTGACTCATAATTTGTGTCCAAATTTAGTGCAAATCAATACTGAATGCAATGAAACGTCAAAATGTAGTGAAAGTAGTGATCAATGGTTTTGGAGACAACACTACAAACACTCAAACATTACAACACATCTGACATCACAAACAAACAAACAGTGCTTTCAATGGCTAACAGATGTCAACCAATCTATCGTTTATACAACACTTATAGCACTTCCACGTATTGACTGACTCTCTCTCTCTCTCTCTCTCTCTCTCTCTCTCTCTCTAAACGCTTATGTAATGAAATACTCATACATTTACTATTAATACAATACTCGACACAAATCTATTAATTTTTAATACAATCAATGGATTATTATTTGACTAAATCTTTTTTGCTTACAATTTGTTATATAATTTATATTAGATTTTGATAATAATTATTATTAAATGCCAATGACTTGTGTTTTTGTTGTTGTAAACCATTAAAATAATAATAATTTGATATCAAATACTATATCATATATAATACATCTATACATATATTTATCAATTATAACCACATAAACACCTAAAATATTTACAACATTTTTAGCCCTTAAATAAAAAAAAACTGATGACAAATATAGGATAATAGTTAACAAAGAATAGTGTGTTTGATAAGTGTATTGTAAATGATTGTACAGTACTTTGATTTGATGGTAATCCAAGTCAAACAAAACGTTTATTGGCATTAATTTGTCATCAAAAACATCAATTGCAATGTTGATTATCTTTAGTGATTTTTGTGTATTATATAATTTATGTATTATATGTATATCATTTAATATAATACTAATAAAAACAAAACAATCCTCTTTAATGATTATATATTATCGTTTATAACATTAACTATTTAATTATATTTTTTATGATATTCAGCAACAATATTATGGTCTGCAATGTAGTGCTAAATGTTTTAAATTCTTGTATAGAAACAGAATATTCTGTAATATATTTATTATAGTGTGAACTGTTGTTATAGAAAGACATATACAGTATATACAGTACTACAGTCTTATTATATATCATTTGCTTAATCAGACATTAATTGGAGATAAATTCTGAGTTAATCCCATCATTAATCCGTATATTACTCTTAAATCTTTTATTTCATATCAATTTGCTATTAAATAAAGTTATTAAACTAAATAATAATGACTAGATTTTTAGTATAATTAATTCATATATCTGTATAATTTAATACATTAATTGATAATACTTTATACTAAAATACTTTATATAATGTATATTAATGTTTAAAGCATGAATAACTTAAGCCATCATTTAGTATATAATATAGTTTCAAAATAACTTTACCGTTGTTTTTCATGAATTTAGCTAGGTTAATATATATATATAGTTTTATAATTGTGATATAGGTAAATTAAATTTAATATATTAAAAATGTATAAATTTATTGCTGTGCATCTATATTAAAAATTAATAAGATATATTATCATCATATTAGATGTAAATCAAAACTACAAATGATATTCATATTATTTTGTAGAAACTTTATTATAATATGTGAAAATAGTTAAATATATATTTGTTTCAAAAATGGATGGTATTTGAAAATAATTTAAAATATTTAATTTAATTAATTTATAGAATTTAGTGCATTCTATAAATAAGAGTGACTTTATATATAAATTATATATCTATAGATTAATTTATATAAATTAGTATAGATTCAAATTTTACATTTTCAATTATTATAAAATATTTTTTATGACTTAATTAAATTTTAAAATCATAAAAAATAAAGCAATTTAATAATCAATAGTATAATATGAATATGATTTCACTAAATTCAAAGATACATAAATTAAAAATCTAATGTAATTAATTTTATTTGAATTTAACAAACAAAAATTATTTTACAGTAATTTGAATTTAAATAAATATTATTTTTATTATTAATTTATTTGTAAATCATTCATTTCTACGTTAATAAATTCTAAAAAATACTTATATTTAATGATTTTTTATATATAGTACCAAATGATTTGTTTTATTTATGCTTATGTATAGTACTTCCCTGAATATCAATACATATTATATAAAACATACAATAATGTATTGTATATGTTATAAAATCACAATGTCCATTCAAATAAATCAAAATAATTATTGCCAAATAATATATTAAATCAATTTAATAAAAATTCATTCAAAAAACACAATAAAAAAGTGCATTATAAGATATATACTATTTATATAAAATGATATATTAAGTAAGATATTAATTATTAATTATAATGATGTTTATAACAAAGTAAATCAATTATGCAAATAAATGCTTATTTTAATAAAGAAATATATAAATATATTCATATTAAATATTTAATAAATTATTAATAATAATAATAATTTATACATTTATTATTAATTTTATTTTATTTCTATTCTTTTTAAAAATTAATAGTATAAATAAAACAATAATAAAATTAATTACTTTTAATTTTGATTAAAAATATTTTCAGAATTGATCATGTTTATATAATAATATAATGTTTTAAAATTGACGCTAAGCTCAAGTAATAAAATTTTGTACTAAAAACAATAAAATTCAAAAGTATAATCTTTTGTTATTTTTTGTTAAATTGAAAACTGTTATAATCAGTGATTCAGTCGAATTGAAATTTAATTTCCTTATTAAATGTTGTGTTGAAAAGTGAGAGCACTATTAGCACAGTTAGCACACATATATAGACACTGAATGTCTATCCAACCAAAAGGCAGACACTATTGAGAGTCGAGTTTTTTGGCGATTCAAGAATTTTACACAATTTGTTTGTCTATTTGTTTGCTCAAAACATCCATAAAATAACAGTTTTCATCAGTAATTTAGTTGACTTTTTTAAGTTGATGTGTCATTACACCATACTATATATTATTATTATTATTATTATTATTAAATATAATATACTGTATTTACAACACTAAATGTTATTTTTATAATTAATTATATATGTTTTTGTTTGTAGATATATTACATAATTTGAAATTAGTCTTAATTTTGATGGTCATTAATTCAATTGGACTTATGACTTAAAATCGGTTTTGAATTGTTTGTAAAAAATTTACATAATAAGCAAATATGCAGTTTTATGTTTTAATACTATATCGATCTAAATCATAAAAAGATTTATATTATAATATATTTATATACAAATAATCCCCAAAAAAATTCAATATAATATGTTTTAAATATAGTTATAAAAGTTGAATCTAAAGATAAAATTGCAACAAATTTCAAACTTAGTTATTAATACAGTTTTTTTATCAATTTGAAAGTGAAGACGGCTTTTGACGAGATTTTATACACAATTTGTTTTGTTTTGGGAGCTCTTAGTTTATATGACACCATATCATTGATACTAATGAAATCATATGTACATTGAATGGCAACAATGATATCTTCGCAAATCACGACTCATTTGGCACATCGACATTGACTTCAATAGTCTTTGTGGTGATGGCATCCTTCTTGTCTCCACCGGAGGAGTCATATCCATCAACCAGTGTTTGTAATATGAATTTAATGATTATCTTATATATATTCTCCATATTTTCAGTATATCTTTCATCTAAAGTCTCTTTCACTGCTTCCAGAAATGGTGTCTCAATTTTCTATTATTATAAAAAATAATATTTTATTGACAAAAATTAGTTAATTTATAAATTGTCAATTATATAAAATATTATAATATATATATATACCGTATATATATATACTTTATATTGTTTAATAAAATATAAGATATAATAAGTGTTACCCAGAAATAGTCTTTTTGAAATCCTGGCACTTTGTGATGTAGTTTTCCGATTGAGTGCAGGTATTCAATGAAATAGTCGACGTTATCGAGTGAATTGATGGCTTCATCTAAAGAGGTCATCACAAGGGAGGCGTGTTCTGCGAGTTCCATACTCTCCATCTGTGACTCCCGAGTCTTCAATGTCTGAAACTTCTCAAATAGACTCAACAAATCTCTATTATCTTCAAACAATCTATAAATATATTTAATATAATTCATATTTATTATCATTTTTGTCATATATTTTAATATTTTATTATTTATATTTATCTAATATAAATTCAGAGGATAATTGTTAGCAATTTTAGTCATCATTTAGCAACTATTTACTTTTATTCAATTTTTAAAATTACTAGATTTGAAATATGTATTAAAAACGATAAATATATTAATAAATAAAGGTTAACTACAATATCTAATCCCAATTGACTAATATTATAATATTGTATATATTATACATATTTAACAAGAATATTCATATAAAGAAAGATTAAAAATTAAAGAAAAAGTTAAAACAATTAATATATAACTATACAGAAAAATAACTCAAAATTGCTAAAAAAATGTAACATAATTTATAACTCAGTCTTAAATAAAAATAAAAAATAATTTAATTATTACGACAATTTATATATACCACTAACTAATTCTTAGTACATATTATTAGCATAAAGTAAAATATAAAAATACATGTTATTTACATTAGTTTAATTTATTAGTAGAATTAAAAATTAATATATGATATATTAATTAACTTCAAATTAGATAATTCATTTAATAGTTTTTATTGATATTTAATATAACAAAAATATATTTTATWTATAAAAAAATTTTATAGTAAAACAATAGAAAATTAATTATTTAAAATTAGATCTAGACACATTATTTTATAATATTATATTATTTTATAATTTTATGTATTTATTAATTTTAATCCATACCATACAATTAAAACATACTGCATCTTACAATATATTTAATCATTATTTATCTAGTATGACATTAATTAACTTTTCAATGTATGATTTTTAAGCTTTTTAAGGATATTTTGAGATACCCAGCTTACATACTTGTCGTAAAACAAAAAATATATTGTACTAAATTTATAATATAATTTACTATACATAAAGTTACTATGACAACAAGTTTGTATATATATATCTAAGTGTGTGCATAGCATTAGACAATCATTTCATTCATTATAGGTCTTTACGGTCTAAGTGTGTGCATAACGCACTGCATAGCATTAATAGTGTATTCTTATTAGATCACTCTTAAACTACGTTATCATATTTATTTTATTTAAACAAAAATTATTATGTAATGTTGTATTTGAAAGGAATTATTATTTGGTAACCGAGTTGATTGACAACATGTACACTGTACATAAAGTACTGTATATATATATCAGGGTTAAGTAAGGGGGGGTAAGRCCAAAATACCCCCCTAAAATCGAGTATTGGGATTTTACCCCCAGACTTTTTGACCAAATGAGAAAAATCGTCGCTTAAAACGATGAGAAATGACCCCCCCTAAAATTTCGGCGATTTCTAAAATTTTTTTTAAGTTTATATAAATTTTAATTTTAATTGATACTAATTTAGTAAGTCTTTTTATGTTTTTAAAATTTATATGAATCTAATTATTGATTAAAAATATTTAATAAAACGTTAAAACTCATCAAAAAATAACATTATTTTAATTAAAATATTAAACTAAAAAATTAAAAATTACCTATTTGTTGAAAAGAGTCATTATATTACAATTTAAATATAAGTTTAAGATAGTTTAAGAAGTTAATAAAACATAAATACTTATATTATWAGGTTTTATTAATAATTTTTAAAATTTAACAAAAATTTTGAAAATATTTTAAATTTTATATTTAATATAACTAAAACTTTAACAAACATTGAGTTAAATAATTATTATTCAGTCAGTATTTGTATAAAAATAATATTTAAAAAATAAAAATATATAACAACTATAAACATTATAAGTATTTTATAAAAAATTAATTATTTTAAGTTAAAAATTATTAAAATACTAAAAATAAYTCATAGTGTATCTTTAATGCTTTTATCAACTATTTKTAAATCTTAAATACATTATTTTTTGTTAAAATTTAAGTTTTTGTTAATTTTTAAATTTTTTTATATATTTGGAAATTTTACCTATTTTCCTGGGAATTTATACGGCAACTTATGGGAATTTAAGGAATTTTTAAGGAATTTTCTCTTGACCCTATACCCCCAAGATTTTTCGAGAATTTTGCAGATTTCACCCCAGTTACCCCCTCCCCTAAAATCCAAAACCTTGCTTAACCCTGATATATATATATTATATATATAATCAATATAAAGTATGTCACTAAAATTTATTGAACTTTTTATGAACTTTTTATTTATTGAATTTATTACAAATTATTTTGTTTGTAACTTTTTAATATAATTTTTCTTTTAAAAACTTGTCTTATGATTTTTATCACCAATTTTATTTATAAATAAAAATATTATATTTGGAAAACTAAAAAATGCTAATTAATTATTTTAAATAGTTTTTATTGAAATGATACTAAATATCCAAATAAACATTAATGCATTTAATTGTCGGCAAATAATTGTATACAACAATCTGTTATTTATACAAATATGTGTAAATTACTCTTATATTTATAACAATATATTAATATAATGCGTGTATACATACAGTAATACATCATTATTATGAAACAAATTCAAAAGATTAATAACATTTATTTGTTTATTTAAGTTACAATAATTAGTTTGTAAAAATAGATTCCTAGATATTATTATATTATACATAATTAAAATAAATGAAATAATTGTAATWACATTATTTACATTTACATTATATAAATAATCACATATATAAAAAATACACTTTCATTTACAAACTTTCCATATGTATATAAATATATATACACGCAATAGAGTTGGAACAAAATCATAAAAATTGAAATTCCAATATAAATTCCCTTCAATTTTTGTCGGGTCATTTTATTTACATAAATTGCAAAACAAAATCAATTTATATACCATTTGATTAAAATAACTAATTTATTTTATAAATTATATTCATACATAAAGAATTTATCAATGCTTAATATTAATAATACTGTAAATGTTAAGATGAAATCAAGTTTCCAAAAATTTATGAAATATAGAATTTCGAAAATATTTAAAGAAATGAATATTATTGAACTCTAGTTAAAGAATAAATATATTGATAAATCAATTGTTGAAAAATAAAAAAACCAAAGTTTGTATACAAATGTGCTTAAAGAGAAGGGAAACAACTGTAGTGACCCTAAGACTCAATTTATTGAATTCATTGAATCGCTTAAACAACAATATATTGTAAGAGAAAAAAAACTTTTTTGTTTGATTTGAGATGTTTTTATTTGATTGAATAGAAAGCCTCCAATAGATTGATGAATGCTTTTTATTGTTTAAATATATGTCCATTTGTTTAGCATTAAAACTATAACTGTGTTATTAATCCAAAAATCGTGATTACATCTGATTTTACATTATTTGACAAAAATAATGTCAGCTATTATTAATAAAATGCTTATAAAATATAAAGAATTGACATAAAGTTGTAAATAAGGGAAAAATGTCAATAAAAGTATAAAACTGAAACTAGAGATCACTGTTACAGACAGTAAAAAACATTTAGAAATAAAATGATGATTTGAATGTTTAACAAATGGTATTACAATATATGATAACATATAAGGCTTAGACAAAGGTTGCGGTACATCAATGTTGGCAAAGTTGAGACATGTTTTACAATAATACAGTGAGAAAAATGACAAAAACATAGTTACAGTCAATATTATCGACTCAACAAAGTTATTGGTCTTTATCTGATTGTAGACCAAAACTGACGCTCAATTGTCATCGCCAGCCATACAATACATACAATCCTTACAATGCTATCTATTCTGTAGTTTCTCTATTGCGAACAAAAGTGCAAATAAGTGTCAAAAATGTGTTCAACTAATCATAAACTCTATTAATTTTATAGAGTCTCACCTTTTCATATAATATTTCTTGTGGCAAAATAAAGACAATTTATATATCCATACTTTCAATTAGTTTTAATGCCATATATTTACACAATAAATAAGGTATTATTTACCTTAAATATTATATAATGTATTTGATATTTATATAAAATTATGTATAACTAAAAAATAATAATTATTCAATAAATTTAAAATACATTTTATTATTACTAAAATGTGAATTGTTTTTTATAAACGATAGCAAAATTAAAACACTATAAATTAATTTAAACATTTTGATAAAAATATTTTTTAAAATTAAGAGCTTCAAGCATTTACAACAAAGTTAAACATTATATGTTGTTTGTATTAAACAGCATTCAGAGTTTAATTTTACTTTTAAGCAAATGGTATAATACAATAAATTTAAACAATTTATAAAAAATATTAAGTTTAACATTATTGATTTATTAGATTATATAGTATAAAACTAGGAACAAAATAGTTTAGACTCAATAATCATAAATTGCAATATGATGGAATTGTACATCAAATTAATTTTTATGAAAACTAAATATATTATAATATTTTTACATTTTATTATTAGCACAATTAGATGAGCACTGAAACTATAATAAATCAAATTCATTAAATTAGTTTTCTACATTATAAATACTAACTGTTTGTTAAAAAAATAGAATTTATATTGGATAGTATATTTTTTTTGACTAAAGTTTCTAGATAGTTTTTTTGTAAATAATTTTTTAAAATTTTATATTTTGATTACAATAATTTTATTCTTGTATTCTATAATTTGATTTTTATAATATATTGTACTTCAAAACAATTTTATAACCAATTTAATTCAATGTATAATAAAAAACGATATTTTATTGAATATCTCAAAATATACTGTATATTTGATCTAAATATGCATAAATTTATTTGAATGATATTTTCATATTTATTTTGATTACTTTAAGTCAATAAAATGCAATCCAATCCAATCATATTGATATTTATGATTATTCATTCCCAACCATTTTCATTCTGGTGGCAAATAATATAATACTTCATATAACATACACTACTTTAGTATCCGATTTATATAAATTATTGCAATAAATTTGATTTAYTTTCAAATTTAATTAGTAATCATATTACATATTTCACAATTTGAGTAAATATTGATAATAATAAACGTTTGATACATATGAACAACAAAAATAGTACTATAAACTTACAGTATAATAAAATTATTATAAATTACAATAATATCAATATTACATAAGCAATAAAATATAAATTGAGACGACTATCTACAGTAAATAATGTATGTCTTAAAAATATAAACAGTAATAATATATTACATAAATTTCAATAAAAAATTATTAAATTAAATATATTTTAAATTCACAATTTCTGAATAAATATCTATAGGTTATAATACATTTTCAAATAATGTTAATTATTATTTTTTCTATTTTTTCATGTAATACACTCTTATGCATTCCATTGAAAATGGGAGAAATCAATAAGTTTTATCAAAATGTTGTCTTGTATTTTGTATTTATTTCTAAATTTATATTACTAATGTCATTCATTACCAAAAATTTAATTTATATTATTATTATTATTATTATTACAGTATATAATTTATTTATTTTGATCTCATAATATAATGTATTAATAATTGTAATTCATGGAATTATAATTACAATATATGGAGATTCCATACTACAGTATATAAATTAGTAATCATATATTATTTTGATAAAATACTGTATAAATTATGATAAAAAATTCTATAACAAAAAAATTAACTTATTAGTTATATAATTTATTTATAATTAGAGTTTAATAAAAATTTACAGTAGCATTAAAAATTATGAATATCTTCAATAAGAAAAAAACGTTTTAATTTAATTATTAAAATTAATATTCAATAATATGTAACAATATTTGTTGTTTCATTAACTGTTTGCGATACCTAAAGCTCATACTATTGATATTCAAATTGTTTGACACATTTTATTAATATTTTTGTGATTAGAGTTAGACAGAAATTGTATATTTTTGTTTTGGATAATATTAATTAATGCTGTCTTTTATAATATATTATTATTATTCATTTACCACTTCAATAGTTATTTGGTTTTTAGATTTGAATTCTTCAATAATGATATTACAAATATCAAAAATATCAAATTCAGTTACAAAATCGTATTGTATTAAAAATATAAAGATTTAATATATAATAATTTATTGTACATTAAATGAAATAAATTAATCTGTAATATATATATATATTACACATTTTATGACTTTTTGAACATTTCCGGTAATAATATTATTGTGGTGCAATATTATACAGCAATTTTTATTAAGATAAATATATATATATATATATTATGCAACTAAAAAGTATTGTCTAAAACCTAACCAACTAATAAATTATTCATTTATATATTTTATTTATAACGTTATTTAACAGAAACAATTTATAAATTTTTATAAACTATATCATTTTAAAATATTTTTTATATATAATAAAATTATCAAATATATTGTAAATACGAGATTTTTATTAAATTTATTATATATCCTAGTATTAAATGTACTATATTTTGTAAGATTTAATATTCATTTATATCAATAGAATAGCTTAATATTAATTAAAGTTTAGGAATTGCAATACAGTTTTAATATTACTAACAGTCAGTTATTGAAAATACATTGAAAATATAAATTATATATATTTTTGTGATCATTATTTATAAATAAATTAACATTTTTTGACAATTGTTGTTTATAGTATTGCAATTTGTAAATAATATAATATTTCTGAAATATTCATTTTATTATTATAGTAAACTGTGTTAAAYTAAAATATAAAAGTAATAATATTAAAATTTATATGAAAATAATTAAAAATGACAAAATCGTAAATTATACTCTCTCTCTCTCTCTCTCTTTTCTTTCTTTCTTTCTTTCTATATATAATACCCTATTTAAAGGAAATAAACAAATCTATTTATAGATGTCAAGWAATTTTACTAAAAAATAATAAAATTCGGTTTGCAATTAAAAATTAATTCAGTTATAAATTATAATTTAATAAATATCAAATAATTTTATATAAATTTAAATTAAAACTAAAAATGACTTATATAAATAATATGAATAACATTAAATAAAATACAGTATAACCATTTAGCAAAAATATWGTATTTTTGTTAATAAAAATAATAGTAGTATTATATGATTAGCGGACAAAAGTCAATTAATAATAGTTAAACCAATTGTTTAGTCGACATTACTAAACATGTTTAGGATGACTGCCAGTTACATCAAATCATGTTTAGACATCAATTCATAACTATTAATTGTTTGTCTCTCTATTACAGACCACAAAATAAATAGATTTATATAATTTAATTTAGTCTCATAATAAATAGTATACAAATTAAGTAAATACTTATATATAGTTTATTTAATTTAGTCTTTATAAGTCAATATTAATTATTTTTGGGGTTTTAAATAAATTTATTTTGAATTCGACAATAAAGGCAAAAACAAATACATTAATTTCATATATCATATGATATACAGTAGATGTCAAGTAAATATATGTAATAATTAAAATCAACTAAATATTGTATGTTGTAATCGGTATTAATTTGTATGAAATCACACGAGAGATTCATAGATTAATACTCTACTTATATTTAATATATTATTATTGTTAAGGTATCACAAGTACTGTATTATTGTTATTATTAATTATATAACTTATAACTCAAATTGTTAAATAATAATCAGTATTGATATCTCTTTCAAATCTGAGATTATGATTACAATTTAGAAATAGTAAATATTCATATAATAARTACAATAAATTTATATACCGGTATATAAGGTACTGTATTATTACAATACATTGTTAAATAAGTAATTAATATATTTTTAAAAAATGATATAATAATAAAAATAATCACTTACTTGACAAACATAGTAATACCCGTCCGTTCCATAGCACGTGCGATACCTTTCCATGATTTTGAAATATTAAACTTTTGTCTTACATTTAATGGTAATCTTGGATCAGCCAGTGGTTGATCCGATTGGTTTGTATTGGTGGGTGTATTCCTGTTAGTAGCCGTATTGTACTCAGTGGTCGGCGGCTTCGGCAGTGGACATCCCATCACTATAACAATCACTTCGATATAAATCTTCACTTTTATGTAATTAATCAAATAATGTCCAAAATGTGTCCAAAATGTGTCCAATTATTGTTATCATATAATGTTAGAAAAATATCATTAAAACAGCCATTAATGATCACTGACTATCAAATAATATAACATTATATACAATAATACAATATATTTGTAGTATATTTCACTCTTGATGTGATCAAAACATAAGTGTAAATAATTTAGTCGGTTATTATTGCTTTAAATTTTTTATATCAAGTGGTGGTTAATAACAAGATTTTAATATTCAAATCAAATTTAAATAAAAATAAATAAAAATTGAATTAATAAATAACAAGACTTATAGTGACTATTGGTTTGAAATGCAATGAATGAGATTAGGCTTTGGAGAGAATTGTCAGACAATTGTGATCTATATTATGATATTATGTATAGTAAGGCATGAAATGCTATTTCAGTCTCAATCCAGTGCTGCGACTCTGTTGACTACACCAGTAGTATATCATTGATCCTAACATTACTCAACACAATCCATACAATCCTCTATAGAGTCTATACATCACTGTTTCACTTACTATACATTACTATCATCTCTACAGTTAACTGAGCCCTACATCTCTCTATTTAAAGACCATTTGAAAGCAAATTAAATATAAATTTTGGACAAATGAGAGCATTTGATGCTTATTACAGTATATTATGTATATATGTATATGCAGTATATATTTTGGCAAAAAAAAAACTATTATAATATTTAGACTTTAGAGCATCAAATTTCATGTTAAATTTTATTAATAAAAAATAATATATTTAGCAAAATGAAATTTAAAATAAAAATATTATTTTCAAAAAAATACTAACATTTTTATCAAATAAGTTGTATAGTACAGGTATAAATTATTCTAATTTATAGTTAAATTTATAATTATTAATAATGATAMTAACATTTTAATAAAGTAGCAAATATTAGCTGAAATTTATTGACATATAGAAAATTAGATATTAGATATAGATATAGATATTTCGTGACAATTATTTACTAAATGTATGTAAGACTGCTTACAGTAGTCTTATTGCGTTTGTATTAATTTTTATATTTTATTAAAGAAACTATTTAACAATTACTCAAATATTTAAAAATTACTTTTAAACTATAAAAACATCAAAAATATATCATTCATGTAATAATATAAATTAAATAAATTTCTAAAAATATTAGTTAAAAAAATATTTTTTAAGAGTTAGAAATTTAATAGTTAATTAAATTATTAAAATAACTATTGATATACTAAATAACTTTAATTCTAAAAAAGCATTAAATTACGATTATTTCTATTGAAATATTTAGTTATTTGATGTTAACATCTGTTTTATGTCATGAAAATTATGAAATATTCAATATTAACAACAAATATTATAAAATGTAAAGATTGTCATATATTACTAAAAATACTATTTATAATTTTTTATTTAATATTAAAAAACACTTGTGTGGTCTTTCAAAAACGTAAATAACATTTATTAAAAATGACAAACAAAGTACAATAATTTAGAAATGCGTAAAAACTCATCAATAATAAAATTATGTTATATTTACATAATCCTAATACAAAATTAAATACTAAGTTTTAAAAATTTCTATTTACATCACACCAAACAATCCGTTATATTTACATAATATAAAGACATTTTATTTACTTGTTCTCCAGTTATTTAATATATATATAAATTTATATAAAATAAAACATATTTAAAAATACAATATAAGATAYATAAATTTGAATCAAATAAAAGTTGCCTAAAATGTAAAATAAGATTTCTACATGTTTCTAAAATCAATATTTTAAATTTAAGTATAAATATATGCTAATTTTTTATACAAAAGTTTAGTGTGAATTTATATGAATTGAATTTATTGTATTATCATATTATAATTAAATAAATTATTAAACATGTAATTAGTTTAAAGTACAGTTGTTTGCATTTAATATGTGTTATGGAAATATATACTGAATGATCATAAATAGTGTTACAATTCTTAAGCCTTAAAACAAATAAAAAACATTTATAAGTATATAGATTTGCGGCAAATATTTCTAAAAATTTATTATATTTATACAATAAATTATCGTCTCTATAACTGTATATTATCCTCTTTTTTGTTAAGTTTTCAAGAACTTGTATTTGTATGATATAATCAATCGAAGATTAAATAATTAATAAATTGCTTGCATTTTATAACAAAACATTTAAATAATATCTACTAATAATTTTATGCTTACATTACGGTATATTCATAGTATTATAAAATTTACTTTGTATTTCAATTTTAAAAGTAATTTGAACTATTTAAAATAGTAAAAATTTTATTTGTTACATTTAATATAAAGTCAAATTAAAAATTCATATAAAATACAAACTATATTTTGTTTATATATTAGTTTAAAACTGTCGAATAATTATATTAATATTCATGTTTACTAATTACTGTTYATATAAATAATAAATATTATGCTAAATAATTAAGTATATAAAATGTATGTATTATTTAACTTCAATTTTTATATTAGAGTGTTATTAATACAGCAAAATGAATAAAAGATACTATAAGGTAACTACGCTTATTATAGCTGATTAAAATTTTAATTATGTTAACTTATAAATTTATAAAAATTGATTTAATGGTTTATAAAGACATTTAATTAAAAGTTACTTATTTATTAATTAAATATTTAATGCTGAGGTTAATTTTTGTGCCAATTGTACAAATCTAATTATTGATTTAATTGTTAATTAAATGCTTATTGTTAATGGAATAATTTATAATTAATTTAAAAAATATTTTTTGCATCTTACAAATAAAATTAATATTAAACCAATACGATCATCAAGTCTACAGTAACCATACATACAAACTTATAATTAGGATCTTAGTTTAATTTTATATATTTTTCTATAATAATTTGCTAAAAAATTGGTTTATTTGTGGTCAATAATCATGATCCAAAAGAGATGACCAAAAGGACCGGGAGATCAATAAAACGCTACCAAATAGACATATATTTATAAATGTAATAAAATTGAATTTATTTTTAGGCATAGATTAAATTCATACAATTTTGAACAAAAATTTTAATATTTTGAAAAAATCAAATTCATAGATAGATAAACATATAGACATAACTAATTTAATTATATATTCTTCTAAAAGAGTATAAAGAGAATTCGTTGAAATGTTTTATTAAAATCATTTAATCAAAACATTATTTTTTGACTAATACTATATGTTATATTAATATATATAATATATACTATAGTAAATACAATAAAATTAGATTAAGTTATAGCACATGTAAAGTAAAGTTTTTAAATATAATATATGAACTTATTTAGTATTTAACTTATATACTAATGAACAATCTAAATAAATAATAAATTATTCTATATCAACTTGAAATTATAAATATAATTAATAAATATATTATAAGTTTARAAACAGTACTTACATTTGTTATAAATTTTTGTTTATTAATATATCAAAGTTCTAACTTTTATGTTAAAATAAAAACATGTTAAAAATTAAAATTTTAAAAATGTTAATTTAAATTAGATTTTTAAAAATCAAATGTTTGAGTAGAAGACTGACTAAATGGTTAGTTTGTCGTATGATTTGCTATATGTGTCCCTGAATTGAGAATCAAATAAATAAATAGTTATTTTTCCATTTAATGACAAATTCTTGTTTGCCATGAATTTAAGCTTAAAATGCAATAAAGTTTTTCATTGATAAGATATAAATTGAGCTATAAATGTGAGTTTTATAATTGACCACAATATTAGTTCATTTTTTTTATTTTTAAAAACTTGAAATATATAGTCTTTATCAGCACTTTAACCCAGGTTTAGGTAAAAATTGTAGATTTGATGAGCGCATGGGCTAAATGTGTAAATTAATTATATACAGTATTTTAATATTGTTAATAAATATCAAAATCACTAATCATATACTAAAAGTTTACTTTTAGTTAAATTAATAAATGAAATGATATAACATAATATCACTTTAATTAAATACACAACACATTTAAAAGTTTATATGTAAATGTTAAAAATATACAATCTATTATACACAGTAATTACTGGTATATTAAAAGTAACAAATTAAACATATTTCAGATTAAATATTTATAATGATTTCATTAATATATTATAGTTTATAGTTTTATTATAAATTAGTGATTTAAGTGATTAAAAATTTAGAAAATTAATCTAAATATTAAAGGGTTTGGAAATAAATTAATTGAGTCTTTTGTGGCGCCCTCTGGTGTCAAACTTTAAATTAAATAAAAACGTATTAATTAGCGGTTTTGAAAATGTTTTTTAAATTTAATAAAAATATCTTCAAATAAAATCTTTATCAATAAAAAATGATATTATTTTATAAAATCATTAAAAAATATATAATTAAAGTTTAATTTAATAACAAAATTAAGTATTTAACAAATAATTATTTTTAATCATTTATTTTTCAATTTAATGTTTTTATTTATATTAATAATCGAATATTATTTGAAGATATTTTTATTAAATTAATTAATATTTATTTAATATTATTATTGTTTTATAAATTCAATAAATTATATGAATTTTCAATTGAATATTCAACTTAAAAATAAATTCAGTTKAATTTTGCATCACTATTATAAATATACACTGTCATGTATTTATTGCATTTTTATTAAATAAACATTATTATTATTTGTTTATTAAATATTTAACATTGCTTAAATACAGTATTTAATTATAAAAGTACATGTTTGTTTTAGACAATTTCAATTATTAAAATAATTTTTAAGTATAAGATTATTGCTTGTTATTTAAAATCATTTATAAGAAATGTTATAATGTTTCAAATATATTATTTGAGTTATTTTATATACATTTAATTTTATCAAATCATTTTTAATAGGAATCATGCAATGAATTAATGATTTATAGTCTTAATAATCATACAATACTTTAATAATAATAATAAATTGGTATTTATATATACTATATATTGAGACATATGTTGAATATATGTTAAATTATTAAATTAAACTGATATTTAAAGGAATTATTAGGAAATATTTATTTATAATTTGACATCAATATATAGATATGTTATAACTATTAAATAATAAAACGGAAACAGTATCAACTAATAATGTATTTGTTATGTAATCATTGTATAAATTTACAAATAAATAATTAATATTATTGTATATTAAGTAATACTTTTTTTTGTTTTATTAATTTAAAGTTGTAATAAATAACACAACATATTTGAATATTCTTAAAGATAGATTAAATATTGTAAAATAATCTATTTTTATCACTATTTTTAATAACTATTTTTCAAATACTTAAATAAAACATATATAATATTTTGAACGAACAATATTTTAGTTTAATAAAAATAAAGTAAAATTATACTGAATTTGAATAATATTAAAATAGTTATTTTTTAAATGATTACTTTTATATTGAATTCAAATGAAACTAAAAAAAAATTAAAAAATAACTTATAATAATTTATAAGCATTTTATTATTCATAGTCATGAAAATACATTAAAGCTATAAAAGTGAAGTAAAATATAATTATACATTATATATAGTGTTTTTAAAAATTAAATGTACTATTTTATTATATACCTTAAATAATTTAATAAAGAATTTGAAAACTTACCAAAAATATGTATATCTGAATAAAGTCTAAAAACACTTTTTCATAAAAAAATATTAAATAATTTCGACAAAAATCCTTTTATTTATTTAGAAAAATTACATTTTAAAAAATATTAAATTTAAAAACAAGTGCATTGAGTTGTTTGTTAGTGAAGCACTGGTAGTTCATTACTAAAAGCAGTTCCTTGTATACCAGTATACCTGTAGATCAACAAATCAACTAAATATCTAATGAAGTCATTTAAAAGCATTCGTTTAGAAATTTTTGATAAAAATCTTTCATTTTTTTAAAAAAACTAATTCAATGTCAAAAATAGCTGATTTGCATTTATATTTCTTTTATTAATCATTAGTTTTTATAACATATTTTCAAATTTATACAATAAATGTTATAATAATGCAAATGAATGCATGCATGCAGTGAATGAAATAAAATTGATTGAAATAATTAATTGAATGAATGAATGAATAAATAAATGAAACAATCGAATAGTGATTTATGTTTTAGAAGTGATTACTAATTGATTAAAATATTTATTAATATTTTAATAATCATAGTTTATGTAGTTTATATAGATATATAAATGTCAATTAAATAAAATTTTTCATATAATTAATTGCAAAGTTGAAAATGTTTTTAATAGAAAATTAAAATAAACGAAAACTTGAATACGTTTATTATAAAAACCAATATAATAGTCATTATAGTATTAGTTTTAAATATAATGGACACAAACACTAATAAATTGATGATTGAAGAGAAGACAAACAATGTCTTAACTGATAATAAATTTACAAAAAGGTTAAGAAAGAAAAACATTGAAAATGACAAAAGTATTGAAGCAAATGATGAGTCAATTATTGAATCAAATGAATGGACAGATAGTGGACAGGAATGTCAACAAAAAGACAATAATTTCAATTGCAGTCCAATTGAGGAAATGAGAGGTGAACCAGAATGGTATCGCTTCCAGACATCAACTTCAACACCAAATTCATTGAAAGACACTCTTCCAGATGTTTGTATTATTTGTATAATTAATATTAAATACAATACTATCGCCTATTGATTGGTTTGTTTTATTATTTTAGTTAAACATTTCGAGTATTAGTTGTGAAAGTAATGACTCAAATATGTTGTTTAACCGACAAATATCTCGTTTTCAGATAACCGATGAGTTAATCAATTCATGCATTTTTGATGAATTTGAACCAAACGAAGAAAAGTCTTTGATTAATACAAGTGATAAATAGGTGTATAAAACATATAAACAGCAAAACATAGTTTGATTTATTTTGTATAAAATACTTAAATTTTTGAACCGGTTTTCAATTAACCAATTATTTATAACTTGAAAATACTGTCTGATATTTTGTATTAATACATTTATAATATAAAAAATATAAATAATTTATAAATATTATAAAATACTGTATTTTATTGATAGTTTAGAAATTGATAAATTTTAAAATATAAATTTGTAAATAGATTTTATATATTAAATAATTGTTATTCAGATTAATATATTAAAAATTTAATTTTAAATACAATTTAAATAAAAAAAATTTACATTTAAATAACTAATTGAATCACAAATTAGGAGGAAGTGAAGGATATCTTCGTTTATATCGATCGACTTTTAGATGAAGTCCTTTAATATAAAAATTATTACTACCAGTGGTTTCACCTATTATAGTGTCGACACTTGTTTTGCTGTTAATTTGAAATGAAAATGTGATTTTATTATTTAAAAATATATAATCTATAAAACATTTAAATTTAATATAAGTTATAACTTACGAAACAAAGTAAACAAAAGCAAACATAACTCCAATCCTTTCGACAAACTTTAGAGACACGACTTTACCGTAAATGTCAAACAATAACTTGAAGTCACTCTTTGAATATCCGAGCGGTATATTAGCGATGAATAAAATATTATTATCATTGATGTCCTCAAGATTTTGGGCGCCGATTATTGTAATACTTTGTTGACCAACAAAGTCGGGCCGAGTCTTAGTATTATTTTGATCCCATTTGTTTGCTTTGTATTTTGATTTATTAAAATTATGGATTATTCTAATCTCTGACTGACATTTGACATCACATTTATTGACCACATTTTGCTGAGGATTGCTTCTTAAGGCGTCAGCAAAACTGGTCAAACCGTTGTGGTTGTCATCAGTTCGCAGATCTTTCTTTTTGATCGTTTCATTCATGTTATCAATCCATCCATTTTGAGTAAACTTCGTATAGTTTGGATCAGTTTGTGACTTATCGCGAGACTTAGACTCAAACAAATCACACAAATATTGATTTTGTTTGTAATTGAATGCTTCACTCTCTTCTTGATTGTCATATTTGTCGTCTTTAATGATTTCATTTACAGAAATCGGTAATAAATCATTTTGTTTGCTCTCAATTGCAATTTCTATGACATCTTCATCAACACAATTGGATTCATTAATCAATTTATCAATATTTTTGACAATTGTGTTAAACTCGAGGTCTTGTGATGTGGAGATCAATGAATGGTCGATATTGTCATTGACTGTCATTTTATTGGCTAAATTTGGTGCTTCAGATCTAAACAAGTGATCAAATGAATCAGTTATTGGCGCTAATAATGACATAACAGTTGTCTTAAAGTAGTCCTTATTTTGAGAGTTACGACTCATGAGAAATGTTTGGACAAACTTTCTTCCGATGAGTTTTGTTTGTCTAATATCTTGATCGCTGTAAATGTCTTTAAGAGTTCCGATTACCACAAACGCCATATCAGTTCCACCCAATGAATATGGCTTTGAACACACTTTACATGTCTTGTAATCAATATTAATATTATAAGCAATTAATTGATTGTTATTGTCTTTTATGACATCTTTAGACCAAAACTGGTTCTCAATATGTTCTTTGATTTCTTGTTTTCCAAATGCGATCCAAGTTTTGTCAAAATCTCCATTAAATATGAAAGTCGAGTCATCACCAAAAAGATCCAATACTTCGGATACTTTAGTACAGAAACTCTTGAAATAATTTAATACTAATTCATATTTCATTCTTCAGGCAAAACAAAAATCTGCTGTAAATGAAGTAAAACTAAGAAACAAATTCAAGTGATATTTTAAACCATTTATTAAATATGTATTAATTATATTATATTCATATATCATATTAATATATCGCGAGAATAAATAATCATTTTATTTACAGTACTTTTGTTAATACTTTATTATAAATTATATAATTAGAGTTCGACTAACTTTCCCAATCAGGGAAGTTCTCTAATCAAATATTTTATTTTCCCACTCAGTCTCTATAATTATAATTTATTAATTTAATTTTGTATTATATACTTTATATACTATATATATATGTATATATACATATATATATATATACACTAAACAATGTTTTCAAGCGCAACGCTATTTGTAATATAAAGTAAATATATATATATATATATTTATTAAATTAATTAATTGCTGATAAAAACATTGTTTAGTATATATAAAATACAAAATTAAATTAATAAATTATAATTATAGAGACTGAGTGGGTGAGAGAGAAACTAAGCGGGTGAGTGAGCGGTGAGAAAGAGAATGAGCATGATAATAAAGTGAAAAAAGTGAGTGGGTGAAAGAGAAACAAAAAACAGAAAGTAAAATTAAATAATTGTAAAAATTTATTTGTAATTTTGATTACAATTATATTGAAATAAAAATATACTACTTTTTGAATCACATAATAAAATGGGAATAAATTAGTATTTATTATTAAATTTTTAAAAATCTATCTAAAATATTATTAAAGTTTAGTTTATGTCAACAAACAATGGTTTTCAATAAGTCGCGCGATTAATGATTTATATTGTATTATTAATTTTATAAAAAACAATATACTGTACACTACTATAAGTAATACAATATTTAATATATTCTGTAATACAGAATCTATAATATAGATTCTATATACATATATTACAAAAAGCATGAAAAAATTGTTTGTTTAAGATATTTAAAATGAAACATTTAATTAATAAATTATAATTTAAGTGAGCAAATGATAGAGTGGGTGAGTGAGTGAGTCAAAGAGAGAGAGAGAGAGAGAGAGAGAGAGAGAGAGAAACTAAAAGTAAATGATTGTATATTGTATTAATATATAATTTCTAATGATTACAATAATATTAAAATTATAATATATTATATTTTTGAATTACACAATAACATGTAAATGAAATAGTAATTATTAATTAACATATTTAAATATTGAAATCGATCATATAAAATGTATTTTGATTTTTAATTTTACAATATATTCATTCAAATTAATTTATATTTTATAAAAATAAAATAAAATGAATCTCTAGTCTAGAAAATCGATCATAAATTAGGTAAAGTTTTAGTAAAATTAATACACTAATAATAATTATACAGTATTACAGTAATTAAATATTACTGTATAAATTAATTTTTTATAATTTAATAAGTGAGTTACTAAATTATAATATAGTTTTATATTTTAGTAAATTACTTTTGTAGTTTTATAAAAATAAAATATATTTTAAGATAAATTATTACAATTAAATAGCTATGTGTTCAGTACTGGTATTGAAATCATTGTCTAAGTTTGATGATCTGTTTTCCCGTGATTTACATCCAATTAATACGAATTTATAATTATTTTTAAGAATCAATATTATTAATAAAACAAATAAAATTGTAATGAAAACAATGTTTGCATTGGTTTTAATGGCCAAAGATTTGAGTTCACTATATAGTGAATAGTTTTGTATACCGTCTTCGCGATCCAATTGCATGTTTATCTGATCCGCAACAGACATGTTAGCCAATATGGACTCAACTTTTGTGGTATCAGTGCTTTTGTGTAAATATTTTTGACACATAACCAGATAAGTTGTAGTACATCCCACATCAAACCACTGTCCCTTTGCTGATAATGCAGAACTCATTACAGTACAGTAATTCTTTGAGTGCCAATTGTTTGGTTCATTTGGTCCTTTAATAAGAAATAAATAATCAAAAAAAAATGTTTATTTAATAATATATGAATTGTGACCCCAATTGGTGTAATCGAGAGGACTTTTATCAAACCAAATGAACGATTCATTAGTGATACGAATCAATCCGATCCAAACCGAGTACTTTGCGTGACTCCAATCAAACAGCATTTGTCTAATAAAATCAAACTCTTGTTGTGAATGAATGGTAGTAAGTGTTGCCCCATAAAAGTGGTCGCATATATCCATAGCGTCGTGAAAGTTAGCACCGGCCAAGTCGTTGTGAAATTTCACACATTTATCACCCAATAAATACCAATCATCTTCACAATGATTTTCAGTTAGTATTGTATGACATTTCGCTCATATAAATAACAAGAAATAAATTGAAATAAATTTTATTTTAATAAACTAAACATAACTTACTAATTGTTGCTAATGTCAAAAGACAAATAATATTTTTAGTAAAAATCTTAGTCATACATATAGTTTGCATTATATATTATTTTCAATTTACTAAATATATAAAAATTAAAAAATAAAGTTCACTAAAATACTAAGTTTACTTTAGGATTTAGTCATTGATTTATGCTTCATATGATACAAATGCAGTACTTTTAAATGGTAATGAAATTATTGTATAACTAAAATAAAGGAAACAAATATATATATATATTATACATATATACTGTATATTATAATACTGTAGATATAATAATAATAACCAAAATCTAATCACAAAATCATTACTCTTAAGAAAAGCTTTTTAATGGCAATCAATTCAAAGGAAGTGATCTCGTGTTAGGAAATTAGACACACGTTTTGTATCCATTAGTTTAAAGAATGATCTCATAATTGGATGTAAATTTATATATACTGTATGTATAGAAAAACAATTATACTATACTTTATAATATAAATGCTTAAAAATTCAAACTTTATAAATATTTTTATATTATAAGTTATACAGTATTTTATATATTAATAGTAGTAAAAGTATATTAATAATAATTATTATAAAATAACTAATATAAGAATCACAAGTTATTGAAATAGTCTAATAAGTAGTTTTGTTTTGTTCATTAAATTTGTAGTATTTTTGTCAACAATTTGTTGTAATTATTATTTATTCTTATTCTTGATGTTTGTCTTTCTTATGTCTGCCATATTGTGATACACTTAAAGCCATTCCTTTTTGTTGAATAATTCTTGCGGCAAAAGTAACCGAAGTATTAGTTTTAGCATTTTCTTCACCGAATAGTTTAGTTGTGTTCTTAACTATTATTAAATAAATATATTAATAGAAAAATAATTAATGATTATTAGTCTTAAAACATAATTATTAAAAAATATGACCAAAGTTTGTAGCAATTTGTCCTTTCGGTGAATCAGACAAATCATAAACATCACAAAGTATTGCTCTTTCGAGACCATTATGTTGTTTAAGAGCTTCTTTCAGCCAAATTGATGCCCAAAATGATGTATTTCTAAGGTTTTTAATTTGTAATGACTTTGACTCAAAAGCTATCATTTCATAACCTTTTTGTTTCAATCCTTCTGGTGATATCTCAAGAGTTGTTTCATCAAATTTATCGAAGTTTTGTAATTTTGGTTTAATATTTGTAAATAAACCAAAAAATGTAAAAATAATTATAATAAATGCAAACATCATAGTTGTAACTATTGTTAATCGATACCAATTATTAAATATATTGTATGTCAGCCAACTATAACCACTCCAAATGTTTACCATTAAAATGATCAAAGATATCAACACAACTAAAATAATTTTATAACATTTAATAGTATTTTTTAAAGCATTTGTAAATAGTTGTATATATAATACCAAAGAGAAGAACTGATAATTGAAGAATTTTTGTTGTTTTTGTTGCTTTGAATATATTATATAATTTTAGTGATTGATAGGGAACTGTTAACAGTAGATATAATAAGCTTACAAATGAGCTAATAATTAATGATATGATGAATGTTTGCCACCAAAGCAACCATTTATTGTTAAACTGATAGGTAATGAATAAACTACAGAATACTATTAGATCCAAACAAAACAACCAAAAGACAGCTTTTTCTGTAAAAGTGAGACAACTTTTTACTTTAAGACGTACTTCTGGTGGTATATCTTGCGATTCTTCAAACTCTAAGTTGACATTTGATGTGTTAAATGTAAAAGTTGTCGATCGAGACATATGTTTGATATATGCATTCAATGGATAAGTGTGTGACACTAATGACTTAATATTTGTTACTTCAATGCATCGGATCAGAAGAGATGCGTCGATGTGAGGACAGTCGTGTCCCAAAGTCATTGACTTTATTTTATTCAATTTTTTGTCTGTAATTAATTTAAAAACACCTATGAGTGGTATCTGACGGGACAAACTGTTGATCTTTATTTGTTTCTCTAAATTGTTGCGATATATAGGATCGGGTTTTGGTTGTATCGCATAAAAAGTCCAAATGGGTCTCATTATTAGTGATACAATTAATCGATTATTTTTATCATTTATATCTAAACGTATAGACGTATAGTCGTAATCATAAGTTATCGATGGATTGACTCCAACAATGGTTATTATATAGACATTTGCTAAAATTGAAGACTTTTTAGACCATCTTTTACTAACATATTTATAAAATGAATACATGATTAGTAAACCAAATGAGAACCATATGAAGACTATTGTCAGACAAAACAAATAAAACGATTCGGTATTATCACCAATAGTTGTATTGTTAACAGATATATTCAATGGACTAATTTTTGGCAAAACAAAAACAAATATATATAAATTAAGAATATTTGACATTTTATTGTTAATTAAATTTCATTTGAATGGACTAATTCTGAATATTCTCCAAAAACTTCAGTTTAAATATCAGTTATTTTTAATGAAATAACAATTAAAAAGAAAAATCAAATTCAAATAATAACAATATAATAATTCAATGTTTAATAAATAAATAAAACTAAATTTTACTTATATAAACAATAAGTATTAATGCATTCAGTTAATAAATTTAATTATATAATAAAATTAACAATATTAACAATTGTATAAATTATAAATATTACTTTTAAATAATCTCAACTATAATTAAATTCTATACAAAAATAATAATGTTATATTAGTAAAAAAAAACTTAAAATAATTTACTTATTTACATAAAATTTTAGTACAGAAAATATGAGTAATTTTTAAAATATATAGCAAAATATAAAATTTTAGATATTTATATAATACTGTATAATGTAAATAGTATGCCATCTTTAATAATCTAATAAATAGCTAAATATTAAGAAAATATGCTTTAAAAATGATTAACAAATTAATGTCATTACAAATGAACAAATGAATCATCAGAAGAGTCATTGCCATCAAATGAATTCATACGTGAAATGATTGTCTCAATTGATTTCATAAGTCTTTCATTTTCTTTGACTAATTCTTCACTTGAATTTCCAATTGAATTACAATTAATGTTATTATTTAAAGGTTTGTTTTTTACTTCTGAATTAATATAAGACCACAAATCGTTTTGAACTTTAAGTTGCAATAGATTTAATTTATGTGTCGATTGTGAGACTGATTTCAAAATCAATTGTAAATCTCTTTCATGGCTTTCGATTTGACGCAAAATATCAATTATTTTTCTTATATTAGAGTAAATATCTTTCATTAATTTTTCTTCAGTTTGGAAACATTCGCAAAGAAGTTTTACCATAACTTCATTGTCTGACTTTTTATTCCTTTCCTCTTTCGATCTTTTCCTCAATTGATCAAAAGTAAAGAGTATCGACTCATAGATTGTATAAATTGATTCGTCTATTGGTTTCGATTTAATAAATGCATTAAATTGTGGATTTCTTTGGGCATCAATAACTTTGGTTACAATTAAATGTGATTTTGCAAACAAACTGTTTATTGTTTCAGACATAGCATAGGCTTCACTTAACTCTATAAGAGCTTCTTTAGATGACCGCAACAGTGGTAAGGATGAGATATTCGCACACTTTTCGCAATTCTCTAAATTCATTTTAATTGAATTCTTAAAGAACTGTGTAATAGCATAGAGTTTATTAAACTCAATGTTAACTTTTTGGCTTAACTTTTGCATTGCATTTTGGGAACTGAGACAAGTCATCAAAAAACTTTTAAAACCCTCGTGTAATGTCCGATACTTTTTGGTCGCCTGTTGTGCCTATTATAGTAATAAATGAAAACCAATTTACTAAATATCATAAATAATAATAAATATATCAGACATACCACCCAAATGGCGTGACGCCAAGCATTCTTCTGTTCCTCGTATGGCATCAGTCCCGTCGGGTTTAACATAATTTCTTCAATGGACTGAGGAATAACACACGCAGAATAACTGTTATATTCGGGTACTTTTGATTTGTCAAATAATAATATAGAGATCGGCTGAATGTCTATATTTTCAGTCTCTCCTCGTTTATACCAATTATCTATAATTTGTTTTCCAATATTTTCCTGAGGTATGAGTCCTTTCGGTAAAATTAATCTTTGATTATTGCAATTGATTGAAGTATTGGAATCGATAAGCAATTGAAGATCAAGTAGACGCGTCTCTTCTGTTATCTCATATGAATAATACTCGAGAGTATTGACGACAAATACCTCAACAATATATTTATTAAGAATTTGTGCTAACATTTGAAAGGCTTCTTTGCCACCTCTTTTCTTTGGTTCCCATTCCAGAACCATCTGATTGTAAATAAATTATTTTTAATAAAATATATTTTTTAAATATCTCTAAAAACATACCCGAAGATAATTTTCTAAAATAAATTTAAGTGATGAACAAATCTGGTTGTATTGGGAAATCTCTTTAGAAAAGGTGACATTGCCTTTGGCGTCAACATTGGCACAGATATCGGTCGATGACTTCTTGGATACAATTGGTATCCACTGAGCGGGACTGTAATTCGGAAGGAATGGTCTTCGACCGACTATAATCTCATGGGCTAAGAGTCCGAAACTCCAGTTATCGACTGCTGAAGAATACTGTTTGCTAAGAAACAATTCGGGAGCCAAATACTGAAGAGTCCCAACAAATGATGAACAAAGACTTGATTGATCCAACTCTTTAGCGTAACCCAAGTCTATCAGCTTATAAAGTATTGACCCATCAGTCTGTGGCTGAAGAACTACATTCTCAGGCTTTAAGTCTCTGTGAATAATTCGTAACGAATGAAGCTTTTGATTAAAAATAAAACAAAAAAATAATAATTAAGTCATAATATTAATAATTATTAACAATGTCTTACATATTCAATGGCTGTCGACACCTGTCGCAGAATTTGTCTGACTTCTAGTTGATTGAGTCCACAACAATTGGCCGGTTTGTTGAGCACACGTCTCAGATCACCTCCGCTACAGAACTCCATTCCGAGTATCGGGAGTTCCGATTTCGGTAAGTCTAATACAGTCGGGACAGTCACTGCACGGACAACATTAGGACAGTTCAACCGTTGCATTATATCAACCTCTTGTTTCCAGCGCTCCCTTCAATCAACAAAAATTATTGGATCAGATTTTGGTGACAATTATGTATGAAATTAAGACACACTTATGTTTGGCAGTCATCCCAGCGTTTGTATCACTCCATCGGCACTGTTTGAGTGCAATCTTTTCATTGGTCTCAGTGTTAGTCCACAGACTGACGACACCAAACCCTCCGGAGCCGAGTATCTGCTCTCTCCTCCACTTCTCGATTATAACGTCTGAATCACCCATTTGTCACACTTTTTACAAATTTATTTTTTAAAAAAAATAATTAAAAATAAATTTCAACTAAAATATTATTATAATAATAATTATTACAAGTCTTACATTTGATAGCAAGTGGTTATCAATATATGAGATATCAATTGTATAGTAAAATCATATGATTTATAGCATTGTGTCGACTATTGAATGCAAAACTACTAAATGTTTGTTTTGATTACAAATAACAATATTAGACAATAAATAACACGTGTTTTGACAATCAATTGTTTGTTTGAAATGTCCACTAATTGTCAAAAAACACCGTTTGTTGTCATCAATGAGTGAAACGTGTGATTCATTGAAACATTAGCTCAATGTTTGGTTTTGTCACTCAATGTCTATGTTTTGTAATGCAATTCATTCACTCATTGCTTCACTTATTATATTATTTGTTATTAAAGGAGGAGTTATTTAAATGATTGCAATATTTCAATTAATTTGTGTCCAAACCATTCACATTAACAACAGGTAGTGTAGTGTAAGTAATCTAATATTTTATCATTAAGTTATAGCTATAGATATAATAATATTTAATTATAATAAATATAATAATAATGTAAATGTTATATTAATTTGAAGATCAGATTAATTACAATTACCACAAAAATGGCAATCAATTGCAATTAATACAAACTTTTTAAATATTTTCCTTAAAGTTTTGCAACATTTTAGTTGACAATAAAAGTTGTATTTTCAATCAGTTTTTATACTGTATTTAGTTTTTATACATTAAATACATTAAATAAAATCAAAACATTAAATAGTTTTGATACTTAAATTATAATATTTAATATATTGAATAAAATAATCATTATAATTATTATAATTATTATAATTATTATAAAACTTTATTTTTCAATTTAGACTAATTTATTGTAATAATAAAACACTTCATACCTTACACTATAATGTAATTTATATTATCATATAATCATTATATAAATGTCTATTATATAATTTATAAATTACATATTTAATTTAGTACATTGAGTATTTATTGTTTAAATCTAATATTTTCTAAAAAATATATATTTCAAAAATTTTATTATATTTTTATCACATTTGGTATTTTATATATAATTGCAATATAATGAATATATTTAATAATTGCCTAATTTCCGTAAAATACATACTGTATTACAATTAAATAACACAGTGTTTAACTATTAATCCTTTTTTTGTAACCATTGATAACCAATAAGACTGCAATAATAGCTATTAACAAGTCTACCGACAATACCATACATGTTATAAGCATTGGGTTTACATGTATTCCCATAAATAGATTTATAACTTCAAAGTTATTAATTCCTGTCAAATAAAAAAAAATGTTTTCAAAATTAATATACAATTTTAATGTCAACTCACGGAATGCCTACCAGTTTGTGGTCCAAACAAAATAGTGAAATTCAATGTTATAAAAAAGCTGGCGATTGATATCATAATCAACCAAATCATTGGTAAAAGTGATAACTTATAGATTGCAATCCATGCGCTTATATAAGTACTTAATGTGTTTGTTAGCGATAATGTCCTCACAATTAACAGAATCCTACGCTCAGCTATGTATTTGGACAGTTGACCATTCAATGAATCCAATATTGTATAGCATTTGATTTCAGTGACAAAGTTGTTATCGCTATTGTTATCACTGTTTGTTTCATTAATTAATAAATGATTACTAATTATATGATTGGTATCAATAAGACGACAATTCCAGGTCTCGATTGTTAGATATATTGAATACATTACACAAAATAACAGTAACAAACATATGGGGAAAAATAGGATTAACAAAAACAGTCGGATTAGCTTTGATTTGAATGATAGGTCACTGACTGATAGGGAGGGCATCCCTTTCAGCCAACATTTCATTGTGTATTTGATTTCTAAAACAAACAATTTTTAAGAAAAATTTTATAAAATTATATTTTGTCACTAAAATCAATATGAAAAACAAATATTAGTTACAAAAATAGTTAATTCACGTCTGAATTCACATTTTTGTGATATATTTTTTTGAAGAATCGATTTCATTCATACATAAAAACTATGTAATAGAATATTAATTAAAGCAAATAAAAGCCAAAACCAAATGATTATTGATTTACATTGCATTAGAAATAAAGATTTGTAACATATTTTGTTATAACATTAGTTTCATTTAAATGAGTCATTAATTTCTGACGATTGGTATTGTATTATCAATTTTAAAGTATTGCAAAAATTAATCATTTATATAATTAATTATTATATAATATATTTTTTACAAAACATATTATTCTTGTCAAAAACTTTTTTAAAAACAATATTTGTATCACTGTTTAAACAGATAGTCCTTTGCATATATACATTATAGTACATGTATTGCACATATCCTATATATAATTAATGATTTTGTATCACAAATGGTTATAACAGTCATTTTTAAACATTATCTCAATGTGAACTAAATTTAAATAAAAAATAAGCCAAACATTTTTATTATTTATTATTTAATATTCTGTATAAATAAATAGGACTCCAGTAATTGTTAGTTTTTATTGTATAAATTTTATTAACAACTACTATATCTGTCAATTCTATACCTATTTTATGTTATAGTTGTTTGTTTTTAACAATAAAATATATAAAAATACTTTTTATAATATAAAAAAGCTAATGTAAGCACATTAGTACATATTATATTAATTATATATATCATATTAATACTGTATATTATTTGGTTATCATATTATATTATAAATTATAACTTATAATCGATATGATATTTGAAGACATTTATAAATTTTATGCATTATTAGACTTTTTATAAAGTAAGATTGAATTAAAATTAGCATTTTTTATTATTAATATTAGAAAAAGTAAATTGTATATATTAATATAAACTTTATCGTTTGTTAAGTATTTTTATTAAAATTATCATTCAATAAATTACATAATTGCATAAATTTATAATGCTATATTGTATAAAACAATCACTCAACTTTTATATTTCTATGTATATGTAGTTAAATTATTATAATAATAAACATTAAGTAATCTATTAATATATGGCTCTCATCTCTATTATAATTTCAATTCAATAAATATATATATATATTTACATCATTACAATTCACATAAAAATTCAAAATACAAAATAACCGGAAATAAGTGACAAGAGATGGATATATAAACAATTAAATCATTAACTCTTAAATAGAAAATATAATATTAACTAAATTATTAGTTATTATTTTAATTAAAGCTCATCTCTTAAGTGTTACATTTAAATCAAACGACAATAATCGTTAAATGAGAGGTAAATGAGATAAAGTTTTATCAGATATTTGGTATCGAGAAATGCATTGAAACCACTTAAATGGTATCAATTAAATGGTTAGTACTGTATCTAAGTCTGTGCGTTGACATTACACTTCCAATTAAATCTTTTAATATCATTCTTCGCATTATTCATAACTGATATTACATTAGATCGAGTTTCGTCTCCTTTTAATCCGTTGCTTATGTCATAAACAATTGATGAACCGTTTAAGTGACCGATTTTTTCATTGAAATAACCGAATATAAGAACTTCATTGCCATCGGTTACGGCCGACTCATCATTGCATTCAGGATTCAATGTTAACACAAATTTATCATTTTTTGACAAATCTTTAATAAAATAAAATAATAATTAATTAATATTTAGTTAGAAATAACAATAGTTAAAGACTTACTTCCTTTGAAAACAAAGTTTACTTTGAGATTCAAAAACTTAAAGAGAGACTGAGTCTTATTGTGGCCATCAATATCAGCGGTGAAGACAAAGTTATATCTGTCAGAACAGACCAGTTCTTTAAAGAGTTGTCGCGCTCTGACTACAATTCTTTCGGCAATTTTGCCGATTTCTAGAAGTGATTTAGCTGTCGGACAGTTCTCTCTTTTGGCACATTCACACACTTCTGAATTGCACTTTGTTTCGATGTAATCACTGATACGTGAAGGTGTAAAAAGTTGTGAACAGCTATGATCTGTTGAAATAATTGATTAAAATTATAATTAATATCAATAGATATATCATTTACCAAATCTAATTGTCAATACCTTTGCGATAGTAGTCATAGACCTTAACCATAGCTGCCTGAGCGTTGCCTATATTGTGTTCTTGTATTTTCCTGAATTGTAGACAATATGGTCGACCAAATGGCACTTTTTCAAAATAAAATACTATATTTCTGTCCGATATTTCATATTTAGAAACTAATGAATCATCCATTTTGATTATCTCTTCTAAATCATCTTTGTTTGGTTTATAACCACTGAAGAGACCGACTTCAATGAGACTCATATCAGAGTAATATCGAGGTATGTGTCGGATACAGGTCTCGACCAATAATATAAGTTTACTTTTGCCATCAGAGCTGACAATCGACTTAGAACTCAGATTATTCTTCTTGAAAATCATTGAATCTGTTATATCAGAATTAAGTTCGAGTTTATCACTAAAGTTATTGCTATTCATGTCTTGTGAATGAGTGGAAACAGATTCAGCAACTGATGGTTTACGTCGACCCGAACTTCTGTTTCTATTCCATGGATTCCAAACAAAACGCTTTTGTCGATTATCTCGATTAATCAGAGATCGTTTTTGACGATTTGTATGTTTTAGATCCAGTGTGCGAACCATATCACTATTGAAGTCATTAAAGAAATTATCATCGATTTCGGGAGTGTTAGGATCGTCTAAACGACTTTCTGGAGATGCTTTCCATTCACTCACTTCAACACTGAGATCGAAACGACAAAGAACTTCTGGTGGTTCAAAGACATTGTATTTCAATTTAATCACCATTTGTCCCGTTCCCTCACCAGTTGTCGTAAACTTTAATTTAGAAGAATCGGAATCTAATTTAAATGTCTGCAAAATTAATGCATTTTCCGAATTGAATTCCAAAGCTCTCTTAAAACGAGGAGACGTCACATCATGTGTTGTAATATTACATAAAAGTGATATTGTATTGGTTGGTGATCTCTGTCTTTCAATATACTGTGATAATGCTTCCAAAGCAACGACTGTGTCTTGAGTTGATGAGAATGCGCCCGAATAGGAGCGGACAGAGTTAAGCCAATTGGTTATAGATATGCCGTCCAATGAATTTTTGTTTCCTGAGTTTAACATTGCCATCAATGCATAAGCTGTTGCTTCGACTTCATAGTTATGTCTCCAGTACTTGTAATTTCTGTTAGTGTCGACATTTGCCATAGAGTGAAGAGAATCAATAAGTTTGAGAGAATTTTGTGAGTTTGTAAACGTAAGACTATAAGCAACTAAAGCCATGGCATATGTATTCTTTTGAATTATTATTTCGTTTTGATTTAGTTGTAAATATCTTTCAGATTTGGTAATTGTTTTATTGAGAGATTCTTCCAAATTTCTATTGTGTGTCATCTCACCTTTTAATACACGTTTGCATTCATGAAAAGATATCAACACATAAGCTGTCAGTGCAACTGAACCCTTGACACCACCCAAAGCGTCTTCATGAACGACGACATGTTTTTCAGTCCACGAGCCATCCTTTTTCTGTTCATTCATTAACCAATTAAGTCCGCTTTCAATAACTTTTGGATCAAATTTATCATCTCTAAGAAATGGTGAGGCCTGACAAAACACTTTAATAACAAATGATGTCAACCATATAGACGATGGTCTGGCAGGGAATGCACTAAAAGAACCATCTTCTTTTCGAAAGGACAGTTGTCTTTTATATCCATTTCGTATATACTTAAGACCCCTATATTTAAGATCACCATTAAGTCTCTCAATTGACTGCAAATATTTGAGTGTATAGAGTGTGGGCGCCATATAAAACATAGTCTGTTCTCCACAACCTTTTGGTTGTCTAATAAGTCGGTCGATATCACTTAGAGTTGTATAAGAAGTGGCGCCATATTCATTACCAATGCCTGCAATAATACATTCACGAGTTCCGGGAACTATATTACGAGTTATGTCGGGCTCGACATTCACTAATGTCCTCTGAAGTGAATTTTCTGATATTATTTCGTCTTCTACTTTACCAGTTTTAAGAGATCTCTTTGTTCTTCGTTGTCTATTCTTGGGATCTAATTTAAACCGTACATCTTCTTCAACTGTAATTCCGGGAGGAATGACGTATAATTTTTTAACAACAATATCACCTCCAGAAGCCCAAAGGGCTACAATTTTAATCTCAAAAGTTCCGGTCTTCAGTGGAACCATTGGAAAGGGAACAGTAGAAAATGAATTGGGATCAACCACTAAATGCTTCTTTGATTTATCGCCAACACTTTCGGCTTCAGAACAGATATCTTCAACTCCATATGTATAGACCAAAACAGGTAACCGAGTGGTTCCATAATTAAAGACAGTGACAATCATTTCCATTTGTTCGTTCTGTATGACTGAGTAAGGAAGTGATATCTGAAGAAATATATCTTGAAATGTGCGCACCCGTAACGGTGACGACATTATACAGAAACCATTGATTGGTGATATAGACATAGCTGTTATAGACCAGGTTGTAATAGAGTGAGGAAAAGTGACGGCAAGTGTGTTTGAATTGCTAAAAGAGTTAATTAAATTAAATTACCGGTAATTATATAATAAATTTAATATTAAATATCAAAGTATAGACTACCTGTGATTTAGAGTTACAATATCGAAGAGCCACGACTCGCGAAAGTCATTTCGTATGAGTGTCTTGTCCTCTAAGATCTGTTCGTAAGCGATGTGAACGTACTCTAATGTTTCCGAACCGATTCGGTTGCGATCAAAGTTATTACCAATTTCTGAAAAAATAATTATAAAAATCAATATTAAAAACTAAATTACGGTAATATATTGTATGACTGACTGGCAGTTGAAGCCAATTGAATGATTGGTCGACTGTTGGCTTTACAACATCTAAGAAATTGTTCGTAACATTTGGAGTGTTGAGGCATATATGTCTTCAGGATTGTCGCCTTATGTTCACAATTTCGTCGAGTATTTGATGGCCACATACCTAATAGACAACATTTATGAAGAAATCCCGTTTCAATCACTGATTGGCTAATATCTCTCTTTTTTCTTCGTCTTCTCAATTCTCTTCTAATACAGTGATCATCTTTACTGTCATCAAATTGTTTAGTACCACCACTAATGATCTTAAGACCGACATTATTGGCCACAAGATTCACATCAAGACCTGTTCCGGGACCGCAACCCAAATCAGATTTCCCTAATTCGTTCATTAGTTTACTTTTGGTGAGAGTATCGCTTTTACGGAGTATATAAACTGCTTCGTCAACCGCTAGAAGTCCAACGCTATCTCCTTTGGTTCCGTTAAGAATAAGATTCACATTCTTTCCCGGAATTGTTTGATTCATATTATTCTCAGTTTTCATATCAAATCCACAATTATCTTCATTGACATCGATCTTAATTGAGTCAGAAATCAGTTCATCATTTTTAGTTACGGCCAAAACCATTATACGAATAAATGGAGTCATATCATGAGTTATCTCTAGTTTGATACCCTTATCACTGATTATCCGTTCAGAGAGTATAATATTTCCGCGATTAACAACAATTTGATAGATTTTATCCAAATGGACGGCACCTCTTGTTATAAGCAAACTTCTATATGTATCGCCAACTGATAGGGATGTGCTATACTTTGATTTACTAGAGATATGAATGAAACCACCTGTTGAGTCATCGCCCCATAGTATATGTGCAGACTCTGCCTGTTCTTTCTTATCAATTGTCGGGTCATCGGTTCTGATGGAAACGTGAATTGACTTAACATTATTCTCAACTGTAATGGGAAAGGATATCCTTCCGGAGTGATCCGTCACTAATTGCATTGAAGTAATATTTGAATGTGTTGTGTGTCGTAATGGTCTGCCCGAGTCGTTGTCAGTAATTGTTAATTTGATGGGTAAATCGGCAACATTTTCTCCTAATATATTGTTAATTTGAGCCTAAATAACAAAAATAAAACGTATTGTTTATAACTAAATCATAAATACAGTAATAAAATTATTTTTTTAATAACATTTAATAATTTTAAATAAACAATAAATAATATACAGTACATCTTCAATGTTTTATGTGTCGGCAAAAGTAATTTTATTTTTAATAACAAAATTACAAGTAATATAATACTGTATTTGAATTAAATAAATTTTATATTATTAAGTTAATGTTAGTGTTTTTATTATTTAAAAAATTATTCTATTAATAATTTTTTAAAAATACTAAAAAAGAATGAAAAATTTCATTTTTCATTTTATTTTAAAAAAATAGATTTAAACAAATTTGTTGTTTTGATACTTTGAGGATCTTTTAAAAAAATTAATACACATAATCACATAAATAATTAACAGAAAAAACAATAATTGATAGTTATTGATTAAAAAATATGGCGTTTACTTAATAATATTGGTAATTAAATAATTAAATGATGTTTAAATTTTTATTATAAATAAAGATTAATATTATAATAAATAATGAGCTATTTTGTAAATTTAGAAAATAATTTTACTATTTTAATGTTAATAATTAATACACTAAATTCATTTTTATCCTCAGTATCTTAATGTTTATAACAATTTCTAAGTTATATATTGTAAAATATTTTATATATTTGACAATTAAAATTTTAAAATGATATTAATATTATTAGATTACAAACTGTATATTAACTTTTAAAAATTATTTCCGAATTGAAGAGTAGATATTTGACAAATTTAAGTTTTCTTTAATAATATAATATGATTAGTCAATATTTTACAAACATTAAAATTTTTATAAAATGACACCTCCTTTTTAATAACAAATCATTTTAAACAAAATCCTAATATATTTTTAATTACAATTAATAATCATAATATCAACTTAATTTTAGTAAATTTAAAAATTACAACAAAATTACTTTTTCCGACATAAAAAACTTTAAATGTATCTTTAAAAAACTCAGTTTATGAATTATAATTTATATTAAAACAAACATTACAATAAATTGTGATAAATAATATATAATTATATACTATAGTAAAAATACACTGAATATTGCAATAAATTTAATGTAATTCAGGGACATATAAAATGTATATTTTAATATTTTTACGGATCAGTAAAGCGGAAAATATATATGAATGTCATTATTAATGTAATAATATTTTGATATTTTTTATGCTAATAAATTAAATTATTATAAATAAGATGTTATAACTTACAGTTATATAGGTTTCGATGTTTGGCTTAAAGTCATAGAAAGTATTTTTATAAGATATGACATAAGGAGTTGTGGCAAAAATGCCCGTCTCATCAAAAGCCCGATCCTTCTTTCCGGTGGCCTTTTCGTGAACACTCACTTCAACCATAAATCTGTAGCCATTAAGTGCCGGAAACTCCATGTAAGCCGTCTGACGGAACTGATAGCTATCGATGTAATACTGAGCCGAACCGTTAACCAATTCTTTAACAGATGTACTTCCAAAATAGCTGACCCGTCCGTTAGGAGCCTTTGTACCAAACTTGAACACAACAGTGCCATTGACAGGCTTTCCATAAACATAATCGACCTGAACTGATCCACTTATGTTTTTACTACTTTCGAGTATAAATTTTGGAGATTTTATTTTTATTGAAAATGTCGGTAAAACATATTCTTTGACTTCAAATGAAACGTTTGAATTGGATGAATACTATAAATATAAACCATAATTATAGATTATTTATATTATTATTATTATTATTATTATAAACTAATTACCACATACATTAGCGCCATACCATAGCTCAGCAAACCATATACCAAGTTTAGGTGCCGGCGGAAACTCAAACGTGTGATCAACAAAATAATTTGGAGGACTGGACTCTAAAGTTGTTTCTTCTATTATAATTTTTTGGCAATTCTTTATTGAAAATATCATATAATTAACAATAAATTTAATAATACATTAATATCATCAAAATATAATCATTAAAAGCATACTTTTATTCTTAATTTGATTCTTTCATTGATAACAGGTTTAAGTCTATCATCAAGTCTTAAGACGCGAATTAAGACATTTTCTTTTGGAGTATATATTGGTTTATCTGTTTGGATGAACGCATAGCCAAACTTTGGGATAACTTTAATGAGTGATTCACTCTTTTTGTTGGAACCATTGCTTATCACAGATACTATTACTTTGGGTTGACTTGAAGTGCTGGACAACACTACAGGAACTGAAACATTGACCACTTGTACACTAACTTTCAGTGGTTCATCTATTTTGAAAAAAATATATATATAAACATTTTTGACAATTTTGTTAAACTCTGTACATTTCACTATGTAATAGCATATTTTATATTAATATTTGTTAAACTATAAATAATCTAAAAATAATTAGAGTGACATTATATTGCATCCAATTTTAGTTTACTATTTTTAAAAACAAAAGGATAATCTCATTAAAAGTCAATGCAATATACATTTCAAATAAGTTAAACAATAATTGTTATAATAATAGTCATATGAGAAATACCCATATAATGTACTGTACTTTATATAAACTATACCAATGCAAAGCTTTTGACATTGATTTTTGAGTAAAAATAATAGTAATAAATTGAGTTAAAATAGCTATTTTTGAAATTGATTTTATTGTTAAAGTTTAACAATCGCACAAATATGTGGAGAATTATTAATAATATTTTAAGATATTCACACACAAAAAAAATCAACTCAATATTAATAAGATTTATATATTATTATAGAAGAAAACATTGCTATAAATTATCTGAAATTTAATAATTATTAATATAAAAAATGATTATATTATACACAAAAGTATAGTATTTAATCTAAATTAAAATAATATAAATTCATTTATTACTTATAGTTAAAGGCATACATCACATCCATTTTTCTAAACATATAGAAAACTCAAATTTATTAATTATATATTAAATTATAATTATATTAAAATAACGCTAAAATTTACTTAACATAAATGGATAACTGTAAAAATGTTTTTTTTTGTTGTAAAATTATAGTGATAAAAGTTTAGTAAATGATTTAGAAATGTGTGCAATTTTCTACTAAATATAATGAAGGTTTCGAGTTATTAACTATTGTAAGGTTACTAATGTTATAATTTATATCAAATATTTTACACTAAATTTAGAATCCGATGAAATTTTTCAATTAAAGCAAATTTATTTGTTTTAAACAAAAGTAAAGCAATTAATAAATCCTATGGGATGTTCAGTTAATAGTGATTTGACTTTTGCATTAAAATCATTAACAAATACTTTAAAATTAACAAAAAATAAATAAAATATTAAATAAAATATTTAAAATGATTAATTGATAAAAATGATGATGTTTAATTGTATTTATATATTCATGTTTATATAATACAGATTAAATAACACTAATTGTAGTTTATTTATATTTCAATGTCAAGTGCTATTTATTTAAGGATCGCAGTTATTATATCAAGATCTTAATGTCTAATAATAGTCGATGAGATCCCCACACAATTGTACTCTATTTTTAATTAATGTATTCAACAGTAAAAAAATTTGCAATTTTTATATTAGTTTTAAGATATATTATTATTATGAAAATTTCAGAACATAAACATGTTGTCAACATATAATGATTTTGAATTTATTTATCAAAACATAGAATACATATTTATGTAAATATTTTTAAAATTATAAATGTTTTACATTAAACATTCTTAGAAAACATTGATTATAATATTATACTATTATAATAGACTGGTATACATGTAGTGTATAATAATAATAATAAAGATTAATAAACTTGTATTAATACAATATAATTAGTAGAATGATTATTATTAAAAATATAAATTCGTATTAATCTGTATTTATAGTAATAATAATAATAAGTAAAAATACTAAATTTTATTAAAAGTGAAAGAAATTAAAATTTATTAAATAATATTTAATTCAAGTTAGACGAAATTACTTAATACTTATAATAGACAATAGTCATAATTAGACAGTGTATTAATGCATATTTGCATATTTAAAAAAATTAATAAACATCAATTTTTTCAAAAAATGTATTTGTATAAACGCTTATTTTCATAATTAATGAATTTTCAAAATTAACAAAAAATATATATTCAAATATTTTATGTATTGCTTTTTACTGAAATTTATTAAATGTGATATCTATATAATTGTTTTAATAAATGAAAATTAAATTGTTGTATATGTTATTGTAATTTTAATGTAATAATAAAAAGACTAATTTATGTAATACAAAGTTTAGTATATGTCTAGTAATAATTAAAAACAACTTCGTATTTATAAATTATAGACAATGTGTTGGGATTTCCTATTATTCAATGATATAACAAACAAAATGATTGATTATATAATAAAAAATATGACAAACCTTTAATGACATCGTATTTCTTATTTAGTATGACTTCATGTGTTTTATAGTCTTTTATCGTAACATTAATTGAATCGCTTTTATCGCTTATAATAACAATATTTTCCTTTGAGTTTAAGTGAAATTTTTTTGGTGTTATAACTATTGGCGATATTTCACATCTATATTTCACATACAACACAATATTTATTATTATTTTTTTACAAATATTTATATTTCTATAAATAAATGCATATTTGATATATAAATTTAACTAAATATTTGCAAATTTCTTATTAAATAAATGAAATAAAATACTATATAATTATATTTATTTTGCAATCATTAACTTAGAAAAAGCTTTTACTATTAATTAAACAATTTATATAACATATAAACATATATAAGATATCAATGATTAACATATAAAATGATATAATTTTGATAAATATTTATTTAACTTATCATATAATTTAAGGCTAAAAAATCAATGCAATAACATATCATATATTTAATAAAAGTAATTAATTTAAGCAAAACTTACTTGTATTGTGTGTTAATTAAAAAGATTAAGTAATAAATAATTTTTATTAATTTCATTTTCAGCGCAATTTTGCATTTGATATATCAAACAATTATTTAAAAAATTGGATTCAATGGTGATATCAATTGATAAGATTCACCACAAAAGTGATGGAAATTCACATAAATGTAATATTTTTTGCAAAGTTTTGATAAATAATCAGTAAATTTGTATTTAATGTCAATTTTGTGAACACTGTGCGCACTAATCATAACAATAATTAATTTGATAATTATGTGACATTTGTTTGTAATAATAAAATCAGTAATTAATTAATTGACAAACAATTTAGTTATGACTTCAATGTTAGACATTTTGACGATTAAATTAAATCTAATTTTTTTTAGGCAATACTCATGTGTTTTATATAATAACTGTTTGCAATCACTTTGAGTTCAATCAACATAACAAACAAACACACGATTCACATATGAGTCGATAAATACATTTACTTTCACTTTAATAATACAAAACATAAACTCAATAACACTAACACTCATAGACAGCGCCACACAATTAACACTGTATTTCATAGTTCGATGTAATAATCAAATCATAGATACAAAGCAATAGAAAATAAACTATAAGTAATATGTATAACGTTTTTCAACCCCTAAAATGTTGGTTCATATGCATTACACAAACAAACATTGTTTGTATGATATGTAAGCGATATATGAATATAGATTGACAAAACATAATACTGAATATCCGTTTCCTCGCAAAACAAATCCATTTATTTTGTTGTCTTCAGTTGTCATCAATTAATTGTCATCAATGGTGAGTACTTATGATGTAATACTATTAATTTGATGATGAAATGGATGACTGATTGATCCAAATTGACAGAAACCGTATGTACTTCACGGCCACGAGAGGGCCATCACTCAGATTAAGTATAATCGAGAGGGAGATCTGCTTTTTTCGGCGGCCAAAGACAGCACACCTAACGTATGGTATACTATAAATGGCGAGCGTTTGGGTACTTTTGATGGACATCAGGGCGTGGTTTGGTCTATTGATCCCAATTGGGATACAACTCGTTTGGTGACCGGTGGCGGTGATTCTACTCTTCGCATTTGGGACATTGAGACCGGCAAAGAACTGAACAAAATCGACACCAATACAAGTGTCCGAAGCTGTAGTTTCTCGTATTGCGGTAAAATGATTCTCTATACCACCGATCAGGCCATGAAAATGTTACCCGAATTACACATCATTGACATCACAAATGGCGATCACATTAGCGGCAAATCGACAGTTATGTCAATCAAAGAGTTAGGAATGTCTAAAGTGACGTCCAGTTTGTGGGGACAGTTGGATGAGTCTATTATAACTGGCCACGAAAGCGGTCATATTGTCAATTGGGAACTAAGACAACCAAAGAAAAAAAGTAAAGATGTTTTTGTTCACAAGCTTCAGATCAATGATCTACAGTATAATAGCGACCAAACAATGTTCATATCGGCCTCAAAGGACACGACAGCAAAAGTCTGTTATTAATTAAAACAATTGTTTAATTATTTTTGACTAATTATAAGACATTTTATTTTGATTAGCTTTTTAATACACATAATTTGGAGCCATTGAAGACTTATCAAACAGAACGTCCAGTAAATTCAGCGGCAGTTTCACCGATTAGAGATCACGTAGTATTAGGTGGTGGTCAGGAAGCCATGGAAGTAACAACAACTGCCGCACGTTCCGGCAAATTTGAGGCCAGATTTTTCCATACGATTTTCGAGGAAGAATTTGGTCGCGTAAAGGGTCACTTCGGTCCCATTCAATCCCTGGCCTTTCATCCCGACGGCAAAAGTTTTAGTAGCGGTGGTGAAGACGGTTATGTCCGCATTCAGGCATTTGATTCTCCATATTTTGACTTTAAAATTGAATGTTAATCATAGGATATATTTATATAATTATTGATCTTATTTTTATTAAATAATTTCTTTAAAATTACCCTATATTTTACTATTTATTACTATACATATCGTGCTATTATTGTTAATTATTACTGTATGGTAGCGTAATTTGATTTGAATATTATTTGATGACAATCAGGTATTTTATTTGAAATTTAGTATATTTCGTTAATTTTTTTATTTAAGTGTTTATTTTGAGAATTAATACTTGAATGTGGAATAAAGATATAAATACATAAATCGGTCTCAAAAGTAGTCAAAAGTAGATTTTTTCAGCAAATTTTGTGATGAATGAGTTGACTGAACAAAATTTTTTTTTTCAATAATTATTATGGATTTTAGTTATAAATGCAAAAATATAATAAGTTTTGTCTAATAAATAAACAAAAATAGTTGAATACCTGTTTCAGGATTTCTCTTTGAATTACCTGATGATTGGCTAAATTATTAAACATTTTAAAAAGTCAATAAAATTTTAATACATAATGTAATATCAATGTGTATACCGTATAAACAGTATATTTTTGAAAATTATTTAATTTATTAAATTCTATCTTTAATTTAACATTAAATGTCAATAGAATTTATTGATAAATCTAATTATACATCAAAAAATATGGTATGTTTATTTATTTTAAAAATAGTTAAAAACTTATTTATAATGTACTTTAACTTTACTAATTTTAAAGGGGGAATAAAATATAAATTGTACTTGCTAAACGGGATAAACCTAAAAGTATCAAAAATTGTATTTTTTTAGTCTATTAGACGTTTACTAATATACTGGTATAATAAATCATATATTGAAACAAATTTTATATAGAATTTGAAATATTAAATAAATATTTTATTTGTTAATAACATCGTTAACTAAAATCCATTTCAAGCAAAATTATTTTCATCTGTAAATCAATTCCTTTATAAAAATCTCTTATAAAACTACTTTTGAGACTAATTTTATATTTTAAATACTAAATAATGGCATTTATTGTTGAAATTAAATTTATAAAGAATTGTAAGTATTTTGTTAATGATTTTAATTTAGATCTACCGATAATTGTATTCATTGTTTGTTTTCAATATTTTTAAACATATCCTATTATATGGCAATTTTAAAAATAATTTTTATGCATTTTAATCAAAATTAATATCATATTTTTATGCAAATTACTAATTGAAATATATTATAAACTAAAAATATTTGATTAGCAAAATAATATCAATATTAATAATTTGCTATATAATTATTAAATATCATTAATCATTAATAAATAAATATAAAAAATTAATTAAATATAATTATAACAATTAATAATAAAATAAATAAATAATCAAATATAATGATTTTTTAGGTAATGAAAATTACAATTTAAAAAATTAGTAGTAAATTATTATTTTTATTGATTCATTATTTATAAAATATAATTAAATACATAAATGAATCTTATATTTGTTATTATAGTATATCACAGAATATTGTTTATAACATTACATTTTTTGTTAAACAACTTAGTAATAACTAAACAATAAATAATTTTAAATCTAAAAATCGACTGAATTTTCATTAATACATTTATAATATATTTTGCGGTTAAATATTAAACCAAAATTTTAAACAAACAAATAATATATTTAAATAATATATAATATATAACACAAATTAATTAAATTCCAATTTTATAATCTAATCAATGGATTGATTGCATAGAAATAATAAAATAACATATTTATCAACAAAATAGATATCAAATTGTTTTTAAAAATATATATAAATAGTTATAAATGAAAATCAATTAATAATAATATATTGGGATAAATATGAAGACAATTGATTGACAGTTATATCAGTTATATTGATATCATATATATATATAATTATTATTACTATAAACAAAAAATTGTGACAATTGTTGTGTCAAATCGTTAGTTGCATTTGTTGTCACAATTGTTGTCACAATTATTGACAATCAAAGAGAAGATACAGTTTCCTAAACCACTGAAACACAACAAGAAGACAGCGATTGCAAAGACTAGGGAACAGATAGTACACGGCTTTCGCTCCAAGACATAGCCCACCAAATATAAGATAACAAACATTACGTGATTCTCCACAAGAGTCGCATTCATCGGCTTCGGGATCAACAACACCGGAATCAACCACTGAAGACAATACATCATTAATTGATCTTAAAATAACAACACGTTTACCACTGATATGTTCACAGATGTTGTCAATACATCCAATTGGTTCACATGAGACACACTATTATAAAGTGATAATCACTTGAAATATCATATAATATCAATATAATGGTAATTCAAACGATCACTTAATCAATGGTAAACAAAACGATGTCATCGTTTGCAACAATAGTCGCATAAGAGATGGCATTACTATTGAAGTCTTACTTTACTTTACATCTGCACTGCTTTTGAACGACTCTTTGATTTTTGATTTGTTTCAATTCAATCATTTGTTTATTGTTTACATCTTATTGTCACCGAATCTGATTCATTCATATTGACAACACATTAGACAACACATAACAACAAGACATGTATGGCTTAGAAGAGGCAGGAATTCCTGGCAAAGAATATCTTCGCGATTCACTGACTAACTGTGCGGATCCGTTGAAAGCTATTGAAGACTTCCAGACAGATAATGGTATTCTTTTGCCATCACTTCGACCAATGCTTCCTTTATTGGACTTACATGGAGTCAAACGACAAGAGTTTCATTTTTCTGTTCTCGAAGAACTCCGGGAAAAGTTAATCGTTCGCATTGAAGATATGAATAAATTGGAGACCAAAGAGCGCGACAATAAACTTAAAGATCTGTTAACTAAAAGCTTTCCATTGATTAGAGTACCGGCACTGCAACCGGTGGTTATGGCTATACTTAAGAACTTAGATGTCGTAGAAGATAAATATCTCAACGATTTGGTGGCAGATAAGAGTCTGTATGAGAAGTGCGATATCTCAGTAAAGCGTCAGATATGGCAACAACATCCGACACTCTTCGGTGATGAAGTGTCACCAATACTCAGTCAATATATCAAAGAAGTAATTAATTATTTTATGATTAAACTATTATTTTATTCAATAGTTATATTAAAATTATTTCTACTTTTATATCAACTTTTGCAGAAAGAAATGCTTTTTTTCAACTTTAAAGACGCGACGAAATCGTTTTACTCATTGAGTCCACGAGTTCGCCGTCAGAATCCAATTATTCAAACTTTAGTTAAAATGGTCGGTAAGAATGTTCTTCTTTACGATACAATACTTCAGTTTTTGCGAACACTATTCTTGCGGACGAAGAATGTTCACTATTGTACACTTCGAGTGTCACTATTGATGGCACTGCATGACTGTGAAGTTCAAGATATCACTGGTATGGATCCGTGTCATAAGTTTGGCTGGTGTTTGGATGCATGTATTCGGGAACAGAACGTCGATCCCAAGCGATCCCGAGAATTACAGGGTTTTCTTGAAGGTGTGCGTCGAGGACAGGAACATGTGTTGGGAGATATTTCAATGACTTTATGCGATCCGTATGCCATAAATTTTTTGGCACTTTCATGCATGAAGATTATCAATCATCACATCCAAAGCGAGACATTGGCCAGAGATAACAATATTCTGATGCTTTTGCTTCGTATGCTTAACTTAGGTCTTCATAGTTGGGATGTACTCAACTCACAAGTCTTCAGAGAGCCCCGTCTCGATCCCGATCTCATCACTAAATTTGTTCCAATTCTTATGTCATTTATAGTCGACGATCAGGTGAGAAGTGTTAACTCAAAGCTTCCACCCGATGACAGAGAGTCAGCACTGGCTATCATTGAACATTCAGGTCCTCCACCAGACTCTTACCAACAATTTATTACCGAAGATCGGTTGGCATCGATTTTGGCCATTTATTACACATTACAAGTAACTAAACAAAAGGATAAACAGGCGGTAATGCGAGTGTTGGGCACATTGTCGGCATCTCATGATAACCGAGCACTTAGTGACCAATATTTACATATTTTGGTCAATAATTTAATTACTATGAGTGAAGACTTTGCGAGTGAAGAGTTTTGTTCAGTAGTTTTCGATGAAATATATCTGCCATCACTAACATATGGCAATGTTGTACATCATATGATGAAACTTTTGTATCACATTCATCAACATTTACCACAACAACGACTCGACAATACCATTAAAATTTTAGAGTCGTTTTCATATATGAATGAAAATAGTAAAACACTTTTTCAAGAATTGCAAACAAAAGTTAAAGAATTTGTGGCAAAAGTCGAATCACAACCACAACAATCACAACAAACCAACGATGACTTCGCCTCATCTGTTCTCACACCTGCAGCACATCGAGACTGATATACTATTAAAAAATTTATTAGTGTTTGCGATAAACAAATTTATACCAAAATTATATAATAGTTGTAATATTTTATTTATTTATTAAAAAAGTGGCAATAAATAGATTAATGAAACAATTTTCATTGTATATTATTATTAAATAAATTAAGTAAATATTTTTAAAAATATTTTAAGAGATAGTTAATTGTGAGTCAATCAATGAGGCGGTCCCTTATCGAGACCCTGTTGTTGTGATTGCACAATGATTTGTAAGGCATGAGCCAAATCCTGTCCTCCATAATTACATTGTTCACAATAACCGGGTGCTCCTACCGGACCTTAAAATACAGTAATTTTTTGTCATTTAATTTTTAATTTAACATAATTTTATTGAAACATTTAACAAAAAATACCTTGTGATCCGGGTATTCCCTGAGCACCCTTTCTACCTGAATGTCCCCTTTCACCCGGTGGTCCGGGTAGTCCAATTCCCTGTGGTCCTGGCGGTCCTTTCGGTCCAGAAGATCCCTTTAATGGTTTTACAACTTAAATTAAAAATTTTCAAAATCTAATATACGGTACTTACCATCTGTCCGACATCTCCTTCATCTCCTTTCTCCCCTTTAATACCCTGATCTCCTTTATCTCCTTTGCTTCCCTGAGCTCCGGGAGAACCAGGAAGACCTTCAAGTTTGTTAAACCAAAATATTCAAATGATATTTTTATCTATATTTATATTTTTGAAAATTTCTTTAAAATAATTGTATACCCGGTAATCCAGTTTCTCCTGTAATTTAAGTTTAGTTAAATTTAAATTTATATTTAAATGTCAAATAATATTCACTATAAACCTCTTTCTCCTTGTGGTCCTAATAATCCCGGTGCTCCAGAAGGTCCTATAAAATTAATATTTAAAAATTAATTAATTTAATTTAATGCACTAACCTGATGGTCCAGGTGGTCCAATTTTAGATTTTCCATTTTTGCCAGGTATGCCGGGTGGTCCTAATTTATAATAATTTATTTAAAAATTATCAAAACTAATAAATACAAGTAATAATGAATACCTTGAAATCTTGATTGAAGTTCATTCATATTTTCTGAAATTTAAATAATTCAATTGATTTAAATTTTATTAAAAAAAATAATAATAAATAATATTTCTATAATACCTCTTAAAACAATAATTATAATCTCTTTTACTTCATCTTCACTGTAAGTTTTTCCTGGAATTCCTGGAACCCCGTGAGCACCTGTTTGTCCTCTCGGTCCTGTCTGACCTGACAACCCTGGAGTTCCACGTTGACCTGGTAGACCTGGGCTACCTGGTTCACCAGGACTACCTTTTTCTCCTGGTGGTCCGGGAGGACCAGACTATTTGAATATGAATTAATTTATTGTTAAATAGAAAATTATTTACAATTCCAACCTCTCCCTGAACACCTGGTAATCCCATTTCTCCAGAATTGCTCGTTTCGTATATAACTTCACATTTATTTTCACACTGTTTTAAAAAATTTATAAATTAAAAATAATATTTAATAAACTATATGTAGAATTTTGTTATATACTCCTTGACCGGTTAGACCCGGTAATCCCATCGGACCTATTGGTCCGGGAAGACCTATTATGCCTGGAGGACCTGGTGGTCCTTGCAATCCAGTTAAGCCGTGTGCTCCCTATAAATCAAATTTAATCCAATTGTTTTAAACTATTTGTATATTTTTAATCTCAAAATAAACCTGTTGTCCAGTAAGTCCCGGTTCACCTTTAGTTCCATCAGTTCCCTAAACAATATAAAACTAAAATATTTCAAATAATTAAAATATAAATATCTTTAAAAATCAAACCGTATCTCCTTTTTCTCCCTTTTCTCCATTTAAACCATTAAATCCCTGTTCTCCTGGTTCACCCATCTCTCCTTTAGGACCCGGTTCTCCAATTATAGCAGATCCCTGTATTTAAAATTTAATATTTATATATTTAATATATAACTGTAATACTTGTGGCCCAATAGGTCCCGGTTCTCCTGGCAGTCCATCTTTTCCATCAATACCATCGATACCTGGCTCACCTGGTTCTCCCTTATCGTAGAACATAATAATATAATAATTAAAATTAAATTCTAATATATATCGTACTGTAAATTAATAAAATAAAAATAATTTAATCAAATATACCGGTGAACCACTTTCTCCAGGTATACCAATGCCGACTCCATCTTTTCCTGGTATTCCCGGTGAACCCGGAGATCCATCTAAACCTGGTAATCCTTGAATACCTATATCACCCTTAAGTTTTATAAAATCATTTAATTACAATTACAATTAAAAACAATGAAATAATAATTTATAATATACTTTATCCCCTTTATCTCCTGTCAAACCAATGTCACCTTTTTCTCCTTTAACACCTATTTAGAAATAAAAATATAAAAATAGTTTATTATAATATACTAAATAAATAATATTAATAATTATAATAAACCTTGTTGTCCTGGTTCACCAATAATACTTGGTCCAACTGGACCCGGTGCTCCCTATTTATATAAATAATTTAAATTTTAGTATAGTTTAGATAATAATCAAACCTGTGGTCCGGGCGGACAAATGGGACATTCACTGATTGGTTGTGTTGGAGATGGTGTTGGAAGAAAAGGAGGTTTTGGTACAATTGTTTTTTTAGTCTAAAAATTGAATAACAGTTTTAACAAAAATGAAAATCTTATTCAAATATTAAAAAATACCACAATTTCAGCGCACGTTTCCCTTTCAGGTCGCGTTGGATCACAACTCATAACAAGATATTGGAGATCAATCTATTGATTAATATAACAACTGATTAGTTATTAAATGTTTTTAATATAATTAGTGATAACATTACAGGAACAGTCATCAAATCGTCTTCATATTTGGCTAACCAAATGTCACCATTTAAACTGATAGGACTTCTGATATCAATAGGAAGTGATGACTTGTACTGACAATTATGAAAGAGTGAGACTTTGTCGGCGACAACACTGAAGTGGATTTTGTTCCACTCATTCTCAATACAATTAATGTCTGAAAATTTTAAAGTTTGAATCCGATTGTTATAATCCAATGTATATAAGTCTATGCGCTGTTTCTTTGGTAAATAAGTTATGCCAAATCTATTTCAAAATTAATTATTAAACAATTATAATTATAATATTAATTTCTTTAATTAATTCATAATCAAAAACGACATAACTGTGCGGCTCCTGACTCGTCACTAATCCTAACTATAGTCCACGTCTCCTCTTTTGATGGCCTCTTACGGAAAGAACATACAAAAGAAAACTGTTGGGGAAGTCCTTCTGGAAATATTTGGCTAATTTTATAGATATATTAAGTTTTAAATTTCAATTTTAAAATATTTATTTATTTTAAATTAATAAATACCCGGTTGGAAGTGTTAGATCTGCTTTCTTAGACAAACGATAAGCCGTTTGAATTTTATTAGATCCGCGAACTCTCTTTACTCCCGGAAACTCCATAGTCATGTCATCCAATTGGAACCGATGTATCAAATCAAATGTCGGTAAATCATCTTTTCCTTCAATTATCACCGGACATCCTCCTTCTGGACCATACATTAACAAAGAACTCAATTTATTTAAAATAAAGTTGTTATCAATTAAATAAAATACCCATTTCTGGTAAATCTATTTGTGGTTCTCGTGGATCAAGTTCTTCGACTAAATTAGGAAATAAAAATTAATAATTAATAAATTGTTAATAATTGTCTATAAATACAAACAATGAGCTCCATAGATATGTTTATAATTATTTAAAAATAAATTTAACACCAAATATATAATAAAATTATATAATTTGTGAAAAAATTGCATATTTATAAAACTTTTATAACTTATTGAAACTAAAAGAACATAGTTTTGACTAATATTTAATATAATGTCTTCAAATATGTTGTGTTGGAGAAAATAAAATTTTGATTTTTGACTCTTAAATGCATTTTATGTTCAAATATATATATAAATGATTGAATATTTGTAAATTATTCATATTTTCATTGATTCATAAATTTGAAGACAAACTTATCAATGAATTATAATTATGAATTTCATTGAAGTTTTTCCACATATGATTGCAATTTATTTTGACATTTATTTTGCCAAATGTTTAAAAGTGTTGACAGAAAGTTATGTCATATTTGCTTTTAGACTCATATGTTAGACATTTTCGTCTATTAATTCTACAAATTTAAAAAAATAATTTTATTGCCTTACAGTTAAAGTTAACACAACTTACTATTTAAAGAGTTAAATGACTCGTAAGTCAAACAGATTTATTAATACAATATTTTCAAATTCATTAAAAAATTAAATCAAATTATAAGATATTCTTTATTTTTGATTAGAGATAAAGTTATTTTATTATTTTATTAAATTATTATCAAATTATAGTTTTATAATACAAATTCAATTATATTATATATAAGTAATCATAATATATCAAACATTTATTTTAATTGGGGGTAAATAATATGTTAGCTATATTTAAGAGACAAATGTTTACAAATAACATTTAGAAAATGATTGATAACAAATCAAAATATTTATTATTAAACAAAACTGCTGTATGTCTTATATTATGAAAACAAAATAATAATTTAAAAAAAAAAACAATAACCCAAACATGTAAATGAAAATAAATGTATTAATGTATTGAAAATATTAATTAATTAATTAGCTATCCTTTGAATCTGCAATTCCTCCTTCAGTTATGGCAAAAGTGGCTTCACTTTCGGCTAAGTCTGGACTGTCGTATATCTTAGCGACGCGACTCTCGGCACGACCTTTACGTAGAGCTATGCGTACAGTGGAAGCGTGCGCCAGAATATGTCCTCCGATCGGCTTTTTGGGATCGGCTTGAAATGACATTGTAGCACCTTTTTAATGTAAATTATTATTAGTTTATTAATTAAATCATATATAATGTCAAACCCGGATCAGCTGTCATTTGATTAGTGATAAAGACGGCCACATTATATTCTTCACTGATTTTCTGCAACTTTGATAACATTTGTGCCAATTTTTGTTGTCTCTCCGATAGCTCTCCTCTACCCGAATAGTCGACTCTAAACAATGCCATAATTGAGTCAATGACTAACAGTTTGAATTGACCGCTTTCTTCGTGAAATTTGGCGGCCACTGCGTCTGTATAATGTTATGTGACTTTTATACCAATTCATATAATAATAGGTTACAAATCTATACCTAATATTTCAAATTGATGTTCACTAGTAGTGGCCCTCACGTACAGCACATTCTCCAGTGCCGAGTCTTCATCCAAATCAAAGCGCGACGCTATTTGTCTTTAAATGACAATTAGTTTGTATTAATAAAATCACAAAAACAATAAATAAACTAAAAAAATATGGTTTTAATAACTTAAGTCTTTCGGGACGAAAGGTGTGTTCGGTGTCGATAAACATTGCTTTTCCACCCGAAAAGTTATCACCCGGTAGTTGACACGTGACTATAAATAATAATAAACCAGATATTAGTGATAGTTGTGTTAAATATAATTTCCTATCACTCACTGCAAAGTGTATGTGAAATCTGTGTCTTTCCACACCTGAATTCACCGAACGCTTCAGTGATGGCCTGACTTTCAATACCTCCGCCCAAGAGTTTACTGTTTAGTTGAATGTATAGAAGTTTCAAAAAATACAAAAATAAATAATAAAAAAATAATATAAAATTAAAAACTGACTCAAACTCTTGAGATCCGGTCTGCAGTTTAAAGATATGTTTGCGTTTAACTGACACCTGATTGGCCGTTAAGAACAGTGAGTCGGCAAACAATTTGTTGGCCGTCTCTCGTATTTTATCCACTTTTGCTTCACTTAAACCTTTAATTTGAATCAATTTCTTCTTAATTGTCATTTGAAGACCTTTTATCGTACAAATGCCTGAACTCTTCAGTTTCTTAATGTCCGCACTGTTCTGTCAATACATAAACGAAATAATCAATTCTTGTTATACAAAGTGATACTTAAATAAACAATTGTTTGACTAACTATTCCATGATTCTGAAGAATATCGATGTCCTGGAAGAATGATTCCTATATTGGATGACATTATTGTTATTTGTTTTATTAAATCATTCATTCATTTACTTCTTCATCATCTGTATTGTTATCCAACTGTTGTTCGGCTAAAGACATGTTTGTAACACAAGTCGATTGATGTCTTGAGACTTAACTCTTGAGGAATGAGTGATATATTAATGAAAACTATCATAAAATTGATGACAATATCAATGACTCTATTGATGTGAATATAGAATTCAATGAAAACTTAATTAAATCATTCAATCATTCAATCAATGGTTCGAATGATTCGAATAAAAAGTCAGTCAAAAGTACCTCCAATGCAGTGATTGGTTGTATTGTATGACTCATGCGTACAATCAGTGCATTGCATACACTGTTATAATACGTATTAATAATAAACATATGTTTTGCTCTTTAATAGTATTCAGTGTTTTGTTGACATTGTTTTCAACACAAAGTATATCAACCATTAAATGATGTCTTTAGTCAACGATTGTCCCAATTGTCACAAATTGGATGAAATCTTGAAAGAAAAGACAAATAAAATGACGTTAATTGAGGTCAGACTAAGAGATTTAGTCAAAGCTTACAAAAGAGTTTGTGTGGAAAAAGAAAATCTTCAGATGTTGTCCATCAGTTCTACCGCTGTCTTACCACTGAATGATTCACACGAACAACAAAAAAGATTGTCATCACTTGAGGACAAAATCACCGAAATGTCACAAATTTGTGGCAAATATGAGTCGCAAAGTTTGGTCGATAAACAACTTATCCAAGAGTTGACCCAAAAATGTGAATATTTGACAAATGAATTAAAATCAAAGATGTCTTCAGTTGAGACAAACTCTTCAAAAGATTGCTTCCAAATGGAGAAAACATTCAGACATAGAGGCATTCAAACTGAAGAATTAATTGAATCGATTGATGAGAATACAAGTCATGCATCCAATGATTTGCCAAATAATATGAAAGATTGTGAAACACAAACAAGTTTTGGTCACGAAATTGATATGTTTGGTACAAATCGTAAGAAAAGTGAATTAGCAGTGGTTTTACCAACAGTTATGGAAACAGAACAACAAAATAATAGTAATTTAGATGAAGACCTGTTGTCTAACACAAGTAGACATTCCTATAATAGTTACGTTTCCAATGAGGATACATATCCCGTGTTTGAGTCCAATAGCAGAGATATACCACCAAATAGTGAGCCCTTTTCAATAGGAAACTCAAGTGGTGTGTCTTTATTTTATGCCAATGAATTGGCCCGAAAAGAGATCGATTTAGCCGAACATAGAATCCAGTCCCGAGAATATGAGTGCGCTCTGCGGGAACTTCAATGGAAATACAATACCGATAAATACAGGTATTATATGAATGTAATGTATTGTTAATAAACAAATATTTTATAATTATTTAATATTTATTTAGATATGAGTCTCGTATTAAAGACTTGGAGCGAAACTTTTCGCAAATATCGTCAAATCAACCGTTAAATCAATTAAATATAACTTATATTCGCAATGTTTTGTTGAAACTATTGAATACTAAAGACAAACAACAAAAACAATTTATGATTAATGCTATTTTGACGGCTTTGGATCAAAAGGATCGCAAACCTAAATAGTTTTTTGATAACCGAAATAAAATTAATTAGGAATACATATTACAAATAGTTTTTTAATAATATTTATTTACTGAAGTTTATAAAATAGTATTTAATTACTTTTATATTTTTATATACACTTATATAATGTTCAAAAATCAAATAAAATGCACAAAATTATGTGAAAATTAAATAAATTAGAGTTACAATTATTGATGTATTTTTATAGATTTAAATACTCAATTGATAGGCAGGAAATAGACTCTCTTCAGGTTTCAATAAATCTGACAAATAATATATAGTTCCGGCCATTCCCTCAAACAAAGAAAATGGTCGGTCAGGTGTACGACATCCATGTTCTCCATACCGACCACACCAGAGCCCAAACTTAACAGCTCTGTAGTAATACTTGACATCATTAGTCAGTTGATATAATCTAAGAAATGCATATCCATTTCCAGCCACTCCGTGACATAAGCCATAACCTGATTGTATAAAACAATTATTATTACTATTATATTCTTAACTGACTCTTAACTCAGATTCAATCACTCATTCAATTCAATTATGTCTTACCTTTAGTTAAGAGTCCTCTCTTCCAAATACATTCACAACAATCTTTGGCTGCCATTAGGTATTTGTCTTCATTGAACACCCGATAAGCCAATGCAAACAAATGTACGGCACCGGGACTTCCGTGACACCAATGAACTAAGACATCTGACATATCATCCAAAGCCGACGGATAGTTACCAGAAGGGAGTCGAAGTGTAAGAATAAAATCAATGGTTTTCTTAATGTGATTTAACTCGTTATCTGTGAGATAACTCTTAGCTTCCAATAAGACGGCCATAATTCCCATCACTCCATGAGCTGCTCCAAGATATGGAGTGTTATACCAATAATACATAAGCGGACATTTGTCGGCTATTTTATCTTTTTGAGCCGTTTTTTGACCCGATTTAATAATAGCGTCCACAATAAGTCTGATATCATTGTTGTCAATAATTTGTTGAGAGTTACCGATATATTTGCGGACAAAGAGTAATGAATAGAGAAATCCAGATCTACCGTAAAGTATCTCATCGGGAGTTTGACTGCTACTGTCTGTACAGAATTTAACCATTGATTTCAAAGATGTCAATAACTTGTGACAACCGTTTTGGTCGCCATTTATGTGATGAATAAGCGCTGCAATGGATAAGACACCGGAATTTCCCAAAACAAATGAAATGTCATTCTTCTTGAGACTTAATTTGTTGACAATTAGATCCACTATTTCCAGTGATTTATCCAAATATTTCTTGTAATCGAAAACACGATATAAGTGTAGATATAGTAAAGCAAAACCAGTACTTCCCGTATAAATACTTTCATCTTTTGGATCAATACTTTCACTCAAATTTGACTCCAAATGTGTTAACAATTTGTTAATACTTAACAAAAGATTGTCTTTAGTATTGATATTCAAGAGACCACTGGTTTGTTCAAAGACATCGTTAACAGGACTGTAGTCATCAAACGGATTATCAATATATCTCTTATTCGACATCTTTGGTCACAAAAAGTTTTATTAATAAAATTAAAGTTAATTTTAATTTAAAATTAAATGATTAGACAATAAAAGTCAATCAAAACATGTATAACTAGACTGACTGAAAGTACAGGAAATAATTTTGCATATATTTCATATAAAAAATATATGTTTTGGAAAATATATAGTTTTTAATATTTATTATAATTTGAAAAGTAATTTATTATAAATTTATTTTTAACTTAATTGTATATTTCTGTTATATTATTCATAGTGTAATATGTGGTAAATAATGTATAATTTTATTAAGTTATTTAAAGTACAGGAATTGAAACAAAATTTATCGATCAGTCTATTAATATATATATAATATAAATGAGAATCTATTGAAAAATACGAAACGATTTTTATGAATGAAATTCTCAGCGAAACGTGTTTTGGATTTGAATTTACAAAAGTTTTGTTTGTTTTGATCGCAAAGTTTTGTCGATAAAAGTGTTGCAACTCTTGAATGGCAGACATGAAGAGTGAAGAAAGTGAAACAAACAATCATTTTGTGAAGAGTTCTTCAGTTTTGCAAAATGTTTGTGACTTACAGTCGGAGACTTTTGACCCAAAGATATCATTGATGTCTTGTGACGATCGAGTGATAGTTCCGGTGACCAGTGCTCACACTTTCAATAATATCGATGAATACTTTAACAAGAGTTTTGGCAAATCAAATGCATTAAAGAGTTTATTATCAAAAAGTGACACAAAATGTGAACCAATTATCAAAAGGACGCTTCAAATTGAACCGATTGTCACTAAACACAAACTCCGGGAATTGCCAACAGTTTTGACTAAAATGAAATCATCACTCAATGGACCAAATAGTTTGCTTCTAAAGTGTCTTAACAATCGGATAAAAGTATTAATTAGACGACGAAAAAGTGTTAAACTATTTAATGAAAGATTTGGTTGGATTTGTGGGCTTTTAGTTGCTTTCGATAAACACCACAATCTCTGTCTGACAGACGTCGACGAGAAATACCAGAGATTATCACCAAATAATAAGACAATAGATGTCTGCAATCATTTCAAACAAGTGTTGATTAGAGGAGATAATGTGGTTATCATTTGTTTTAAATAATAAAATTTTATTATAATTGTTATAAAACTGGTTTAAAATATATCTTATGATAAAATTATCATTTGAATGAATAGTAAGAATATATATATATATTGTGCCAAAAAATTTTGTTATACAATACTTAAGTACTATTAATACATCAATTTCTAAGTTGCAATAAAATTAAGACAAACATTAAGATAAAAGTAGTGCTATTATTAAAATACTGTATTTACATTAAAATATTAAAATTAATTGTTTCGATTGACACTCAATGGTTTTGGTGTCGCATTTTTCTTAGAGAAATCATTGTCCAAAATAAAAGTTTGATTCGTATCAGACTTTGCCTTAAGACTTGAATTGGATCTGTTTTTTGATACTTTAGATGATTTCGATTGATTGCTGGTATTTAATGGTTTAACATTTTCATCATTTGAGTCAAAACTCTTTGATGAAGTGTTTGAATTGTTTGCATCGGACACTACTTCCGATTCACTTTCTTCAACAAAAGATGTATTGTCAGCATTGATAAGTCTGAAGCGCTCTAATATTCTCTCGTGTGGTGACGTCTGAGTCAAATCTCTTGGATAAGAGTACTCAGTCTTCTGTGGTGTTGTTCCGGTTGGTACGTCTTTGACTAAGTCATTCTTAAAGAAGGCTTCAAAAGTTCTGTTTCTGTTTTCAATTTCTCTGATTTGCGATTTTTCCATAGTTTGTGACATTCGACACATTTCTGATATCTTATCCGAAACGCATTCCGAGATATTCTTTATGTTGTCTGTAATACTCAATAATCCATTATTTTGTTCGTCCAGTCCTTCGTTTAATTTCTCTGACATAGCTCTAAGTAGCGTCTCTTTAGCCGTCAATTGCTTATCAGTGCTGACAATAGTATCACCAATAAGCTGATCCATAACTGTACCAGTCTTTATGATCTTTTGTTTGTCATTATTTATTAATTCCTGAATCTGATTTGGAATTTCAGTATTTTTGACACTCATTTCACTTGTTTTATCCATTATTTCTTGAGTATTAATAGTATTCAAATTATCGATACTTTCAATATACTTAAGACCAACACTTTCTTCGCAATTAATTTCCGAAACAAAGACATCCACTTTATTATTGATTTCTTGCAAAGAATTCCATTGATTTTTACTCGTTTCTGTCATTTTATTCTTCAAATCAGAGACAGATTCTGTACTTTTAAGGCGAGCGGCAATGCGTTTGATTTGTATTTCTTTCATTGTCTGCATTTGACTGTTAATAAGTTTCTCCATCTCTTCAAAGTCTTTATCGAGTTGTTCGTGTGATTTGATATTCTCATCATTTGAACTCTCCATTTGTGATACAATACTATTCATTTCATTATCTAATTTAAAAAATAAAATAATTATACAATAAATAAATAAACTTTTAATTTAAAAAACATTTGAAGACATACTGAGAGATTCAAAAACACTCTTCAAATCGACTTTCATTCTGTTGAATGAGTCGATTGTAATCTTAGAAATACTCTTCAGATGTGAATTTTGTTTCATCAACACGTCTTCTACTTTTTGTCTCTGATTTGCAAAAATTTCATTAAGTTTGTCGATGTCTTCAGAAATATTGCTCTGGTGTTTCATCACATCTCTTAAAATGGCATCAAATGATTGAATACTTAATTCCTTAAGATTAAAATTGGTATCTTTCAAACCAATCACTTGTTCCAAAGTAATCCTATCTTTTAAGAAAATCGATGACAACCGAGATTTGTGTTCAGTCATTGAGTTGGTCAGTGCTGTAACTTTGCTATGAGTATCGGTCACAATATCTTGAGCCGTATTCGTCTTCTCATTGATTGAAGTCAGCATTTCTTCGAGTGAATCGTTATATGAAGTCGTAGTAATGGATACCAATTCTTCCAATAGATTCATATCATCTAAAAACTTAGCCTAAAGTATAAGTAAAAAATTTATAAAAATTCTGAATAACTACTGTATATCAACAGTCTATACAAACCTGAAATTCATTTGCTTTACTGAAGTTCTTGGTTTCGACTGTCTTCTGTCGGTCCACTTTATTGTGTAGTTTATTGACATCACAAGTGGTTTGTTCGGTGACATCAAGCAATTGTTTTGCTTGAGTTGTAAGCAATTTCTCTGAATTTACGTGCACTTCAACCAAATGTTTTTGTTCGTCTCTATCACGTCGTGTTTGACGCAAATTTCCTTTAGTTTCATTCAATTGTTGAGAAGTTTTCATTAAATTTTTATTTGTAATCTCAAGTTCTTCTACTTTGATATTCAATTCATTTTTAGTGTCACCGAATAATTCCTGAATTTTATTCATTTCTTCTTCGAGAGCATTAATTTGAGAGATCTTCTCTTCAATGTCTTGCTGTTGACATTTGATTTGTTGCTCCATTTGTAGGAAATTTTCTTCGTCAACATAAATACCATTCTTATCCCTCGCGGCCGTCAAATCACGTCTTAATCTCTCAATTTCTGCCGTATATTCTCTGAGAAGTGTCTTTTTGCTCATCTTCTGATTAATTTCAGGTTTATTAGTAATTTTCTTAGCTCTTTGTGCGTACTCTAGTGTTGATAGCGTGTCGTCGGCATCGGCTATGTTTGGACTAATTGTCGCAATAATCGAAGTCTTTGTTCGGCCTCCGAGTGACTCTTGTAAAAGACGTGTCAGTTTTGATTCACGATACGGAATGTGCGGACATCTGTCTACCAAAGAGGTAATAACACGTCCGAGAGTAAGCAAACTCTGATTGATATTACCGGCCTCTCGGGCTCTCTTATCAATAGCACCGGAGCGGCCAATGTTCTCACTTCCGGCCAAATCAACTAAATTCAATTTTCCAATTTTAACCAAATCTTCGCCATCAATGGCACTCTCTTTGATGTGAACCGTCACTGAAAATATAGTATGACTTCTTGAGGAACACGCATTCATAAGAGTAGCGGCTGTTTGGCGTTTAGCCGAACCTTTGCGCAAAATATCGTAAATCTCAGCCTTTGAATGAACTGTTATATCTTCGAGTCCGTCAACAATAATAGAACCCTTTCTGGTTGAGTCTTCATAGATCTTAAGTTTGGTCGTGTCGTCAATAGAACTCAAAAGATCATAAAGTTCTTCATTATAAAGCTCGAGGAATGACACTCTAACAGTGTATTCACACTTTTCGTCAGCCAATGTCTCGAAGAGTTGGTGTAGTGCTCTGGGAATGATACCGGCGAGTGGGTCGTCAGCCCACGAACACACATTGTCCTCAAGACTGCGCTCACCTTCCATAGTGTATGTCTTACCAGTTCCTGTCTGTCCGTAAGCAAATACAGTACAATTATAACCCATAACCACCTGTTGGATGAGCGGCTCGACCACACACTTATAGATATGCAATTGACTCGTATCGGCATTGAATGCATTGTCAAAAGTAAATGTCTTACTATTGTATCGTTCATTAGAGTTCTTCGATTCATTGATTCTCACTTCTTTGCGATCGGAAATCACTTCAATTACATTCTTCTTTTCGTTGGCCTTCAGTGGTCGACATCTGACAAAAACTTTGATATTTTGCAATACATCCACAACTGACTGTTCCTTTCCGTGAGGAGTCTTCGGACCAGTCATTGTCACGACCGGTGCCATCCTTTTGTAACTTCAAAGTTGATAATTAACCAAAAAAGACGACTATTTAGTCAATCAATGGATCAGTCAATCGGTGGCAAACAATAACTCAACACAACGTATGGCTAAACAGTGAATGACTTTAACGTTCAAAATAACTGACAAATAATACAAACATTTGTTTAAAAGTAACGAATAATTCGTTCAAATTGTTTGACAATCCATACGACTCTCCCATTGGTTAACATTTTACATGTATTTCCATTCGTACATCAATTACAACATTTAAGTCAATACAATACTTGTTAGTTAGATATATATAACAATTTGGTACTTATAGCTATCACAATGTATTATTAAATAACCATAAAATACTCTATTATAAAAAGTACCAATTTATCAAATATCAAGTTCTGTTAAAGTACTGTACATTAATACTGTATAATATACCTATATATTAGTTTAGCAAAGATTATTATAACACATATCGACCATATTTACAGTGTAGAGCAAGAGAAAGGTGGAGCCTATTGTTGTGATTATATTGTATTATTCTAATTACTACTTATAAAACATTTTATATGTATATATTAAACCAAATCTATAATATCATATATGCAGTAAATAAGCAAAAAATATATTTAGATCACTGTTACAATAATAAATGTATTAATAGTACAGTACTGTACACCGATACACACCGTACACTATGCACACAATAGATGTAAAAATAGACTTTTTTATTAACCGATCCGAGATTATCCAAAAGTTTAAAGATTTGGGTGTTCTTTACTTTAAGTACTACATTGTCATTGCTATACATAATCTAAATTAATTTAACTAAAAAATTATATACAAAAAATAGTTATAGAATTAATAACGAGACAACAATGTAGGACTTAAAGTAAAGAACACCCAAATCTTTAAACTTTTAGATAATTTTTAATTTTACCAAAGATTTAAGTAATTGCAGAATATTATGTACTTTCAATTATAATAGTTTTAACTATATGTTATAATAAAATTAATTTTATGACTATTCATATTATAAATTATTTATATAATTATTTTTTAATTAATATAATTTGTTTTTTATATTTTAATGAACATTATATTACGGTATGTTTTATATATAACCTATTGCTGAATTCAAATTTAAAAATAAATAAATATATTTAAAATTAATAATAAATTAGTAATGATTTGAAATAAATAATTATCGGATAATCCGAACCGTTATATTCGATTAGTTTTGATTTCTACTCTACTGTACAGTAATGTACGCTTTAAAGCGTTCAATGAACTCAAACGCATGGATCAAAACATTGCAATCAAATGAATAGAATTGTGAATCAAAATACTATAGAAAAACTAAAAGTGAATTCAATTTATTTATTAAACTAATGAGTGATTGATTTGTTTAGCAATTGTGACACACATTTGACGTCAAAATTATAGAACATTTTGTCAATGGTTTGCATTAATTGATTGAAAATTAATAATCATTTGTATGTTTGTGTCAAACATTACATCAAAACAAATAATAAGACATTTGTTGTAATGATTTTACAATCAATTATTTGTGTTGTTTTATATATCAATCAATTAATGGTTTGATTTTTAGTGATATTATATAATAATTAGTGCATTCAATAAAAGATAGTTTTGTTTGAACACAAATCAAACATTTTTGTTGTCAAACAAAGTATGGTTTACTTAACAATAGTTAATCAAAACTTTTTTGATGTAAAAGTCTATTGTTTTGACAATTAATGTATTAATTATAATATTATCTCATAAACAATGATTGATATTTCAAATAATATACTCTTATTGAGTGGACTATCATTTGGTGTCATATCTATGGTATATGTATTTTATGGACCAAATCAGTCACAAAAAGGTAGATCCAGAGGAAAGAAGAGAAGTATGTATTGATTATTATTACTATAAATTGATTTAAATTAATAATTATATAAATTATTTAATTTTCAGACAATGGTGTTAACGGTCTCTACAATTACGGCAATCAGTGTTTCATTAATGCAATCGTTCAGTCATTATCATCGTCACCATCGATGAAGAGTTGGCTTAATTACACCAATGGTTTACAAACACAAACTAACAATAGTCTCACTCAAAGTCTTCTCAATACAATCAAAGGTTTTTAAACAATTTATTTATAATATATCCATAATTTTATTTAATGACAATTTATAAGATAAAAAGCTAAATATAAAATAAATATAATTCTTGTAATGATTTATTTGAATATTTTATATGATATTGTTTGACATGAAATGATATTTACTTAAATGGCAAACATTTAGACAAAAGCCGATAATGTTTAGCAATTAATTATAATAAGCGAAGAAATGGGTAAAAACCCAAACGACTCGTTAAAAGTAATGAAACAAATGGCAAAAGACTTAGACTTTTAAATGTTTGGTTTAATGTTTGTCCACTTAAAAGATAATTTGAATTATTGTTAAAATGTTAGACTCGTGTTATACAAAATTGTCTGTTAATTTCAGTGCTTAATAATGAATCGGTTTGCGGACAGTCGTCTCAATCGACATACAATGCTATGAGTGTTGTAAATGCATTGAAGGCACACAAGTGGAGCATTCCTAATGAAGAACAGGTAATATAACTATCGATTGGTTATATAAGCACTCATATAGAGTGAACATTTGAGAGCAAATACTGTACTATACAATGATATTGTGCTTATCTAATGGCAATATTGGTGTTTATCGTCAATTAGGATGCCTTCGAGTTGTTTAATATCTTGACTACAACTCTGGAATCCGAGTTGTATTCATCACTTCCCGTATACTCATTACAAGACGCGCTCTTAGCCGAGGTTAGTGTTGTCTGAAAATTGCCATCAAATTTGATGAAAATTTTATATTTTAGGGTCTCCTCAATGATGCCTCACCCGAAACCAGTCCTACAATACACACGCGAGTGTCTCAGTCTAACATTGATGTCAATAAACGTATTGTAAAGGCATTGCCAACTAAAGGCATGTTATGTTCACAACTTTATTGCAGAAAATGTAACCATAAATATCCGCTACATTTGGAGACATTTGATACCATTTCTCTGGTTTTACCAAATAATATGTTCGGAATTCCGATTCAATTACATGAATGTCTTGAAAAGTTTGTCAGTAATGAAATCATACATGAAGTCAGATGTGAGTCTTGTATTAAAGAAAGTCATCGATTGGATCCAAACAGAAAGTCCACATTTGTTAAGAAATTAACATTTGCTAAAATGCCTCAACTCTTGACTTTTCATATTCAACGACTTGTTTGGTTATCTAATGGTCAACCTATGAAACGCAGCGAAAATATTATTTTTCCTGAATATCTTGTAATGGATTCTTATGTTTATAAATCAAAGACATCCAGCATTGAGTTGACTTCATCGACAACATTGGGTCTGATTGGGGGCGCATCGACACCAGTTAAAAGTGGTCTTTCAAATCCTCTCTTTGTTTCTCAACCCATACTTAACGAGTCTGAACGAAGTGGTGGAGACAATACTACTTTAGTTAAATATAAATATAAGTTATCTTCAGTTTTAGTCCATTTAGGCGGCGCCTCATCCGGTCATTTCATTTGCTATCGACGGGGAACTAATTGTGACAATCAATCGAAATGGTATTATCTTTCGGACACTACTGTGTTTGAAGTAAACCTTTCTGAAGTACTCAACAGTTCTGCATATATGCTGTTTTATGAAAGAATTAATTCTTAATGAATATTCTATGTTTTTATACTCAATTAATATGCTTTTTAAACTTTTTTAATCATCTTTACTATATTTGTGATGATTATAAACTTTGTATTTATAATATTTGTTAACCTAATACTCTATTTGTACATTTCATTTTAAATATGCATGAAATTGTTAATTATTTGAAAATAAACTAGTCTTATATAAAATAATATATCATTTAGATTATAATAGAAAAAAAAATATTATCAATTGTTTTTAAAGTTAGTTTACAAATTACATTTAATTAAATTAAATGTAAGATTATTGCATTTAAATAAAGTTTATTTTAATTTTAATAAAACACAAAATTCTTTTATTTGTCAATAAAATTTTGCTGACATTGTTTATAACAACTTTGTGTCGATAAACTCTTTGTATGAATTAGCTGTTCATCATCTGTGATCAATTGAGGCTCATATCTTAAACTAACATTTATTTAATAATTATAAGTAAAGTTAGATGAAGTCAGTTGACCACTACTGATGAAATCGTCTCATCGAAACAATTACAAGTTTGTTGATATAAATATATGAGATCCGGCTATTATACTGTACTGTATATAAAAGCTTTTACTTTATTTATCAGATAAAGTTTAAAGTTAAACAATATTAAAATAATTTAAATGAAAACTTATTTCTATAAAAATAATAATAGTTAACACAACAATGTTGTTTAATGTATTTTTCTACAAATTATGATCTCATTAAAGTTAAATATAATTTAATTATAACTTTATTAATGCTTTTTATTTAATAGAAACTAAATTTTTCTCACTGTAGCACTTCTAGTGTGTATTTATCATTGATATCCCAAACATGTAATAGTGTTGTGAATAACAAAAGTTAGCAAAAAATTACATTTAATTTTAATATAAGTGTAGAGAAAACTGAATTAATTACCAATTTTTAATGTATTCAGTAATTAAATTATCAGATTTGGTGTTTATAATGAAAATTTTATTATCACAGTAATAGTGGTTTTTAATAAATATTTAATAAAATTATTTGCAAACATTCACTCAATTATCTTTTTAATGTATTTTTTAAAAATCTTATAATAGTAACACTAAAATGTAATAATAAATAGAGTTTATATTCAATTTAAATACACGTTATATACAATACAATTATACATAAAATTTGGCCAAAAATCAATCAATTAAAGATGAAAACACTTTTGTGTCCAAATTGTAAAGTAATGTCTTTATATCTGTAATGAATAGTCACACTCTTTTGAAGGGTTGACCAGATGTGAGGCACACAACATATGAGACAAAATGAGACAATCATTTGAATGAATAATTAGATTATTATCACTTAAACTGAAGTTGTCTTGAATTGTCAAACTCTCATCTCATGCGACATTGTATGTCTCGGTTGGTGTCCCAGTGTTGCCGTATTGCTACCCGTATTAATGACATCAATTGTGGCCATTTTGTGGTTCATTCGGGGTAGAGTCCCGACGGAATTATTATGAAACGTAGTGTTGGCCATTGAGACGTGTGTCGATCGGTTTGATGAGGCAATCGGCACATGACATGAAAGTTGTGTCGGTTCTGTTGTCATTAGTATTGAATTGTGTGAATGTTTTTGACTGGAAGAGCCCATTCCGGGCACGTATTCACTTTGTATTGAATTATTGTGCAGATGTACTGTTCCTACTGTTCCCATATTGTTATCCATTGAAGACGAGTGTTGTTTAAGTGGTGAATGAGAGCCCGTATTCTTCAATATATTCATATCATCCATCTTTTGTGCCTTTGAATGGATTACAAAACAAACAAACAGTTCATTAATAAAAAATGAGATAAATATCATTGAAATGGTTTGGAAAGTTACTAATTATATGGTATAAAAATTTATTATACAGTAAATGACTTTTTATTCATAGACCGCATAAACAAACTATTATTACCGGTAAGTGTGTGTATAACGTGAAAGGAATGGTATGTTAAAGTGGTAATACCAATGGTATGTTAAAGTGGTAATACCAATGGTATGTTAAAGTGGTAATACCAATGGTATGTTAAAGTGGTAATACCAATGGTATGTTAAAGTGGTAATACCAATGGTATGTTAAAGTGGTAATACCTGATAATTTTTACGAATCAGTTTGGCTTCCAATCGATTTTTATCCCTCTGATAGAAGACACCGGCGAAGACCAACACATTTAGTATTAATAGAGAACATCCGATGGCTATAGTGACGGATAGGGCTGTAGAGTATGTACTTTGTTGGACTATCATAGATACGGAAGCGTTGCTGGAATTATTGGTGACTACTACTGAATCTAAGGCACTTTGTTGATGATTTTTATCGGCCAATACGGGTCCGGCACTGTTAGGTTTTTGTTGTGAATGAGTCAATTGAATACTACTATTGGATGTCGTGGCAAACGAACCAACAGTTGTCTCGACATTCATATCTACAGTCGAGTGAGTTGTGAAGTAATGACTTAAGAGTGTCGGAGCCGTCAAAGAGTTTGAACGGACGACACCGTCATAACTGAGTGGATCGTCGTGAGACTGAATGCCGTAATTGACAACATATTTATAGAAAAGATAATAAAAATATATAAATTAGTCATAAGATAAAACATTCATTAATATTATTAATATTTCAATCATCTATAATAATATTTATTATTATTATTATTATGAGACAGTAATCTCTTAGGAGATATATTGAGACCTCTAATAAATGGTGCGCTTCGGCATTGGATGGGCCGGGAGTGTGTAGTTGTGGTAACAAATTGAGCCAATACGACAGTTTGTGTGCGTGATAGTGATCCCTTGTCTTGGGCTTCATTGCTATTAATGATAATTCAATATCAATAATATGTTATTAATAGTTATTTCTTAACCATTAATACCGATTGTTAAATATTGCTGTTGTATGTCATCATATGGAGGCCATTGCACTCTACCTTTTGCATTGGCATCAGCGGTGGTCACACCGTTTGGATCTCTGAAAACAAGGAAAGCAATAAAGGGATTGCAAAGACAAACAAATTGAAACGTCAATCATAAGATTAATGACTTATATTTGTCTAATGAAACAAATACCCATTCTTAGCAAAGTTAGTCCAATATGTCATCACATTCTCCGATAGAGAAGCTTCAGCTCTGGAATAGTTATTGGAAAAGAAAGAGAATTGCATTCCTGAGACAAGAGGTGCACCAAACAGATAGGCTAAGTCTTGGCCGTGGATACAACCGGAACGAGAAGTGAAGTCCCCTTCCTCTGTCTGATATCCAAAGTTGTAAAAATAGGTGCTTTTCTTGGTTTTGCTGTGCATTAGACCAGCTCTGATAATTGGTGCTACAATTAAGGCATCACCAAATGAATTGGCAATTGAATCAAAAGTACTGATAGGATGGAGTGCCGGTCGCGTCCAATCAGTATATTCGTTGACAATCGTTAAGAAAATTTCCTATTATTTCAAACAAAAGACATTTCAAATGAATAGTMGGAAGAAATAAAAGGCAAAAGAAAAGAAAAGCAAAGAAAGATTAGAGTCGTGTAACAGAAAGACATTTATATAGTTTATAAGGCATTACTTGTAAATGATATGAAAATAGATTTCTGACGAGTGTTCTCAACAGTCTATCCCTCCTCTGAGGATCGATACCATTGCGCTCGTCTTGAGCTGTAAACTGATTGTATGCCTCAATGTTGGTCACACCAAACATTAGGTCATAGTTTGCATAAAACGAATTCGGATCAGACATTAGTATTGCCGGATCATTAGGTATGACAATGCCATCGATCACTGGACCAAATGCTGTCAAATGAGTCGGAACTCGAAGGTCAACAGCGATAATGTCTTCTACTGATCGCTGACGAAGACAATCAACCATCACTGAGTTTTTGTCGGGTTCATCGGGACAGCGTAACGCTTTGGCCAAATTGCGGGAATGAAGCACAGCATCGGATGCCACGGCCCACGGCGACAGAGCTGATCCGCTCTGCATTATTGCGCGATGAAACAAACCTATCAATTAGTTATATAAACATTTAATTCATTTAATCCAAATATCCATTGGTCTAATCGTTTGTATATCTAAACCTCTAGCCATTGGTGATAACATCAAAAAGTTGATACACGCGGCTCCGTGTCCATGACCCATGACTGTCACGTTTGCTTCATCGCCACCAAACTCTCTAATGTTCTCCTGAATCCAATGAAGAGCTGCCACCTGATCCATCAAACCAAAGTTACCTCTGGCTGTGCCATCCAATGATGGAAAGAAACCTAATATTTTCATAATTTAATTAATTCAATAAATTCTAATAATTTATTTATTAGCATTATATATATATATATTAATATAAATATATATACTATCATATACTGTATAAAAATAGAAGCATTCAATTACTTATAAATTGTATAGTATTGTATTAATAATAACACTATAACACTATAATCTTATAAAATAATAGTATATATTTAAAATAATAAATAATATGTTAAATATTCTGCAAATAAGAGGTCAACCATTGCTTACTTTAGATATTATTCATAAAGTACTGTATTTTGCTTTTTTTGATTCAATACTTTTTGATTTAAATCTTGTTATGCATTCAGTTTTGCCTCAATCTCTTAGAGTCATACAATTGGATGACTGCATAGATTTATAATCTATTTTATGATATATAGTATTATATACATTATATTGTATTATATATGAGACAAAAAACTCAAGCAATGAATTCTTTGCCATCATTTTTGCTATATATTTGTACAAAGATTTTATTCAATATATATCATGAATTGTCGACACTGTCATCCCATTCCTCAATTTGCATACAACTCCTAGCAATGAGTTTGTCTAATATAAGTACTTTATATGATATACATAAATGTCAGGACTTATGGAGAAAAATACATTGAAGTGCAGAAAAGAGATAATAAATGTTAAGAATAGGACAAACAAACAACAACTCCTTTAATATACTGGTTGTGTTAGTCTTATCGGTGGAAACATTGAGACAGAAAAATAGTAGGTTTTGCTAAATATCAGAAACAATGGGTAACACAAACAGTGAAAATGCAAGAAAAAGCAGAAAAAGACAGATTGGGAACAGTTTGAAAACAAAAACAACTGAAAGACAACTCTATGTCTGATAATATTAAACGAGTGCTCCAGAGATGGTATGTTTGGCTAATTTGTTAACTTCAATATTGACTTTTATTGACATTCACTGTTAACATTTGCTATTACTGTACAAAAATTTTTAATATCAATAATTTTTATTTTATATCTCATATTTAGATGTCAACAAATATATACAGTACAGAACTCAACACTTTTAAATCAATTTTTTGTGAGAATTCATATCTTATAGTTTTATCTTTTATTTAAAAAAATAAAACTTTTTATATATCTGTGATTTTCACTAAAGCTCTGACACATCAAACATATAATTAACACAAAAAAACTAAATCGCTTACAAAGCAAACAATGTTTTCAACACATGTTTTAGCAATAATAACAACGAGTAAAACATAGTTTATTATCAGTTTTTTAATATTGTAATTATGATGTGTTGGAAGTGTTGGTATATTTTCTTTGAGTAAAATAATTTCTATATAAACAAACAATTCATTTCATAGTAAACAAGAGATGCATTTAATTTAAAGATTAGTTGTCTTTTCTAATATAATTAGTTTGAGAACTGTTTTGCATAAACATAACAAACAAACAAAAAATCTGATTTTGTTAACACATAAAACACAGCAATGAAAGTATTGAATTTAATTTGATTTAAAATTTTTCAGCAAACAAAATGTTGTTGTTTTTCATGAGATTATGATTAATCGATAGTTAAAGTCATTGTGAAAGTCAAATGTGAAGACTACACGAAAATAACATTAAAAAACAAATGAAAAGGTTTTTTTAAGACTATAGGAAAACATGCAAAATATTTTGTTAAACTATAGTTAGGATTCATACATACAGCATATATGCCGGTATATTCTAATTTTTGTATTAATATTAGGCAGTTTGATTGCGGGTGAGTGTGTGTGTGTAAGAGAGAGAGAGAGAGAGAGAGAGAGAGAGAGAGAGAGAGAGAGAGAGAGAGAGAGAGAGAGAGAGAGATAGATAGATAGATAGAGAGAGAGAGAGAGAGAGAGAGAGAGAGAGAGAGAGAGAGAGAGTTTAGGTATATAGTATGTGTGCAAATAGAAAATTAAATAACCGCAGAGTTTAGATACACATCAAAACATACTGCAGGCACTGGTAGATGATTTGGTGCTAAAGAGAACAGTTAGTTCAGGATTTTGCAGGAAATTGACAAAAAGCGAACAACACTGCAGTACATTGCAATACATAACACATTTGCCGTACACTTAATATAACAGTAACTGACTGACAGTGGGTTTGCCATCACTTTTAAATTAGTTTTCATCTGCCATTAAAAAGATGTGAATTTTTTTTATATCCCGTTAATGACAACCAAACCATACATGTAATGGGATTTAAGGACTAAATGGATTGACGTCTGGTTTTACACTATCTAAACGTTTTTACAGTACTTTCAATTTGGTTGACATTACGTCAGCTTATTTCATATGAAACTAATTTTATACAATTTTAATTTAATTGCTCTTTACTTTATATAGTTATAAGTTATAACATATTAGAAAAATTTATCAAATTTTCAAATATTAATCGTTGTATAATAGTGTATTAGTGGCATTTACTATTGCATTGCACTATTGCATTGCACTTTCCATTATTTAGCATAATTTACAACATTTCAATGTATAGTAAATAATCTATAATCTATACCATCATAAATGTGAAATTCTATAATATATACAGTATATGTTTTTTTTGTATATAAAGATATTATTGATTGTACAGTATTAAAAACTATTGTATAATTAAACAAAATCAATAAAAAATTGATGCAAAAATATTGTAAACTATTGTAATAACTCAAAGTGTCAATCATTTGAAAATAATGAAAAAACTAGAAAAAAGAATTCATTTTGAAAAAAGCCATCATTTTATTTATCAATTGAAAGTCTGTTTTGTTTGAAAAATCGACTAAAACTACAAAAATTGAATTATTTTTATACGAAGAAAAAGCAAACGTTTATATCGTAAAGCAATTGTAAATCTAATATGAAATACAAGAAAAATCTGCATTTTCTTGAAAAATGAATCCCTTTTGTTATCGAAGAACAAAAAAAGAGATGATTTAAATTTGATTGAAAAATAGTAGAAATATGAATGACTTGTTTTAAATGACGGCTAAAGTTATTTAGTTATCAAATCAAGTCTCTTATATTTTTCCCATTTATAATAGCAATGATTTGTATATTAAATAGAAATTTCGGATTAATTTAATTGACTAAAGAAAAGCAAAAGAATATGTCATTGAATGCAAACTAAGAAATCTTTTTATTTATTTGTGAATATATTTGTGTATATGTATTGAATAATTTTCATGAGTTAGTTAATGATAAGTTAATCTCATTTATGTTTTGCTAATCATGTAATGCACGCAAAGTTGGAGTCCATTTAAATATTAGCAGAGATTTAAGTCACGACAACATCACTACTACTGGTAGTGATTATGTCTCAATTCGTAGTGATGTATGACTGAACCCATAAAGTTACTAAAATCCGTATTTAGTTATTGTAATCAATATATAAGTTCAGAAAATAATTGTAATGTAATTCAATGTGAGATATTGTTTAGCTATTGGATATCTTTGTGATGGGAAGTGACAGCCATAACAATTGAATTCATTTGATAACAAAACATATAATATCTTTATATTGTGTTGTATTGTGAATTAAGTCAAACAAATACACATTTAATGAAAGTTTGTGTCTCTCACCTAAAACACCGATCCTATAATTAATGGTGACAACTACTACATTGGCATAACTGGCCAAAACTGATCCGTCATAACTGGAACCGGCGTTCCACTCGTATGATTCTCCGTGTATGAACATGAGCACTGGTAGGTGAACCATTTCACGGCCAACTATTTCAATAAAAATTAATTATTATTAATAATATATTTCAAAATTATTAACAATGTATTATTATGTGTACCTAATGATAAGATTTTATTAAAAAATTTGTTATATATATATATATTTAACATTTTCTAGTACTGCTGAAGTGGTATTAATTATGTTATTTAAGTATTTTGTAAATTTCATTATTCAAAAGTGTCTTTATGTAAATGATTATTATGAAAAAAATATTAAATCATAAAAATAATTAGTTAATGCATTAGTAAGTCTATTAGCATATAAGACATATTAGCCAGTCTAATTTGTGCTCATTTTCAAAATTAATCAAATATAATTACAATATATACTATATTTATAAATTAATGATTGTTATACAAAAATATTATTAAAATGCACTCAAAATAGCTATTCATCATTCATTATCACATTGTTTTAGTACAGTATATCATATTTAATTAAATTTATATAAAAAATAATAAAAATAATTATATGAATATAATTATATATTGTAATAAAAAGTGAGTTCAAGAGAGCAATCAATTTAAGGAATTGTCGATCAGTTTATTTGTTACATCAAAATACCAGATAATTGTTAGACTTTTTATATCAATAGTTTGGTCATTACTTAACGCAAAGCATGCTATCAATCAAATAGCGATATGTTTGACAATACAGCCAAACAACTAATCAAATAAATCTTGACATTAAATCGTATGTTTTCAATTAATCTATAGTTTTTATAATATATATATTCAGTGTATTGTCGGTATTGTCGATACTTTTTTAGATTAAACGCCAAAATTCTCAACTAAACCGAGGAATCAGTTGAACTCTCGAAGCGATTCTTTATAATGTTATAACAATATTATTAATACTTGAGAGTCATTATAGTTTTATACGAAAATATTGAACTTATTTCATGTGTTTGAGAGGACAGAGCTTTTCAGTATTAAAAGATTGAAGTCTTAGATATTAAACTAAATATATATTGAATATAATGGAGTCGTTTGAAAAAATTATTCGTGAGATTCAGTGAAACAGAAACTAAAAACACATTTTGTAAATTCGTGACAAGTGTTTCAAAAACAAATTATTATTAAATACTTTTTTCCGATTACTATGAAAATAAGTTATTTTATAAGTTATTTTATTTCATTAGATACAGTATTATTAGATTATACCTTAAGTATTATAAAATTTATACAAATTAAGTAAATATATAAATTAAATTTCTTGAGTGCTTACAAAAAAAAACTAACACAATAGTAGGAAACAAATTATCATTTATAATGATTAGTATTGTCGATACACACTTGGATACCCCTGTATTATGTTGTATTATGTGGTCATTCTCTTAAAAACATTACTTTTCTTTTCTTTATGTCTTTCATGTCTTCAAATGTAAACTTAAATATTCAATACAAGGCAACAATAAAGAAATAAATATAAGCAATAAAACACTATATAAACAGTGAGTGAATAGACTAACTATTGTTACAAATATCATATGTAGTATTTTTTATATGAGATATAAAATTGTATTTTTGTTTTGTCTGTAAAATAACTAAAATATAAAACTTGAAAATTATAGCTATAAATGTCTTAAATAATAAAAAAATATATACAATTTCTTTTCGCTAAAAATATAATATATTGAATACATTGTTTGCCAAAACTGAATCAACAAAACTATATAAATGACACGATATTAGAAAAAGTTGTATTACATTAACAAACTTTTTTTTGTTATGACCTCAGATGAGAACATAATAAGACTTTCCATTTGGCAATTGATAATAATGTGGAAAAGGATGGCAAACACCAATCACTACTAGTGTTCACAACTTTCAATGAATCTCCTCTAGTATTTTAGGCTATTTAGGTTATAAGCAAAATAACAATATTGTAGGGCATTATTATCTATATACAGTACATATGATTGTCATATAATTTCATAAATAATTGCGTTTAATAATAATAATTATAATAGTAATACTATGTTTTTGACATTGGATGTCATTTATTTGATGGCCTTTTATATTGTAAAATTTATAAAATTAATTTAAGTATAATACTTACTATAATTGATACACATTGCACGGTAATAGCCAATAGACAAATTTGAATGTAATATAAATTTACAGAATATGATTGTTGATTATTGGCAATGCTATTGACAACTGCTTTGTGATGAACAGCAATGTTATGGAAAGGCAAAGGCATTGTTAAAGTGATAAAAATGAAGAGTCAAATGCAGTGTAATATAACTGTTATGAGTGTATGTAATACTACTGTATGTATGTTATGCCCAAAAGGCACTCCAATATTATCAAAGATTCTCTCATATGAAACACAATGCAGAACTCAGTGCTATTATATCTACTGATTATTGCTTTAATCAATTCATAGCATAACTTACGAGTCAATAATTTGCTTATGTAGTCAATAGATACTAATGTGATATAAGTTTTATTAATTTTATATTTTAAAAATTTAAATAAAAATAAATATGTGTCTACTAAGCGATATTTTGTGTGTATAGTGTATTAAGTTGAGAAAAATATGTTATATATGTTTTATTTTTATATATAATATATATTCAATTTATATAATAACAATATATGGAAAGTGTTTTGAACTCCCAATGGGTTATTGCAATCATTGGCAGACAATTCTGTATTGAAACGATTTGTTGTATTTTCTTATATATATTTTAATGTCTGTCAACTGAACCGTAAGATAAAAGCATCAAAATTAAAGAAAAACACGTTTAAAGATTGCTATTCAATGGCAAATAACACTATTTATTCAAATACAAAACTATTTAAATATTTCTAATAAATCACTTTTTAATATTATTTATATCACAAAAAAAGTAATTTTAAAGATTTATTCAATATTTGATTTTCACACAACACAACCTTTATTATTGAGATATACAGTAGTAATACAATATAAAACATTTTAATCGATATTTATATGATTTTATTGTTTGAACATTAATTTGCTTTTATCAATAGGTTAACCATAAAGTAAATATTGTAATAAAATTATTTTAAACATTTATAACTTTAAAAATATAATGATCAATGAACATGTTTTTTGTTAATCTATTTCAATGTATGTAAAAATGATTTTAATTTATATTAGTTAAATACAATAAATATATTAAACATATTGAATATATAAGTCAACTATAGTTAATCAAATATATTATAACAATTAACAATAATAAGAGATAACACAATAATAAATAATTATTGTAATAATATAATGTTATTTTGGAGTAATTTATTGTTATATGTTTGTTAAGTAGTAGTTACCAGGGTTGGAAAAATTCAAGGTTTTGAAGGAAAAATACATTGTATTATACCGATACTGTATTATACATAGCCAAAATTTAAAACAATGTATTTTTCCAACCCTACTATATACTGTATTTAATATAAATTTATTTATATATAAATACTAATAAAAATGATTGTGATTTATAATAAATATATATACTGTCCATATACCTCTATAGATGTATATGATATTCTAATAATAATTATTAGTCTATTTTCAGTATATTAATTGATATAATATACCGTATTTAATAAACTATAATTGTTTTACATTCAACATATTTAATGTCTATTTTTATTTGACTAATAGAAATTAAAATGAGTTTTACATGAACTATATAAAATAAAATAGACCTAAATAAATAAGTTTATAATATAAAGTGCATTATTATATAATAGATTATGATAATTTAATTTAATTTAGGGTTTTCCACATTTAAAATAAATTATTTGATTACTTTTACAATTTATAGATATAATATCACAGTTTATTACTAAAAAAAATACTTCAAAAAAATCAAACGATTGCAATAAAATTCTATAAATTATTTAATTTTTGAAAACATATTTTTATTCTAAAAATTTAATATTTATTGTAAACAGAAAGTACTGTTTGCTTGTGTGTGTAAAATCAAATAAAAGCCATAAAAATAGATTTGATTTTCTTGTATATACATTAAACATATAAAGATTGGACAAAATATAGAGTAATATTATAGTGTATATAATAATACAGTGGTCTTTCGTATTGTAAAATGTTTTCAAAACAGATAAGAGATGCAAGAGTTGTAATGAAAACATAGAAATGAGAAAATTATTTAAGTAAAAGTCACAAAAAATATAAACTTTATTTTAAAAGCAATCAATATATCGATCGGTTATTTATTTCAAGTGACGTCTATTTACATTAGAGAGAGTCAGTTGCGGCCCATATTAGCTATCGATGGCAAAGCCATAGCCAATAGCGGGCACACAATTTTGCCGCACTTTAAAGCCATATATAGTGTATACATGTCTCGTGTGAAGTCATTTTAGATTTTGCTTATTTCCTATTGATTGTCAATGATCTCTATGATGTCAACAAACTTCACATCACAATCACTAACTATAATGTCTATAAAAGTTTCACTTCTATTGTTACGCCAAACATAACTATACCCGTAAAACATGTGTGCAAAACATATCAACATTTTCTTTTAGTATTTACTCAGTCTTTACATTACCAACATTACCCAAACATTGCATGTTATTCAATAATACTATAATAGAGAGTAGAGAGAGAGAGAGAGAGAGAGAGAGAGAGAGAGAGAGAGAGAGAGAGAGAGAGAGAGAGTAGATAAATGTTGGCCATTGGATGCATAAATAACTCATATCTGCTTCATATGCTTTAAGTACTCGTTATTTACATTCATTTATATGGTTTTGCATCTCTCGTATAAAAGTTGTTATTTAGTCAATGCATCACATAATATGCAATATATTAATATAACTTATCAGATAATATTAATACATAACTTTTATTCAACCATCACTTATGATAAAAATGACTTATATTTATTAACATTTAAATTACGTAGATTATAAATGTTATACAATTAATATTAACAGTAAATATATTTAATACAAACGAAAATGAGAATATATTTTTAAAAAATATG